AGTTCTACGGCGCGTGTCTGGCGCCCCCGCACGTGTGCATCGTGGAAGTGAGGAAGGGTTGGGGCGGTGGGGACAGGAAGGGAAAATACTGCGGTAGCCAGCTGCAGCATACCCCGCCTCCCCCCTGTCCCATTTCATTTCGCCCTCACTTGTGCTTTGGTCTTTCTCAACCCGCCCACCCCACCCTCTGACGCGCCAGGAGCTGGCAGCGGGCGGCTCGCTGCACAACCGGCTGCACGCGCGCCGCCGGGGCTCACCCGCCAAGCTGTACCCGCCCATGACGTACATGGAGGTGTGTGTGGGGGCGGGGGCAAAGACCATACCATGTCATAAGAGACCACAGGTTAGGGTAAAGCAAAGTGGATAGGAGACGGCAGGGTGCCAGCGCTGATGGGCAGACGGGCTGTGGTATGGTGGTGGGGTGAGATTGGTGGCGGTGGCGGTGGTGGGGTTCATGACCTGCATGGAGGTGAGGTTCTGGTCGCCAGCGCTGCTGGACCGACCAGGCAAGCGGTCCCAACCCCTAACGGTGTTGCATAAAGCTCCTTTCGGTTACAGATGTCGCCCTTCAACCGCTGGTCCCAAACGCCCTGTCCCCTCTCGCTCCCTCCTATCCTCCTCTCCCCCCCCCTTCCCCGCCCTCCCAGGTGCTGCAGCTGGGTCTGGAGGTGGCGAGTGCGATGGCCTACCTGCACCCACACGTGGTGCACCGGGGTGGGTAAGGGGGGGGGCAGTGTGAGGTCCTGGGACAGGGGTGTGTCTGATAAAGGTGGGGACAAGTAGGGGTGACGCAAAACATACACCGGCAGCATGCGGTGACGTGCCTAGCAAATTGAGAAGGCAACGCCGCCGGCGCTGGTGACACAGGTGCAACAAGGGCGCGGCAGACATCCCCTGAGCATCCCTGATCTGGCGGTGCGCCTGCCTTGCATGTATGTACACCTCGACATGCACTCCGCACGCGCCCTCATTCTCCTGCCCGCCTGCTTTTACCCACACTCCTCCCCCTCTCTTGCCCTCCTCCTCCCCTGCCCTCTTCCTCCTGCCGCACCCGCTGCTGGTGCTCCGCTGCTGTTGCAGACCTGAAGCCCCAGAACGTGTTGCTGGACGGCGGGGGTCGCGCCAAGGTGTGCGACTTCGGCATCGCCAAGATGAAGGACCGCACGCTGGTGTCCACCCGCGGCGCGCATGCGGGCACGCCGGCGTACATGGTGGGGGGGGGAGGGAGCGGGGGTGGAGGGTGGAGGGGGAAGCGGGGAGCGGAGGGGGGGTGCAAAGCGGAGGGAAGCAGAGAGAATGGGCAAAATCCACACGTTGCCTAAAACCATGCGTTGCCTAAACGCAGCCCGGATAACACACCGCTGCTATCGCGCCACCTTGCTCGCCGCACCCCTGCATGCCGCCGACTACTGGCGCAGCAGTCAACGCTGTCCAGCCCGCTGTCAGCGTCATCCTCCCCTTTACCTCCATCTCTCCCTCCTCTTTCTCCCTTTTCCTCGCCGGTATCAGGCTCCGGAGCAGTTCGAGGGGCGGCCGGTCAGTGAGAAGGTGGACGTGTATGCGGTGAGTTGGGGAGGCTGGGGGGCTTGGGGGCGGAGGTCCTCTCCTCCCGCCGGTGGAAATCATCCGCGCCCCGCGGGCCCGGAGGCGCCCCATCCACCGCCCCATCCATCGCAGTCAGATGCCTTCATGCGAGGCCGCACCCATGCCCCTCCTTGTGACCGACCGGCCACTCCAGCTGCCTCCCCTCCGCTTTCCCGCACTCCCCGCCTTCCCGGGACTGGCGTTGGCACTGCATAGTTGTTTTCCCTTTACCCCACACTCCCGGCACTCCGAGCTCTCTTTTCGGGTTTGTCTCTGACCCTTATCCGCCTCCATCGCCATCGCCTCCGTCGCCCCCCCCCACCTCACTGCAGTTCGGCATGACGCTGTACGAGTGCCTAACGGGAGAGCAGCCCTGGGCCGAGCTGCAGAACCCCATGCAGGTGTGTTAAATAAGTTAGCAGCAGCAGCACAAACACGGGTCACGGGTCATAGCCCCTTCTACTACTGCATAGTAGAAGGGGCTATGCAGGGGACCAGGCAGGGGTGTTATCGGGTGGTGAGAGGAGGAGGAGGAGGAGATGTACGGGTAGCTAGGCGGGACAGGCCAAGCAACATGCGTGTGGTGGCTATGCCACCAGTCACTGCCTCCCTGGGAATGGATAGATACCGGTGGGTTCCTCTCCACGTCACCCCACACGCTACCCATCCCCGCTACCCGCCCCCCGCGCTACAGGTTATCTTCGTGGTTGGGGTACAGTGCCAGCGGCCGCCGCTGCCCCCCGCCACCCCCGCCCCCCTGGCCGCCCTCATCTCCGCCTGCTGGGCTGACTGCCCCGAGGAGCGGCCGCCCTTCGCGGACATCGTGCCCTGGCTGCAGCGGGAAATCAGGGAGGCGGCGGGGGTAGCAGGGGCAGCAGGGGCAACGGAGACAGCGGGGCCAGGTGCAGTTGTTGAGGAAGGGACGGGCACTCCGCCCGCAGCAGCGCCAGCAGCAAGCAGCTAGGCAGGTGTGGATACTCCATGGCTGCCGCCCGTTACCACATCATGGGCGACATGGGAGCCCCGGGCGGGCGTCACTCAGGACAACAACAACAGCAGCAGGAGGTTCGGCATCAATGAATGGCAGCCTGTGAATGATTTCAAGTACGACATGGCGGCCGAGACAGTGGCTTGCACCGGTAGGGGCGGGCGGTGCATTAGCAGCATGGGGCCTGCATGGCGGGGCGGGCGTGATACACCAGGGCTGAAGGAGGGGCGATAAGAATACCGGACGCGGCGACGCACCATCCAGCAGGCGACGTGGTTTGTTCATGGGTCGCATGGATCTCACGGCTGCCCTAATGCGATAATGCTGGCTGCATAGAGCTGCAGAAGCTTACCTCGTGGCGATGGCGATTACATTCGGTATGAAGTGTACGGCGGGGGTGCGATCGGAAGTACCACCTGTACGTCATAAGGTTGTATAATCTATCGGGTTGGGGGCCTTGGGGCGACGGCAGCAGATAACGGCTCTCCTTGCTCCCCGCTCGTGACTTAATTTATTTCAGTTCAGTACGAGTGCCGTGCTTAATCGTAACCCTGCGATATGTGTCAACTGCTACCAGGCTGTGGTTCAGAGGCGGGGCTGGGGATCCCTTCAGGCCACGCCACGTCACGGCGGGCTGCGGTTGCTTGGTAGTTGTAGCTGCCGTATCATTTTATAATTGCAGAGGCAGGCTGCGGCTCATAAAGGTAACGCCCAGTAGGTGGCGGGCAGCAGTTCCCGGCGCCGTTCGTCTCGTTAGCGAGGGTAGGGGGGCTGTCGCATGCTGGCGTGTGTGCGGCGTGTGCACGTTGATGCATGAGCGCTTGTGTTTTTTGGGTTGTTTGTGTTTTGGTGGTAATTGGCTAAACCCAATCCTGCGCTTTCCTAGCAAGCTCCTTCCCCTCCGTATTCGAGGTGTTATGGTAATCCCGTCTAGGGAGCTCCTCCGCTGGCGCTCCTTGCGGCTGTTGAATAATCGCTGCTGTGTGTATGTGTGTGGCCTGTCCAAAGGCGCTTGGGCCACCCTCCAGCTGTATGACATGCCGCACGCGACTGTGTGGCCGCAGGTCACACTGGCGCACTGCCAGCTTAAAGCCGGTGGGGTAGGGCTTTGGAAGTATTGTTTAAGAAGCATTACTAGAGCAGGCCATGGTAGCTGTTATGTACAGCCTTGTTTGCACGAATCATGTTGGCTGGGGAGTTATGCAGCAGGCAAGTAGGCGTATGGGGAATGTTGCAGTAGGCCAATAGCCGCATGATGCAGTGGCAATGTACTGTCCGCGTGGTTACACACGTTTGTCATGTACCGGAGAGGACGAGGTAGGGCAGGCAGTTGGAGTGGGTATCGGTATGGTGCGGCAGGACGCAGGTGGGGCTGTGGGGGGGAAGCTGTGGTCCAAGGGGGAACTGCAAAGTAGGTACGTATAGAAGGATGCTTGTCGTGTATGGTAAATAAGACAGAATGTTCAGTGAACCCTTGCGCTAGTGGCCACTCTAGATAGGTATGGGAGGAGAATACATCTTGCGAGTGAGATGCTGGAGGGAATGATCGTGGGCATCAGGAGCGGTTGTGAAGGGGTTAGTAAGGTGTAGATGGCCGCCGTACGTTGGTGTGGCATGACGTATGAGAGTGGATGGGCTTAGGAGCAAGACAACAAGAAAGCACTGAGCACTTGTGTAGCCTACCGGTATTGCCAAGTTTGGCACTTTTGACAGGCTCCCCTCTAGATGGCCTAGCCTGCAGCAGCGGGACTAGGGGCCATGCAACAGGGTAAATATATAGGCGTCAGGATGCGGGGGCGGAGGCGGGCACGCCCAAAGGTAAGAGGAGGCAAACTGATTAGTAAACGTGACCTTGAGGAAACGTGACCTTGAGGCATGCATGTGCCATCCATACTAAGAGTTCCAATGAAGTTATGCCGCCCCTAGCCATGCGACAAGCTACTGAGACGATGGATTCACCTTGTTTGGAGACTTTGTCCGAACTAAGCGACAAAGTCTCCAATGGCTCAGATAGAGCTGATACAGTCTGCGGCACTAGGACTCGGAAGTGCAGGCGTCGGATGGATGGCGCAGGTCAGCGACCTGAACATGGCAGTGAAGCGGACCCCGGGTGCCGTGAAATTGAGGGCTGGTGAAATTAAGGGCTGGGAAATCCAAACATTCGACGTAAGAAGTTGGGGCCATTGTTACCTTGTGCGGCAGCAACATACCATGCACCTTTGACTTACATTATAGCGACGGAGCTCGCAATAGTATTTTTGATCCAGCGGAATAACTAGTTGCTATAAACCTCACAAGAAGGCAGCATTACGTGAGACAGGAGGGCATATCTTCATGGTGCTTCTAGTTAGTCCTTCGCGAAGGCCAAAGCGGCTCCGAGACCCGCATCCAATGTCAAGGAGCAACCGCCCAAGCTGAATAAGAGTGCCAACTGCCAATTGACTTGATGACTTACAGAAACAAGCAATAATATACCACATAGGCTTGGCGCATGCTGATCCAACCTCTCAGCTTTTACTCGCTACCACAACTGGTACGAGCTCTTCCAGTTGCACTTGACACCTTACGATACGCGATGCTCCTTAAAGGTGAGCGCCGTTGCTTTGTTAATTAGTCGCCGGCAATATGCTTCCAGACGCATCGCTTGCTCGTATCGACGTTCTCTCTTGTGCGAGGGGCAAAGACGCGTCGGAACCAACTCCGTATAATAAGGATCGCTTTCTGTTGCCCGAACAGTGCCTTATCGGGCCGAAATAGCCCGACCCCAGTGACCCGAAGCCTCCATTCCTTTCCATCCAATCTCGCCCACGACAGGACAGCACCATTTGCCCAAGGCAGGAGCCATACCTCCTGCCCCACATGTTCCATCTCGCGCCTTAGCGGGGCGACACTTCTCGTCCACCGCGCATCGCGCTGCGGCGACCGCTTCCATTCGCTCATGGCATGGCAGCCACTCGCTCCGCTCCTCCGCCTTCTCACCAGCCGCTTCCTCATCCTCACCACTTCCCTTCTCCCTGCTACCACTTAGCGCATCATCGGGCGCCGCTGCCTCGTCCCCACTCCCCCACCAGCACCCCGCAGCGCTGCTGAGTCGCCCAGCTGCCTCAAGCTCCCTCCCATGGCATCCTGTCAGGTGGGTACCGGCTTCCCGCGTTGCTGTAATAACCGTAACTGTTGCCCCTTCAGCTCACGCCCCACTCCACCCCGCCCCGCCCTCGGCACTATATGTACGTTACGCCGCATGCATCAACCCCAGGGGTCATGCGCACGCAAAGAAACAGTGTCTTGAGCCAACCATGCTCAGTCTCCTCACCCACCCGTTCCATGACTCCCTCTCCCCACCCTCCCCCATCCTCCCCTCCCTCCTCCTCCCTCCTTCCCTCCCTCCTCCTCCCCTCCCCGCCCTCAGGCCTGGCCGCCGCAGCCTGGTCACCTCCGCAGCCAGCGCGGCGGGTGCAGGCGGGGGCGGCGGCAAGCGCATCACCCAGAACCAGTTCACGGAGAAGGCCTGGCAGGTGGGAGGACATGGGGTGTGTGTGTGACAAAAGAGGTGTGCGTGCGAGTGTGTTGACGTGGTGTGTATGAAAACGGGCGCCGTGTCTGGCTCGCGCTCGCGCTTGTGGTGGTGGTGGGGGGAGGTATGTGTCTAATCGAAGGCATGACAGGCGCTTCCCCTGGCATGCTCCATCCCAAACATTCCCTTCTTCTTCACTCCCCCCTCCTCTGCTCTCCCTCCCTCCCTCCCCGCCCCTCAGGCCATCGTTGCCGCCCCCGAGGCCGCCAAGGAGGGCGGCCAGCAGATCGTGGAGACGGAGCACCTGCTTCGTGCGCTGCTGGAGCAGCCGGGTGGGCTGGCTAGGAGGGTGCTGGCCAAGGCGGGCGGCAACCCCTCGCGTCTGCTGGAGCGCACGGATGAGTTCATTCGCAAGCAGCCGAAAGTCAGCGGGGATGCGGCGCAGGTGAGGGAGGGAGGGTTGGTGGGGAGGGGAGGGTTGGTGGGGAGGTGGGGTGGTGGGGGAGCCGCTAGGTGAAGGGGCACATCATGCGTGCGGGGTGTCGTAGTGATGCCTGTCTGTCTGTCTGGCGCGACTTGCCGCGATCTTAAGCTTACTTCCTCTTCCCCCCTCCCTTTTCAAAACAAAACACCCACACACATCCCCCACACACGTGTGCTTGCTCTTGTTTCTACTCAACTACACACACCACACATACACCTGGTACGGTCCGAATCGCGGCCAAAATTCTAGCCATCACACCCGCACCCCCCCCCCACTTCCAACCCCCGCCTTCCAACCCCCACCCCCCTCTCCCCCCAGGTGTTGGGTCGCAACCTGGAGTCGCTGGTGAACCGCTCCATGGAGCTGCAGGGCCGCTGGGGCGACCAGTTCGTGTCCGTGGAGCACCTGCTGCTGGCGCTGGCGGACGACCCGCGGGTCGGTGAGGCGCTGCTGAAGGCGGAGGGGCTCACGCGAGACAAGCTGGAGCAGGTGAGGTGGTGGGTGGGTGGGTGGGTGGGGAGATGGGGCGTGCTTGCGGTGCATGTGGTGTTGGCACCCCTTACACGAGCAGGAGCGAGAGGGGTGTGTTGTAAGCGTGTTCCACCTCCTCCTCCTCCTTTCCTCCTTACCTCCTCCCCACCCCCCTCCTCAGGCCATCAAGGACGTCCGCGGCAGCAACCGCGTGACCGACCAGGACCCCGAGGGCAAGTACGAGGCGCTCTCCAAGTACGCGCGCGACCTGACGGCTGCAGCACGTGAGGGCAAGCTGGACCCGGTGATTGGGCGCGATGACGAGGTGCGGCGGACCATCCAGATCCTCAGCAGGCGGACCAAGAACAACCCGGTGAGGGGGGGAGGGGAGGGGGAGGGGAACCGGATGGGGGGGGGGGTAGCATGGTGAGATAAGGGGCTAGGCGGTGAGGCGGTGTCCGCCACCGCCCCTGTACGGGCCCCTCGACTCCCCCAGCCCCTGTAACACGCTTTCCTCCCTCTCACCCCACCCGCCCCCTCTCCCTCCCCACCCCCCCTTCCCCAGGTCCTGATCGGCGAGCCGGGTGTGGGCAAGACTGCGGTAGTGGAGGGGCTGGCGCAGCGCATTGTGGCGGGGGACGTGCCGCAGGCGCTGCAGGTGATTGGGGTGGGTGGGTGGTGGGGGTTGCCATGGGGTTGACGTCAGTGCGGGAGGAGAAGAAGAGAGGAGAGGGCAGCGGGGGCTTCAAGCGCCACTGAGGACTATGTAACAGTGTGCAAGCAGCAGCACATGCAGGAGGCAACGGGGCAGTGGGCGAAGAACTCTCCGCATCCCGCAGCCCCCCCCCGCGCCCACCCTCTCCCTGGCCCTCCCACCTTCCCTGCCCCCCCCCCCCGCATCTGCCCCCAGGGTCGCACGCTCATGGCGCTAGACATGGGTTCGCTCATCGCGGGCGCCAAGTACCGCGGCGAGTTCGAAGACCGGTTGAAGGCGGTGATCAAGGAGGTGACGGACAGCGCGGGGCGCATCGTGCTGTTCATCGACGAAATACACACCATCGTGGGGGCGGGGGCGACGGGGGTGAGTAGGGGGGGAGGGGGGGAGGGGGGGAGGGGGAGGGGGGAAGCCACTTTAGGTGAAACAGCAAGTCTGGGCCCAGGGTAATGGGCACTGGTATATTGGCATTGGTAAGTGGGTACTGGTAGATGGTTATGATCCACCCCCCCCTGCTGCAGGGTGCCATGGACGCCTCCAACCTGCTCAAGCCCATGCTCAGCCGGGGGGAGCTGCGCTGCATTGGCGCCACCACACTGGATGAATACCGCAAGTACATCGAGAAGGACCCGGCGCTGGAGAGGAGGTTCCAACAGGTGAGGTTTGGAGGAGGGGGCGGGGGCGGGGTAGAAAGCGAATGAAAGGCAAAGAGGGGAAGGGGAGGGGAAGGAAAGGAGGGTAAAGGTAGCCCCTAGGACGCCGTACAAGGGCAAACATACTGAAGGAAAAAAACACAAGGGAGAACGAGACAAACCTCCCCTTCCCCACCCCCGCACCACAGGTCTACGTGGACCAGCCCAGTGTCGCGCAGACGGTGTCCATCCTGCGCGGTCTGCGGGAGCGCTACGAGGTGCACCACGGGGTGCGCATCAGCGACAGTGCGTTGGTGGAGGCGGCGGTGCTGAGCGACCGTTACATCGCGGACCGCTTCCTGCCGGATAAGGTGCGGGCGTAGGAGAGCAGGGGAGGTGGCGGAGAGGGGGAAGGGGGCTAGGGAAGGAGAAGCCGGAGTTCCCAGCGGGCTGTGGGGGGCGGGAGGGGCTCCCAGGTAAACTCGCCTCCCCCTTCCAGTAACCCATGCATGCTGCCCCTCCACAACCTCCCCCCCCTCCGTTGCTTCGTCAGTGTCTCATTATATATTTTTTACCCCCCCCCCCTCCGTTGTTTCACTTTTCTAATTTCCCCCCTCCGCACCCCCCCCCCTCCATGCAACCCCAGGCCATTGACCTGGTGGACGAGGCTGCTGCCCAGCTCAAGATGGAGATCACCTCCAAGCCGCTGGCACTGGACGAGGTGGACCGCAAGGTGCTACAGCTGGAGATGGAGCGACTGAGCCTGGAGAAGGTGGGGGGGGGGAAGGAGAGAGGGGGAGGGAAAATTAGCCCCAATCCCATATCCCGACTCATGCATTGAATGGTAGTGGCAACACATCCATTCTAGGGGATGGGAGAGGGAGGGCATGCTGGGCGAGGGAATTGACGATCCGGTGGTGGCTGGGTCGGGGTATTAGCTTGGAGCAGACAGTACAGTAGTTAAACCCTCCTTTGCTCCCATACTGCACCCCTTCCCCTCCCAGGCTGCCAGTTCCGACCGCGCCGCCGCCGCCCGGCTGGCCTCCCTGGACGGCGAGCTGGGTCGTCTGAAGGAGCAGCAGCACGTGATCACGGAGCAGTGGCAGGCGGAGAAGGCGGACATGGAGAGGGTGCAGGACCTGAAGGAGGAAATCGAGCGGGTGGGCATCGAGATCGCACAGGCGGAGCGGGACTACGACCTGAACAGGTGGGGGAGAGGGGGGGATGCGGGGGGCAAGGTGTGGTGTTGTCCTTCTCCTTGCACAAGCACTAACGAGTGCCTACCGGTATGCTTGAGCTGAGCTGCACCGCTTGAGCTGCACCCCTCCCCTCCTCCCCTCATCACATCGGTTCTGTTGCAAACCATGATGACGCCTTCATCGCACGGTTCACTCGGTTCACGCTATAATCCTTTTCTCCCCACCTCCCCACCGCCCCTCAGGGCTGCGGAGCTCAAGTACGGCACCCTGCACACGCTGCAGTCGCAGCTGCGGGCGGCGGAGGCAGCGCTGGCCGCCCGGGCCGCCGCGGGGGGCAACGGGGCGGGGGCGGGCGGGGGCAGCAAGCTGCTTAAGGAGGAGGTGACGGAGGCGGACATCGCGGAGATCATTGCCAAGTGGACGGGTGAGGGGATGAGGGAGGGAGGGCTTGGGGAGAAAAATAAAAGAATGCAGCAAGATAAGGGCTTTGGGGCGGGAGGGTTGCGGAAGGTACCGTATGTTGTTTGCATGGTTGCTAACCTCCTCCATCCTCACCTAACCTTTCCCACATCCTCCTTCCTTCCTTCCTTCCCTCCTCCCCTCCACCTCCCCCCAGGCATCCCCGTCTCCAAGCTGGTGCAGTCCGAGCGCGACAAGCTGCTGCACCTGCCCGAGCAGCTGCACCGGCGGGTGGTGGGGCAGGACGAGGCGGTGCAGGCGGTGGCGGACGCCATCCAGCGCTCCAGGGCGGGGCTGGCGGACCCCAACCGACCCATCGCGTCATTCATGTTCCTTGGACCCACGGGTCAGTTTGGGGGGGCGGGGCAGTGGAGTGGTGGTGGTGGTGGAATGGTGGAAACGGTGATGGGGCGGCGAATGAGAGGTGAAGGGCCTTTGCGGCTTTCCGACTCCCTTCCCACCCCCCCAACTTAAACCTCCCTTCCATGCATGCCTCCTGCTGACCCTGCTGCCTCCTGCCTCCCACCCATGCCCCCCGCCATGCAGGTGTGGGCAAGACGGAGCTGGCCAAGGCGCTCGCTGAGTTCCTGTTCAACAGCGAGAACGCCATGGTACGGCTGGACATGAGCGAGTACATGGAGAAGTACTCAGTCAGCCGCCTCATCGGGGCGCCGCCGGGTAGGGGAGCTGGGTGGGAGGGGAGGGGAGGGGAAGGGCGGGAGGGATGAGGGGTTGAAGGGGTTCCTGGTAATCGTGAACCAGTACAAACAGGTTCGGCTGTGTGTGCAAAGTGTATCTCCAGACACACTTACAAACCCACACCTACACTTCCCTGTCATGTTCCCCTGCAACCGTCTCGTCCGCACCTCCTCTCACCTCCTTTCCTTCCCTCCTCCCTTCTCCCTCCCCATCCTCGTTCTTCCCTCCCCCCGCCAGGCTACGTGGGCTATGACGAGGGCGGGCAGTTGACGGAGGCGGTGCGGCGGCGGCCCTACGCGGTGATCCTGTTCGACGAGGTGGAAAAGGCACATGCGGACGTATTCAATGTGCTGCTGCAGATACTGGATGATGGAAGGGTGACGGACGCGCAGGTGGGTGGGGAGAGGGAGAAGGGGGAGCAGGGAGGTGGTTGAGGAGTGGGGCGTAATGGAGAGGGGGGTGGGTGATGGTCGTGCTGCTTTATTGCAGGTATGAAGGCACTTGCTTTGCGCTTCGGCCCCATCCTATTCTCCCAACGCCTCACGACCCTCTCTCCTCCACTTCCTCCTCTTCCCCACCCACAGGGCCGCGTCGTGTCCTTCAAGAACGCCATCATCATCCTCACCTCCAACCTGGGCTCAGCTTCCATCCTGGAAATGGGATCAGCACTGGAATCCGACCCGCCAGCCGCTCGCAGCGCCATCCGGAACCTTGTCATGGCTCAAGTCCGCACCCACTTCCGACCCGAGTTCGTAAACCGCATCGACGAATTCATCATCTTCGACCCGCTGGGACCGCAGCAGATAGCAACCATCGTACGGCTGCAAGCCCGCCGCGTCGCGCAACGCCTGGCGGAGAAGAAGATCGGGCTGCAGATGACAGATTCTGCCGTTCAGTACCTCGCCAGTACGGGATACGACCCGGTGTACGGCGCTCGTCCGGTGAAGCGTGCCGTACAACGGGAGCTGGAGACGGCCATCGCCAAGGCGTTGTTGCGTGGGGAGTTTGTGGAGGATGACACGATTGTGGTGGAGGCGGACGAGGTGCTCGGAGGGCTGGTGTTGCGGCACGGGCCCAAGCTGTCGGAGGGGGGTGCAGCGGGCGAGGGGGAGGGGGCGGTGGTGCCGGTGACGGGCGGGGATGGCGTGGTGCAGGTGCAATGAGGAGGGCGAGGGACGGGAGGGCCAGGGGGGATCGAGAGGCATGTGCACTCGAGGCAGGAGGAGGGAAGGTTTGTGTTTGCAGGATGAGTGTTTGGTGTGTGTCTGGCCGCTAGCTGGAAGCAATAGTACGGTAGATGCATGATGATGTGGACTCACGCGGGTGAGTTGGGCTGGGTCGCTGTTGCAAGGCGTGGCGTGTAGGAGAGGGGGGTCTGAATAGCCCTAACCATAGGAAACTACGAGAGGGGGGAGGGGGTGCGAATCTGATGTACATGTGCAAGGTCAGGGCGGGTAGGAGGGTTGTGTTGATGTCTTTTGTCGGTGTCTTGTTGCATGTATGTTACGTCGTGTTGGGTGTGTGCAGTTGTGTACGGAGTTTGTTGTCTTTCTTCTTCGCAATTATAACGGCGCAAGGCGCAAGTAACAGGAAGGAGCAGAGATGGATTGTGCATCCGTTCAGATGGATGAAATTATGCCACATGTAGTTTACACTGTCATAATATGGTATATAGTGGTTCCGTTAACGACAGAAGTGTCGGTACCGCAAAGGATGGAGGAGGAGAAGAGCGTTGGTTATGGGCGCTACCGAAACGGCGACTCTTATTATGGTTCCAAAAAGAGATACACGAAAGTGTACGGCTTTGTAGTGCCTGTCCATGAGTGTACGGCAAACTTCAAGATTGCGGTTTGCGTACAGTCGTATAAAGTGCTCATGTCGCACTTCCGTACAGTTCGATTGTACGGAGGTAGCACATGTTCTGCGTCAGCTGTGCTTGAAGCGCTTTTGTACGACTGTGGGGAGGGCGTCTCTGTTATAAACATTGTTTGCTGTGGAAATAAGGAGCGAAGTAGGTTGAGATTTTGACAGCGTCTGCGGAAAACTGCGGCACATGGAGAGGCTAAGGGTCATTTGTTTACATGTAGTCCCTCCCCCATGCGTGCTGCAACAGTGCGCACACACGCATTTGCTGCTTTTGTTGCTGTTGCTATTGTTCCGTCCATGCGGTTGTTGTCTTGTGAAATTTGTGATGAGTTTACAGGAATGCGGTGGGTGGTGCAGGTGCACCGACCCACCCTTGTGGATTCATGCATGCATTGGCAGCTGCCCTGAACCGCATCGCTTACTTACCGCCTCTTATTAGAGTTATGACCCGTTGTAAGTCGCTTTGCAGCCTGAAACCGTCAGTCGTGTCACCCAACACCCGTTGCTATCTCCACCCGTTTGTGTCATTGCGACAGTGCGTCATACGGTCATCCATTCATTCAGTGCGTGCATTCTGAAGTTAATCCTACGAGTGTGTGGGACGCTGACTCCATGTTCCGTTTACCTGTTATGTGACGCGAAAGGACGCGAAAGGTGGGACTTATCGTAGAAGGCAGGAGGGGCAATCCACCCTTCACCGAGGCTGGCACAAGGCGTGCAAGGGTAACCTGCCTTACCCTGCTCTTGTAAGTGATCACGAGTAAATGATGAACCCATCAACAGTCACGAAATGAGGGTCTTCCTCCTTTCAAGCTCACGGAAGCGTTCTTGGACCCTCAGAACACGCTAGCAAGTGGTATTGTTGCCGTACACGCACACGTACGCTTATCAGCCTCATAGCCCCCGATAAGCATTAAAAAAACCCAAATACCAATAAATTTTGATTGATATGCGCAACTGATGGTAGTAAATATTCAATAGCGTAAAAAGTGTAGGATAGAACCAGATAGGTCCGGCAATACCGAAAGACGGTGGGGAGCGCAGACGTAACCGGATAAAGCAAGTGTCAGCGCCATATTTTCTCCGAACATCACCTCGCTAACCCAAACCTTTCATCGGAACTGCACTTGCGGCGCTAACTGCCAGCTTGCAGGTACGCAACTAGCGAAATGAAGCTTTTGCCTGCAACTGTTACACTGATGGCATTACTCCACTTCGTTACGGGGGGATTTACGGTTTAGCTGTCAACCATGGTTGGGCTTGGAAGCTTGGGTCCTAACTGGGGTCCTATCCCAAACGGCTTGCGGACTCCGTCTGTAACCTCAAACCCACCTATGTAATCATTATCGTATCTTACAGTTGATGTATTTGTGGTATGCTGTGTCGATGTTGCTCAGGCTGGACAACCTCCTCTACATGGTTCCGATGATTGCTTGGAACTGACAGCGGCGGCTTCTCGCTTGTGGGTGAAGTCAGAATGTGCGTCATGTGCTTTTGAGCACACTTGGTCGTGACATTACCACGCAAACGAGAGGCTTCTTAACCGTCAGTCATCCATCGCGAACGCCCAAGAGTCAAGATGCAGCTCTCTGGGGAATACCAGCACAGCGATTCTTCTTTCAGTCTTATGGCCAAGCCAGCGGCCGTTCTTCGGCTGCAGGGCAGGATAAAGCCGCCTCTACCCGCCGAGCTGCGACAACCGCCGGTGCCCGCTGACGGCGATGGAACCCGGACAACCGAACGAATGTACATCTGCGTTTCGACGGACTTTGACGCAATGCAAGCCGGGACATCAAACTATGCGCTTGCTGCTAACGTAAGGACGTGCGACAGGCAGCAATTGCCACAGCAAGATCGCGGCTACTGCAGCAGCCCTCACCGCCGCAGACTGACATCCAACGGTTCTAGCTGTGGCCAAGCTCATCCGCACAGCCGTCCCAGATGCAGCGATGGCGGGGCAAGCGACATCATGAGTAGTCATCGTTCTGTCTACTACTCGTGTAGCCAAAGTCCTCGACCACATGGCACACCGAGACCACAACGTCACCTGCTCGAAGCGCAGTACGGCAGTTTCGAATCGAGTCTGGCGACTGATCCAGGTTTTGATATTGAGTGTTCTTTGGGCAAGCTAGCTCAGGTTCGAAGGACGCACTTGCCCGCCGCCTCGGGCGCTGGTGGAGGTGGTTGCATCACGTTTGGACTCCCTGCTACGTGCGCTGCCGTTGCAGGGCATGTTGCGGCAGCTGAGAGTCTTTCCGTACGGCGCTGCACGACCCATGGGTCAGACTTGGCAGCTTGCCTGCCGTCCTCGCCTCGCCAGCGTAGCGTGGGGCTTACGAGGAAGCGGCTGCTTGCTTGATGGTAGTGTCGTACGGCAGCGTCCGGTGCATGTCGTACCGTGCAACGACCACTAGATAAAGCATTCATATTCTCATGATGCCGGATTTATTTCATTCATTCCATTTTGCCTTACCTATGTGGGATGGCGGGCTTCGTGCTGTGTGACAGTAGTAATTATTCCTGCTCTTATGGATACCTACACGCTATTGTGCATTAGACCTAAAACCCCTGAGGAGCCTACCGTACAGTACTGTATGAGACGTGGATGTGGTATTTTAGCTGGAAACAGTCTGTCAGCTGTAGAACAGCGCTTGCTCCCTGCCATTTTGGAATGGGGATGAATGGTGGTGAGGCTCATCCATGGCTTATTTTTGATCGCGGTGTGTATATGGTGGCAAGGAGCAAAGCAATGATACCAGGGAATAGTCATGCTATACATACGCAGGTTACATGGGCAGCCCTCGAAGTACTGTAACTCGTGGCGAAACCGCAAAGCCAATCAGTGCCCTCCCACGTTTATCAATACATCAATGAACGAATCTCCATGCTGCCGAACGTCAAAACAGGAGTCCACGCGCACCCCTGTGGTGCGGGGCGCCTTCACAAATGGCCCCGAATCTCGTAACAGCGTACCGTCCACAAAACCCGACCTTGAGGCCTTCAAAACACATTAGAAACAACGCAAACAGGAGGGCAACTGCCGTACCAACGGCAAAGTTTACAAAAGCACACCACACTCTCACCAGAGTTCATTGCCGCCCGTTTTAGCAGTTTATCACGACACTCAAAACCAGTGCGCAGTGCTTGGTGGACATACTCTGCATTTCTAGTTGACACCACGCAACCGTGCCGGCAGGGGTAGTGTTTGCTGCCGAAGCGTGTCTGTGACCCATGGTTCATAGACCCAGAACAGTACGCTGGGCATGGCAAGTTAAGGTGGCAGGTCACAAAAATGCCGGCCTCCAACAACGCATTAGAGGACCAACGCAACGACCGCGCCACCTGCATCCTGAGCAACTTGCTACCCACCAAGCCGGTGATTGCAGCATTACCCAGCAAACAGCTCCGGTCCTGAACGAGACAGTAAACTCCATCCGAAAACCCATTCCAAAGCATAGCCAACAAAGCACAGCGAAGAAGCGAAACATGGAGACATTATCATAGGCCCTTTGTGAGCCAAAGCCGCACGGAGCCGCAGCGGACAGAGAACAACTGCAGAGCACGGACGCACGTCGCCCCGGCCCTCCCGCCGTCCAACCAATCTGGTAAGTACGGTCGGGGTGCCAGAAGCTCCCAACACACGCACCCAGCTTTCATAAGCAACAAATGACTACCCGAACAGGACCTAGCCGAATTGAACAAACAGAGTCCCAAGGCAAATGGCCTTGTGTGGCACGGCCAAGGCCGACCTTGCACTGCTCCTTCATTAATGCATGCCGTATGTGTCATACCACCTCCCGCCCTTAGAATTCACCCACATGCCCCACAAGGGCTTTCAAGATGCAGGATCGGCTCCATCAAGGCCATTGCCACCACACGTATGCATACAAGCATCTATCGCAACAATCCAGGTTAGCGGATTTCGGATTAGCGTACACAACCTCCCTCTGCCGTACGACAAAGCCTTCGCCAGAACGTGTCCTTCGTGTCGCGCAAAAGAGCTGAGCAAACAACAAGTTAACCACAGGCGCCAAACAACTCCACCCAAGAACAGAATACAAGTAGCATGCATGACGTGCTGATGCATCTACTCGGCTTTGCTCGGTCCCAAACGACACGACGCACCGTATCAGATGAACGTAAATTCCATTCCTTGAAAGTAGCCTTACTCCTCCTCCTCTTGAAACCATAGCAACAGAGGCCAATGCGATACGATGCAAAAAGCCTCAAAGCTTAAATCCTTGCCTCAAAAGTCCAAAAAAGCAGTAGCAGAAGCAGCACCTTGCAACCCATCACGCCACAACTCAACGGGCAGCACCAAACCAGCGGCCAGGAGGTAGCCACCCATACCCGTCACCGTCAGGTGATGCGCGTGAGATGGCAAACACAGCAAACCGTAACACCAAACGCATGCAAGCGGGTTTATCAGACGACCGCCACCACCACCACCTCCATCTCCACCCGCAACTACGATGCTGCATCCAGGTACGACGCACTACTCGGCGTCTCCAGGAACCCGCATGCAACCGCTAACCGCCGCGAACCACAACATGATGACAAGCCGCCCGAGGAAAGGGGGCATGCGGGTGTCGCATTGCCCGACCATGCCCGACAACGAGGCGCACCTCGCCGTCACCACATGGCCAACACACCACCGCAATGTGGGACACGGGAAACTCCAACAACAGCTTGTCAAGGTAAAAGCAGTGGGAAGACCAGTTGGGCAATAGCAGTTTCCCAGCGAGGGCCTGCGATCAGAGGCCGCCAGAGGTAGCCGCCGCTACAGACCCCCTTTCTCTACTGTAGACACCCCACACACTGGCGAACGTCAAGTCAATCCAATTTATGTTTCTCGCGATGATTGGGTTTTCGTTCTCTTGCTCGTCACCAGCCCAGCCAAACCATGAGTGAAAAAGCGCCTGGATGCGGCAAACCAAACGCTAAGGCCGATCATCCGCGCCTCACCAGCACCAAGCCAACCGTACCATACAGAGACGGGTTCCTGCCGGGGCCGACCGGTGCTTCCCAAGCGTGACCCCCTCGACAAAACGTCGTTAGACGGCCAAAGAGAGACCAGGGCACTATAGAGTGAACACCCATAGGACTCGCATGCAGGCTCGTTCACCTCTGACGCACACAGCTACAAAGGAGGGGTTCGGTGCGACAACAGAGCACCTCGTCCGCATGAGAGCGCAGCCCAACAGCAGCATCATGTGAGGACCCACGGGTCACACGCAACGTACCCACATGCAACCGCAACACGCGAGTCCGCCAACTGACACAGCACAGGCGGGCGGAGGATGTAGGGGTCAGAGGGGTTCCAAGAGCAGCATAGGCATCGGCCGGGAGTGGTCATGCGGCCCTTCTGACTAAAACCGTCCTACGCACATGCAGAGCCCCTGGCCGCATGAAGCACCGTCCTTAAGACTTGGCGGCCACTGGGGTCCCACACAACCCTGCTAGCGTCCCAGTTGCGGCTCCGCTCCCGCTCCCGCCGTTGCCGGCCCCCGACCTGTTAACTGCCGTCCCTTTCGTCGGGGCAGCGTTGAAGGCCGTTGCGACCGTTGTGGCGGTTGCGGTCGTTGTAGCGGTTGTAGCGGTTGCGGCAGGCGCCACGGGGCCCGCCTGCCGAGCCGAGTCGGGTTCGCTGCGCTTGCTGCCGACGGTTTGGGTGTCTGAGTCTCGGCCTTCGCTGGAGGTCGCGTCTTTGCGGCGCAGCATGCGGTACTTTTGGAGGTGGCTTGCGACGTTCTCCCTCGTGAGTCCGTCGATATTCATTTCCTGGGCAGCGATGGCAGTGTAAAGCAAGGACCAGATAAGGAAAGCATGACTAGTACCCAAGTATCTGCCGTAGTACGAGCGCTAAACCGTTGCAAACCGTTAACACGCGCCCGCTGGCCCGTAGCTGACTCCAAGCGTCCAGACACCGCCTTCCCACACTCCATCATGCGGTCCCCCAACCCGCGCCACCCCACACCAACTAGATAAGAGCATGGAGGAACCCCTTATCGTCCCCACCTGCATAATATTTTTGGGAACCGCCTTATCCACGCCGAGCTTCTGAACCGCGCTCTCAAACTTCTTGTGCAGCTGCGGCGTCCACACCAGCCGCGGCCGCTTGATGGCCCGCGTGGTGCCGTCGTCCAGGTCCTCATCGCAGAAGGACCCGGACTGCTGCGGCTTGGCGGAGGGAGCGGGGAAGGAGGGCGCCGCAGCCGGGCGGTAGGCGGCAGCCAGCGCGGCGTAGGGGTCTAGGGAGGAGCCGCCGTAGCCCGCGTGGAAAGCGGCGGCCGCTGCTCCGTAGGGACCTGTGCGAATTGATGGGAGAGGCATGGAGACAAGGCCGATGGCCCCGTGCCAGGTTAGGAGGTATGTGCCCGTTGAGGTCGTGGTGATTGGGTAGGAGTCGCAGCATGTCAGGTGGCGTTTGATGCTCAGGGCGGATTGGAAAGGGAGAATTGGAAAGGGAAAGCAAGCGTAGCCTGCGCACCTGCTCCTGGAACTTGGTGTTGGTAACCGTAAGCTCCTGCCGCAGCTGCCGCGGCAGCGGCGGCTGCCGCTGCAGGAGTTGTGTCGGAAGGTCGCGCGTAATACGCTGAATGGAGTTGACTGGCTGCATAGGGGCCGAGAGCAGCCGCATAACTCGTTGCGGCAGAACTGGCGCCGTATGAAGCTTGCTGTTGGGCGATGGCCGCGTAAAGGCTGTGCATAAGGGGGTGTTGTGGAGGTACGGAGCCCGCCGATGCGCTTAAGGAGGGCTGAGGCGCTTTTAGCGCGGATGAGTTCGTTGTGGTGGAAGTCGTTGCTGGCTCAAGTGGAGCGCCCCGTCCTGATGACGCCTCCGTAAGTGATGCCGATGCAACTGGTTGAGATAGAGCTGAAGATGTCGATGGCGCGGCTCTTGCAGCAGCGGCCAATGCGGCAGAGTGCGCATGAAAAGCACCTGCCGTTTGGGCGAGCAAGGCAGCAGCGGATTGCTGTTGCTGCTGCTGCTGTTGTTGTTGGCTAGCTGCCGCTAAGGCTTGTATGTAGCTTAGAGGTAGGCCCCCAAGTTGCGAATGTTGTTGGATTGCGGTGGCATAATGAGGACCTCCGTAGCCAAAAGCACCCATAAGAGCGGGATTCATCAGCGAGCCATATAAACTCTGAGAATATTGAGGTTGTAGCAAGGGTTGCGGAGGCGGAGGTGGAGCGACACCCCCAAGCGTGGGCAGGCCAAAAGCTTGAGCCACAAGTGGAGGAATGAGGGCCGACGTCAGCGGCACCAGCCCAGCCGCTGGGTCAAAACTTGCATCGTCCTTAATGCCATAAAAGCCCTGAAGGGCTTGGGCAGTATCGTATGCCATGGCAGGGCGCGGCGAGCGCCGACCCCACCAATACTATTCAAGACTTCACAAATTAACTAGAGAAAGTTAACTATCGGTCCGGTTTTGTCTGCTAGATTTGCGCAATGATATTGGGACGAAGTCCTATCCGGTCAGTATCGCTTCGGAATTTGGCTGATACGTACGACAAGCTTCGGGAAATGCTTGACACTTGAAGGCGGCAAAATAGGTGCTTATTGTAAGTAAAGGAGCACTAGGACGCTGTGCGTGTTTAGGAGGAAAGGAGGGCGATGTCGTCCAATTTCGCAATCTGGGGAGGATCCTGGTCATTAGCCCCAAATCTCATCCAGGTCAACAGAAAATGGTGCATCTGGAATGTTTTCTTACATTCTATCCTACACTTTATACGATTTGCGCATGTATTCTTGCGGCAGCCTAGAGCTCAAGCCTGCTGTCAGGGTTAAAATAATGCCACATGCTGACTGCCAAACAACCCGGTCCCGCCGGAAAGCAAGACACTTTGGCCACGGAGGCAAGAGACTACGTCAAAGGAACGAAACGTCATACGTGACCTAGCCGCTTTGCTCTGTCCTAAGGGTTATCTACCCTTGGTTGGTAGGGGAGTGGGCGTGACTGAGCCCCGCAAGTTGTTGCTGCCTTCCTAGTGAACCGTATTCAATACTTGTACCCGATACCCAAATCATGTCATGCTGCCGTTATGCTGACGACGCCTATGGCTCCCAACTACCTTCCTGTCTTGATTTCATTGACTCCTAGAGGCTAAGCTCACAAGATCACCACACAGAACCCAGCGGTCTCCACGCCCCACTGCGACCCAATTTGGCTGTTGAACGAGAAGCGCTATTTAAACGAAAAACCGCATTCCAGGTGTCCTGTGCCCTGACGGCAGCTTGGGTTGGGCAACCGACACCACGGAATGTACTCCACAGGTTTGCATGTTGGAGAGCCACACTCCCCAAACTCGGGGGTACGCAGGGGTATCAGGCGTCCCGTTTCTCGGGTACGGTATGTGCGGGGGTATCAGGGGGGGTGCATGTGTGTGTGTTTTGTTTTCTGTTTTTTTGTTTTGTTCCTGTGGAGGCAGGCTGTTGGTTGTGTTCAGCCTTAAGTGGTGGTGGTGTTGCCCCTCGCCTGTCCAGGTGGTCAGAGTGAGGTTTTGACCTATTAGGCAGGTCACCCGTCCTTGTCCTGTCTGGTGTGTTGTCTGTTGCAGTTCCGTTCTCCTCTGTCAGGTGGGCTTGTAGGTGGTTTTTTTTCAGGGGTGCTTCCCTGGTTTCCAGTGGTTTTTTCCTCCGCTGGTTTGGTGGTCTTCCTGTCCTTCCTCTGTAACAGTCCATATCGAAAAAAAAGTCGCGCATGGCCTCCTTAGGTTCCACGTAGGTTGCCAAGATGCCAACATAGAATGGTCTGGTATTGTAATGGGCGGACTGGGCAATAACATGTTTCACCCGGCCGTTCCTGGCGAATTCCCAAAGCAGCCTGTACTAACTAGGTGCTACACGATAGGGCTGGCCAAGCCGGCTATTGCGGTGCAGCGGTGATGGCGCTATGCATAACGATACTCAATGCTCAGTACATGCTTAATAGGCTTTGTGGAACTCTGCGGCGATTACATGGTTGTAATCCCACCATGCGGTAAAGCATCATGGAGGCCACGAAAAAAGCCGACCAGGCGCAATCCGAAGGCAAAGACTGCGGCACAAGATCTGTCGCTCCAGGGAAGCAACAACGAACAGATACACGAACGCGGCAACTCAACCACTGGTATCACTCAACCGCTGGTATAAAAAGAAACATAAAGATAACTGCAAGTGCCTACGAGTTGGACATGCTTGGGCGATGCAAGCAACCAACCGACCTGCTCTGAAACCACGGACCATGATTTCGCATACGCATGGTTAGGACACGACAGCTGTCAAGCCCAGGACTGAAATGAGCAAAACAATGGCATGGGGTATGACACTCCCCCCCACGCCCGAGGGAAGAAGTCACAAGGGCGGAACACAAAAAAGGAGTACCCCAGATCACACTGATGACCGGCAAGGTCAAACAGGCAACGGCATGAGAGTACGGTCAACGGAACATTAACGTAGGTACGAGCAAGCAATACGCTATCCGCTAGTACGGCAGAAACTGAGCACGCACCGACCCGTGGGCCAGCAGGCAAGCACTAGCCATGGCAACACCAATCCGGCAAGGGAAAGGCACGCGGCTACAAACCAAGAACACAGACCAGCTGATGCACAACTAAGCAGACATGGCAAGATGCTCTGTCCTAAGTGCAGATCCCCTCATCACCACATCCTAGACTGTAACTGCAAACTGACTTCTCCTCGCGCCAGTCAGGAGAAGCAAGCACGCTGACCAACGTCAATCCTATCCTGAACAAACATGACGGCCACGCGGCGCGGCGTGCCTTTTCCGACCTCAAGCGACCTACAACCAATCTACCCTGAACGACTCAAGACCACGCGGCTTGGCATGGCTTTCAGCATACACTAGTCACAAAGAAGCCCCTACAGGCAAGCATACAAGCACCATGAACAGGTCACTGCTGCGGCAAGGCAGTCTGTGAGCAGCTGTATGGCATGAACATTCACCGTCGGTGACGGCCCAGCAAGGCTTAATGTACAAGGCAGCAGCCCTCCTGTCCTACATGTAAGCGCAGTACGCCCCCCCAGACGGAGAGCATGAACTGAGGTATGTACGCAACCCCTCTCGCACGACACTATAACCAGCACACAGTCCGCAGCTAGTACCCCAAAGCGCCAGTACCAACATCCTAACGACTGCATCTACGACAAACCAGGGTTCAGAAGGCCTCGGAGGTCGTGGTGTCTCAATCGCCAAGCAGCTCCATCGACAGAACCGTAATGCCCAGGCAGGCCACCGCCACAAGAGCAGCACCCGCAATGCTGCGCCAAAGTGCAACGGTGTGACCGGCTGGTGGGTAAAACCGTGGTGCACTCGACGACCGTACAGCATAGAGGTCGTGGCTATGGCGGCTTGCGGGTTGGCCAGGACCCTTGGGTGCTGCAGGACTGAACGCTGCCGGTTGTAGAAGATGTAGAATCAGGCAATGATCAACGACGGGCTGGGCTTCGAACGAAGCTGGCTGTGCGGACGGGCTGATTGGAACTCGGATTGGGACAAGGAAGGGGACTGCAGAGGAGAAGGCAGCGCTGGGACACCAAGAGATGCCAAGAAGCCAGGACGCCCCCAACCTGCCGGGCTGCCTAATCGGCTGCGCTGTATGCAGACGCGACCAGGCATGTAGACGCGTCAACTCAGCAATAAAGCACATGGCGCCCAGGAAGAGCAGGGCTGCCAAGCGCCCCCCCCAGATAGCCGCCATGAAGCTGGAACAAGTGAAACAGTCAACACAGTCGGCGAAGGACCATATTGCAGCTCCAACTGAAGTAAACCCAATCAATGCACCCATGGCAGGCAAGCCGAAGCGTCCCGACAAAGCTTGTCGCTGACGATGTCGCTCGCCATCCCAGCAAGAAGCCGCACAGGACGAGAGCGGGGCTTTTCGTGGCAATACGGGCTTACCACTCGACAACCCGATGCGAAGGTTGAGGAGTGGCCGGTGCTGGCATGAGCACCAGGGATTAGTCGGCTGCCTGAGAATGAGGACTTATGCCGACGCGGAATGTGGCCAGATGACACTCCGCACCAGGTTGTGGTAGCCAAAGGCGCCGCCCGGTAACCCCTATAAACGCTGGCGATTCCATAAGCGATACGACGCGCCGCGACGTCGCAGAGGCCCGGCTAGGCAGGCGGCTGTGACCATGCTTTCCCGAATGCCGGCGCTGAAACGGCTACTAGATAGCAGGCTGGTGTACTAACTAGGTGCTACACGATAGGGCTGGCCAAGCCGGCTATTGCGGTGCAGCGGTGATGGCGCTATGCATAACGATACTCAATGCTCAGTACATGCTTAATAGGCTTTGTGGAACTCTGCGGCGATTACATGGTTGTAATCAAGCGTGCCACGCTATCGTGAAAACCGCAACTTATGCATCCGGGTCATGTAAGGCTTCTCGTTGTGAGGAACACATGCTCCGTTCGTTTCCCTGGGCTGTACATTGCCAGCGTGAGTGTCGTCCGCGGTGACAAGTACGACGCCTTCTTTTCAGGCCCCATGCCATCCCGCATGTCCCGTCTCGGCGTCTCCCATGCCGCTAGCCGCAACCAACCGCAGGCGCAAGGCTACTCGCCTGTAACGACACGTCAATGTCCAACACGTATCCAAATCACAGCATCGTGGCAAGGCCTCCTGTACTGAACCAGCGTAAGATGTCACAATTGTATACGGCATCTGCTGCTGCCGCCACCATACCCCTCCACCCATCCTAGCCCACATCTGGCCTGGCGAACCTCCGTGCCCCGCACCTCAGTCCCTGCCACCTTCCCTCCTCGCCCCTGGAGTCCTCGTCTTATCTGCATTTCACATGACCGAAGGCATCCCGAACCGAGCTGCGCCACATAGGACCCGACCGACCGTCCACCCCCGTCCAGCACCTGTAATCAGGAACTACCACGCGCCTTACTGTAACGACTGCTCCGCCCGTCACACGCAACCAACCACAACCTTCTCCCAACCCACGGCATCACGACAGGCCTGGGGGAGCTGATGACATGCCTCCCATGCCGAAGCCGGGCGCAGGTGCGAAGGAAGGTAGAGGCGGTGGTGGTGGAGGCGGCAGCGGCAGCTGCTGCTGCAACGGCCCCAGCAGCGGCGGTGGTGGGGGCAGCTGCTGGTGCTGCTGCAACATCGGCATTCCCAGCATGCCAACTCCCATTCCCATTCCCATTCCCATCCCCATCCCCAACACATGCAGGGGTGGTTGCTGCTGCTGCTGCAGCGGCGGCGGCGGTGGCGGCGGCGGAAGTGAAACCGGCGGCGGTGGAAGTGAAATCGGCGGCGGTGGCTGTTGCTGCTGCTGCTGTGACAGCTGCTGGTGTTGTTGTTGTTGTTGTTGTTGTTGGCCGTCATGCTGCTGTTGCGGTGGTTGCTGTGACGGCTGCTGCTGCTGCTGCTCCTGTGGTGGCTGTTGCCCCATCTTCTGGACATACTGCTCGACCAACTTGCTGATCTTCTCGCGCCGCTTCGCGCCCAGCAGGTCTCGTTTGCCATCTCCGCTGCCGGCGCCGGCTGCTGCCGACGACCCCGACAGCGTCTCAAACACCTTGCGCGTGGCCTTATCCAGGATGAGGCGGTAGCTGGCCGTGGTAATCTTGCCCGCCTTGTGGTGGCGCTGGGGAGGGGAAAGGAGGAGAGGAAAGGCGGAGAACGTCAAGGAAGGAATTTTAGAAATATGGAGGACCGAAAGCGTGTAAGGCAGCCGAGGTGCCCCTGGACCCCTTGGCCTTCACCACACGGGGTGGCTTTCACCACACCTTCCTTAGCAACATGGATTACATGGTAAACCGGCAACATACCCTTTCCATCCCCCCTGCCCTCCTACCTTGAGCAGCTGCTTGGTGCACTCCACCACCTCCGACTTCAGGGCCTCCATGCTGGCCGCGGCAGCTGCAGCTGCGGAGCCGCCTGGGGGGGTGGGGTGGGGGTGTGAAGGAGGAGACATTGCACGAGCGGTGGTGAAGAGGGGGAAAACAAACCATGTGCCAAGGGGCCTCACGTGGTGGTGGTGGTGGTGTGTGGAGAGTCGTGGGAAGCAGCAGCAGCAGCAGCAGCCGGGCCTTCCGCCACATGGTCGAGCTAGCTGTCGGAAACAAGGATCCCGCAAACCGGTACCAGCGCGTATACTGAAAGATAAGCTCGGGTTTCGGGGCTTTGCTGTCGAACAGGGGCACGACTCCCAACCACTCCGAACACATTCGCGCTTATAATGGTTGTACGGCACCCACGTACGACAAACCCACCCTTGACGGGTACCCACCCTTGTGGTGCTTGCCGCTGCCGCCCCCGCCTTCCTTGTGATGCTTGCTGCCACTGCCGCTGCCCCCGTTGTTGCCTGCCCCACCGCTGCCTCCTCGCTCGATGCGTTTGTAGTCCTCGAATGTGGCGATCTCGGGGAGCGCTGCGGGCCGCACTCCAGGAGCGGCTTGAGCCTCCTGGAGAAAGGAAAAGGCGGCCAAGGGAAAGGGAAGAAACCGTTGGAATTGAAAACACGCTTAATAGACGAATCCAGGGATTGCTACGTGGGGAATGCTCCCGCAATCCTTTCCCGTGAAGTACAACAAGGCCCTCTCACTCCATACGATGCCGCATTACATCACGTTGACAGCATTAAGCAACTCTAGCCAACCACCAAACAAAGCCAACCCAAACCCACGCCAACCGCCATCCCACCTGTAGCACCTCCGCTCGTCGCTGTGCCGCAAGCGCTGCCTCCTGTCGTGCCGCCTCCGCTGCCGCCCGTGCCGCCTGCAGCCGCGCCTCGATCTCCGGGTCCAGATGCACACCCGCTGCTGCTTCGGAACCCGGAGGCGCCGAGAGGTCTGCATGGAACGCCATGCATGGGACGCCAGGACACAGCGAGGAAGGAGCAGGAAGGAAGGGAGTAAGAGGAAGAGGAAGGAGCAAAGCACGTCCATGTACCTAACACCATGCAGGGAACCCAGGCCCCACTGCCGGCGCAACCTGCCCAACCCTGCTCAACCTCCACCACCACCGCCTCAACAACAAACCCCGCTCAGCGCCAACCCGTTGACAACATGTGACAATCCGCAACAACGGTAGGTACAGGAACACCGCTCACCGCTGCCAGTCCCACTGGCTTGCTGTTGAGGCTGCGAGGCGGGTGGTCGGGAAGGAGGGGCGGGTCGGCTGCCTAGGGACGCAGCGGGCTGCTGCTGGGATGCAGTGGCAGCCGCCGCCGCAGCCGCCGCCGCAGCAGCCGCCTGTGAGGGAGGCGGCGTGGTGCGGAGGGAAACCAGGCTACGGGGGTTGAAGAGAGGTGGCCGGGGCAGCCCGCCGGGGCCTAAAGCCGAGGCTGCTGTCGCGGAGGAGGGTGCGGCTGCTGCGCCGGGGCCCGCATGCGGGGCCGCCTTGTTGTCTGTCGTGGGAGGCGGCAGGCGGCCGTGGGTGGGTGCCCCGGTGGCTGAGGCTGCTGCGGGCCGGTACGCAGAGGGCCATAAGCGCATGCCGCATGGGGGGAAGGGTATAAGGACACATCAAGGTTAGATTCAGGTATAAGGACATCGGTGTAATGCGTGGCGATGGCGATTGAGCATCGATTGAGCACTTGATGGAAGTATGGGTGGTAACTGGTGAGTGACCAACGGTGTCAGGACTTGTAAAGCAAACGTTGTCGGTGGAGGTGTAACATTCCACTGACAGGCGGACACGCCAGATCGACGGGCGCGCGTGCATCAGCCCCTCACAGCAGTGGTGTCTCGAACAGAACACATCTAATCAAACCAAAGGCATGTACACCGCTATACGATCGGGCATACAACGCAGCACGGCACCCACCACATCGCAGTAACGCACACGGAACGCACCTCTCCGCTCCCACAAGGTCATCAGCTGTGTCGCCACGCGCCGTACATCCTTCCCACGATGCGCCACACAGCGCTCCCGTACCGCCGTCAGGAGCTGTCGTACGGGGTTCACCACCACGACAGCCGCAGCACCGCCACCTCCACCCCCACCGCCGCTGCCGTCAACAGCACCGCCCTCTGCAACAGTAGCCTCGTCTTCTCCCCCAGCGGCGGCGGCGGCGGCGGCGGCGGCTTGTTGCGGCTGCTGGGGGGCCAGCGCTGCGACCAGGGCATCTGCTGAGAAGGGCAGCCTCTCCAGCAGCTTCAGCTCTGAGAGCACAAGGTGCTCTGCGGAGGACTCCGCACAGAAATCCTGCGGGTGGGCGCAAGGTTGGGGAATGGAGGTGGTTTTGCCAAGGCAGAGGTTTCGCCAACACGAACAGAACCGCCGCATCACGAACAGTCGCATGTCAGCCATGTCAATGTAAAAGATGTATGGTCAACGCCTCAACACCCTATTGGCCAGATGCGCCTTTTGTTAGGAAACTTACCACCAGCCAGCCGTGTAGATAGGTGAGCGCCTGGCTGTCGTGCGACAGCAGCTGGAGCACCGGCTGGCTGCAACCCTGCAACATGACAAAGGGTGCGGCAAGGAGGATGGCTGATTTTGGCTGCAGGGCCGGTGTGCCCTGTTTGGGATCGCCATCATCTGGCGGCTCACCGTCCACAACACCGGCCACCAACACTCTACGATCCCAACTGCTTGCTGTTCTACTCAACTACACACACTCTACGATCCCAGGCCGCGCTTCAACCATGCGGCCCATCACCCCCACCCATTGCTTTGCTTTAACTTAATAACTTATAATGTCCCATCGTTTGGTATGGACCGTACGGTCCTCGCCCCTCCGGACCCACCACCACACCATCAACACGCACCTGCAGCGCCTGCAACATGATCTGCTTGGCGTCCAGGCCCGCACAGCTGGACATCTGCTCCCGCAGCGGACCCAGGTTGCCTGGGTAGGTGTGTGAGATACGAGGGCATACAACCCGTTGGGTACCGTACCATGAGGGTATACGAGCCGTACATGGCACACATGCAGCACACGGAATGATGGTGGCACGCAGTACAAAGCAAGAGCAAGGAGCTCTCGACAGGGGACGTGCGGGGGCGCGGCTTTGGCGGGGCGAGGGAGGAGGCATACCACCCCGTGGCTACTGGTGGTGTTCATGCCCCCCCAACGGGCCTTACTACTGGCAATGTGACTCTTAAGCGGCGTTAAGTGACATGCTTGGGTGCGATCCTGAGTGTCACGCCAAGACATGCCGTACAGGTTGCCGTAATACAGTTTGTGCGCCGTACAGTTGCCGTACCGTTTCCAGCCGCCATCATGGCCTTGTAGACCACCTTGAGGTCCTTCCGCTCCGCCTGCGCCTTAGCAGCCGCCTGCAGCCGCCGCTGCCTGCGACGGGGTTTCGGAACTGGAATGTAAGGAAAGGCAGTGCATAGATGGCCGTCTCCGCACTTTTGTGTTCAAGTCATAGTCAGCGTCTCTTGTGCTCCCTCTGCACCCCTCACACCACCCTCGACCACCACCTCCTAATTTCCCCTTCCCCACGATCCCAACCTACTTTTCAAGCGCGGCAATCTGCGCAGCGTCCTCCTTGCGCTCCTTTTCACGCTCGCTGCCCCTTGCACGCCCGCCCCTGTTCTGCCGCTTGCCACCTCCCTCCTCAGCAGCACCGCCGTCCTCCTCCTCCTCTTCCTCCTCACTGCTCTCAGCAGCGCCCTCCTCACCGTCCTCGCTTCCCTCCGCGGCCCCGCGCTTGCGCTTCTGCTGCTGTGACGTCTTCTTGTCGCCCTTGCTCTCCTTCTTCTTGGCCTTCTCTCCTTTCTGCTTCTCAGCCCCCTCGGCCTTTTTGCCGCCCTCTGCTTTCCGCTGCCCACCTGCTGCTACGGTCGCGGCGGCGCCCTTCTTCCCCTTCTTCTTTACCTCTTCCTCCTCTTCTTCCGAAGCGCTGCCACTCTCCTCCTCCTCCTCTTCCTCCTCCTCGTCTTCACTCTCCTCATCCTCCTCCTCCTCGTCCATCACCGTTTTCCGCTTGCCTCCTCGGCCATCGCCCGCCTTGCCACTCTGCCCCGCTTTGCCCTTGGCTCCGCCCGCCGCCCCTGCCCCTGCTGCTCCTGCACCTTTGGCAGGCTTGGCGGCCTTGGCAGCGGCGGCAGCCTCCTTCTTCTTGCTGGGCTCCTCCCCCTTCTCCTCCTCCTCATCTGAATCCAAGGGCAAGGACGAGCCCACCTTCACACGCCCCTTAGTCTTCGGCTTTGCCTCCTTGTCCCCTGCAGCTTTGTTGCTGCCACCGCCGGCGCCGCTGGCGCCCTTGGCTTCCTTAGCCTCCTTAGCCGCCGCCGCAGCGGCGGTAGCAGCGGCGGCAGCAGCGGCTTCGAGATCAGCCAGTGACGACTCATCCCCAACCTCCAGCGCACTTCTGCTGCCGTTGCTCCCCTTGGCACCCTTGTTGCTGCCGCCGGCAGCCGCCTTGGTAGCCGCGGCAGCGGCGGCGCTGCCGCTGCCGCTGATGGCGCCCGCGTTTTGCAGCGCCTTGAGCGTCCGGGCTGCCTCCCGAAGGCCGCTGCCGAGCAGTGCGGAAAGCAGTCCGGCGTTTCGGAGCTGTTCGGGGGCGGTGTGCTCGCCTGGAGGGGGCGGAGGTGGGAGTGTATGGGTCAAGGGGATAGTAGTGCGACAGGAAGGGGGCCGGGGGGGCGGGGGCGAAAGGAGGGCAGCTCAGGGTGGCGGGAACGCAGAAGCACATGCTGGGATGCATGCCGGACGCCGCCCCTTTTGACACACTGCTCATCGTTGACGGACCTTACTACGGTACTTGGTACTTACCCGCGAAAAAGATGCGGCCCTTATGCGGAACCGCAAGCAGCTGCATGTCCCGTGGGTCACCTCCCGGCCCCAGATGCGCGCAAGCTCCGACGGCGCCTCCTGCTCCCCAACGAGCCACGCCTAGGGAGGCCGGATGGTCCGGGAGGGAGGCTGCAGCGGCTGATGCTGAAGCTGAGGGTTCGTTAGCGGCTTCGCTAGACCCGTTGGCTGCTGTTGCAGCGGCAGCGGCGCTGATAGCGGCCTTGAGGGCGCTCATTGCTTGCCGCCCTAGCTCGGCGTCTGATAACGGCCACGCCTGCATGTAGTGAGGTTTGCCATGGTTAAACAAGGCTGGTAAGCCCAGCATGTGGTGAAATGATCATTATTAGCGTCAGCAGCTGCTCCTCCATTCATCCAACTGACCGAGTACCCCAGGATCCCTACAATACGGTGCATACGATACGCGAAAGGAACTAACCTGATGCACCGCCGAAGCCGACACGTGAGCAACCACCATTGCCGTACCACTGCTGCTGCCGCCACCCATATCCTCGCTGCCAGCATCCTTCCCAGAGCGTTTCGTAAGCGGGCAGAACGCAAAACCCAAACCGGAAGGCCCTCCGTCAGCTGTTGCTGGGGCTGCTGCCGCTGCATTCAGACCTCCGACATAGAATGGCCGCAGTGCTTGCCCTTTCCCAGCTTCCCCACTGCCGCCACAAGCCAAGGCTAAGAGGTCGAGGGGGCCGCTGCTGACGGCTGCTGCATCAGGAGTTGCAGCGGCGGTAGGGAGGCCCATGTACAACAGTACGGCAGAGCCGCCGCTAACACGGGCGGCTGCTGCCGTACGGTACGACGGCAGCGCTGGATCCAGGGAGATGGATCCAGATTGCAGTACGGCGTGAGGCACTGCGAGTACTGCCGCTGCTGCCTTAATAACGCCAGCTGTGGGAGTGCGTCAAGCGGGGTAGCAAGGCAACGTGTCAGGGGAGCGATCCTAGCGCTTCTAGGATAAACTTCATTAAGAACACCTCTTGACCCCTACCAGACACCGGTGAAGCACGCCTAGGCCAGGTCCAGCTACGGGTCCGGAAAGCAAGGCCGCACCCATGATCTTTGACGTGGAATGTGGAAGCCTGCCATGCGCCCCAATGCGCCGTACATACCTGTCTTGGTGGTCACGGACACGCCGCTGGGAGTCACCGCCACCGCCGTCACCTCCACGCCCGTGCGCACCGCCTCAAGCCCCGCAGCAAGCGACTCCGCCAGCTTCAACGCGTCAGCTGGGGACAGCTCCGCACACTGCGCATTGATGCTGCTGCCGTCTGCTGCCGAAACAGCACCGCTGCCCTCTGCTACTGCTGCTCTTGTCCTTTCGGTTGATGACAGCTTCTCTTGCTGAGAAGGTGCTGGTGGGGGTGGGGGTGGCAGTAGCAGCAGCGGCTGCTGAGGGTTGTTTAGGCCAGCCGATAGCCGAGGCAATAGCTGCAGCTGTTGCACGCCAGTGGCGGCAAGAGGCGCTGCTGCGGGTCCCAGCTGGAGCTCCAGGAGAGGAAACAGGTGGTTTCGGAGCACGTGGAGAACCTCCTGTGTACGGCACCATGTTCCAACACGCATGGGGCGTAAAGATACGGTCAGGGGACTAGGAAGGGTATGCACCAGGACTACGCGTTTAAAGCCAACGGGTACTTACTAGCCACTACCCATTACCAAGTTATGACGCCCGTACATGATGCCGCGCAGTGTTCTACTTCCCTTCCTCCCAACGTCCCAAGCAGGCTGCATCTTCTCCCACTCACCGGCCGAATCTGCCTCCCAGTGGGCTCTGCCGCTGCCTCGTCCTTGACCTCCGCCGGCTTTTCCCTCTCCTCCGGCACCGTCTCCGTCACCTCACGCGTGGCCACCTCCATGGCATCAACATCACCGCCGTCGGGGACTGCCTCCTTCACCGCCTCAGCCCCAGCACCGCCCTCCTCCTTCTTGGCCACTGTATCTGCTGCTGCTGCCGACGGCTGCTGCTCGTCCTGTCCGTCCGCCACCTTCTTCTGTCCTCCAGCCTCCCCGCCTGAGGAGGCATCTGTCATGGGCTCGTCGCCCCCCTTAGGTGCGCCCTCCTTCCCTTCTTGCTGCTGCTGCTGCTGCGGTTGCTGCTCTTCCTCTGTAGCGCCCTCGGGGCTATTGCGGCTGCGCTTAGACGGCGGAGCACCCTCGGCAGATGCGGCTGCTGCGTCCTGTGTGCGCGACGGGGCGTAAAGGGGAGACAGCAGGTGACAGGAGCAACCGTAGACGCTATTGCTGCATGACATCAGGGTCACAGCAGCCAAGCAAAACAAACAAACCACAACAACCGCAAACCCCCATTGAGTCCAGAGAGTATACACGGCCACATGCCACGTGCCGCAATTCACCACCACACTTCCTGAAAACCCTCGTTCCCCTTACCCCACTAAACCACCTACCGCTGCTTCTAATGTTGATGCTTCAGCCGCTGCCGCGGGCCGCTTCTTCGACTCTGATGCTGACACCTCTCCACCGCCAAGAGCAGCACCACCGCCATTGGTAGTTGCAGCTGCTCCCTTGCCGCTGGATGACCCAGCCGGCCCTCCCAGCAGCCGCGCTAATGCAGCCTCCAGCTCCGCCGCTAAGGACCCGTGCGCACTCCCAGGCTGCTGCTGCTGTGGTGGGACGCTGCCAGCCGCGTCCTTTGATTGCTCGTCCAGACGACGCCGTACATCCTCTAGAAGCTCGTACAGAAGCCTGTGGTATAAGCAGTTGGCCAGGTATTGGTGGTTTATGGGTAAGCGGTGGCTTATGGGTAAGCATCACGGGGGCATGCTTCTCGCCCCCTAAGGCAGTGCAGGTTCCTCTCCCTTTCTCCACACCCTGCATGCGACACGCGTACCCTGTCTCATTGCCCGAAACCGCCAAGCGTATGCTTGCAACACCCACATAGTGGTGGACCTCTCCCTGAGCAGGGATGAACACCGTGCCGCCCATGTCTCCATCCATACCTCCACATACCGGTGCCTGCTCCCCCATGACACCCACAAATTCCCCTTGCTCCGTTTCCCCGTACGGTATTACCCAGCATCACTCACCCCTCAGCCTCCACCTGAACGTCCTCCGGAACTATCCGCGCCCCTGCACCCTCCACACTGGCAGCAGCAGCATCGTCTCCCGACGCTCCCGCCTTTTCAGCTTCCCTCCCGGGAAGCCAGTCGTACAACCGAGGCCTACTGTTGCTGTTGCTGCTGCCCACTGGAAGCGTCGCCGGTTGGATGCCCAGCTGTCGGCAGAGGGTGTTAAGTGCCGAGGCACCAGAAGGCCACCTGCATGCTTCGCCGCCTTCTGCTTCTCCTTCTGCTATAACAGGGAAGGACAAGGAGGCTAGTCCACAGCAGCTGCTGCTAGCCGCAAGGGCAGCGACGGGGGCTGCGGAGCTGCTGCTGCTTGCGGCTGCGGAGGCAGCAGCAGCAGCAGCGGAAGAGAGCTCCGCTAGGCGGCCGCCCACTCGATCCCGTGCCTCGAGGACCGTCACTTGGACACCGTTGCGCTGTGGGGTTGTGTTGGGAGGAGGGGAAGGGGTTGAGGGCGGAAGAGGGGCAGTGGTCTAGAGGACACGGTTTCAGGCAGGCGGGCTGCAGTGTATACAATGGGAGAACGCAAAAGAAGAGCTGAGCGGGGCTACTTGCAACGGTCTCGGTGTGGCAGTGTGTACCGTCCTATCCCCCGAAACCAAGCCAAGGCCGGGCCGGAACCTACCTGCAGCACATTCGCAGCTGCCAGGCCGGCCAAGCCTGCACCCACGACCACTACATGCGGCCGCTGTGGCTGCTGCTTCTCCTTTCCTGCAGCCTGCTGCTGTGGTTGCTTCTGATCCGCCTTGCCCTTGCTCTTCTTCTCCTTCTTCGCATCCTCCTCACCATCACCGCTGCCGCCCTCGTCCCCATCATCGTCACTGAGCGGTAGCGGCTCCAGGGTTTCCCGCTCGTCCAAATGGTTTACCACGTGCATCACGTGTTTACGGATGAGGGCCTTGTACGGCGCCATGTCGCAACCCAGATCGGCCTCCAGCTGCGCCCGGATCTTCTTTTCCGTCATGACCTAAACACATGCCGGAGCGACATGCAGTACCCATGCTTGCTATCATGGCCATGATGGTAGCGTGATACCCACCATGGTAGCGTTATGACCCTGGTGGATACTTGAAAGCATATGATTTGTGCTATGCGTGGTCTGCATTCGTGATCGGTCGCCGCGCACCGAGGGAGGAGACCAGCAGACCACTAGGGAGGTATAAGCGTGCGATTAAGCATCATGGGTTGCGCTTTTGTGAGGACATGGGCGTCGCATGTTTGAGCAGCAGACGGAAACGGAGACATGGATGGAAAGTTGTCGAGTACATACCGAGAAGTCTGCTGCACGGAGGATTTTGTACAGCATCTCCACGATGGCGGCTTTGCTCGGCTTCTTCGGTTCCCCATCCTCTTCCTTCTGCTTGTCCTTATTATCCTCTGCTGCTGCCTCCGCCGCCGCTGTGGCCTTTGCCTCAGGCTCTGCAAGCAGCAAACACATTGCTGAAGTCAACCCGTAGGTGCATGGCCTCCTGACACACGGCCCCCTTGCAGGGGCGTGCACGGCACCGCACGATCCGTTGAGCAGCAAGCTACGATAGCCATCGGGCTTTCCACCCCACCTGGCACTGACTGTGCCACAACACCAAAGTTGATGAGTCCGTGCTCTTGGAGGAAGTTGAAAGCGTCTGGGAGGATCGATGAAAGCTGCTCGGGCCAGCCATCTGAACGTGGGAAGGAACAAGGTCGTCACAAGGGGAAGGCAGGCTTGCGGGAGCTACCCGAAGGTTACAGAGCGGGGGGGAGCCAGCCCTGTTCCGCATGGAGCGGCAAACCTCTATGTAAATTGTATCTGACCTTTCAGCGTTTCGGTGCTGAGCAGTACATTGCAGTCCGCTCTCCACTTCTCAAGAATCCTCGACCTGACAGTGGTTGGGTCAAAGGTTCATAAAGTGCCCAGTGGATACTCTTTTCACTGCTAACCCTCACTTTGCTTCTTTGTAATCGCCGAGCCTTCGCTGGAAGACGCGAAGCTCCTCCGCGGTGGCCATTGTTACTCAAAACGGGACTGTAAAGTCTGATACTATTGGCACATCTCTTCTAGATTAGTGCAAAGGATAATGAAGCAATTCGCAAAGACCAAGTTAAGAGCGATCAACGTATGTGCATCCCTGGCACGGAAACGCAAACACGACGGCAATCAGATCGTAGCGTCTGGATCAGCAACTCTTCCATAAAGCCTAGGGCTGGAGGTATCATACTCAGAAGCCTACCCAGAGCGTTGCTTGAGCAGTAGTGTACGGTGCTAGGGCTAGTCCATCGTACTATCAGTACAGTGGATCGCACTGGCCGGATTTGTCCATGTGGCATAACCTGCTATCTGTTAAAAACGTGTCCCCGCCTTTTGTCTTACGGCATGTGCCTCTGGCCATGGTGTCCTTGCACATACTGAAACTCCCAGTCACTCTCAGTACCCATCCTTAATCGTGCACTCTGCCCCTTGCGCGCACGGCTTGCTGTCTTACGAACCGCAACACTGTTGTCATGATATAAACATTCAAACCCTCTTGCCTCGAATCAGGAAATGGATAAGCTGCTCACGGTGATTGGGAGGTGCACGAGTGTAAACGCACCCCCTTACCACTTGCCATCCTAGCATGAAGTGTCCGCTCACGTGCAATGATAGCCCAGAGCGCAAGCGTCACGTACACGGGTCACGACCAAGATTGCCCCTTAATGACGATCTTGCACATGCGCATGGCACGGGGCGATTACGATTACGAACGAATTGGAAAGTCTCACGGCCTACTGACACTTCGCACAGAAGGAACGTAGTCGCCGTTATTTAAAGTTGCCGCCGCTATTCGGTTCACACATCAAACAACACCAGCACATAACCCCGCATTGACAAACTGCATGCCATGCGCCAACCACGTCAAGTCATGCGGATACAGTTTGGCCCGCAACGTCATACCTGTCATTGCCGTACAGATCACACTCACCCCGTACAGTCCCTGTCAATCTAGACATCAGGCAAGAATCAGCACCCTACGCCGCATCCATACATGCCACACATGCAGGCTATGGCATTGCACGTGCAAAAGTCACCCAACAACGTGTCCGTTGCCTTCTTACTCACGAGTTTTCCAGTCCCCCAAGCTCAGGAGAAGCAGGTCGCGCCCATGCACCGCCCCCATCCTTGAGTGGACCACGCCCCACTCGCGAGCGCGGTGGCAGCGGCGCCACTCCTCCTCCTCCGCTGCTGCTGCCACCGCCTCCGCTCCCACCCACTCCGTCCACTCCACTCTCACGAACCGCTAGAAACGATGCCGCCGCTGGATCCTCCTGCATCTGAGCCGTACCCTTGGACAGCGTCATAACTTGCCCTTGTGCTGACGGAGCCGCCCGGCTAGCGGCGGCTGGCGGCTGGGAGCCGTCTCCGCCCCCCCGGTCGTGCCGCCAGCCATCCGGCAACTCCGGGAAGTGGAGTCCCATGGACGGAGACACCACAGATGGCGACCTGGAGCTGCCAGACATGGAGGGGCGCAGCTCCTGTGGGTGGTGTGAGGGCCGCCGCCAACCCACAACCCCAGCAGCGAGTGCCTCGCCGCTCTCAGAACCCGCCGCGGAGGCAGCAGGCGGAGCAGGCCCCATGCCCATGACTAAGCTAACGTCTGATGGCAGGTGCTGATGGCGAGTAGGGTAATGCTGCGGCCCACCAAGAGGAGGCGGTGGCGGTATGCCGGCTCCTTCACCGCTCAGGCTGCGGTCTTCGTCACCACCGCCGCCAACACCCGGGGGCCCCGGCAGGAAAGGCGACGGCGGGGAGGCCGAGGGAGGGCCGCCCCACGAGGACGCTGAGGAGCAGCGAGGAGGACGCTCCCCGCCAGTTGTCTGTTTGGCGTCAGACAGCCCTCCGGCGATCTCGTTGGAGCTCTGCCAGGGCCGAATCATGAGCCCTGCGGTCCCGGAGCGGGTCGCTCCCAGGTCGGGTGGCAGGGATGCCGCAACGGCAGCGGCATCGCTAGCAAACCTGCGGACACCCGAGAGGGACTGCTGCTCGGAAAACTCCATTTCCTCCAATACCTCCATGGGCGGGTCCAAGGAGGGAACGGGAGATAGGTGGGTGAGGGGCAGCATGGCAGGCGGCACTGAGCCCATGGAGGGTAGGTAAAACTCCGGAACCGGCATGGGTTGCAGATGGCCGCCCGCGGATCTCTGCGTGATTGAGGGTCGCCGGCGCAACGGCGTAACTGCGACGTCTGTCTCACAGGAGTCTTCTTCTTGCAGGGGTGCCAGCTGCGCAGGAGGCGTCTGGTGAAGCCAGGGAACCGGGAGAGAAGCCTCTTGCCCCTGCGAGGACAGGGGTAGGGCAGGAAGCACGGCACCGTGTCAGGGGCGACGACTTTCCCGTGCCTTGCTCACTTACCAAAGGTATAACAGAGCACATGGCCAACAAACGCCATCATCACCGCCCATCCCCACATACCTGCTGCTGATCAGAAGGATCCCCACCCAACGCCGCAAGCACAAGCGCCTGCGTAGGGCCCACCACCGCAGCCTTCTTCGCTGCACTCGAGGCTGCTACCAGTGCTGGCGCATGCGCAGGAGGGATGGGTGGCAGCCCCGCCCGTGATGCTGGCGCGGGCGCGGGCGCGCTGCTCGCAAACACACCCCTGTTTGCGCCCACATGCGGGGTACCAGCACGGGCGGAGGAGGGGACGGCGGTCACGTGGTCAAACACGATGCCAGTCAGGGCTCGTTGGTTGACTCCCGGTCTCCGCTGGGAGAGCAAGTCCACAGGGAGTTGTCGGAGGCTGGCAGGGTAGCGGTCGTCTCCGTCCAAGCCGTTGGCACCGTCCTTGCCGCCGCCGGCAACATCGGCCCCGTCGGGTGCATCGGAGCGCCTCATTGTACCCTGCGACAGCGACCAGCGACACCGGTACGGGGAGGGGAGAAGCAACGGTCGACGTGAAGGATACCGGTAAGGACGTCTGCTACGACACCCATAGGGCCCATTCCCATAAAGCCGCACTTAATGGCATCGCCCCATGTTGTTCCGTGCCCTTGTTGTGTCCTTTGGAAACAGCAGCGTCTCCGCTCCTCCTTGATATGCGCACTCATGGGTTCCTAACAACAACTTGCCTTGAGCATGTGTCGCGACAGGGAGCCGTCCGTCACCGACACCGCTGGAGAGGATGCCACGGACGGAGGCATCTTGCTCCACACGATTCCCGTCTGCTGCGCCGCCAGCGACAGCAGCGGCATCCTATCCGAGAAGATGCCCACTCCCGCACCTCCAGCGCTCACGGAATTCATCACATGGGCAGAGGCGGCTCCCAGGCTCCTGGCCACGGCGCCGGAAGCAGCGCCGCCAGTGTTGCTTGCTGCTGCCAGCTGCGCTGCTACGGCCTCGTCGCAGTCGTCCTCAGCGCCATGCAACCAGCGAAGAAGCATGGAGGACTTGGACAGCGGGGGACCCATGTTGGTGGCCGCGGCCTCTAGGGGTATGGTCATTTCCAACTCGGCCGAGGGCTCGACCCGGGCTGATTTCGAGACCTGGGGACGGACAGGGGCAGCAGCCAGGCGACGACATCAGCAAGAAGCGTGTGTGCCGGTCAGTGACGTGTCAACAGACCCCGATCAGCAAGCGCTCCCTTCCCAGTCACACGCTCACACTCTACCGGTAATCTCGCGGTAACCTCCCCATGGCATTCAAACGCCCCCCCTGAAGCCTTCCTATCTAGGGTGACCGCCCACGATATGCATGTTGCATGTGTTTGTCGTTTTCATTCACTACCCCACACGCATCCCATCAGCAGCCCCACCTCAAGATGCTTGTCCTTCTCCTTGAAGCCAACGACATGCCTCGCCGCGCCTCCCAACGTCCTGCGCTGCAGCAGCAGCTGCGCAACTAGGGACCCGCCGCCAGTCGACCTCCCGCCACGGGATCCGCGCTTATTCGTCTGCGTCTGAGAGTCAGGCGAGGGCGCCGGCGGCATGTCGTCCCCAGCTGCAACCGCAACCGGCAGAACCAGCCGACTGCTGTCGACGCCGCTGACACTGAGGCCACCAGCGGTGCTTACGGCTGCTGCTGCTGGCGCCCCTGGGTCTCCGAAACCAGCGCCGGAGGCATCCGGCAAGGCCACATGTGACACCCTCACGGATTCCAGTTCCGGGTATTTTTCCCTGGGAGGAAAGCAGCGAGTTGCACACACAGACAAATGCGAGGCAGCGTGTTAGTCCTGGGCACCCTGCGACCCCTTGCCTGCTACCATGCCTGCACATCATAGCTGCACATCAATCCTTGATACCCCGCCCTACCATGTGAGGTCACCGGTTTGTCGTCTCCGAGCCGAGTGCCAGAGGCAGCAACATGCGCAGGTGAGAAGTCCAAGCAGCAGCGCACAACCGATGCTTCCCAGAACAACGCCAATGATTTGGCCGCGTGTCAGGTGGGCCACATTCGCGCCTGGGGGACAAACATACGTGCAAGCAGCAGGACAAGGGAAAGGCATAGCATTGCCGAGCCGCCAATAAGGATCTAGGATGTAACTACACCGCTTAGCGGGAAGGCGGGAAGGTTGGAAGAGCAAAGTCTTAACAGGGGTTTGCTATCGCCACCATTGTAGGCCGGTCCATCCTAGCGAACACTGAAAGGACACGCCTGTCGGGCATGTAGAGTACCTAGGGGAGTGTGGCAACACGTGCCATGTATACGCTGCGTAAGAGAACCCTGGGTTACGTGGGTTCAAAGGTGGTGCAAAAGCAAGCACAGGGAGCTAGAAGCGTAGACGCCTCTTTCGTCAAGCATGCGGTCGTGAAGTACTATGTCGTCTCAGCCCGCAGGGGTCCCGCGTTATCGTTGCTGTTAGTGCCGACCCGTCTCTACCCATCCAAGGACGACCCCGCAAACCCACCAGATGCAGCTGCACTATGTAACTGTAGAAGGCAGCCTCCTAGCACAACTGCAGCAGTCGGTAGTCGTGGTGGTGGCCGTCCAGGGCTGCGCAACATCATACCGCCCGACGCGGACACGGGCAGCACCCAAGCGCTGCGGAAGTAAGCAAGGTTTCAGTATACGAAGTTAGAAGTTTACCGATGCTGCAGCAGCGCTTCAGAACGTATCCACCCAAGGCAATGACAGGTGAAGCGACCGCCAAAAAGTGCTTGAAGTACAGCCTGTAAAAGTAACGATCAGGATCCCCATGCTATCAGGTTCGAGTACTGACCTGAGCACCCAAGGTCAAACCCGTCCGCCAACTCAAAACCGTGCTCGAAAATTTGCTACGGTTAGCACGCAGCGCCTTGTGCGCTATGCCAAACTGTCTGGATCATATGCTGTGGCCCTGTTTACCCTACAACGAGTCACTTTTTGCTAGTATTCTACGCTAGGTGGGTTAAGATGTCCAACTCGTCTGTTGTGCCCTTGCATTCAACCATATAGCAATCTGATCACAGTTATCCTCTAAGGCAGTCATACGCAGTCATGTCTGATGCGCGCGGTCACATGAAGAGGCGACCCATTCCGATTGTACGAAGCATTCGTTGATAGGGCCGCACGACATGACGGGGTCTTAAGGCTCCGCATGCCCTGCACAAGTTTCGCACATTGTTTTGCAAATAGTCACAAAGTTTCCTACTAAACGGCGGCAGGCTTGATAGCTTCGGGGCAGCTGACACTCCGGACCCGGCCCCCACAATTTGACTTTAGGCCCGGTTGTTACCCGATTAAGGAATGTCTACGTGCCTCACGTCTCGCTTGGTAGGTGCGGCCGTCCTGTAGACTGTCCGTCCGTGGGCACTTGGCAACAGGCTGGAGTTGCGTCACAGCAATGCCGATTATCATTGGACGCAGCGGTCCATAAAGACGCAACTGTGTCACTCACTTCGCATTTTGCAAAGGACAGCTGACTTTGTCTCCGTGCATATCGGACGTACCGGTACTACTTAAGTCCACTGCTATAGCCTGTCCTCTTTCCAGATCAATGCGAGATCAATGCGTGTACAAGCTTTGACCTTCACTATCTTACACGCCTCCTGACTTCTACCTGCAGGCAGCCACGCCAATGCGAGTTAGTCGCCGTCCTCTGCCAGTACGGGCCAACCTGACCACCGATGTGCCGCCGAACGTGAAGGAGGCGCGCGATTGGATAGCGGCATGGAAGGCGAGTCAAGGACACACCCCGGCCGCATCCGTTATCGCCCCAGCTAACGGATCAGAAAATTTGGCTGCAAGTAATGGCACCCAAGCGCAACCCCCGGAGATGGCTGCTGCTGCGCATCCGCCGCAGGAGCCCGTCCTTGCGGCGGACGGATCTCTCACCTTCAGCAAAGACCTGTTAGACAGCTTCTCGTATGAGGACATGATCAGTCGCATGCGGCAGAAGGTGGACATGCAGTAGTGGAAGTTGCTCGGTACATGGTCTTCCGTACAGTGTCTTCTTGCATGGCACATGTTGATGCGTCTGTGCATGGGCTACCGAGCCTGTCTTGCAGGGCAATGCCGGAAGCGGTGTTAACATCATACAGCTTAATGGCACGCACCTGTACGGCATAGGCTCATAAGAGGCTGCATGTTGCGGTCGTCGTACTGGGTTGGGTACCGCATCAGGGGGGCAGGCCTTGGCCCCTTTTTGCGTTGCTTATGTTGATTCGGACCAAAGCGAGCCGTATCGACCACAAGAGGTCCGGCTTGCTCTGCACATATCGGTACATTCTTGCGTGCAGCCTCAAGCATGTGCCCTGCAGCACGCACGCACATGCAATCATGCTGGCGGGGCCTTTGTTCGCGTGTTCCTGTTGGGGCTTCACCTGTATCTTGGCGTGGAAGATATTGTTAGTTTGTTCTCGGGCTGCTTAACTGTCTGTGTGCAGCTTGATGCCCGTCAAATGGGGCCTATATGCAGTACTGGTGGGGGCTGTTGTATAGATGTGTGACAGTAGTTTGTTGTACCAGAGAAGACAGCGCACAATGTGCGGATGTATGCATGGTTGTATTGTACCTTTTGTACGTGCCCCTCATTCCCTTCGATTTCGTAGCTCGTCTATGCTTGTCGCACTGTTGCATTTTAAGACAGTAGTCGATAGATGGCGGCAAGGGTGCAAACTTGGAGATCCTGCATCACCTGCGGATCCCATCAGCCCAGGACTGTACCCTTGCAAGCCTTGTGTTTTTTCGACATGTTCGTGTTCTTGTGGTGCTGAGTCACCCTGAAGGGTTGGAAGGGTATAGGGTTCTGCATTTCATGTTTCTCTTTGTTGCTTTGCGTACTGCAGGGTCTGCCTCTGCAGTGCACTGAATCAGAGTACTGGTTTACTGGTAGTTGGCGTTTGTTACAGCGTGTTGCTTGTGCCGAGAAAGCATTCAACGATGTACCATCGATTGCTTTGTTGGATGGTAGCACGTAGCACAGGTCCTGTTACGGCTGGCCAGGACTGTGGGCTATTTTGAAACCTGCGGTTGTACCGTATGCTTGGCGTGTAAGCTATAAACTCCACCTTCCATACACATCCCGCACCCGTGCCGCACCTGCCACGCCCTCCCCAGGCAGGTTCCCAGCCTCCCACGCCAGATAGGCATAGGGTTGGACCTGTGCGCGCCATGGATACTGCTCACCGCAGACATGCCTTCCTGTTGCGGTGACACGTGGTAGGTGTAGCAGGTAGGATGGGACATGGGAGAAGAGCTGAGGGCACTTAGCAGATCCAGCAAAACAAAAATGGAATCGCCTGCAGCAATGATGTACTACCGAGGTGCACTACTGACACAATGAGCTATCAGCGGGGTAGGAGTTAGGGCTGTTCGTAACATGCGCTTTGATCACAGAAGGCGGTAGCTAAGAAGCCTTATAGCCTATTGTCCTGGGCCGCGTGGCCACCGGCACTAAAGAAACAAAGCCCAGGCTATACACAAGTAAATTTCCCATCATCATGGGCGTCGCCGCAGAGGCGCTTCTGGCTGCCTGTCTAAGCTGGGTTTACACAACGCAGGACCGTTAGTACGTTAGCTAACTGTTCGCACTTTTTAGAGCAAGCCTTCTTCGGCATTTTTATAAGCTATGTATTCAGTCATTGGATAAAAGGGTTCTGTATTCAAGATGTTTGTATATTGCCTTGCATGAATTACGCCCGACTGCTTCCACATGAACCTGGTCCTGTGGACTAGCTGGGTCTTCTTCACCTTGCTTCTCATAACGGCACATGACGCGGCAGCTTCTAGTACGGAACGGGAGCGTGAAAAGAGTAGTGGCGATAGGAAGCAGCTCATGGACGGCAGGTCTGACCGTGAGTCTGACACCTTCAGCCTATGCCAGCAACTCAATCGTTTGCTGTCAAACGTGACGGGCGCTGAGCCTATTGTCTTGAAACTTAACCGTCACCTCCAGTTGGAGCAGTACCATCAACGTCAACTGCTGGAACTGCAGCTGGAGGCCGCACTCATACAGAAGGAAGAACATCAAAGAGTAGATGATGAAACTCTGCGACAGGTCGAATTGCATCGCAGCAAAGTAAGGTTCCATGAGTCCGCCCGACATGCTATTGCTGCGCAGCTTCAACAGAAGGTTAACGCTCGCGCCGTGGATGCATCAGCACATTACGATGCAACTTGGAGTCAGGCTGTGGACCTCCTCTTTCTCCAGCACTGTTTGCTCCTCCCACATCCCAAGCTCGGCCCCAACACAAGGCCCGACAAACACCACCTAGAAACGCATTCTTCCCTTCCGAGCCATGGCCAGGCTCAATGGTATAATCATCGCCTTCATGGCCGGTCCCAGTCCGCTGCACAGCCTCCTGAGCTCAGCCGTCCTCTGGTCTCCTTGCTAGTCCAGTACTTCAACCGGCCTTGGATGCTCCCACTGCTTGTCGAGCCCTTTCGAAGCTGCTCTGCAGCCCACAGTAATACTTTTCTAGGCGACGATACCACCAGCGATACTACTGCTAGTACAGGCAAAAGCAATCGCAGCAGCAACAGCAGCGACAGAAGCAGTAGCAGCAATACGCGGGGAGGCAGCAGTAGCAGCCTTGGTTTCGGAATTGAAATGCTCATCAATGTTGACAGTCGGATCGATGCGGCGGCAGTTGCGGAGTTTGCGTCTGGACCTCTGGGATCCGACTTTGTCGTACTGGTGTTCAGCAATAATGTTCATGAGATCCGGTCGTACAACCGCCTTGCGCAGATGGCACGTGGGAAGATCTTAATCATGATGCAGGTGTGTTCAGTTAGCTACCTTCAACACCCGCAGATGGGAGGCACCACCTGCGTACGGCTGACAAGGCCAAGAAGACTATCTCTGAATCGAATCAGAGCCATCCGACATGTCTATTACAAATCTCAATGCTGTACGACCACATTATTGCAAACTGTCAACCGCAGGATGATGACGTGTTCCCAGCGGAAACGGCATGCGCATGGCTGGAGTCCGTGGTTCGTGCGTTCCGGCGGTGGCCGCGTCTTGGGGCTGTGGGGTAGGTGATGCCTTTCAGTGGAATTAAAGTCCTGCCTTTCAAGCCGCTCCATTTCCTGGTTCTCTCCATGTGAGCTCACGAGCCCCCCGTCGTTATCAGGCCGCCATTGTAAATAGTTCCGTTGGACGGAGGACAGCAGGGACTTGGGAGGAGCCCTCCGTCCTTGTATGTGCCGACAACCCATCTCAATTCCTTACACCTCCTCAACCACCTCCCACCCGCCTACATCCCCGCGCCCTGCCCGCCCCATCGCCCCCGCCCCACTCACACCCACTACGTCACCAGCTCCCAGCGCTACGTGTTCGACTACCACCCAAACACCACCGACACTGGGGTGCACTTCTGGGACCCGGGAGCTCCTGGCGCCAGGAAACCGGGTGGCAGCACAGGCGACAGCGAAGGGATTGAGGACGCAGCCAGCGCGGCGATTGATGATACCAATGCCGATGCGGACAACGAGGATGTGGAAGGGGAAGGGAAAGAGGCGCCTGCAATGGTCGAGGAAGCGAGTAACGACGGGCGGTTGCGGATGCAGTTCGTAACCATTGTCGACTACGCGCCCATCGCGGTACGCCGCGGCGCCTTTTTGGGTGTGGGCGGCATCGACGAGGGCATGAGTGACGCCGGCATGTGCGGAGTGCACAGCGACTATGACTTGACACTGCGCATGTGGCTGTCTGGGTGGCAGGTAGGCAGGGCGGGGCGGGGCAGGATGCGTTGGGCGCAGCAGCATGAGGGACGGCGTGGTAAAGGCGGGGCGGGACTTGGGGCCGCAGAGTGAGGATGGGGCGGGGACTACTGCACATGCTGCAGCGGCCGTGCATTGTGACTTGATGGGGTTGCCCCCATCAAAATTAGAATTACAGCCCAGTGTTTGTATCTCATCGATTCTGAGTTCCTTACCCCCTTGTTGGCGCCTTGCTTGCCACCTCGGGGCACGGCACAGGTGGCCTACATTGAGGTGCCGGGCCTGGACAAGGACCCCCGGGAGGGCGAGGGCGGCACGCACCGGCCGGGGGTGTCTGGGTACTGTTGGGAGCGGCAGTGGGAGCTGGCAATCGGGTACATGCGCGAGCGCTGGGGTCAGTACAACCGCTGGAATCCAGATTCGTACTACTGGTTCGGCAGCAATGTGAGCCCTTCGTGTGTGGGATATGGGGCGGGGCTGTTAGGGGGGGTTGCGATCTTGGGTCGTTTCCCAACGTTGGGAAACGGAGCAAGGGCACGTGTATGATGGGTTGCAGCTTTGCCTAGCATTCTCCAAATTTACAGTGCGGTGATACCCTTGTCCAATAGACTGCAATCGGCTTGTCCATAATGTTTATCCATATATAGAACCCTGCCCTAGCCAGCTGCCGGCGAAAACCCCGGATGACCTGTGGGTCATCTCCCGCACCCAGGTTTTCGAGGTTGTGGCGGAGCATGTACGACTCCTCAACCTGAGGCTGCTGGCACCGCTGGCAGAGCCGCCTGGCAGCTTCTGTCCCTTTGGTTACGGATGCGAGGACACGCCGGTGGATCGGATCACAGGCGAGCCACGCCCCGTGAGGCCGTTCATTGGGAACCTAACCAGCTGGCCCAAACACCTTCGAGCGCCGTGGATAGCAGACAGGCATGGAGGAGCCGGTGCGGAAGGAAGCAGGGGTAAGGGTAGTGAAGGGCATGCCGGAGTGTAAAGGATGCAGAATTAGTTGCTGGGACTCTCCGAGAGCCCGAGGACGGCCGGTGGATCCCTTGGTGCATCAATGGTGTTCTGATGGCTTTGGTGAATGCAACAAGATGATCAAAGTCGTATCAAAACACCTATTGAGTAGCTGCAGATCAGCTTAATTTAGTCTTTTCGGCTGGGCGTTCCTAAGTCAGCTCACCCTTTCCTCATCAGCTCATCCAGGCTTTTAAATTGAAGTACAACGTGTAGTAGTAACCATCCATACATCCCTAGGATGAGAATAGCTGCACTGCTGACAGGTGACTCTATGCCAGGACAGGGAGCTTCATGGCTGGGGGCCCAAACACAACACTTGTAACCTGCCATGGATGTACGCTGCTGAATACTATCTTCGTGCGTGCTTGACCATGTATCTACACCATATGAAAGCGAATCGAGGAGCGGCAACGCATCCAGGTTAGCCAATCAGCAATTACAACGCTGGACAAGCCCGGTGTCGCACCACCGTGGGTAGCGCAGCCGTGGCCCGTTTACTGGGGGCCACCGCGGCCGCCGCCGAACTGGGGCTGGTACGAGCCAGGGGCACCGGCCTGGGCAGAGGGAACGCGAACGGGGGAAGGATCAGTTTATACAGCTCATGTTTTTAAATCATGTAGGAATTCAACCAGGTCTTTAGGTTGGCAATTGTATGCGGCACTGACTGCTCACGGTCCGTGGCGCAATCGGCAGGAATCTGTCTGTCATCCAGATATCGAAAGGCAAACCCCAGCTTACCTTGTCGGCACCGCGGCCGAAGCCAGCACCCTCGCGGGGAGCACCGCGGTAGCCCTCGCGGCCGCCGGGGCCACCGAAGCCACCCTGCAAGCAAGGGCGCACAGGAGAAGTTTCGCATCGTATCGGGCGAACATATGTAAACATACTCGAAAAGGCCCAGTGCAACAGTGTACGACTCTTACCTCGCGGCGAGGGGGGCGGTCGCCGCGCATCGGGGGGCCGCGCTCCAGGGGGCGGTTGGACTTCTTGAGGGTGGCGGGCACGATCTCGCTGGGCAGGTTCAGGTACTCGCGCAGGTAGTCAATACCCTTGTTGGTCAGGAACCTAAAAAGATGCCGCAATGCGAGGGGAATTAGAGACGCAGATACGGATTGGAGTGCAGGCTACAAGAGAAAGCTCGGGCCCCAATACCCCCCCTACAGAGCGGGCATGATCCGCAATCCTACGCACCAGTAGTAGTGCCTCCACGAGAAGCGCTCGGTCACCAGCTCCTTGGACTTGAAGCTCTGCATCAGCTTAATGACCTGCAGGTTGGGCACGCCGGCGATCTCCGGGTGCTCCTTGAGGTTGAAGTCCTTCTCCGCCTGAAGGACGCCCTCTGCATTATGATTATAAAATATGGATAACTTTTAGAATTTTAAATTGGTGGGAAAGCATGTGTAATAGCCATGGACGCCGCCGCAGGCTACGCAGCGACGGAAGGCGCCGACAAATTGCAGAGGTTATAGCTAACTCTTCCTAGCTAAACAAACGTTTCTTATCAAATGTCTCACCCTTGAAGAGGTACTTGTACACCTCCCTGCGGTTCTTCTTGGGAATAAGCATTTTTGCTGCTGGCCTGAGAACGAAGAGACAGCCGCCAAGTAAGTTTTGGGACCTCTCTTTTACGCGTCGACTCTAGGTCGACTCGACTCCCGCTGCACACCTGCTGTCACAAGACAGCAGTGGTCAAGGATAAGGTGGCGGCGCGCAAAGGTAGAGTGAAGGTAAAGCAAAGGCAGCAGCTAAATGAACTAACCTGAGGCGTGAGAAGAGTCCAAAAAGTGGGGAAAGAGGTCGCTTGTGGCTCCGCAGCGACCGAAGTAGGCTTGGCCCGCTGTCGTACGGTACTATCACGCCGTGCTGCGTGCTTTACAAGCCGGCAAGCTTGCAAGACTCCTCGTTTTGCTTACAGTAGAACATAGGAATGTTATGAGAGAGTCCGTAACTGCTTGACTCTACCAGTACCTATCGGCGACAACTCCATCTCTTAAGGCCATCCGACGATACAACTTTCGGTACTGTTAGCGAGAACATATTTCGGCTCGCCAAAGCACGGTTCCTTGCCTAGGGCCTAGGAGGTGGGAGCTAAGTTGTTTCCAGACCTCGACACTTCTTGAGCACTTTTACGCGCCTTCCTGCCTTGCCGAAGAGACGCGTAATGCTGTAGAGTTGCTCAGGATACCTGCGATAAGCACGTGCAACTCGGTGGAGGGCCTTCCAAGGGTTGACTTCAGCAAGTTCGACGCTCTAAATGTTAGGAGCTTTGGCGCACAGCGGGTCTAAAGCCACGGCATCCTCGAGCAGCTACATATCGTCCAGCAGGGTGGCGTTGTTATCCTACCCTCACCAGGAGCTGTGATCATGGATAGTTTGGCGCCTCAAGAGTTGGCCTGACAGATTGGAACTCTTACAACCGCTTTGCATTAGACATATAGGGTTGCTTCCTGCTCTTGCGCACAAACATGAGCGGTCGCGGCTTAGGACGGGGCAACGTCAACCGTGCTGGCGCGCGGCCGCCTCTGCCAGGGCAAGGGCATCCAGGAGACCAGAACAGCTCGTCTTGGCCACACGATCGACGCCTGGTGCACCATGCGAGCGGCCCGCCCGCTGATAGGCCAGGTTGGCATCAACCCGCAGGTGCCCCGGCCGATTCAAGGCATCCTAGCGGCCCGCGCAATCAGCCGGATACCACCGGACGGCCCTTTGGTGCAGGTCCCGGCAGACCCCATCCTGACGCGGGCTTTGCAGGTCCTCCAGGCCCGACATATGGCGACATGTTTCCGCCACCCGCCGGCATGGACAGTTACCCTGAACGTCCGCCCCCAGGGTGGGGTCCCGATCCACGTGGTCGTGCAGGGCGTGATACTGAGCCTCCTTACCATGGTGGAAGTGGAGGCGGTGCTTACCCCCAGGGCTCAGCCCATCAGAGACAAGGTACGAATCAAAGGCCATGCCATGCTGCCCAGATGTTGATGGAGTGTTGCGTGTATGGCTAAAGCGATGCCATGTTCCTTGTTTGTCCCACCCGTACGCGGCATCGTGACACGGGGTATGTCAGTTTTCCCTGCATGATCGGGGTCATTTGCAAAAGGCCATCTATCGCCTGTAGGTCTCATGCGATTGTTGCTGGGAAGGCAGTCAGGCATGGTGTATTGGCCTTTTCCGCAGAGCTCCCATTGCTTCCTTATCTGATGTATGTCATGTTGCTTCCAGCGTGGGATACAATCGCAGCAACAGGATTGGAAATGGAAGAGAGAAAGGCGCAATAGTACCCCTACCTGCGTGTTCTTTGCCTCCGCCCATAAATGAGGAATGTATCCTCTTAAAATCCGTGCTTGGCGAGGCAGATGACGGCTTGTACTCCCAAAGCAGTTGCTAGATCCGGTCTTCTAGACGCCCTGCATCAGTATGGCCCCTCCTCCCTATCGGCGGTCTCAACACATCCGTTTCTCATGCCATGCGCTACGGCAACTCCGGAAAGAATTGCGATGGGCTTGCTGTTCGTTCCACGACTGTCTGTCGATTAGCGGCTGCGGCATGCTTACATCGCATGGTGCCTAACCCGCGCGTGGTGTTCGCAACTTCCATTTGCGAAGGGTGCTATACAATTCCTACCTACAAGCGTTCGGCCGGGTAGCTTACCACGCGAGGGGATGGTGGCGCCAGAGACGTGTGCTATGGGTAGCGTCATGCAGTGTTTGCCGTAGGGTCCTTATTGCACATATGATTCTCGAGGCTAGGGGCTGCGTACATTCCCGATCGCGGCCCGTCGATGCTAGCGTCATGTGTGGAAAGGAAGTCGGCGATTTGATACCCTCAGGCCAACCAATGAAGTGTGAGGTTCGCCGCTTTGCTGCGATTTGCGCCGTAACCTACACCCATAAGTTCCTCCTTCCGTCACTCCCAACCACAACACGAATATGAGCAAACGACCCCAACGCCCCTCTCCCTCCCCGCCCTGTGCCTCTCTTTCCCTGCACCTGCCCGGTTGCGGACCGCTACAGGCCCTGCGTCCCCAGCCCACAACTCCGGCGGCCTGCCCGGCCCACCTCCAGGCCCCGGCTACCCCCACCACCACGGTTCCCCGCAGCGACCGCCGCAGCCACAGCACGCCCTGCATGGGCGCATGGACGGTCATTTACGCATGGACGCTCACATTCGTCCCGACCAGGGCTTGCCACCGCAATCACATCGAGGTCCGATGCATGACGCCCAGGACCCACGCCAAGCGCATGGCCACTGGGAGCAGCAGCAGCAACAAGGGCGGCCGCAGCGCTCGCCGATGCACCCATACCAGCATCCCCATGACCAGCATGGTGCCCCTCCAGTCTGGGAGCAGCAACACGGCCGCGGCCCGCCAGGGTCACGACAGCCCAGTCCTGTGCCGTCACAAGGCGAGCCACAACGGCCGCCTGCAGGGGCGCCATCCGGTTTCCCGCCCGGTTCCTCTCAGCCGCAGGGTCCAGTGGGGCAGGGTCAGCCTGCTGGAGGCGGCGGCAGTACGGCAGCCAATGCGCCGCTGGGCACGGGCACGACAACTACTGGCAAACCGCGACCGTCACGGTGGCGTGATCCGCCCTCAAAGTCGGCTGCAACGACGGCGGCCGGCGACAACAATACCAGCGTCAGCGCCGCTGCGGGTGGACAGGCGGGCAATGGCGGCTTAGGCGGGGCCACGGCGGCGCCAGCAGCAGCACAGCAGCTACAGCAGCCCCAGTCGCATGCTCGGCCGCCATACGGTGCAACTGGACCCGGCCCCGACGGCGGTCGGGGCTGGGGGCATGAGGGTCCTCCGCCCCAAGCGCCTGTGCAGCCCACTGAGGGACCGCATGGGTGGTACGGACCGGGGCCGGCTGGACCCGGTGGCATGCAGGGACCTCCATCTGGTGTTGCCGACACTGCTGCGGACCTGGCCGCAGGGGCACAGGCGCCATGGTCGGCGCAGGGCAGGCCCGGTCCGGACCCATGGGCGCCGCCACATCAGGATCAGCTGCAAGCCCAGCACGGGCAGGGGCCGCCTCCAGGTTACCAGCAGCGCCCGCCGTTCCCTGCGCAAGGCCCCGCCTACCCAGGAGCGGGTGGCTACGACAGGCAGTACCCACCAGGTGCATCAGGCGTTCCTGGCTACGGCCACAGCCAGGGACCAGCACCCCATCCTGCGGCCGGCGCGCTGCAACCCCCACCCGAGGCGTACGGACCTCCACCTCCGAACGGGCCCATTAACCCTGCGGCCGCGCCCCATGCCTACCCCCATGCAGAGTATCAGCCCAATCAGCAATGGCCGACGCATGTCGCAGCACACCCTGGCCCACATGGACCCATGGGTCACGAGCTGCAAAGCGGCCATGCAGGCCCACCGCCCGGCGGTGTGATGCCCGGTGCACCGCCGCCTGGCCAGTTCGATGCCGCATCCGCCGCTGTTGGCAACCATGGACATGGGTACTACCCGGGAGGGCCTTACCCGGGAGAGAACGCACCTCCGTCGGGCCCAGGCGGTCCTGGCAGCTTTGCGGCAGGCCAACACCAGCAGCAACCTTTCCAGCAGCAGCAACCGCCGCCGCAATTCGCACAGCAGCAACAACATGGGCCGCCGGCATATGCTGCCCCTGGCTATCCAGCTCCCGCCTTTCAAGAGCAGCAGCAACCCCAGCAGCAGCAGCCACAGCCACAGCAGTCTGGGGTTTCAGGAGAGCGCGGTGAGTCTGATCAGCAGCTGAAGGCCCGCCGTGGCCGCGTTGTGCTGGAACGCAACAAGCCCATAGTGTCAGAACGCAACAAGCCCATCCGCATCAAGTTCGCAGCGCAAGACGACCTGCCAGCAGCTGGGGGCCAGCAGCCGTCCCAGAACCCAGCAGCGCAGGCGCAGGCTGCTGCGGCGGCAGGCCAACAACAGCAGGGGCAGGAAACGCCGCGGCAGCTAAAGCGCAAGTCCAGGTGGGATAACGATACCGACGGTACGACGGATGACAAGAAAACAGCCGCTGCGGCACAAGCGGAAGGGCCGCCGCCGCCACCACCGCCGCCGCCGCCGGCCCCAGCTCACGGGGCGGCGGCGCTGTACCCTGCATCTCAGGCTGTCGCCGTGGCGGGCACAGGGCCCCATGCTGCCCCGCCTGACCAGGGCTATAACCCGCAACCGCAGCCCTACTACAACCCCATGCAGCAACCGCCGTACGGTATGGGGCCACCACAGCACCCGCAGCCTTACCCGCCCATGGACCAACAGCAGCAGCAGCAGCCCTGGCAAGGCGGGTCCTTGCCGGCGCCGCAGCCGCCGTCGTATCCCATGAACCCAGACCCCAACGAGCAGCCTCCGCCTTACCTTTACCCTCACCCCCAGCAGCATGGGCATCCCGCGTACCCGCCCTTCCACGGCGCACCGCAGCAACAGCCTCCGCAGCAGCAGCCGCTGCAGGCGCCTGGCCCCGAGCCAGCTCCGAATTCCGGGCAGCCGTCCGGACCCCAAACAGCAGCAGAAGCTCCTGGGCGGAGGACAAAAAGGTCCCGTTGGGATACCGATGAACCACCACAAGCCTCCCCACGCACACAGCAGCAGCACCCACAGCAGCAGCATCAACAACAGCCTCAGCAATCGCAGCAGTCGCAGTACCACCCGGCCGCAGGCCCCGAAATGCAGCCGATGTACGACGGCCAGGGACCGCCGCCGTACCAGCAACAGCAGCAGGCGGGACCGTACATGGGCAACGGTTCGTATCCACCGTACGGCGGCGGTCAAGGCGGCGGCGAGGGACGCGGCGATGTGGCGTTTGCAGCGGGGCCACAGCAGCAACAGGGCCCGCCCGGGGCTACAGGTCCGAGCGGTCCACCGCAGGGGCCCTATGGGCCACAGCAGTGGGAGGGCTGGCAAGGCGGCCAGGCGCCACCTCCAGGCGTGCAGCAGCAGCAGGGACCCTGGGACCCTAGGGAGCAACAGCAGCCACAGCCGCAGCAACATTTTGGAGGGGCACCGCAGGCTGGCCTAGCACCACCCCAAGGGCAGCAGCAGCAGGTCCAAGCAAACCCCCACTACCCTCAGCACATGGGCCAAGGACCCCAGCCACAGCAGCAGCTACAGCAGCTACAGCAGCAGCAGGAGCCGCAGGGATTCCCTCAAGCCCATGCGCCCAGCTGGGGCGTCCCGGCAGGGCCTGCTGCCGCTGCTTCTGCTCCACAGGGATACCCTCAACCCGTGGGGCCGCAGGTTCCCCCAGGACAGCAGCAGCAGCAGCAACCACAGCATATGCAACAACAGCAACACTACCAGCCCGACTTGCAGCTGACTGGACAGGAGGGGCAGCAGCAGCAGCAGCAACAACAACAACCAAACCCACCGTTTGGTCGTCAGTCGTTCACCGAGCAGCCGTATGGGCAGCCGCAAGCGATGCCGCAGCAGCAACAGCAACAGCAGCCCCCTGCTACTGCTGCTGCTGCTCCCAGCAACTGGCAGCAACAGCAGTATCAGCAGCCAATGCAGCAGCAACAACAACCAGAGCTGCTTTCAGGGTCGGCAGTGCAACCACAGCAGCAGCAACAACAACAGGGGCCGCCTCAGCAGCAGCAGCAGCAGCAGGGTCCAACTTTTCTTCAGCCCGACCTCCTGTCGAGCACTCTTGCAGCGCTGCAGCAACACTTCAGCCAGAAACAGCAGCCTCAGCAGTCACAGCAGCCACAGCAGCAACCAGCGGCAGCGGTTCCGGTCACGCCCGCATCTTCCACTGCCGCCACCGCCACGCAGCAACCCAGTGGCGCTGCTGCATGGCCTGCTGCCGCCCAATCCGCGCCCGGTCTACCACAGCAGCAGCAGCAACAACAGCAGCCGGCAGCGTTTCAACCCACTGCGCACGCCGGCAGCGCCAGCGGAACGTCGACCACCGCCGCCGCGACCGGCGGCGCCGGCGGTGTCGGTCCGCAGCCGCTTTTGACGCTGGGAACCATTACCCTGCCGCCCAACGTCGACCCAAGCAAGCTGACAAGCGCCGATTTGCTTGCCTTGCTCATGCAACAGCAGGGTGCAGCTGGTGGCGGCGGCGGGGCCTCCCAACTGAGCGGAGTGCTGGCGGCGCTCAGCAAAGCAACCAGCGGTCCTAATGCTGGCGGTGGCAGCGGCACAGGTACGGCAAGCCTGGCAGCTCAGCAGCCGGGGGCTGCTGGCGGCGGCGGCGGCGGCGGTAACGCAAGTACCAGCGGGCCAGCGAGGCCAGGCGATGTAACAGCGGCAGCAGCGGCAGAAGCGGCGGTCACCTCGACGGCGACGGGTAGCGGGGTTCCTGCCGCTGCTGGCGGAGGCGGCAGCGGCATGGCAGCTGGCGGCATGGGCGGTGGTGGAGGCTACATGGGTTGGCCTGGGTACGGGCAAGCGCCGCCGGCGGCTGGCGCCGAGGGTCATGCAACAACGGCGGCGACAACAACGCAACGCGTGGATGTGGGTGCTGGGACGGGGGTGGCTAGCGCACAGCACCCTCCCCATCACCGCCACTGGCCACAGCCGCCATCGCAGCAGCACCAGCAGCAGCAACCGCTAGTACAGAACTACCAGCACTCCGCGGCGTCAGTGCCGGGTTCCGCGAAGGCGACGGAGGTCCCATCCTCGCTGACAACAGCTGGACCCAGGACCATGCCGGATCAGCCGCCATCCTTACAGGGCTCGTATGGCCAACAACCGGCCAAAGCGGCGCAAGCCGCTAACAGCGGCAGCAGTGCCGCCTCAGCCACGCAAGGGCAGCCACAACAGCAACAGCAGATGCAGCAACAGTACGGCGGTATGACTGGCGGGCGGTACTATCCGCAGTACGGACAAGGTCCGCATCAACCGCCGTACAACCAACAACAGTACCCGCATCACCCTCAACACCAACAGCCGGGATACCAGGCAGGGTACCAGCAATACCCACAGCAGCCGGGTGGTGGCGTTAGTGCAGGGTCGATGGAGGCAGCGGCGCCGGTGCCGGGTGCTGGGGCGCCACAGGGGACGGGAGGGGCTGGGCAGGCGGCGACCCGTGGGTCGGGGGCGTTTGGTGGGTCAGCGCCGAACGACCCGCGCTTGCGGCGTTGAGAAGGGAAGGCCGTGAGGAGCGAGGGTTGTGGATGGTTTTAAAATGAGTCGGAATAAGTAGTAAGTTACATTGGGTGTAGGCTGGCGGCGACAAGGGAGTACGGTTAGGGGCCCAGAAGGCAACATTGCAGCCGTTGAGAATTACGGGTCATACGGGTTGTGGAGGAGGCAACCTATGTGGCCAAGCATGAAAGGACGTGCATTTGTCAACGGGTTCCAGGACTGAGGAGACACAAAGGATGGTAGCGCTGCTTGCTGGCTTGTTTGCAATGCGGTAGTAGCGGGGTTATGGGGGCTGGCTGGGCGCTTGTGGCTGGTTGCAGCTTGCTTGAGCTAACTTGTTGGGAGACACTGACAGTGGGGTGTCATGCATGGCTTATGAGGACGGGACACATGAGTCACAGCCCACGCAGGTTCTTGTACCGGCTAAGACCGTTGTTAGCAACTACATGCCGTAAGGGGTCTCGGGGTGTGTATGGAGTTATGCGTGTCGGGCTTCGGGTCATTGAGGACAAAGACGCATGGTTGGCACAGCACATACCGACAGACCTTACATGGCATTCCGGGAAAGCCCGCAGCCTTATGTGTTGCTTTGACCACTACAATTGCATCCACTTGGTAATTGATAGGGAACCTTGTCTTGCTCAAGGTGCGGGTGCAGACTCTCGGGCGTGTATGCAACGGAAGCAAACGAATGAGATATCGACGCGTAAGGAAGACTGCGCAAATCCTGTTGAGGCCACACGTCTGTTGCTGTTAGGGTGTCGATGGGCTTAGTTTGCATGGCTTGTCATGTCCCGACACCTAAGTCCTGTCTTCGCTGCTGCTGCGGCTGTAAAAGGACGCATCCATGCATGCTGTTTTACGGGGAACAGTGCTGCGAATGGACAGTATGCTTCCCATGGAACGCTTCTGCGATACAATGCAGTAAAGTGCCAACCATCTGTGCGGGCGTGCCCGTAACAGCTCTGCTGCTTGCGTCGGCACCACACGGACAGCGCCTTGTTGTAAGCGAAAACTCACAAGTTGGGAGCTAGTAGGAATGGTTTAACGGCATGCAGGTGCGAGCTCGCGAAACGTTAATGCACGCGAGAAAGTTTTCCTACCTTCCACACCCGAAATGCGACAGCGGCGACACCAAACATCCAACAACGGCACCGGGTTCCCACTCACGAAACCCCCTCAGCCTGCCACCCCACCTGTTTCCCGCTGCCAAGCCTCCAACCTAACGGCCCAAGCATTCCAGGAGGACCATCAACCGGTTTTAGTTATACAACCGCCTTCAAAGCCGTAGCATGCCGTACCACGTAGGTGTACGTTTGAAACCTTACTGCTATCCCCTCAGATAGCAGCCATGCTAATGCGCACACTTGAGCTCAATTCCAACCGTCCGAGCTTGTTACATACAACACCACCATATAGAATACATGTGATACCGGTACCCCCAAGGCTAGAGCCGCGCGTCTTTCCCTGCACACCTTAAATGGGGGGCCCAACCAAAGATGGCGATGCTTGGAAACGTAGTCTGATGATTGTTCTGCAACGTCAAGGATTGTCTCTGTCCAGAAAATGCAACCGATGCCCTGCCAAGCACACTCAACCCAACTTCAACAAAAGCAGTACAATGTCCCATGGGTCACAGTCCCATGCCACCACCAAGTAAGCAAATTGTTCTATTTCTTCGCACCCCAACCCCTAAACCGTCTTCTTGGCTTCAGAGCTTGGAGAGGAGCGTCATGGAGCCCTCACCCAGCAGAGATGCTTGCCGACGTTTCATCTTCGCAAACTCCCGGCTGACGTAATCCGCAATCGTGTCCGGGTACTGCGAGATAAGGGCAGCAAAGGGAGGGAACCAGACACCATTGAAGGGTGTACGACAGGGTATTCAAGATCCCATTCCAGCCCCATGCTAGTCACGCATAGGTCTAAGCGCTTGCATGGACTCCGTAACGGTCCCTGGCTGCCGTACCTTGATAACACTGTGGGCGCCGAAGTCGCCGTTCTTCCAGCTGTAGACAAGGAAGGATAGGAAAGGGGGGCACGAAGTCAGTAGCACGACACCAATTGAGCACTGCATTGCGATAGTTACCCGGGATACGTGGAGGTAGGGAACTACCGCCGAAACATGCCCTTCCTTCCCTCCCTGGCACCTTTGTAGGGTGACTCGGTAGGCGCTAGTTGCAGCCACCAGCTGCAACAGCAGCGGCTCTAGCCCAGGCGAGTCCAGCAGGTCAATGTGTTCCGTAACCACCTGCGAGTTCCGTACCAGGCAAGTTGTCGTACATGGTTGTTAATGTTGTATCGAACCCAGGGGTCACTAGCGACCACTAGCGACCAGTTTCTAAAGCCGAGATTCGGCTACATTAATACGGATCTAGTTAGCGTGTTGCTTAACGCAACCATTACCTGCGCAGCACGTTCGTTGAGCGGTTGCAAAACCTCCGCCATCCACGTGCGGTACGCTCGCGCCTCTTTGCCTTCTGGGTTGGCCTTTACGGCAGCACGGAACGCAGCCTGCAGTACAACAAGGGTAAATAGAGCGGGATGGTGTATAGTTGCGGGACTGCGGGTAAGGCAAAGACCCTTACTTACTTTTGTGCCATCCGGGCTGTGTTGTTGGACCATCGCATGGAAGGCGGATCTCGAGGCCGTTACGCAGGACAGCAACGGCCCGTAAAAGTTCTTCAACTGCATATGTGTCGTACAGATGCCGTACAGGTGTGTCGTACAGGTTAGAGGTGTGGTACGTCACAAGACAAAGCAAGCCAAGCATTGGCAGTGGAGGAACAGAGTGGTTTCGTGGAGGAAGATTGCCGGATTGGTGAGGTGTTAAGGGTTGCATGCAGGTCTTTAGGAGAGTGCTTTGCGGCTGCATTGTCGCATGCATCAGCCGCAAGACCCTGCAGCCACCCAGTAGGCTTGTTCCCGCTTCTCATCACCCTTTTCCGGCTCTCACATGCCACTCATGGTTTACTGCTATGCGGTAAACCCTACGCCGGGCCACGTTATTACTCTTATTAGCCATAGGAACTCCCCATGTGCTACCCCGATTCTTCCCCTTGCCTGTTTGTTGACCCGCTCTATTCGAGCCTTTCGTTCTTCAATGCTCTTGGCATTGAAGTAGGCAAAGAGGTATCCTGTGTGCGGGACAAGGGCCCCTCAGAGTGATATAACCCGAGATTCCTCAGCTGGTACGATGCGTAACGGAGGTATCGTGAGAACGTGCCCATAGGTATGGCGTGTCGCCTGTAGGAATGCCAGCCTGGTGCCACGGCAGACATGTCCAATACCGGGATGGTCGGCTACCTACCAGCTGCGAGAGCCCAAAAACCGCCTGCCATTGTTGGTTGCGACGTTTTTTACTAAGTCTCGGGAAGCTATAACTACCCACTTTCCCAAATACGGTACCGGTACTGAACAGTCAACCAATACCCTATGCGAAGCTTCGTAGTGGCAATTTAACAAATACAGAAAGCCTCTTGTTAAAAAAGTAACGCACCAATCTGTCAGTATAGTCCTAATTCGCTTGCTACAATCTTGCTAAGACGAGTACTCGTGCACACTTCGGTTGGCAATGAAGCTTCTCACACGCTATGATTGCACGATAAGCTAGACAAGCTATAGTTGACTACAATTCTTATGGCAAACACAGCGAATTGCGGTATGCCGTTGAGCGAGTCCAATCTTCTAGCCCTGACGGGCGAAGATGCACTAGAGGACATCAGGGAGCTAACGTTGCGGAATCACAAATTGCAATCGTTTGATCAGGGCGATACAGCGCGGTTGATCAACTTGCGGGTAATGTCCCTGTCGCACAACCTGGTCAGCTCCCTGGCTGGCTTCCAGCACCTTAAGCACTTGGTCAGCCTCAACCTAAACTTCAACGCGTTAACTAGCTTGGAGGGCATCAGCCACTGCACCGCCCTACAGAACCTGTTCGTGGCAAACAACCGTATCCGCGACGTCAGGCCGCTAGCACCCTGCGTCAACCTGCAGACGCTGCACCTGTTCCGCAACAACATAGCAGACCTAGACCAGACCCTCTCCGTACTCATTCACCTGTCAAAGCTTCGCGAGCTCGAGCTGGCGGGCAACCCATGCTCGTTCGCCCCAGACTACAAGCACCGCATCGTCCTGCAGCTCGACCTTGAAAACTTAGACGGCGACACCCTTAGCGAGCTGGACACGGACCTCGCCAACGAGTATTTCGCCGCAAACGGCGGCTTGCCTCCGGAGCTAGGCCCGCGGGTGGACATCCTGACGCTGGAGGACGTTGACGGAGGCAGCGCCGCCCGCGCTGCTCTAGGAGACGGCGCGGCATCAACTGGCGGAGATGCCGAAGCAGAACCCAGCACAGCAGGAGTGTCGTCCTCATCCCGGCCTCCCTCCGGTGGCGTCAGCCATGCTGCAGAAGGTGTCGCCGCCAGCAGCCGTCCAGTGGCCCCCGCATGGCCGGCGGCGCCTCGTCCGGGCAGCAGCAGCAGCTCTGCCGCCGTTGCTGCAGCTAGGTCCTTGCCAGCAGGGCCCGGACCCGGGCCGGGCTCTTCCAGCACGCCGTCGCAGCCGCAGCTGCTGCTGCCCCGACCGGGAACAGCTGCCAAACGGCCAGGCAGCGGCGCCGCTGCTGCCGGCGGCCGCCCCGGCAGTGCCTACTCCGGACTGCAATCCTCGACCCAGTTGCTGAGCAACGAACTCCTCAACGACCACCCACTCATCCTGGAGTACTTGGCGAAACACGTGCTCATGGAAGGGATGGCTCTAACGGAGCAGCAGCAGCAGCACTCGGGACTTGGGCGGCCGCCCGGCAGTGCCGGCGGGGGTGCGGGCTCGGGTCCAAGCGGCGGCATGGGCGGAAGCCGAGGACCCTCCTTTGCGCAGCGGTTACGTGATACGGCTGCCGCCATGAACGCATGTGAGGATGTGGACCCTAAGAGGCTGGCGGAGCAGCAGCAGGAGCTCATAGCTACGGCGCTGACGGTGCGGCGGGGTATGGCGGAGGAGATGGTGGCGACGGCATCGCCGAATGAGCTGTGCCGACAGCTGGTGCGGCTGTGTGAGGCGAGTAAGGGTTGCGTAGGCGCTAGGTGCTGGGTGCTCTGTTCAGTTGGGGTTTTGGGAGAGGAGGACGTTGTGGGCGGCTGAGGAGGGCCGGGCCGGGCGGGGGGACAGGTTGGGAAAGGTTGGGCCGCTTCCGGTCAGGAGTCGCGGGGTTGAGGAAGGCAGGACTTCATACGTCCGGCAAGCTGTGCTGCCTTGGTTTGACAGGGGACACGGGCAGTCTCGGGCTCATAGGGTCTTGCATGCGACGAGGGCAGCATGGAAAGATTCTTGTGATGGGCTAGGATGGGCTTGCGGCATGAGGAAGTGTCCTGAAAGGGGTGCGAAGGGTACACCTGCTGCTACCCTTGCCAATGCCTACAGTGCTGATGCCGTGATGTGGCTGTCCTTCATGGCATGTCATGCTGATGAAGGCATGCCATGCTCATGGGATTCAAGAGTTGGGGAATGCTGGTGGGCTTCCTTCACACAGTTGGGCACGACCACAGTGGAGCTAACGGCTTAGCGCTCATGCCATTGCACACAGTGCATCCGTACCGCAAGAAAGGTGCCGGTTGACGTGAGGTGACGTCCTTCCTTGCCACGGACTGGGGATTAACATGTTGCTACGGACTTTGTTGCACTGTGCTGCCCTTTGCAGATACTAATCAAAGAGGTGGAGGCGTGCAGGGCGGGACGGCCGCGCAGCAGCGGCAGCAGCGCCAGGCCGGGGACAGCGGCAGGGTTGCGACCGACAACACCAGGTAGGCTACCGCACTTTCGGAAAGCACAGATCATGACTCTTAAGGGTTTTGTGCTGGCGCTACTCCGTGGGACAGGGTTCCTGTTGCCTGCTTTCCTTTGGTCCCCCATCTCGTTTAGGCAGTGGCCGCGGGAGGTCTCTTAGTAGGGACCGGGGTTCTGAGGGGAGAGTACATCACCGCGTGTATGTGTAACTTGCCAAATGCAGGGCTGCACACGGGGTCGAGCAGCGCGTCTTCGTCGAGCACTCCGCTAACGCCGGCTGAGGCTGGAGAGCTGATGCAACTCCGCGTCGAAGTGGAGCGGTTATGCCGCGAGAACAAGGCGCTGAGGCTTGAGAATGAGAATATGTACTGGCTGGTAGAGGAGGTCAAGCGCTTAAAGGCGGAGCTTGCGCGGACATCTGCGAGATGATTGTGGAATTGATTGGTGCCTTGAGTATTGGCTGCGATGCAGGATGAACGTCTGGCTGAAACCGCGATGTACGGCAGACACTGTTCGCTTCTCTTTAAGCAACTGGCGCACATGTTGTTCGCGTGACATCCTTAGCTTAGGTAAATCTCTCGACAGCAAAATGCATCAACTTCAGCAGCAGCAGCGTGTTGCCAGCGGGAAGGCTTGCGGGACGCCTCAGCTGCTGCCTTCGGGCTTTGGGCGTCGCTGCTTGGCTTCCCAGCTTGCAGCGAGATGTCAAAACTCAGTTAAAATTACCCGACGCGGCCTTGATTTCCGCGCACGCGCGACCGAGGAGTCAGGTTGGTGTGAACCACACATCCAGCCATCTTCTTTGAACTCACAGCTTGCTCACTATAAACCTTACCCATCTACATAGTTGCAGTTGAAGTAACGCCATTGGCGTCAACCAGCGCGACTGTCGAGGATTCTGACAATTGGGTGCCTGTTTGCCGTCCAGAAGACCTTCCGAAGGGTACGCGGTGACTTACTTAGCCGTTTCATTGCACAGCACGCGGTAAACGTTCCAATCGGTGGTATGATTGTAGTTCCCAACGAAATCCTTGCGGCCTTGTGCTTGCAGGTGTTCGAAAGGAGGTTGATGTTGACGGGCGACAAGTCCTACTTTTCTGGTATCGCAATGAAATCTATTGCATTGAGGCACGATCACCAGCAGAGGGAGCGTACAGTGAAGGCTTCATTCGGGCAAAGTTTACGCAGGTGGGTTAGATGTTGCTCCATGCCGCCGGGCACAAGAACTTTCCTCGGCATGCGCGAAAGCGTTTTGAGCTCTTGATTCCCCAACCTTCCCGCAGGACTACTGCATCGAGTGCCCCTCGACTGGGAGCCTCTTCTCGCTGAAGGACGGCTCCATCGTGTCATGGTACCCCGGAAACCCGGTACTCCGGGTCCTGACCCCGGCGTCTTACTGCCGGCCTATGGAGGCAAGTTGCTTAGCAAACATAGCGAGCTGGAGTATCTTGCATACGTGTCGTATCCGGCATTTTGGCTCAACCCGTATAACGCACAGGATTGTCCTGCCCAACGCACGTTGCCTTCGTCCCCCTGTCGTTCTCCGTCAACTCCTGCCCCTCAGATCTACCCCGTCAAGCTGACCCAGGAGGCCATCTACGTGGACGTGTCTGGGGGCTCGCTTGGCGGTGTGCGTACGGCACGTGGCCGGGGCGGCGCTGGGACCTCCGTTGAAAACAACAACGTCTTCACCGTCCAGCCAACCGTCTATTTTGAGGGCATGGACCCAACCAAGGAATCCGCCAGCGTTTATGCGGATGTGTCCGGCGGGGCCGAGGAGTTCAACCCCGTGGTGCTGATCACGGGAATTGTGGCGGTTGGCATGACGGCGGTTGCGGGTACGGCATTCGCGATCTACTACGAGAACCTGACGGCGCTCATTGCGTTCTGGGTGGTGTTCGGACTGACGGTTGGCGTGGCGGGGTTCAACTACGTGAACAAGCGGTTCAAGGGGGATGCGTGAGCGGTTGGTGAGGAAGGAGGGCGAGTGGTGAAGCGGAGAGGGCAGACACGGGAGTGTGTATTTTTTGGAAGCCCCCGTGTGCTGTCGTACGGTGTACCGAGGGGGCAGGCACGTACCGGTATGTTTTGGAGGCCTGACAGTATTCGTTTGTTGTGCAGGGAAGCATGCAGGAGGGTATATTTGAGTGGATGGTCTGTGTGTGGGAGAGAGTGAGGACCGTCTCGAAGGCGGTGTAGCAAAGAAGGCGGTATAGGATACAAAGTGGCGTGGAACATCTGGAGAAGATAACTATACTGGTTTGCACGTGTGCCTCTGTCAAGAGTTGGCGGTGTACTGTCTCAGGCGCAGTGCAAGGTGGAAAGATTTATGTGGTGTTACGCATTTACCTGCTTTTGCATGTCCTGTAATGTTGGCTAAGGGTTTCAACCGGGTTAACTGTTCGTATGTAGTCTTCCTGCATGAGGGTGATAAGTGTACCGTTCACGCGTGCAAGACTGAATACTTTAAGCGTTGCTCTGGAGGAAATGTAACAACGGAGGAAAATCCCGTCCGGGTGAACCGCTGGTTAGGGTTGGCTGAAAGGTAAAATACATGACGGGTGGTACTTGCGAAGTGTATTGGAGGTTTCGGGGCGTCATTATCAATTAGAAATGCGGTGGATTGTACACGGTGGGCTTTACCGGGGCTTTGTAACGGCTACGCGTCGGCTACCACCAAGTCATTTCTGCTTACTAATTTTTTCCTAACCTACGTAACGGCGCAGTTCTATGCTTGAAAGGTAAATAAAATGCGGCACTGTATACCGTTAGCTAAACTGGAGGGACGAATGGGGCCGTGCTTGGAACCTAGCTGATAGGCCGACAAGTGATGGCCCATGCGGGCAGTCAAGCTATGTTCTAACGAAAAACATAGTCCTTTGTTATCTGAGCCTGCAATTCATCGGCCGTGAGCTGCTTCGTCGGTTGCTCGTCTGCTCCAGTCAGTCACACCCGTACATGGCAGACTCCTCGAACACGCGGTTACAGCACGGCTTTCGCATAGCTTTCTCAGTTTGCGTTGTTTGTGAGTTACACTTATTTACATACTTACCATTCTGCCAGACAAGAGTTCAAACGACTTTTGAGCACTGTGCCACTTCGTGCAGTTGTTGCTGAAGCGCTGTCATTATTTGCTTGCTGTTGAGGATTATATCCATAGGTATACTTACCTCGGCAAGCAAAGCTAGCTACCACAGCCTTTCAGAATTGGACGGCCATTGCCTTGGCACTCTACTGCATTCAGCTTTTCGTAAAGTGCTCCTCTAAGGTTATAGTCTGACGTGTAAGAAGCTAATGTAGGATACCTTCTCGTCTGGGAAAGCGTTTCAACCAACCGCACAGAGAAGTTCAGACGGAAGGCCTAAAGGCCCCAAGATACGACCTTTTAGTGCGCTTTGTCTGGCGCTCTACAAGGCTTGGCAAATTGGTGACCAGGGCCCAGTACGTTGGTTCCAACAGGCGTCTGTCTGGCTTGACCTAACGGCAGGTAATTGTGGGCAGGTTTGCCACGACCTCTGTATTTAATTAAGTTCACGTCCTTCCTGCAATTAAGCCGAAACTGGGGCTACGTGTCGGTCTTCTGTTTACCCTAACAGTTCCAAGCGCCGCAAGGCTGGGCGCAACCGTTTCTCGTGAGAACCTGTATGAACCATAGGGAATGTTGCCGCACGTTTCATGTGCGTGTGCTATATACCCTGGCAGAGGCACTCAATGACCGAGCCCTCCCACCCTCGCTACCATGTGCTGCAGGCTCCATTCGTGTTCACAACGTCACCCCCGTCAAGGGGCCGCTGTGGCCCTTGGAGCTGCAGCACATTGGGGTTCATTTTCCGCTCAACATCAGCCGCTTATAGGTGCCGCTGTCATGGCTGCTTACCCTGCAATGGTAAGATAGTTCGCAGCGGTTGAAGTAACCACAAATCGCATTTTCATTAACGTGGCCTTTCCGACGCCAAACACATCATACTGATGACATTACTCCCTATCCCTGCCGCGGCTTCGACCGGTTGCTGCAGCCGCAACTGGAGGACTTTGATGGCGCATGCACGCTGCCCCTGCCAAGCGACTTCCAGATGCAAAAGCCAGTTATTTTCTGGCTAGATCCCGAGGACGAGGCCCTGGCAGGTCGGCATGAAGAGTGGTTGGTTGGACGTACATAGCAGCCATTGGTACGGTGCCGTACATTGGTGTCAGGCCAACAGCACGTTTCCTCCCGTTTCTCCTTGTACCCCTGTACCGTCTATTGCGACACACGGTCTTCTTGCTGCTTACACATTAAACCGGCGGACACTGAAATCCCTGTACGACATTGCGTTCTCGACCTTACCGCCCGTGGTGTTCTTCCTGTCATACAAACGTACGACAGGGGCCGAGTACGATAGCGGCGATGACGACAGTCGGGGCTCCAGTATTATTGCTGGGGACGGTGTTGCTGGCGGAAAGTACGACGGCAGCGACGGCAGCGGAGTCCGCTTCCACTGCGATAGCATGCAAGCCAGCGACGCAAGCGAGGCCCTACCGGAGGCGCCACCTTCTGAGTCGGCTGTGGACACTCCAGGGGAGCATGCGGCTGAAGTACGGCCGGTTGGATCCGCAGGTCCTGCGTCGGCGGTGGGTTTGGATTCGACGCTTGGTACGACAGCTGCTGCAGTTCCTCGTACATGCCAGGGGACAGTGGTAGGGTCTGGTGCGGGAGGGAGAGGAGGAAGCAGTGGCAGCTGCGGCGGCAATGATGGGATTTACCTGGGCTGTGGCTGCGGTGCCGCTTGCTTTGACGTTGGAAAGTTGAAGAGGGGCCGAGACGACGGCAGCAGCGTTGGGAAAGTAGCTGGCTGCAGCACCGGCACCGACAGCCCTGGTGCCAAGTTGCATTCCCCGCAAGTTTCCCGAGCTAATGCACCTGCGGTTAGCTGCGACAGTGACTTCAATACAGCCATTCCCGCAGCTAGCGCTAGCCTCGGCAGAGGCGCTGTTCCTGTCAGGTACGGTATTCCGTACCCGTACGCAGTACGAGCAGTCACAGCCGCCAGTGGCAATGACACCCGACGATCACTGTCGCCTGGCAGCGGCGACGGCGTAGTCCCTTCAGTGCAGCATGAGGGACAGGGACGGCAACGGGAACACCCAGCGAAGCGTCGCCGATGCTGTTGCGTGTGGGAGTGCAGATGCAGCCCTGCCGCAGACGCCTGCTTTCCAGCAGCCTGCCATGCGCCGCACATGCAACACGTGCTGCGATCCGATGCTGCATCACGCGCGCAGGCGCAACACGTGCAGCTCTTTTCCACGCAGCCCCGAGCTACTGCGTCGCGCGCGCAGCAGCAACAGCTGCAAATGCTGCGTCCTCCGGGGCTCCAGCTAGCTGCGGCGGCTGCAACCCGGCCTGGCGCCCGTGACTTCGCGCCAAGAGCAGGGCTGTACGGTGAAGGATGGAACAGGACAGAGAACGTCTTGGCGACGACACGTCAGCAGCCGCATGAGAGTCGCCGGGGTGTCTGCGACATGCGGGCGGCGACAGCCCCGCTGCAGCAGCAGCATTCCATGACACAGAGGCAGCCTCTGCAGCACGGGACGCCGACGGCTGTGCCGTTTCCAGCTGTGGCGGTTAGGCCACAGTCCGCTCCATCGTCACCTGTGGCGGGGTTTCCCAGTAGCAAGTGCTTACCCTACAGAGCGAGCAGCAGTAGCAGCGCATGCCGAACGCCTGTGTCGCTACCGGCGTCGTGTTTCACTCCTGCGGTGCCGAATAGCCAGCCTGCGGCTTGCGACTGCCTTGCATGTAAGCGCAGTGGCGGCATTGCGGCGCCGAGCAGCGTCGCCAACAGTGCTTTTGGCTCCATGCTAGGCGTCTGCGCGGGGGCTCCTGCTGCCGGTAGCAGCAGCCCTTACCCCACACGAGCCGCTTGTTGGGGACCGGAGGCAGTGACAGTGAAGACATTTCGGCCGTCCGGAAACTCCCCTGGGAGGACGACTGTTGGTCCCACGCCACTTGCTGCCTTTCCCGCACCTTCCCCCGCCCCGCCCATGACCTATGTAGTGACCACGGGAGCTTTCCTGCCGCCGGGGGGTCGCGCGCTCCTGCCTCCGCCAAGCTTTGACTCTCGCACAACGTCACCTGTACCGCCGTCACAGCAGCAGCAGCAGCGGGGGCAGCCTCAGTTGCAGCAGCCGTCGCCTCAGCAGCAGGAGGCGGCCCGACCCGCTAGCATTCCTCTAGTGCCACAGCATCAACAGCCACAGGAGCGACAGCAGCAGCACATGCAGCGTGCGCACGGCCACCTGCCACGCCCGGGGCTAACTCCCAAGGCATCCATACCCGTACCACAGCAGCAGCACATGCAGCAGATGCTGCCATCTCAACAACAACATCTCCCTATGCCTCTTCCCTGTCATATAACCTATACCCCGCGCCGGTACCGTCACTCTCGCAGCCAGCAGCAGCAGCCGCAAGCACAGCAGCAGCCCTCGCCTGCTCCTTCGGCAACAGCAGCAGCAGCAGCAACGCCGAAACGGACAACACCACCTGCATCGCCGTGGGCAGCAGCTGCAGCAGCAACCGCGGCGGCGCATGCAGCGGACATGCAATCAACCACAGGAGCACCAGCGGCGCTAGCAGTGGCAATCCAGGTAGCCCCGCCTGAGTGTTGTGCGGCACATGGCATGCTTGCAGCAATGGGGCCTGCCAGGGCTCACCCCCAAGGCACCCCGCTGGCCTTCCACTCCGCTGCTTTGGCTAGCGCAGCAGGCACTAGCACAGCAGGCGGAGCTGCAGGCGGCGGTGCCGCTTTCCGTCCTCCAGCATCAGAACCAACAGAGATCGACAAGCAACAAGCAACTGCCCCTCGGCCCATCTCTGCGGTTGAGCCCCGGCATGCAGGGCTGAGGGCGGCACCCTGTTCCATGGGCTCTGCCGCCGCAACCGTCACCCCTGGCGTTCCCCGCGCCTCGGCGTTCACTCCCGTACGACCCCAATCCGCACCCAGTGCTCCCACGCCGGCGGTGGTGGCCAGCAGGCAGCAGTGCAGGTGTCCCGGCTGCATGCGGCAAGCAGCGCGGCAACAGCTGCCGCAACAGCAAGCGGTGGATGCGACTGCAGCGGTGGAGCGAGCACGTCAGCTTGGGGTTGTGCTGCCGGCGGCTGCAGCAGCGGCGGCGCTGGCGGCTCCGGCGGGCGCACCGAAGCAGCAGCGCGTGTTGGGGCCGCAGGTGGTGGCGGCGGCGGCGGCAGCAATGGTGGGAGCAGCGGTTGCGCTGGCAGATCAGCGGCGGCAGCAGCAGCTGCCGCCGCCGCGAGGCTCGTCACGCTGACGAGTGGCGTTACCAAAGCTACGCGTGCTGGGGCATACGGCGGGCGGAACAGAACAGCAGCAGTGGCAGCTGGCGTGTGGCTTGAAGCTTATGGTTGTATGGTGTGGGGCCTAGGAGCAGGGTGGCTGTAAGGCCTAGCAACTGGCTGGGGACGTGTTCAGCGCACCTGTTGAATACATTATATCTTTTCCTCGCGGCTTGGTTGAATTTATCGCATATCGTGTTCGCAAACTTCATCCAATCCAGGACGGATGTTGTTGCGGGCTGGGGCAGGGTCGTGCAGCTGCAGGTGTTCACAGTTGCGGAGTACCTCCGATTCTTGCGGTCTTGTTGCAAACGTGACCCGTCGTCGTCGTGTTTGATTTATGGCGAGGAGAAGCACATGATAAAAGCTGCTCGTCCGGTGTTCACCACCGTGACGCCGTAACGGTAGCCAGACATTTGAATAATTTGTGGTTCGCTTCAAGCGTATGGGTTTGCTGAAGACGTCGTGCTCGATCACGTTCGGTTGAGGGCGCGCGCAGTGCGAGGGTTTGTGAGGGCTGGGTTCGGGGAGAAAACTGTGGGTACTTTTGGCATTTCACTGCCCATTGTTATGCTTTTCACCTAAAGGGTGAACAGCCGTAGGCATAGCTCCATTAGCTCGACACCGATTGCGATTGAACAGTAGCATCAATTTCGAATAGTCCTCAGGTTAAACACATGCATGCGAACTTGCAGTTTGGCAAGGAAGAAACGTTGCACTTCGATCCTAAGGGAGGCGACAATGATAGGCACGTCGCTTCACTAGTATCGCTTCCCTTGCGGGGGGCTAGAGTTTGGTCGTCGTTAGTTGCCTGATGCATTTTGTTGTTTGGTTGTTATAGCACCTTGCCCTGTGGTCGCATTCAAGGACTGAAGGAGTGGGACTCAAACCAACTTTGGGCACTTGTGTACATTTGCTGAACCCCGTTGCAATGGTTGGACGGTCGGTTTGGCAGGCTCCTTGCGAGCTGCAGTATATCTCCGAGTCACACACGCTCTACATAAACAAAAATACACAAGCAAGAGAGAGCGTGTTAGGCTGTACTATGCCAGAATCTGCAGCTCTGTTTGCAAACATGCTCCTGGTGATGTTTAGGGGCTTGGAATGGTGCACGAGCGACGAGGGACGCATAAGGCCCGAGGTTGCGGGCGAAGAGGAGGAGGAAGTGGACAAGAGACGGAGCGTGGAGACATTTGCTGCGTGCCGTTGCACCACGGGCCTTGGTACCTGGTTGCATGTTAACTGCAAAGGGGTTACAGTTACAGCACCAGTAAACCCATTCTAACAGCATTCTCCTTTCCGGTTGGAATGTGTGCGGTCTGAGAAGGGCCGAGGGTTGCCGCCGGAAGGGTGTCGATCCGTTCTTCCACCGCTTGTTGACGTGCTGTCTGGGTTGGTTGGGAAGGCACGAATGGATGGTCATACGAAGGCTATGCTTGACTTATTGCCGAAAGGTGTACGGATGGGGTGTCGACACTTCGTGTTCTGTCATGTACCGGCTTGCTGTAGTTGGGGGCGGGGATTTTCGCTCCTTTATGGGTATACGGGTGACTAAAGGTAGAAGATGAGAAGTGATGGGGAGCCGTCCTGGGGTGCTTTACAGTAATTAAAGTGCGACACTCGACGTAGATATTCGTGTACTAGTCTGTGGGTGTTTACTTGTATGGTGTAGGACATACTTGTAGACTGAAAGCGATCGGGATACTACCAAGTATATGCCATCAGTCTGGTTTTAGTCGTTAGGTCTGGTAAGATCGTTGTTTATACCGGTAGATGATGCTTAAGATGTTAGTTTGGTTAACGGTACCGGTAGTAAGGGAGGCACCATAGGCGCCCATGTGCAGTACCCTGTAAGGGGGCGACATGCGCCTTGGGGCTACTTGCTCTCATGGGCGCATGGACGGTTATGATTCTTATGAAGCTAGTTGGCCTCGTTGTCAACCCTACTGCAAGAGTTGCAAGCGGCTGTGCCGACGAGGCAGACGTGGTGAGCCTTGGCGGCATTACCAGTTTGATGTGTTACCACTTTGTTGCGTTATCAGGCAACGATGAGCTCCCTGGTAACAGTTCTTCTCATTGCCGATACCTGTAACCGCCACAACTAAACGACGGCAACTTCCACAACCTAACAATACCCATGCACGAATGCGCAGCAAAGTTGCAAGCTACCGTTCGGTATCATTGCCGCCCCTTCTGCAGCAATCCACCGCCGCTGCATCGTTTTTCCCTCTGCCTCTCCATATGACATCGTCTTTTCTTTTGCCACGCCTAGTTAAGCACACGCATCACCTTCCGATGCTTAACTTTCAGGTCCTTAGTCCTTTACCCACCCACATCAATGCATGGCATCGGCATGTGCGATCGAGTTACACTGCAAGCTTCTGCCGGCCCATTCCTACAGGTAGCAAGCATGAGCTCATCTTCTCGGTCCCTTGCCGGCGGGATCGCCGGCACCGGCACTCGCTCAATAGGAGGCAGTGCCGCCGCCGCCGCTGCCCTGTCCCGAAGGTGGGATTACCGCCGTGGCCGTCACAACGAACTCCTGCGGATGGGGCGCATGCAAGCAGACGTGTTACAACAGCAGCGGTAGGCAGGCAGGCAGATTGCGCTGGCGGCAGCGTGATACCAGTGATACCAGTGTTAAGGTGCGTCATGCATGGGAGCGATACCGATACACGTGACAGCAGGGCGACACCAGTGTCAAAGTGCATGGGAACAAAACACACCTGCGGGTCGTTGGAGTCCGCTGGGTGCAGTACCGTTGCAGCTACATGGTACCCACCCGCCGTGTCCGCCTCGACCTGCGGAGAGCGCCCACGTTTTGAACGCATCGTGTGGTTTGTATTTAGGACGAGCAAAATGCTCACATGGCGCTATGATACGTGCTGCGATACGTGCTTCGCAGCGACCAAATGGGTCAATGATTGGCTCTTCATTCCCAGCTCTTGCAGTCATTATATGAGTGAATGACCTTGAATTTCATCCCTTGCCCGATTGGCAACCCTTACCTCGACTACGTCATCCTCCACGTCCTCCTCCGCCATCGACGTGTCTCCTTGCTGCTGCAGCTGGCCCTGCTTGACCCGTGGGTCACTCCCGCCACCATGTGAACCTCCTTCGCCGCCCCTGAAGGACCGCGGGGACCATGCGCCGCCTGTTGAGGCAGCAACATGACCGCTTCCAGGCTCGGCAGTACGGCGTGTCAGCAGAAACCCTGGCCGGTGGTTCAGTGACCTTGGGCTGCCAGCAGCTGCTTGCAGCGGGCTGCCTGCATGCGGTTTGGGACAACAGGTTTGGGGGAGGTCACTTAAGCAGGGAAGCGGGTTCCAGGCTTATGGGTCATCATGTTTCACGGCTGTACTGGTGGTTTGGCTTGCTATGACAAGAGAATCACATGACCCCTTTTGTGTATGCGATGGACCATCTCGAAAGGAGGCGTAACCGACCCACGGGTCACCACACTCACATCCTCGCGGCCGCTGTGCATGGTGCCAGTGCCCTGCCTCCAACTGCTCCATCGGAATGTCCGCCCCGCAATACAACACGTGCCGTCCGCCCGACACAAACCCATCGCCCAGACCATGAGTCGGCCAGGAAGTAGCCGCCGCCGCCGGCGCAGTCGCTGTCACTGCCGCTTCGCCGCCACCAGTGGCACCGGCTGCTGCGCCGCCGGCGCCGCCCTCGGTGGCACGGCCTGCCTCGACGGTTGCTGCGCCGAACGCTGTGGTAGCTCCCAGGCCGCCGCGCGGCAGGCCAACTAATTCGTCGCCGACTCGGTAGCCGTACGGAGGGAGTTGGTCGCGTGGGAGGACGTCGCCACCGCCGTAATTGCCGCCGGCGCCGGGCGCGCTGGCTGCGCCTGGGTAGATGCTTCCATGGTGCTTCGACGCAGCGGTGCTGTAGGAATGGGCCGTGGCAGAGGGAAGAATTTCTAAAACCTGATCTTGAGATAGACGCCCTTTTCAGAGGCTTCTATATAACCGCGGCTGGGCAGAGGAGTTATCTCATCGTTCCACTCGCCCAAACAAACAGCACAGCGTGAAAGGCAAATTCCTTGCGATGCTGCGGGGCTTAGTGCAACGAGCAAGCCTATGCCGGCTAATAGGAATGTTTTTCTATTTTGAGCCATACAATTGTCTTCTTATCTGCAGCAAAGCGATGTGCTGCTCTGCTGCTTACCGGGGAATGTCCCTCGGGTCGCTTCGCGCGCCAGTTCCGCCGCCTGTGTCCATGTCCGAGTAGCCTGGACCTTCTTCCGTCTGCATAGTGCTAGGGCCTTCTGGTGCTTCTACAAAGGAAAAAACTTATCAATTGTCAGGCAACCCTTCTCTTGTTCTGGCAAAGGCGCGCAGCAGCTGTGTCAGAACCGATGAACATATAGTCTCTCTCAGGCTTTATATCGGAAACCAAGTTTACACCTGCAGCTTTGCTCGTCGCTCTGTGTAACTTATAATCTATTTTGAAACTCTTGAGATGGTGCAGCGTCAACCAAGGTTGACTGTACCGACGTGTCGTGTCGTGCAAGTGCTGTGCGTTCTTGCTTTCTTGGCAACAATTGCTGCGACCTGCAATTCTTCTTGCAGTGAGAGAAGGCAATGTACAGCTGCAAGGGTGCAATGTCACCTGCAAATGAAAGCTCCCTGCAGTCCAAGCCACTGGATAGCGTCATCGCGCGTGCTTAGCCAAGAGCACAACAAGGCTCCATCGTTCTTTTTGTGTACGTGTGCGCCACAAGAATGTTCGATGCGTCCATCATGACATGCGTCTTACCCACAGCGTGTACAGCTTAAGCGCAAACTTCTGCTACTCCCACTCTGCCAGCCACTCCCTAGACGTAACAACCGCTGCAACTCGCATGATCGACACAATGCATGCACGCTCTCCGAGGAGCTACTCGCCCCGCACGCACGCACGGTATACACACCCCAGATCTCAGCTGGCGAGCAAGCTATTCGCCCTTAACGTGCTGCAACCCGCGCCTCAATCAAGCTCCATGGCGAGATCACGACGCAACCGAGGCGCCAGCATCACAGTCGCCGCCTCAACCTCCTCGCTGGTAACCGCACCCACCCCGGCAGCAGCAGCAGCCCCAGCAGCCGCAGCAGCGCCAGCAGCAACGGAGCCTCCAACCGCACCTTGTGGCCCAGCTTCCTCTTGCTGCTGCGATGACTGTTGCTGCTGCTGATGCTGTTTTGAGTGGAGCTCCAACCATTTGCGTTCATTCTCCGTTAGATCACGCTGCGCTGATTGCTGCTGCTGCCGCGGCTGCGTATGTTGTTGTTCTCGCACCTCTCCTGCTGCCGATGCTGGGCCTTCCTCTGACAGCACCTCGCCACCACCGCTTGCTGCCGCTGCCGTTGCAGCAGCAGCTGCTACTGCTTCTGACCCCTCCGTTACCCCAGGAGTATACCCATATGAGGAGCTCCCATGCTCCTCCGCTGCCGTACTGTGAGGCTGCCGTACAGGCTCAGGCTCAGGCGCGGATGTGGATGCCGCCGCTTCCGCTTCTGCTGCCTGCGACGGTGGTGGCGGCGATGACACCGCTATGGGAACCGTGGGTCGCGGCGGGGGCGGCGGCGGCAGCACGGGCAGCGTGATCTCGAGCTGCTTGCGCGCCTTATCGAACCGCGCCTTGCCCTTGCTGTCGTCAACCGAGAAGGGCAGGGGCGCGTCCAGGAGGTAGCGGCCGGGCACCTGACGCATGGGGTGGGCAGGGAAACCGGTCAGTGGTTCCTCGCGGCTCAGTTTATCTAAACCCCCCATGGGCGAGGGTAAGGGCGGGGAAAAGATACGGCGGAGGTTGGACAAGCGAGGTGGGTTCCATGGAGAACGGAGTACGGGTAGTACCGGTAGCTATTTGCCCCCATGCGCGCCCCTGCTGCTCTCCATGCCCCCCCCCCGCCCACCTTGAGTGTTATCCTGCGCGGCCCCACGTCCAGGTCCACAGCGGCTGCCGAGGCGACCTCGGGCAGCGTCACCCGCACCAGCAGCTCCTGGGGAGGAGGGGAGTGGGGAGTGGCGGGTAGTGGGGTCAGGTGCGGTAAGGTGTGTTGGTACGGAGTGTTGGTTCCGAAGGCGCTTGCCAGGGGAGGGCACCGGGGCACCGGGTGCTTGCCAGCGGAGGGTACCGGGGCACCGGGCGCTTCCGCATCCCTCCCCTCATCACTCGAAGGAACCCAGCTAATCTAAACACCTCCTCTCGTCGCCCCTCACCTTGGGTACGCTGAACCCCACTGCCAGCCCCCGTCCCGCGTCGCCCCATGCCTCCGCCAGATCCGTCTCCCCGCGGTGCACCAGCTGCCACTGCGGGGTGGTTGATCCGTCAGGGTGCCGGTAGCCGGGCTGGGCGGGGTCCTGCGGGAGGGAGGAGGGAGGGAGAGGGAGGAGTGGTGGGAGGGGAAAGTAAAAGGTGGAGAGGGTGGGCACAGCAGTTTGGAAGGGAGCCACTTGGCCGCATACTGGGGCTTTAGAGAAAGGCAGCATGACAATCGCAAAGCAGACGACAGGGCGACATGGCAAGGAGGCATAAGAAAGCTGGCAGGCAAAGCTTCTCCGGCCCAAGTGCCTGTCTAGCCCTTCCTACGCTGCCCTCCTCGCTCGGACCCGCCAAGATCCAACCCACCTTGATCTCCTCCTGCTGCTGCTGCTGTGCCGCCTGCTTCGCCTTGTCCTTAGGGCGGTCAAACGAAAACCCGCTGCGACCTCCTGCCCCTCCGTCCACCTTCTTCCCCGCCTCTGCGCCCTTCCCAGCCACTGCAGCAGCAGCAGCACCGCCCGGTGCCGCAGCGGACGCCGGTCGCGGTTGCTGCCCTGGCAGCTCAACCCCCGGCACGTCCGGCTTGGGCCTCAGCCTGCCCTCCACCGCCTCCGCCCCTCCTGCACCTCCACCTTCCGATTCCGAGGTCGCCGTACGGATGCACTGTACGGGAGGTTCCGTACAGCCCTCCGTGGCTTTGAAGCGCGTGTTGAGGCGGCGCCACTGGCGACCCAGTCGGCAGCGGCTCACCGTCTCCACCTGCTCCAGAGCCTATGTGAAAGGGCAAAAGGGGAAAGAGCGAAGAGGCCCAAGGAAGACGTTTAGTGGCCCATGGGTCGGCATGACGCTTAAGTACTGTTCCATTGCTTTGCACGGAACCCCCACACCTGGGTGCGGGGATATGGGCATAAGGAGCGCTTCCGCTATCCACCTACTCAATCGCACCACCAAGCCCCGCCTTACCGTCTCCGCTAGGGAGCCCATGGCCGCCTCGTTGCTGGTCGCAAACTCCAGCGACTCGGGATGTACGACAAAATCGTACACAGCAGCGGGCTGGCCTGCATGGGGCGCAGTGTGCGGCGGGCGGTGGGGGATGTTGGTGAAGCCAACTGGGTACCAGTATCGAGCTTACTGACACCATTGGTAGGGGACACCACTCCCGACATGTTGAAGGAGCCATGCATGCACAGTCCCAGTCCCTCGCTGCGCCTACACATAGCCCCACCCTGCCCCGCACCCACCCCTGACCCCCACCCTGCCCCGCACCCACCCCTGACCCCCACCCTGCCCCGCACCCACCCTGCTTATCAGTTCCCATGCGCAGGGGCCCCAGGGTGAGGGGGATGCTCAGCTTCCTGCCAACCCGGCCGCTGGCGTCCCGAGCGGGCTCCAGACTGTAGCGGGCAACCTGGGGCGGGGCGTGAGGCGTGGGTTAGGGGGCGTCAGGGCGTGAGGAGTTGACGATAAGGAGGGATGAGGCGACGGGACGGCACGGGTATGGTAGTGATTTAGACCTGCGCAATAGCGTCGGCGCTGGTGGGGTGGGGTGGTCAGGTCGAGGGAGATTTAGGGCGAAGCTGAGGGCTGGAGGGATTATCTTGGGAGCACTTGGGTGGGTGTCAAGTGGGTGCGGAAGGCAGCTAGGGAGCTATGGGAAGAAGGGGCACTCATGCAGGGATAAAGCGACACACAACAAGGCAAGCAAGCGGTGCCGTGTATGCCCGGCACAGGGCATTCTGGGCATGGCTCCGAAGGTGCAGGGCATTGCTAGTCCTTACCTTGTCGCTGGTGCAGACGTTTATAAACACCCTCTGGCCCACGGTAAAGCCAGCAGCAGCGCCCTCCTTGCCACCACTGCCGCCCTGCTGCTTCACAGCCGCGCCTTCCTGCTTGCCGCTGCTTGCCGTACTGTTGCCGTTAGCTGTACTAAGAATCTTGGTCTTGATAACCAGCCCGGCCGTTGGTACGACAAGTTGTACCCCCTTGCCGTACACGTCCTCCCCCCGGCCTTGCTGTTCAAGCTGGCGGAGGTACTGGTCGGTTTCAGCCTTGACCTGATTGCAGGTGAAGATGGCATGAAAGCAGGCGCCTCTATAGCGGGCGTCAGGTATGTTGAAGTAGAGTGTGCGCACTAATTCAGGTAATCCCACCGTTACCTAGCCTTAGTAGACGATCGACCTACTCGTCATTTGGGTCGGGTATAAATCAGGGTTAGGGACTTCTCATACACCCCAAGTCCCTCCCGACATATCAAAAGCCCAACAGCTGGGGCTTTTGCTGTCCGAACCCGAAGTTTCTGCACACCTTCGGGTCGGAAACTTCTTTCGCATACTCCTCGAACAGCTTAAGGAACTCGGGATCCTTGAATGCTTTTTCAAATTTGTTCATCTCCTGTACAATGCCACCGCAAGGGATCGCTTACAAGGGGTCTCCAGCATTAGCTTGACTTCCCCGCGGCCCGCGGCCTTGCAAGTTGGGCAAGTACAGCATCATGCTGCTTTCCCACCTCATTCGTTAGCTTCAGATCCTTCAAGCTTTTCTCCAAGGCGTCGGATTCCTCGCTTGCAGGTGCCATTTCCTCACCAACTCGTTGTGTGGAGTATGCGTGACTATCTATATGCCCTTATATTGATAGTAATACAAGCATACGAGTACACAAGGAAAAGCTCAGCCAAAGCTACCTCTGACAGTCCGTCAGTTGATTATATTATGAGTAAGATCCGCACAGGGAGCGGGTTGACGATTTTTCTACAACCGCATATCAACAGCAAGAGAGTAGTACATGGCGTTACAGCGATTGCTTTACGCAATACGCATGTTGTGTACGGCAGCCGCGTAAACGCAGGGTTCCGTACGCAGCACCATTGAACAGCCATGTAAGCCTGGCAGTGACGCCGTGCCAGCTCCATATACTCTGACCTATTGAATTGATATTGGTATAGGCGTGTCGGGGGTGGGTCTCTTCTCCTAATCAAAAGATTTTGTATGTGTATTACGAAAGTGCTCTTGTACTGCTTGCGAAGTTTGCTAAACGTACCCGCAGAAACTCGCTTTAGTCGATTATGCGCAAGGGATGCCAGATGCTTGCCGAAAAGGCTTGGCCTCACCATGGCACTGCGCCAAGCAGTAGCAGGGTGAAGGTTGGCATGAAGTTGCCTAACTGGTAAGTGATAACGCTGCAACTAAGGAGTCCTTGCTGTGAAAATTCCGCTACCGAAACTGCTGTGACCTATTAATAGACGCAGGAGCCATACGCTGCAGCACAGTTTATTCTGGTGCATCCAGGTGGTTATGCGGTTGCCGCCGGGGCCATCCGCTGGTCGCCTCCGGGTCTGGATTTTGGCATGCTTCAGCACCAGGTACGACACATGGTGTTATGCAAGTGGGCCAGCAAAAGCTTTTAGGACCTGCTAGCCAGGGCACGAGTCAGTCCACTTGTCCTTTACCCGTGCTGGCCCCGAACATCATCCATAGGAGAATGAGCAGCATGGCAGAGGAGGGTTCATTTGTTTGACGCACAACACCCGCGCCGGCTAGGGCGGTTAAGGTAGCATGGGCGCCGGCTAGGGTGTCTTAGGTAGGATGGCCCCGTTACCATGCGCACGAAGGGTTCTGTTGTGGCGGGCAGCGGAGGATCCTCTAGTGACCGGAGGAGAGTGCGCACATGTTTGCGGAACGAAGGCAAAGCTGTCAAAGGCGGCGCGCGATTGCATGATACCGTATGGTCCCGTGTGCAGGAACTGCACGGAATGGGCCTGCGTTCTTTAGCATGGAAACGCTAAGTAGTGCCCATCCGCCAGGTGGTGCTCCCGGGAACGAACGTTTCCTTGCGGGAACATGTAGGAAGCGTACTCTCGAGGAAGTATGCAATGCCTGTTCTCCACGCCGGCGATTCGGGCAAGTGCGCAAGCCAAAAACGGTGTAAAGCGCAGGACAACCCTCCCGAGTAATTTATACGTATCAAGCGGCCCACGCATTAATAATGTAATAATTCTATGGGAATATGCCCATCCTTACGTGCTTACAATGCAAGCATAATATGTGTCACGCACATAAGAAGGCATTACACCACAATATGTGGGTAGGGACATTGGAGAACTTGTTTGTGTTTGTGTAGTAGGACACCATAGGGTTCCCTCGGCAGAATATTGGAGGATTTTAAACCGCGCCCCATATATATTGCCGCCAGTCGGCCTCCCGCTCATACTATCCAAAAGCGCTTACCAACTGCATTTACATTGACGTCTCAAAAAGCATCTCCAGATAAAACGGTTACAGCCCAGGATCGTAGATTGCAAGCTTGTTCCTGCTCGTCCATAATATTGTACGGTAGCAACCTCAAATAACAACAACCTCCCATCGACTAGTTTATTCTGCAATATTGAGTGCTAAGTATTCGTAAACAGGAGCATCAAGATGGCCCTCAACATGAAGCAGCGTATGGATGCGGGTAAGGTTGTTGAACACCGTTTCACGGTCGCCTTGTGTTGCATTGACACCGGCGCCTGCGACGTCCGCAGGGCTCTCGCGCAAGGCGGCCCGCTCTTCTGTGAGCCGCTCTTCTGTGGTTAAAGTTCGGTCGGTAGCTGCCCCAGCGCCGCCCGCCGCCGCGGTTCAGGAGGCAAAGAAGGCCTATGGCGTCTTCCGTCTGTCTTATGACACCCAAAATGTGAGCGACGCTACCCGCTGGCCCGCGCACGTATACAAAGCTTACCAGCTTGCGTCTGGTTGCGCAGGAGGACCCGTCGTTGACTCGCACTTGGAAGAAGACGATTAAGGTCGCTGTGACTGGCGCCTCCGGCAACATTTCCAACCACCTGCTCTTTATGGTAAGAATGCAACCCCGCCATTTTGATACATAGTCCTGGGAGTTTACCGCATCTGGAGTAGTCCGCCACATGTTGGTCGTTGGCCCCTTTTACAGTTATTGTTTTGCCCTTGAACTCTTTCCACAGCTCGCTTCGGGTGAGGTGTATGGCAAGGACCAGCCCATTGCGCTTCAACTCCTTGGGAGCGACCGCTCGAAGGAGGCCTTGGAGGGCGTTGCCATGGAGCTTGAGGACAGCCTGTACCCTCTCTTGCGCGAGGTACGCTAACCTTTCCTTGCTTTCTAAATGTAATCTCCTTTTAGCGTTGCGACCATCGTTGTGTTTGTTTCTGACTGGGTACATTACTTCATTGTACCGCCTCGCCAGGTGAGCATTGGCACTGACCCCTATGAGGTCTTTGGCGACGCTGACTGGGCGCTTATGATTGGAGCTAAGCCTCGTGGCCCCGGCATGGAGCGTGCCGACCTGCTGCAGCAAAACGGCGAAATTTTCCAGGTTCAGGTGCGTTAGCTGGCAGTTCGCTAAAGCGCTTTAATGGCTACAACGCACCCCATTACAGTGGAGCAGTGGACAGCTGTTTAGCTGACCATTATGCATTTCTTAGTAACCGCCTTTATGTGAATATCTGTTTCCAATCAGACTAGTGCGCCCGGTTTAGCCTAACACCACCTTGATCTACAAACGCCCGATTTCGTCCGCTTTTGCTCCAATACAGCATACATCGCACTAGACAGGCATGCTGTACCTGTGGAACACGTACTACCGATATACATGTTGACCTTCACTGCGTGTGCTCCATCACTTCATGATGGTTTATAAGGCCTAGACTGGTCTAGGTGTATTGTGTTAAGGAACGTATCTATGTGCAAACCTATAGGCAACAGTACGCCATCGCACCTAACCACACCTAACTGTCATTAATCTTCTTCTCCTCACACATGCAGGGCCGCGCGCTGAACGACTCTGCCAGCCGCAACTGCAAGGTGCTCGTGGTAGGCAACCCCTGCAACACCAACGCGCTCATTGCCATGGAGAACGCGCCCAACATCCCGCGCAAGAACTTCCACGCGCTGACCCGACTGGATGAGAACCGCGCCAAGTGCCAGCTGGCGCTGAAGAGCGGCAAGTTCTACACAAGCGTTTCGCGCATGGCGGTGTGGGGCAACCACTCCACCACGCAGGTAGGGCCGTGCGAGGGCGTCGTACGTACGTCAGGGTAGGAATGGCATGTGTATGGGAAAGGGTGCATGGTTAGCAACCATCCTCGCCGCTGCAGCGCACACACACCCACCAGCACTTCACCTCCAATCCTTTACCCCACCCGGTTATCAGGTCCCCGACTATATCAACGCTCGTATCGGCGGCATCCCCGCCACCGACGTTATCCGCGACATGAAGTGGTTCCGCGAGGAGTTCACGCCCAAGGTGGCCCTGCGCGGTGGCGCGCTCATCAAGAAGTGGGGCCGCTCCTCCGCTGCCTCCACCGCCGTGTCCGTTGCCGACGCAATTCGTGCGCTGGTGACGCCCACCGCCCCCGGCGACTGCTTCTCCTCGGGCGTGATCTCGGACGGCAACCCTTACGGCGTGAAGGAGGGCCTGATCTTCTCCTTCCCCTGCCGGTAAGCATGAGGGTTGCGGATGAGGATGGTTACGGCAGGTATTAATGCAGGGGTCGGGCTCGCAGTTCTGGCGCTGGTGTGCGATTGAGCCATGAATGTGGCATGCATCTGTGGCCATCTGTGGCATGCAGAAATGGACTGCCGTACAAAGCCTCATACCATTCTCGCTGATCTTCGTACCATCTGTCGTACGATGTCGTACCCCACCCCTGCCCCACGCAGGTCCAAGGGCGACGGAGACTACGAAATCTGCGACGACTTCATCGTGGATGAGTACCTGCGCTCCAAGATCCGCGCCAGCGAGGACGAGCTGCAGAAGGAGAAGGAGTGCGTGTCGCACCTGATTGGCATGATGGGCGGCTCCTGCTCGCTGCGGGGCGCGGAAGACACCACGGTGCCCGGTGAGAACTAAGCAGCCGGGCCTTAGCCTGGCTAGTTGAGAGGGGCATTGTAGTAGAGACGACTGGGAGAAAGGGATTAAGGCAAGGTAGTATAGTTTATTTTTGCGTGGAGGGTCTTGAGGAGGGCGTGCGAGCGAGGGCTGAGGCTGACAATGTGAGGGATGGGAGGGTGAGGCGGTGAGAAGGCGCATCAGAGGAGAAGAACAAGAAGCACGATTGCAGCAGCTGCTTAGGGAAGTGGCTATCAATATTCGGCTGTATAACATTGCGGATTGTATAACAACATCGCAAGGCAATGGAGATGAGGGAAAGTGGAGTGGAAGCAAAAAGATGCGAGGTGCATGCAAGGGAGCAGCAGTGGAAAGAACGTTCAGGGGAGATTCAAGTGACTATGGATTCCGTATGTGAGGGTAGCGGTGCATCCTAAAATTTATGGTGGGTAGCACGAGAGGTGAGGGAGTGCTGCCTGCTTTGGGTCTGAGGAGTAAACGATGAAGAGCATGCGGCGAGAGAGGGACCACGGGGCCGGACGTCGTCTTGGGAGACAGTTAATGCTTTTGGCGGTTATTAAAGGGTTACCAACGAAAGCTGCGATTTCGGCTTCATGTTGCTGTTGGGCCATGGCGGGCCATCTGTCACGTCTTGGACTTTGATGCAAATTCCATGTTTCGAGCACGGATCATTGTGTTATGTGAGTTGTTTGCGGTTGTGTCCTTCCCAGCACAGCCGCAAGTGACCCTCTTGAGTGGAGAGTAGGAGCGTGTTGTTTTAAGTGCGTGGTTTGGATATCCGAGTGCTGCTGATAAATGAACTGACGCCGCCTCATCTGCTACTTTCGTAGATAGCGGTTCTCTTTTACCTGTCTTGCTAAGCTGGTGTGACAGGCTTTAATTCAGCTGGTAGGCGTTGGTGGGTTTACTTGGCCGTAGCAAGGTTACTTGAAGCGGACGACTTAAGAAGACACCACCCTTGTGTGTTTCATGAATGCCTTGTTTGCTGCTAATTTGTTGCTGGTTCTAAGGCGTGCTAGAGCGATCTGATGATCTGCCTGTCGGCTCTCGCTCACGGCAGTTCTGTCCCCAAGCCATTTGCAGACGCTATAACGACATTATCGGGCGGTATTAAGAGCGGAGTGTGTGTCTCGGTTGTTAACTGCTGCTGTTTGATAACTCAGGAGTTAATGAACTGCAGTTAACGACGGAGTGGCGAGGCTCGTTAAGCCTTAGCAGGCAGAGTGTCTTGCAAGCACCTCGTTTCTGCTTTTGCAAGGCCCGGGCTGAACCATTATCAGCTGCTTGGCATGCGCAAAGGAGCCTTCTTTGGCCCCTGAAATTCGCCATTACATGGCTGTACGGACATATACACCCCTCTCGTCTGACCATTGTTTGCAATTGCTTATGACGAACAAACTTTACCTGAAGGGTTGTTGTTTGCCGGGTTTGTTCCTCTGTGAGACCACTGTTGTTGCTCGGGGTCGGCTTGAGTGTGTTGAGCTGCTAACAACTTAATGCACATGGGCAAATACGTCAACCGGCGTGGCAGTGGAATGGTCATGTTGACTTTGGCTTGATGTCAGTGGGAGGAACGCAACTTGGCTCGTCGCCTTCGTGCTGTGTGTGACACTGGTTCGGCTGCGTGGGATGCATGACCCTGCCGGGGTTGTGCATCAGCCGTTCCGGCCGATTTGCTGAGAACCCAACGTCGCTAGTAGCGTGTGTTCGTAGGTTTTGTTAGCAGCCGTGCTCGTTGGTGATGAGGTTTATCCCGACCAAGAAACGTTCGGCCACATGACCTGTTGTTGACCTAGTCTCCCACCCCCTCTCTTACTAAGCCTTTGCTGCGTCTGCCGCAGTCAAGGGATGCTTGGTGACACATGATGTTACTGGGACACGACCGGTGTGTAAGGCTGCAACCCACTATTATAACCAATGCCAGTTCCAATGAGCTAAAGCGGGGAGTCAGAGAAGAGCTGAAGCCACGGCAGCAGCATGACCCATGGGTCGCCGCCATGGACAGTACTCTAGACTCCTTCTGCATGAACCTTCCCCGTTTGAAACCCACGCGAATGTGCCATGTTGCGTATATAAGATGCAACGGTGTACTCCGGCATGGGTTACGTACGCATACATAAACTAGGTCTCATTCCCGTCTCACGACTGCACAGTGGCAACAAGCGCAACACATGCCACACGCCAATCAGTTACAGAGTCATGTGTGATGCATGTCTCCTCGTAAGCGGCATTATGCCAACTAGGACCTTGCCTTTGTGAGATGCAGGGAAGTCCTGTGGAAATCCTGTCGCCTCAGGGGTTGTGTGTGCAAAGTGTCCCCGTCCGAGACAGCTCGCATGGGTTGCATGCCGGTACCCTGGGTTTGAAACAACAACTACCATTACAAGGGCAACAGCAACCAGGACTAAGCCTGGACACCAGCTTGGATGGGCCAGTGTGATGGTGGAGGCTACTAGCAAAAGGGGAAGCACGTGAACCAAGAAAGGCTTATGAGATAAAGCTTGTCCACGAGGTACGGTACACTTGCGTGTTACAAACAGAATAATCCGCATCCTTATCATATGACAGGAAACTCTCCACTCTATGCTTATCGGACTGGGAAAAGGACATCATAGGCTACCGTACTCGCACACAACTGCCGTACGCCACTCCCTGCTTAACATACACGTTATGCACGTTTCTATTGCAACGCATCCCAGTGGGCTAGCTAGCTCAAAGCTCCCCCTGTGTAGTTGTGTTGCACCCAGCGCGCAGCACTCACCCTTAAGCCCGTGCCCGCCGTTTACAAAGCGGCACCGTCAGCAATCCCTCTCATGTATGTGTCATGCGTCAATATTAGCAATAAATCACGTCGAAAAGCCGAACATACCCGTCGGCCTTGATGAGACAGTTCGTAAAACAGCAAATAGCCAAAACATGCCCATACTCCACATAACATGCGCCCGCTCCCCTACCTCCTGAGCCCCCTCACCAAGGGCGACCAAGGGGCCCTTCCATGCGCTTATAATACAGGATATCTCCAACCGATGACGCACGATAGCAAGACACCGACACCAAACAGCAACCAGCCGCAACCTCCCGCATTGCTAGCTAGACTTCCATCCCAACGGTACACTGCTGGCACCGCTTAGAACTGAACCATCTGCTCCTTCTCGTACCCCATGGCCTTCAAGAAGGGCAGGCAGGCGTACTCGATCATGGGCGGCGGGCCGCACATGAGCGCCAGGCGCTCGGAGCCCGCAGCAGCGAACAGGTGCTCGCGGAACATGTCCTGCGTCACCCGGCCCGTGCCGTACTTCCACTCGGGGGTGGGCTCGACAACCGTGTACCTGAGGGGTGGCATGGGAGCAACGGAAAGGGGGGCCAGTTAGCCTAAAGACCTCGCAAATTGGCAAGTTGTGAGGATGGACAAGGGCAGACAGCATCGACAGGCTATTGGCTATTGATGTGGCAACCCCCGAACTCTGGTGACCCAAACAACAACCAACATGCCGCTCAGCAAACAATGTAGGCACCGGTCGCAGGTCGCACATCCCCACCGCTACTCACCACAAGTGGAACCGGTCGGGGTTGTTGTTGGCTAGCTCGTCCAACTCCTCGCGCAAGAGGATGTCCTGCTCCGTGTTGTTGGCGTACACCAGGCTGAGCTGCGTGGTGTCCCGTGGGTCGGCCAGCGCCGCCCGGATCACCGCATAGCAGGGCGTGATGCCGGTGCCTCCCGCGATGAAAGACATGTGGGTGGCCTGCTTCGGGTTCTTCCCGTTGAGCGTGTAGCACCCAGCACCCTCGAACACAAAGTGCCCCAGCGGGCCCTTGAAGTCCAGGCAGTCGCCAATGCGCAAGGACTCCATGTGCTGGCTCATCTTGCCGCCGGCAGGGAAGGCGGGGTGCTCGTTGGCAAAGTACACCTTGATGAGCAGGTCGAGTCGCCCCAGCTCCTGGTCCCCGCTGACTGGCGTGTAGGCGCGCATGACGGTTTCCCCGCCAATGTTGGCGTACACGAAGACGTGCTTCCCCACGGGCAGCCCCACCCGGTGCTCGGGGCTGGGCAGGCCGAAGCGGAAGATCCGCGTGTTGCGGTTGAGCTCGATGCGGTCGATGAGGGGCAGCGACACCTTGGCACGCGGGTTGAGGGCCACCAGGGGGGCGGCGGCGGCGGGGCCCTGGCAGGGGAAGAGGTAGCGAGGCAGGCAGCAGCAAAAGGGAAGTGAGAAAGGGTATGGCAATTGGAAGGCACGAGCAAGAGTCAAGGGGGAGAATGATGATTCGCATGCATGTGTGCTAAGTACGGAAGTAGTGAAATGTGTGTATGCAGCAAGCATGCAGATAGCGAATAGAGGTAGAGAACACACGCAGCTCGCTGAATAGGAAAGGTGTCACTCACCGACGTGCTAGCTACGGGTTGCGGCTCCGGTGCTGCCGGTGCTGCCGCCGCTGCCGGTGTTGCGTCTGCCGACTTGCTGGCCACCAGTTCCCCGATGTAGTACTGCGCGAGCATGCTCTTTGCCTTGGTGGAGTGGATGGAGTTGAACTCATCCGTGGCGTCAGCACCCGCCACAATGAGGATGGACTCGGAGCCGCCCGGGTGCTCCTCCAGGTACGGAGTGGCGTCGTACACCTGCAGACAGGGTGAGGAGGCAGGGGCGGAGGTGACCCATGGGTCATGGGGTCAGGAAGCACACGGAAGCAACAAGGTTGGTTTACGCATGAGGAAAGGTGCAGGGGATTCGAAGCCATCATTGGCAACAAAGGCCCATGCTCAGAAAGCGACCTATATGGGAAGTCCACGATAGGACCAGCCCCTCCCCGCCTCACCTTGCCATCGTGTACGAACCAACAGCTCTCCTCCGTGTTGTGCTGCGCCACCTCCTCCATCGTGTACTGCCGCGGTCCCGCGGTGCCGTTGGCAGCAGGCGCACTCGCGGCCGCGCCCGCTCCCGCTGTGGGCTGCGGCGGTGGCGGTGGCGCCGGCACGCCGCTTCCCTCCTTGACCGCCGCCAGCGCTTGCGCTACCAGCGCCTCCTCCTCGCGCCAGCCCACGTTCCCCAGCTCGCCCTGCTCGAGGGGCGCTGGGTGTTGGAAGCGCAGCCCCAGCACGCCATCAGCGCACACGTGCGGGTGGATCTTGATCCTGGGGAGGAAAGGGTGAAGAGGGAAGTGGATGAGAATGTTGGTTATGGTGATTGATTGCCCTTATGTGGACAAAGGAGTATAAACCGCAGCTGCTGACTGAAGCCAAGCACGTCCTGGACTATTTGCTCTTCCTAGTTCCTAGTAAGGAGCGTCTGTACCACAGGCCGGGGATGCAACAGCAAGAAGCAGATGACCGTTGTTAAATTCTGTTACCCTCACCTGAAGTAGCAGTTGTTGAGCATGCCCATCAGGTTCCAGGTAATCACCGCCGGCTGAGTGTTCATGGACTCATCCCAGGCGCGCAGCAGGACCTCCTTAGCGCTCATCAGCTCGAACGTCATGACGTCCAGCGTCCAGTGAACCCAGCACCAGTACTTGCCTGCAACCAGAGTGGGAAGGGGCGGGCTTGGTTAGTTAGCTAGCAAGGGGATGGTTGGTTCAGCCTCAACAGGGTGAAATGTGTGTCACGTGTTGTAGTTGCGCGTTGAAGAGGATAGCTACCAAAGGCTCAGGGCGTGGGGTGCGCAAAAGGTCTTTCATGCATGCAAAGCACTCCCTCGCATGGATGCCCGCCGGTCTGCAAAGGCACCGATCGGTCGCGGCCGGTAGGCAAGACAGGAAGCAAGCACGACGCGTTCCACGCCTCTCTTTCCCTCTTCTCCCTTCCCTCCTCTGGCTCACCGTACGCATTGGGCTTCTCGAACCTCTGGATGTCGCCCAGCCTCCAGGTCTTGCCGTCGTCCAGGGACACCTCGCAGCGAATGATCTTGCGGCCGGCACCTTTGGAGGGAATGGGTGGCAGGTGGGCAGCAGCCGGATGTCAGCATGCTTGAAGTGGGGCGTGTAGTTGTATGGCGTGGGGTTTAGGGGTTAAGGAAAGGAGCATGCAAGTGCTGAAGGAGGGCCTAGCTGAATAACAGTTGAGCCAAGGGCCGTACAGTCATGTTGTTACGTGACCCCGCTGCCCCACCCCCTCTCCTACCTGCGTACGCGTATCCGCTCATGGTGTAGGGCCTGTTGGCGTCCAGCCGGACCACCTCGTCGTGCGAGGGCCGCGCCACCGCAGAGTTGATGTTGAGGTCCGTGATCATGAAGTCGGGCTTGTACCACCAGCCTGAATGTACGCAAGGTGGGGAAGAAGGGGTTAACGTAATGCAACGCAAGGACCTAATTTGAGCAAGGATTAGCAGGCTATGAGCTATGCATCGATAGGGGCAACAGCGCAATGGCATAGCCGAGGCGCTATATTAAGGTTGCCAGCCAACACCATGGGCTATTGGCCTGCAGCAATGAAGTTGTTCTTAACTCCTGTAGTACCGTATTCATGACACTCACCCTCCGCCGTGGCGAGAGCCTCGTCCACGTGCGACGGCATCACGCGGTTGTCCATGAAGTGGTAGAAGTTCTGTGACTCCGTCTCCGCCACCTCAATCTCCTCCAGCCACTTGATCATGCGGCCGCCGATGTAGCCGGGGATGATCACACGGACCGGGAAGCCGTGGTCCGGTGTCAGCCACCTGAACGGAGGGATTGGAAGTGGCGAGGGGAGCAATTGGGGTCTTTGTCAACCACCTGATGAAAAAATGACACGGCAGATACGTGGGACAGCAGCCCGTTGCACGCCCTAGGACAGGATAGCCTCCCAGAAGGGCTATCACGCTCACCTATGGTTCTGCTTGTACGCCAGGATGACGTCAGACGCGGGATCCATGGCCTTGCCGTACGTCACCGAGGTGCCGTACGAGCCGTCTTCTCCGCGCGGCAGCTCGCCCTTGGGGCCGCGGAAGCGCACGTAGTTGGCGCCTTGCTCAGGAGTCTGGGGAGAATGAAGGAATGGGGAGAGGGCAGGTAAGGATAAGGCCACAGAATCAAGTAGCCAAATCCAGGGCAGGTTGAGCTGCAAATTTGTGTGCCCATGCTCTTAGCATCCATGCGAGGAAAGTGTCCAGTACCAAACATACCTTAACGCCGGCAAGCAGCAGCACATCCCGCAGCCGCACCCCGGTCCAGTACGAGGTGCTGACAGCGCCGCAGCCCCAGTTAAAGCCGATGGACTTCTTGATCATGTTCTCTTCCTTGCGGCGGTTGCCGGCGCAAACGAGAGTACAGGGGAAGGTAACGGATGGCAGCGATAAAATGTCGTCCATGGTAAGCACCAGCGGCTTATCGACTAAGCCCTTGATCTCAACGCGGTGCTCGCCCCAGGTGATGCGCGGTGGAGGCCCATGGTTGCGAACGAAATGAACGGCCGGAGGAGTGATAAAACCATACTTCATGAGGACATCGATGGGCGGCTCGCAGTTGAGCGGATGGCGACCGGTGAGGCGAATAATGCGAGGATCACGACGAACCCAGCTGTCAGGCGTGTTCTGGTCTTTCTTGTCGACCTGAGCCGCTGGGACATGCAACTGCCATTCAGGATGGTCGGGAGTCAACGGTGGCTCATACGGCGCACCGTGCTCAACCGCTTGAGAGATAATAGCACCAGAAATCGGCTCGGATGCTGTCATGTTGCTTATGATGCTAAGATACTGAAACAGGTACGTGACCGGTGAACTGCTTGCTCGACTAACAGGTCCCAGGAAAGCACTACTAAAAACAAATCTATTCCTATTCCTATATGAGCTATATGATTCAGCAAAACGACTCTGCAGCAAGACGACGAAAGATTGAACCGGTGTCACGTGCACGTAAGCGTACTGGAATACTGAGCAATTGTTAATGGAAGAGGTGTGTGCTCCTTTTAACTTCGGTGCTTTTATGTACGTGCTGATAACCTTCTCGCTGGGTGCCCCCTCGCTGGTCGTTGGGCCACCTGTTCGCCGTACGCTAAAAGGGCGCGTGGCTTGTAGTGGCCCCTTTAGTATGGTCGCTGCGCTTTCACGACGTGATCATTGTTTGCATTGGTTTATCCAGTTGCTTTGCACAACTAGCTCGCGTTTCCCCCTACAGCACGATTCACGTGGCAGTGATTTGTCAGCGACCTTTGGCACGTGAGCACGTGCGTCGAGCAAAATACATTTGCATGCTTGACTATAGCAAACAAAAAAATGATTACAATTTTACTCCGAGTTAACTTGGTTTACATACTCGCAAACCCTAATGCTTGGAAGCCAGCAGCGCGAGAGACGTAGACAGTCCTTTGTACTCATTCAATGAGAGGCAACATCTTTATCATTTTACAGAGGAGACGCCTAAAACATGGATCGTCCATGCTTCTCATGCCTTCTTAGTCACGCCTGACGCGCGTTTTTTTGCCATGCAATGTCTCCTAGAGCATAATTTACGGCTATCGTCAAAACATGCAGTGCATTGCCGGCATGCCATTTAAATGTAATAAACCAATTGAACGTCACGTATTTCCCCATCAACTATCAGTATGCATTATGGAAGCATGGACATTTGGGACACGCACAGCCGCGCGAAAAAATTGGACACAAAAATCACAAGCTAATGCCAACAAACGCCCAACGTCGGAGATGCCGGTGACTTGACTGCATATCCGCTTGCAAGTTTAGATCCTAACCTCTCTCCATGTTCGTTCCCGCCGCCTGACAAAGCTTAAGCACAGCCCACTACCCGGTTCCTGTATGACCTATAGCTCTCCTGCACCCATGTAGAACTTTTGACGTGTCAGGTATCGCACAGAACCGAGCGTGTTCATACTCTATGTACCATACCACATATGGACCCTTTAAGCACTAGCTTTCCGTGCCAACGGCCGTGAAAGTCAAATCCCTTTCCGCCACGGCCTCCGCATGTCCGCAAGCATCTGAGCATGGCCGTGCGGTTAACACGCTTTGTCTGATCATCGATCTGAGGGTGATTTGCAGTCGACAAATAGACATGCAAGGACAGCAGCTCACCCAACGCAGCCCAAAACCTATTTGCTAATTAAGAGCCACAATCAGAGACCACGCACGTTAACAGGCATTCTGTGCAAACGTACAACGTTACCAAAGAACAGGCGGGCAGCTTGCTCAGCGATGTAACCATTTGTGGTAGGAGCCAGGTGTGCCGTTTCAGTTAGGCGGTCAACTAGACAAGGACAAAGTCGTAACTCCCTTCATTGTTGGGCAGCGCAACAAAATCCATAGAGACACTTTCTCAGGGCGCATTTGGGGTGGGCAGCGGTTGCAACAGGCCGTGACCCACCTGTACGGATCCAGAAACCACGGCGCAAGTCAGCTTAGCGGTAATCTTGGCAACAGTGCACCATGGGTCAGTAGGGTAACCAAGTTTAATGCAGGCAGCGAACGCAGAAACAGACAGCGGCAGGGCTGTCTGGGCGGACTACCCGGTATGCAGGTAGGAGAGCATCAGAGACCAGTCGTCTCAACTTTAACGGACGAGCAGTGCTCAAGGACCCGCATCAGCAACTGCTGATGGAGTGCGCGGCGGAGGTGCTGGCGGCCGTGGTGCTGGCAACAGGGTGGTGGTGGCCCGGCAACAGGGAACTTTGTCAGACGTGTGGCGCTGGCGGTTGCGAACGCTAGGCAGGTGAGGGTGCATGGAGTGGTGTTGCGTGTCCTGGGCCCATTTGCATGCGTCACTGCAAATTCATGCCGTGCCTGCTGCTTGCTTACGATGCACCATGACAGTCCTGGTCATGAGTGCATGAATCCCTCGTGCAGAATTATGCCCAGATTTGCATGCCCAATGCTGTACTGACAACTACCGGCACTTCCACTACAATGGTGGCGCCAGCCGTTACTGCCTTCAGTGAGACAGCCTCAGCGCTGCCCGTCACTTTCGGCCACCTGTCGTACACACTTGGTCTGCGCGGCCCTGCCAACACCGTAGACACGGCCTGCTCGTCCAGCCTGGTGGCCATCGCATGCATGCGGCACTGGCGGCACTGTCACGCTTTAATACCGGCAGCAGCAGCAGCGTTCAGGAGACACCATCAAACGCACGCTGCTGGTCTTCTCAGCAAGGTGCCCAGCACTCCACGCCCGGATGCGGATAGAGCGAGACACCCAAATCACAATGCGCGGCATATCTTTTCAGCGCAATACAAACCTACCATGGCGACCGTACCAGGGACCGGCGGTCTGGCGCCGGTCCGGCAATGGGCTATTGCGGCGGCACAGTGGCTACGGGCGCAGACCTTGCTCTGGCACCGGGGAGCTGGGTTCCATTGAAACGTGCTGCAGCTGTAGATAGTGATGCAGCTTAGGAAGGGTTACCAACCACTACCATTTGGCTTCCTGACAGGGTTCAGGCCATGTGCTGAAGTACTATGCCCGCTGTGTAGGATACTCCGCTGCGCTTTCATCCAGCGTGCCGGCATGCCCTCGCTCCCCCGAGGGCCGCTGCAAGACACTAGACGCTGCCGCTGCCGGCTATGTGATGCTGAGGCAGTGGGTGCGCTTTGCCGGGCTGTCATGCATGCTGTCTCCGAGCGACTCCAGTCGGCTACCCCCGTCTGCTGGCGGCCCTACTGGGAGCCGCCGCCAGCATGGCGTCGAACGGCATGTGTGCTGCGAAGGGTTTGGCATGGTGTGCGGACTTCGCCGCTCCTCCTTAGGTACAGCAGGGGTACAACTAGAAGATACCCGTGCGCTGCCTTTGCTTAAAGGCAGGCAGGCAACCCGCCTGTACCGGTACTTGCAAAGCCGTACCGACAACAGACAGCATTGTATACACAGACTTGTATGGTAGGTATTGACCCCTCTAACAACAGTTACAGTTACAGCCTGTACGCGTGTACAGTGCGTCCGTACGAGCCAGGGGGCCAAGGACACTGTGAGAAGCAAAGTTAGGCCGAGTCAGGGTCCCCTACGGGCAGCCGTTCGGGGGCTCTGTGCCGATGAATCCTGATAGACATGCGGGTCCTCCCATACACGACTCAGGTCGCTATCCAGGGCTTCCGGAGGGGTACGAGGTAATGATCTCCCTCTAGAACCTACTGCAAAGTTCAGGAAACCCTCGTACTCGCGACGTAGCTCGTCGAATCACGGGCAATCCATGACAACATGCATCTTATGCTCAATCCCCAATACCTTTGCAACATCTGCATGCCCGCTCAGACCTTGGGCGGTTCCCGTGCGAGTTCACCACATCACCTAAACCCCATCGCCTAAACCCCTTGAGGATTTCATGCTTGCCGCGGGGAGTGAGGTAGGGCACAGACGTGAGCTAGCCAGGCCACGGGTAGCCAAACAACATCTAGGACCCCCAAGAGAAGACCCACAGGCCCCAGGCCCGCACATCCTTGTGTTCTGCTCCCCGGGTAGGTGTGGTTGGATGCACGTTATCCTCGCATGTGGGGATATCCCAGCCCTCCCACTCACCATGGGCCCGCGGGCTATCAGCCCATCTGGACACGCCTTACATGTCCCACCCCGGCCACACTTCCCACATGACGAAGCTGTCCATGGTCTCGCTCGGCAAGCCATAAGTAGCCGCTTAGGGCTTGCCTACCTTCGATGCATGCAACGACAGCACACAAGTACGTTTCACCACGAGCTTCTCTTTTGGTTTTGGCTGAGCAAGATGTCCAAGTGTATGTGTGGAACTGCCAGCGTAGCATGATCCGCAGCAAGGGAGAGGTAAACAGGAAGTATGTGCGGCGCAGTCGTGACGGCGGCACCAGCCCCTGGTGGAGCATGACAGACATGCACGTCGTGCCCCCTTGATGGCTCGTGCATTTTGTGGGCAAGACGGGTATCTTTCTGGCTTGTGCACGTGCTATTGCTTATGTTTTGTGGTAAATGTTGTAGCTGCGTTGCTCTAGGTGCGGTTTGTTCGCGGTCTTCTGGCACGGCGTATCTGGAATCTGTGTCGTACAGCCGTCATCAGCCGCCGTGCTCTTAGGCTGCGCAGGCCGTGCTCTTAGGCCGCGCAAACTAAGGGCTGCGCTCTGCAAGCACTAGATGCAAGGCAGGATGTAATAGGGCGGCTGAACCGTGTGGTTGTTCGGCAGCGGGGCGGCCCGCCAGCCCCGCCTACAAGTGCATCTCAGCCCGCTTGGCGTCAAAGTCCGCACCCCAGTGTCCTTATTAGCTGTCCTAGCCAGCGGCATACATGCCATGCATGACGGTTACCTGGAATAAGAAGTGCTAAGAAATCTAGTTGGCGGTAGACGCAAGGTAGGGGGGCACGTTTACAGCGAGTACCGGTAGGTTTGCGAGGCGCACCATATCCCAGTCTTTAATTAGCCGTTGTTCCCATGCGCCAAGTCTCTCTGACGCAAACTGAGGACGCACGACATGCGCCAAGCCTACGCATGCAATTAATGCTTCGTGAACAATGATCTCCTGACAAGCCCTAGATAGTCCTGAACTTGGCCGGGAGGTGCTGGCCGAAGGATGTACCGCGTACGACATGACAAGCTGAGGACCGCACAAACGCTAGAGCTGCTAGTTAAGGCATGCTGGCTTAATACCGGGGGACGACGTCTTCATAAACCTTCACTGTTACAAGACGATGCCCGCTCATGGGGGCTCACGCCCGGTGGGGCATCACCGAACTTATCGAGCAAGAAAAGAGTGGTCGGAGTTTCAGGGTTTGGAACCCACCCACCCATCGCGTCTGCGAATATGACACCGCTAGTTGCAGGGTACTACACACATGCCTAGGTCATGTCTTGCGCACATGCTCAGCCAGCAGCATGCAAACAGCCTGACTAACGGACTTGATTAGTGGTCTTCCTACCTAACAACACGCGGAACATGCCTGTCACTCCCTCTCATACGCAAACGCGCAAATGCGAGTAACACCAGTGCTATACGACACACATACACGTTGAAGTTCGTGCGAAATCTGTCGCTTATGAGCCAAGCTAACATAGTGTGCTGAATAAATACCTGGAACAACAAAGCATACTTGTACACGCTGGCTCCATGCATACACTGCACCCCAAGCCAGCAACCCCATGCATTCCCAAGGCTTCAGAGAACGTCTTTTTACCCCCCCAAAGCCCTTTAGCACCCTCCAAACCGTAGCGCCCGTCCAGTGCGCTTATAATACAGGTTATCCCCAATCGCAAACACAATCAGGAAGACCGGAGAGAAGATCGACAGCGCAATAGCCGCACCACGCATCCTGGGCGTGATGGACCCCGCAGCAACTGTCTCAAAGGTAATAGCAGCTGGGCCGCTGTTGCGCCGATCGCACATGCAGTAGTCCTTGGTTCCATCCTCGAAACTGCAGATGACGCAGACCTCGGCGTAAAGTACGGCAGAGGTGACCTCATCGGCATCGCTAAGGTTCCAAACGGCCTCCCCAGAACTGCTCCAAGGCAGGGTAGCAAGAGTCCACTTGGCATGCCAGCCGTGCTGTGGGTGAGGGTGAGGGGGGGACGGCGGCAAAGGAGCAGGGACGGGGGCAACATGGGGGGATTAGCGGCTATACAACAGAGATGGAAACTTGACTTCATGTAGGGGCTTTTTGGCCTGCATACTGTTTGGCATAGTTGGCTGTATGCGCTAGCTGCAAGAAAACTGCGGATCGTGAGGTATAGTAAAGGCGCAGACAGGACCCAAGTGACTCACCCCAGGGTAAGCCTGGTTCTTCTTGCGCCAGCCGCGGTCGACCTGGGAGACTGTGGCGTAGTCAAGGCGTACGACAACCTCCTGAGGCGTGCCGTTCTTCCAAGTCCGGAAAGGGGCGGACGTATTCTTCACATTAAACTCAATCTTGACTTGAGAGTCGCTGTTGCCCTCCAAGGGCGGCTGGTTGCAAGGCGCGCCGTAGGCGGAGATGTTGCAGGCATGGGACTGCCAACCATCAGCAGCGGAGTCGCGACGGTAGGCGCGAATCGCGAATTGTCCGGTGTAGTTGGCAAGCGTAGTGTATGCTGCACGTATAAGAGAAGTGTATAGTATTACAGTACATCCGTGCGACGGTCAGTGGCGCAAGGAGCTAGCAAAAGCACCGCTATCATCAACAGCATTAGCTAGGGTATGGCTCACCACACTACTAAACAACGAGGGAACTTACTAGGTGAATTGGGTTTAGGTGCCGATGGAGAGCTTTCCGCAAGGCAACTCGGCGCCGTGATAAGCACGGCTACTAAGGGGAGAAGAAGAAAATACATTCCTGGTGACAAGGCTATGAAGTAGTGAGTGAAACGGGGCTGAAGACCTTATAAGCCTGAGTCAGTATCCTGGGTATAAGGAGTTTCTTATCAAGTCTATATAGAAAGATATAAAGTGAAGAAGTAGGTACTGCATGGCTTCCTAAAGGTCCTTGCCGATAGGAGTGTCCCGCTCGTCCACGTGACACTGTGGTAAGCCGTTGCACCGTTAGGACCATGTGGGCTGTACGACGGCGACCCTTCAGCCCTTTGCACTCTCTAGCCAACTATAAACACATTAACAGCACAGTTAAGCCTACAGTCACAAGTTCACCTGTGCACTGTCATTGCGCTAGCGTCAAAGAATTCCTTCTAGCATCAGTAAGGCATCACCGTTCTATTAGTTCGCTGCATTAGTGTTATCAGTACAACTCTCGCTTGCGCTCTACTTTCTTGAGGGTAGTTACATATGGCAGTGACGACAGTCGACGCAGTGGTGGGGAAGAGCGAGGCTCCTTCAAAGCCTATGAAATATTTTCCATACGAGTTGGATTCGGAGGGAAAGTCCAAGTCGGTTCGGCCATGGACCTTTACACAGCCACACATGATGGCTTTCCATGTAGGTTAACGAGCCGAGTCGCTCACGGTTTTGGGCATTCCTAAAGCTTTGGATGCACTAGGGTTCTATATCATTTACACTGGGCACATCTGCTTTGGTTTGCAGTTGTGTAACACAAGGCTTATGCACGGGTACAGGTGCCCTCACGTCTTGCTAGCATCACATGACCCTTTTTTGCCTTAGCAGCCAACCATCTATCCACCTACTATATATCCACTCTGCTTGCTAAGCCTGATTTCCGGAAACCCTCTTTTTTTGGCAGCTGTCGTGGTTTTCCTTCTTCGTCTCCTTCCTGGCTACCTTCGCTCCTGCAGCATTGCTGCCCATCATTCGCGATGACCTTTCGCTCACCAAGTCCGAGCTCGGCAACGCAGGTGTCGCAGCCGTGTGCGGCGCCATCGCAGCGCGTCTCTTTATGGGCGCCTTTGTGGATACCGTAGGTAAGCCCCATGCTGCTATCCCCTGCCACTACTGCCTTTCGAACGTGCCTGCTAGGCTAAGTAGCTCGCCATCATGCCAAAAGCCCTAGTACACATTAAGTTACTCCTATGAGCTAGCGAGCCTGTCATCTTCCTTTGACCATCTTCATGTAGCTTAATCTCTGGTGTGACCCATTCCTCACTCGCCTACAACACCCCGTACAGGTCCACGGTACGGCACGGCTGCAACCATGCTCCTCACCGCGCCCGCCGTATTCTGCATGTCGCTAGTAACGGACTTCTCAACCTTCGCGGTCGCGCGCTTCTTCATCGGCTGCAGTCTCTGCATGTTCGTATGCTGCCAGTTTTGGTGTGGAACGTAAGTGTTCAGTTGGGTGCGCTGCTGGTACCCCACCACGTCTGCCTGTCTCATGCCATATCCATGCTAGCTGTGATAGCAATGCTTTTTGCCTTGTTGTTTTCTGCGTCCTCTTATCCAGGTTGCCTGTGACCATTCTAGCCTAGTATCCACACCTTTGCCCCAACAAACGCTGAGCCCTCCGTTCCCTTTCCCTTCCTCGTTCCCCACCCACTCCAACAGTATGTTCAACGTGCGCATCGTCGGTACGGCCAATGCTATCTCCGCCGGTTGGGGCAACATGGGCGGCGGCGCCTGCCATTTTATCATGCCTCTCATCTACCAGGGCATTCGCAACACCGGTGTTCCGGGCTTTCAGGCATGGCGCTGGGCTTTCTTTGTCCCCGGTGGCATCTACATCCTGAATGCGCTGTCTACGCTGCTGTTGGGAATTGACCACCCGTCCGGCAAGGACTACCGTGACCTTAAGAAGGACGGCACCCTTAAGACCAAGGGCGCGCTGTGGCCTGTCCTCAAGTGCGGCCTCGGAAACTACCGGTGAGTTTCTTGCATGATAGTGCTCATGTTCATGTTACCACGTAATTGGTGAATGGGTGATGGGTACCATGCGTGCATTACCGTACACCTTTGCCACGGACCGAATTATTCTTTCTTTCCGTACTGTCCGGCTTTCTGCTTGTCCGTACTGCCCCTTATCCGTGCTCCTGTCGTACATCGTACAGGAGCTGGATCCTAGCCCTCACGTACGGCTACTCCTTTGGTGTCGAGCTAACCATTGACAACATCATCGTCGAGTACCTCTTTGACCAGTTCGGCCTCAACCTAACCGTTGCGGGAGCCCTGGGTGCCATTTTCGGTCTTATGAACCTCTTCTCCCGCGCCAGCGGCGGCATGATTTCTGACCTTGTGGCCAAGCGCTTTGGTATGCGCGGCCGGCTTTGGGCGCTGTGGATCATCCAAACGTTAGGCGGCGTCTTCTGCATCGTCCTCGGCAAGGTCAACCACAACCTGTCTGCAACCATTGTCGTCATGATCATCTTTAGCATCTTTTGCCAGCAAGCCTGCGGTCTGCACTTTGGCGTGACGCCCTTCATCTCGCGTCGTGCGTACGGTGTGGTATCGGGCCTGGTGGGCGCGGGCGGCAACGCGGGAGCGGCGATTACGCAGGCCATCTGGTTTGCCGGCAAGGCGAAATGGCAGCTCGAGTGAGTTCCGGGGTTGGGGTTGGGTTGCTGCTATGGGACAGGGCATGCATGGGGGCGGCAGGGCTTAGACAGGAAGGGGGCACCTCTCGCGCCTCGTTACAATGCATGTCTCAATTTGCTTGTCTCCCCTTCCTCGCCCTCTTCTGCCATCCCTGTGTTGACCCCGCATTCCTCCATCCCTTCCCCGCCGTACAACCACCACTCCCAGCCTCTCCAAGGCCGATGGCATGGTCTACATGGGCATCCAGACCATCGCCCTCACGCTGCCCCTGTTCTTCGTCTACTTCCCCATGTGGGGCTCCATGCTGCGGGGCCCGCGGGAGGGCGCGCAGGAGGAGGACTACTACATGCGCGAGTGGAGCGCGGAGGAGGTGGCGGAGGGGCTGCACCACGGCTCCATGAAGTTCGCCATGGAGAGCAAGTGAGTGATGTTTAGGCTACCGGTAGCTAAGGCATGAGGCGTGAATGTTTAGGATTGTGCTTGGGCCTCTGCTCGCTAATACTGCTGCTTAATGGGTGATCAGCTTGGAGTGTATAGCTTGATGCTGCCCGTGCTGTCGCTGCTGTAGCATAGGGTCAACTAGCTGGCATAGTACTAAGACTGGCTGCCCCTTCCTACCCGCTCATGCCTGCCCGGACTCAGGTCTCAGCGTGGTTACCGCAAGGCGACGGAAGAGCAACCTGCCCAGCAGCACTGAAGATGTGGGGCTCCGCCGAAGGCGTCCGCCGAAGCGTGCTACGGCGCTGCATCCCCCACCCTCGACGACACCGGCACAGGACAGCCGTTCCGTAGGTTAACTGTTTCGGGAGCGCTTGGTACTTAGGTGCGTGGTGCTAGTCGGCGTCTGTTCCTAGCTGTTGAGCTTTGGCATACCATCATCATCACCAAAATCACCGTCTGTCATGGTCATTGCGGCCGTCGGGATCAACCGCAAGAGTGCCGTTAGTAGTTGTCGATTGTTCTTTAGAATCAGTCAGGTTGCCCCGAGAAAAGATCTTTGCAGCGCGCATATCAGGGTGCATGGGTGAGGAAGAAGAGGATTGAGTCCCGCACACGTGAGCCGTATCGCGTCCGGCGGTGCGTGTCTGTCACTAGGCGCCTAGGCAAGTAGTCAGGATACATTTCGGAATGTCGTACCGTGTGGTTGTCGTATTTGTCAAGTGTGGCGACTGTCTACCATCTATTACTGGCATTCTGTACTACAACTGAATCCGTGCAGTTCAGCAATGCATGGAGAGTGTACATATATATTGTGTGCCTTGACTGAGAGAGAGAACACATTCTGTTTCACATTAGCTTGGTACGCTAAGGTGCGCCGTCGCAGGATTGATTGACTGGCTGACTTATCGGGTTGCTGCTTTGTCGTATGTTGCCACATGTGCCCTTGCAACGACTGTATCAGTACAAAATGTCATTCCGGCGCCCTTGTCAGCGTCGGTTAGATTATCTTATTCAGTTTGGTTGACACGTAGCCGCGTCTGTACGACACCGTATAGTACGGCTGTTGGGATCCTCGAGGATTGGCACAGCTCCGTTAAGCAAAGAGCTTGCCATGTAACTTATAACACTGAACCCTAAATCACCACGATCATGGGCTTTCCAGTGCACTATGCGAATGCATACATGCTTGGTGCAACATCCCCTTCCTTACGCATTTATCCACCTAGACAGCAGCCGGCAGGCCAGCATGCATATATAGATTAAGCATGGCTTACGACTCAGCTCACTTGGGAACCACTGTGCGCATTGGGTTTGATGGCTGGTGCGTGGAGGTATGGTGAGGACTGCCGATGACCCCACGGGTAAGGTTTGTATAGGAGAGCAAAACGTACCACCAGTAGCACTCAGCCATACGCTACCCAACTGTGCCATACCTGACCCTGTTCATAGAGGCAGGAAACGTCCACAAGGAAAGCATTATATGCCCAGCAAAGGGGAATCAAATGCCGGCCCCCGTTCAGAGACCGCCCGTGGCCATAATGCAAGCCCGCCTGTGTGGGCGGGTGTTCATCACACGTCTAGTACCCTCTCTCAATACACCCTAAACTCCCCAGTGCGTGGTTGGCAGACGGTCCGCACCACCCATACATAGAAATACACTAGTCCGTCAAACACAATCCACGTCGCTGGGCACACAGATGCATGCATCCCACACGTTGGGGTTGCAAGCCAAAACAAACATGCCATACACGGATGTGCAGTCCGTCAGTGTGGTGAGGACAGGCCTAATCGTACAGGTCAGCGCCGGCTGCTGCAGGGTAAACTATAAAATATGCAAAGACCGCCCAGCTAAAGGACGGGGTACACACGGGTGCTGGGGCAGAGCAGGCCGCCCCTCTCATTTCCCGCAGCCCGCAAAGCCATACAGCACAGCTGCACTACAGCGCAACATTATATACAGGTGGTGCCCCGTGCCACAGTTCTTTGCCCAGGCATGCGCTCAGTGCCGCTGCCGCTTCACAGCCCCTGCCCTGGCCCAGTGGCTCAGTAGCAAAAGCCAGCCAGAGCGAAGCTCCACATTACGAAGCGCCTGCTGCTTGGCACGGCAAGGGCATGGAGAACTTTGCGGTTGCAATCACTCCCGCAAAGTTCTCCATGCCCTTGCCGTGCCAAGCAGCAGGCGCTTCGTACTGTGCAGGAGAGCGCCTTATAACCACCCTGCAGGAGACAAAGGTACATTGCATACGGTTGAATGGAGGTTCGTCAGTTAACCATGCCGTACATTCCAACTTGGAGGCGGCGGAGTGTGTTGAGGCGTCGTCTGACTGGCATTACGGGTGCATCAGCAGGCAGGGTGTCATCCTTCCGTTCCGCATGTGGCTCGGGTGCTGTTCCTTGGAGCCCCACGCTCCATGATGCACCCCTGCTTACAGCACCGTTCACCGTACCACGTGGGTGGAAAGCTCACCTCCCTCAGGTGCCGGCAGCTCAGCACACTTTGGGGACGTACACCTCCCTGCAAGGCCATGACATAATGTCAGTTGACACAGGGTTGACACACAAAGGAAATGCAACCGCACAGACGCAACACGCAAGCAACAACATGTCTGGTGCAAACAAAAGTGCCTGGAACTCCCCTCAGATTTCCCTGGCACTTACGCTAGCACCTCCTCAGCAGCAGTGATGAGTGCCCTGACGGCGGAGCGGACAGGGGCATACGCCTGCGCCTTCAGGACCTGCTCCTTGAGGATTTTGAGCTCCTTTGGGTCCATCGCGTCGCTGCCCAGCGGGTGCGCGAAGGCCGCACGACGGCCGTGCCATTTCATCATTACCGGCCACTCGCGAATTGCAGCCTCAGCGTCCTCCTTCGATCCGAGACTGGCGCTGAAGAAAGCGATGAGGACCTCCATGAGCTCCTCCTTTTCCGCAGTGCTAATGAATTTGTTGCCCTGCCGGTAGATAGCCTCGATAATGTACTGGACCTGCTGCAGGCCATGCTTCTCCAGCATGGTATTTAGCTCTTCTACCATGAGCCACTCTGCCTTATGTTGCAGATCGGCCACGTGCACCATTTCAGGGAGTATGTCCGGCACTGTTATGCTGTCCCACTTGCTGCTGCTTGACGCAAGGCGAGGCACGTCCGAGTCTTTATACTAACCCAGCGACGGCCTACTTCCATACCCCTGGAAATACTGCGGTTACTTTCACGTTATATATCTTGTCTTCACAAAAATGCTGTTTGGGGCGTCCCCATTCTCCACAAGCTCTTGCTACCTGGTACGGCTTAGTAATGGTAGCTGTGTATGTGTTACAACTTACAAGGGTGTATGTGTCAGCCCGTTTGTCATTTGCTAGGTTCTCGACGCACGTTTGCTGCCTTGCAATACTTTTAGCCTTGTCGGCTGGGCTGCCGCTCGACTCCTGTATGTAAGGATTACTATTCGCGTCAATAATGAGCAGTGAGGTATACCCTATCCCTTGGTGTATAACTGAGCCCTTGGTCCGTTACGTTCCTTGGGCAATTTGAGTTGTATTGCACAGCAAGCACACAGGCACTTGCAGCCTGCACGCTGAAAACAATCACCAGCGTCTGGTTAGAATGCGAAAGTTACAAGGGGGACCGGAGTTCCTGAAAGCCTGAGAGCCGTACAAGAGACCCAATCGCTAGGTTAGAATGCGAAAGTTACAAGGGGGACCGGAGTTCCTGAAAGCCTGAGAGCCGTACAAGAGACCCAATCGCTAGCGGTACACGCTAGGTTAGAATGCGAAAGTTACAAGGGGGACCGGAGTTCCTGAAAGCCTGAGAGCCGTACAAGAGACCCAATCGCTAGCGGTACACGCTAGGCAGCCGCAACAAAGCAACCTACCCCAGGGACATGCCTTGCAAAAAACAAGGAGCCATGCCAGACACAGAACCACCTGAAACCAAGCCCGCAAGGCCACAGCTCCACAAACACCAAGCCCACGAGGGGGAAACAGCACTCAGGCGAAGCCCGCGACAGAAGCAACAAATTATTGTACAGAGCAACTGCCAAGCTGCTGCGTTGTGTCACAGCAGTGCCCAACTGTCACCAAGTCTGTCGACAACGGCGTGAGCCGAAGGTAAGAGCACCCATAGGGGATGTCAATGGCAAAACAATCCAGGGTCAGGGGGAGGCCGGCGGGGACGCAGTATCAGGCGGGCCAACAAACCGTACACGGCCAGCCGCATTTGCAAGGAAAGGGTGAATAGGGGGAACACAGTCCCAGCCGCGGGGAGGCACACCTAAGACAGCAAAGGACTGGAGGCGGGACCAGAAATCAGCAACAACACGAGCACCCAGCACAACAAGGGACCGTCTGGGGAGGGGGGTCCGGCCACTGTTGTCAGCATACAACCACCTACGGGCCTGTTCAAGAGCCGAAAGAGCGGCCAGCGCCACGACATCCCACACACAACCATGCACACCGTCTGGAGGTTGGACTAACCACAAATGTTGCCTAGTAAATGCACTATCAAGTGAGCCCACGGGTGCACCTAAGGCCTCGCCCAGGGCCTCACGAAGGGTACGGGCCACAAAGCACTCCCAAAACAAGTGTAACCGATCTTGTGCCACTCCAAGGGCGACCAGGGGTGCTCCACACGGGCAGGCCAATGAGTGCGAACGGCCCTGCGCAGCTGCCCGGGCGGCATGGCTGGCATGCAGAGGGAAGCCCGCGCAGCCATTGAGGGCGAGCCGCCACAGCGCCTCCTTGTGTTGGTTCTCCCAGCGCAGACGCCACAGCCGCGCCAAGGTAGATCGAAAACCAGCAAGGACGGCAGGGGGGGCGTCGGGGGACCCGCAGGCCTCCGCCACAAAGGTGGAATGCTTAGCATGGAGGTCGCAGTAGGCCGGGGCGAGCTGGAGGTGGGTGCCAAGGCGCACACTGAGGCGAAGCAGGGGGACGGCTGTCGGGAAGGTGGGCGTGGGGCGCCAGGCAAGCGCACGGGCAAGCACCCGCCAGGCCTCGTCGGCCGGCACGGCAGCCGAACCGACGCTAGGTTAGGAAGCTAGTAGGAAGAGCGTCATTGTACGGCTGCGCTCATATGCATTTGACGCAGCCCGAGCGCCTGGCAATGAAAATGCGGGTGCATTAGGTACGGAACGTGATCACCTGTGGTAAGCACAAAATCGCTGCGCCGAAGGACGCTGGAAGACGGAAGGACCACGCTAGCTCGCGTTAGTGTACGTCAAGAGCTCGTAAACTTTTAACACAGCCAAGGCGCCTAACATGGAATGTGCGGGTGCAATAGGCACGGAAGCTGATCATCGATGTTCAGGGCGAAACCGCAGCGCGGAAGGATGCAGGAAGACGGAGAGACCGTACTAACTGCAGATTGGACGGAGGAATACGGAGGGACCGCAATTGTGTGAGACGCCGCTGTGTTGTAAACGGGCCGCAGCGGCAGAAAACGCATGAAGAAAACGGCGGTGAAGAACATAAGCTAATTGTGCGTAGGAAAAGAGGCGATGCCACACGTGCAAAGCGGTTAGACAACCAACTGTAGCCTCAGCCCCCTGACCTCTTTCCCAACATCTGCTACCCAGATCCCTTAGCGGTACCTGTTCATTTCTTAGCAATCCATACTGGGCGAAAGCAAGAGAAGGCAGTGCTAGGTGTGCGGCACATGTTAACGGTCGATGAACTGTAGCCTGCGGCTGTCCTTCGTGACTTGTTTGTGACACGCTACCGCCTCCCATCCCCTTTGCTTTGCCCTTTCTGTGGTTTCCTATGGGTTGGTATGTTGTTGATTCCCCAATCCGCTACCCGCCTGCCCTCACACAATCAAACCCTTTCCCAGAGTAGAAATGTTTACGGGCTAAATGGCCCACCAACGAATATTGAGCTAGAAGTGTGATGAATGGCGTTCATGTGATCAGACCAGGATGCGCCTCATCATCTTTAGTCATCCAATGTCCCCCACCTCCCGCCCGCCCGCCCAATCCGCGCACGGGCCCCCTCCCTCCCCCCAACTTAACCCCTCACTCCGTCCCCCCAACGCTAACCCTCACTAATTTGATTGCATCCAGCCACCACATATCCCCTTTGCGTTGCCCTTACTAAAATTTCCTATGATATGTGATATCCTTTAACCCCACCCGCTACCCGCCTGCACTCCCCTAACCCTCCCCAGAGTAGAAATTATTTGAAATAAGGAAATGAATTGTTTCACCCGTCCAGGTCCTCAACATCCTCCGACTTACCAAAAACCGTAGCCATCCAGTGTCCCCCACCCCCCTCCCCCTCCCCCGGCCCCCTAGGAACCCAATGGTAAAGCCCCATCAAACAGCTCGTGAGATTCCTCGTTTTACCACCCCCCACCTGCGCTGTGCTCGAGCCCGTGCAAGCCACAAGGGCCCCCTCACCCTAAACCAGTACCCTTCTTAGGAGTGCATATTCCCCAGCTAGCCTTTACTTGCATGGCTTCCTATACCACAGCCATGATGACGAACCCCATGCCCCCAAACCGGTACCCTTTCTAGTAGTGCAAATCCCCCCCCTAGCCGGTGAGCTAGTATAGCTGACAAGGCGACCCAAGCGTAGGTGGCAGTGCGAAAACGACCTAACTGTAGCCTCAGGCTGAGGGGGCGCACGGGCCCCCTCCCCCCCCCCAACTTAACCCCTCACTCACCATCTTCCGGCTCAACAAAAACCCTAGCCATAAAGTGTCCCCCACCCCCCTACCCCTCCCCCCTACCAACCCGTGAAGCCACATCATACAGCTCTTGAAATTTTCCTTAAAACAAAACCCCCATAGAGTCTCCGAATGCGCTCACCGCATGAGTCGGGAAATGGGATTGGGACTCGTTGCTGCACTAATCATTTATTCCCCTCCCCCCTCACCACCTGCGCTGTGCTCGAGCGGCCGTGCAGGCCACGAGGCCCCCCTTGCCCCCGAAACGGTACCCTTCCCCCCCGGCTAGCAAAGCTGACAAGGCATGCGCAAGCGCCCCTCTTTTTCCTATCGTCACCATTGACTGCCACGTACTATGTGCTTTTACATTTGCTTTACACCAAACCATGGTTTGCTGCAAGAGCCCGTGTCGTTGCTGTACAATACAGCTGAACAATACACCTGAACTAGCCTAAGGAAAGATTAACGGGCCAAGGGCTAAGTTCTGGACTCAAACACCTGAACATGCAATACATTTGTCCGTGCACTAAGGGTGCTGCGGCTCATGCATCCCAAGCGTTATGGCACATAGTCTGTATGTAGCAGTCAATGGTGACGATAGCATGGTGCCCATGCATTTTCGGCGGAACTTCCACTACAGGTACTAAGAAGGATACCGGTTTGGGGGTACCAGACCGAAGCGATCTCATGGCCTGCCCAAATGGGTGTGTAGCATTGTGGGGTGACGGTGCGGTGGGGTGGTTGGGTGCGTTTTTGCGGCTGTTTACCAGGGCGGCGCGTGGGAGTCACATTTGGGATGGTGAGCTTGCGGCGTAGGGACGCGGTTGTGGGCTTTTACATGGGCGAGAGTAAGACACAAATTGTGCCCATGGGCACGTTGCACCATCTAGCCAGGCGTCTGTGGCCCTCAGGGGGAAGTTGTGTTGCTGCGGAGGGTTACAAGCGTGTTGGCGACAAGGGCGTAACAGAGGCGTGCACATAACGAAAAGCGCGTTCCTATGAATCAGTTGCCCTCGCTGTCACCCTCATCCGTGTCCTGACTGTGGCTATTGGAGCCGTCATCTCCCTCGTCCTCCCCATCCGAGCCTGCATCCTCATCATCGTCGCTAAAGGATTCTTGCACCTTTTCAGAAATGCACTCATAACAAACAACGTATATATACCGCTCTCCTCTTGAGCGCGGCTTGCAACATTGTGACCTTTGTCTATGCAATGATGCTTTGTCGTCAGCGAAACAGTGGTTACCGTTATAGGCTTCACTATGAGCAACCATGCCTTTTTGATTTTGTTCGTTCCGCCGTCGTTTCCGCACCATGCGTGCTGTAACACTGGGCCGCCCCATTTCAAGCAGCACTATCTGTGGCGAAGCTTCCTTCCCAGTAGCCACGATCGTTTGTCATGCTTGTTTAAAAGCCTGCTCATCTTCAGTACACCACCGACAGCGTTTTTTGGGTGGTGGCGGACCAGACTTCTCCACTTCTCCAGCTTAACAGCTGCTTCATTGGTGCCGCTACCAAGCCTTAATTCTTTACCACGATTAGTGTTGTAAATAAAGGTCTCTAGTTGCGTCGTTGTAACATTGGCAAATCGAGAGTCGTTCCTCAAGCTTCTGTAAGGTGCTTGACAGTAACTTTTCCATTATCTACAGCTATACGTTCTGCAGCTTGTTGCAGCGCAAGCAGTTGGTCATCAGTCCAGCGGCGTTTGCCCATGCTGCTTCATAGCAACACATTAACAGCATAAGTATTCTAACGGTACTCTGAAACGCTTCACTGTGTATAACTACAACGACTATCCGTCATCAACAAGGGGTGCCAAACAGCCACTGTAAGAAAGCACGTGTACGACAGCCCCTTTAAGAACAGCAACGTTACACCTTAACAACAGACAACAGGAAAACACGTAAGGTAGTTGTTTCGAACATTCACTGTACCGAAGCATAACACCAACTTCATTTCCATGACCCGTAACATTGTTGTCTGCGCGTGATAACAACTGTTCTTCAAGGTTCCGTGGCTTACACATAGCAATAGTTTGGAAACATTGTCAATGTTATGGCTTCGTGCGCGATGTTACCTAAATAGGAAATTTCCAGGGGACCTTAAGTTATTGACGGCCCCGGGACTCCCAGGAACCCCTTCCAATTCGGCACCCGGAACCGGTATCCCGAATGGCGCAAACCGCGCTGGAAAATTGATTGCAATCAATAGCGGAAATGTAATTCTTTCAGACATGGCAATCGCGCTGCAATGCTAAGCGGCCAAGGCACTGACAGTTAATGGCGCTGCCCATGTCAGAGAAAGAAAGAGCGCGCAGTCTTTCCTGTTACACCAAGGGCATAGTTATACTAAGATAACATTCCCAATTGTAAAAGCGTGCTAGCTTTGCGGCTTGTAAAGCCGGGACCCCATTGACCCCGATACTCGTCCAAGCATCGGGGTCCCGTGCCGTACGTATCGGGGTCCCGGGGGGTCCCGGTAGCGATCATATCCCTATGGCTTTTCCCTTGCTTCCACGGCGCGGCCTATCGGAGCGCCTAGAACCAAGGGCAGGCCAAAAAGGGGCCTTGTAGCTATGGCAGCAGGGGTTGAGCGTAAGGGGGACCCGCTCCCCTTGCATCTAGTGCTTGTACACCCTATAAACGCAGCGCAGTAGTATTGAAAGAGAAGGGGGAGGAGGGGGAAATAAAAGATACCGGTAAGTGAAGCAACGAGGGAGGGGGGCCAATTCTCTCAACACATAAAAAGGTTTTTCGTTGAGGCGGGGTTAAACGCAAAGTAGGCGATGTTTCCAGGTGGCCCGTACGCCACCCTTGTGGCTGTAAGCTTTGGCAACTTGAATCTGTAGCATGTTAGGGCGGTGTTGGCCGTCGAGCCGTTACTGATGCATCATGCACGGAATGAAGTTGCTGTCGGGCACGTAAGGAGCTAAGGAGCCCGTCTGCTACAGTCGCACATTGTGGCAAGGATGCATTAGAATATGGGATTGCGGCACGTGTCTGAGCAGCCACGGTACGACCCCTTCCTCGGGTCGACAGAGGCGCTGGACGCGTTTTGGACACAGGTAGGGACGTAGCGATTCACAAGAAGGACTCCCTCCTGAGGATGACGAGGCGTTGGCACCCTGTAAAGTGGCCCCTTCCCCTGGGCGCACGCGACCGCGAGATTGACCCCATGCCTTGGGTTACCAGGTTGCCTTGTGCACAGCGTCGCGTTGCTAATGCTTCGGTATTTGTACCTTGTTGGCATGCGGTCCCAGAGTTGCATCGAGCTTATCGGAACGCATGCACGCGGCCAACTCCTGCACAAGGGCCCACGTGCACGCTGACGAGGGCGACTTCAGCACCGTAGTCCCGTCGCTGAGCTGCAGCTTGCAGGCGACCGTCTTGGTGCCACCGAAATCCCGTTGACGAGCTGCTGCACGCTGTCCGGGAGGTCATGCAGGGTGCGTGCTGACGTACATGATGGCACCCGTCCGCACTGCCGTGATGCGCGCCTCCTGCTCCTTGAGACTCCCATGCATCCTTAAGGGAGGCGGCGAGGTCCGCAAGCGTCTTGCGCCCAACGATAACCACGTTGCCAGTGCTGCAGTGCACGATATGGAAGTCATCCACAGGATGGGACGAACCTGCTTAACACCATCACCTGTACGACAGTGGAGGGGAGGGAGGCAGGATAAAGGAGAATGCAGCGTTTCAATACATATCCGACAGGGATCTGCTGCATTGTCCTCAGACCAACTCCCTTGCTGCATTATTCCGTGAAGGTGCGGCTATGTCGCGCGGTGGTGAGGGATTGGCAGCATGGGTCGAGGCAGAGAGATTCAGTCACCGTCTTTTGGGATAGCTCCTGCTGCCGTTGGGCGCAAAGGACCGCTGCAAGCAGCACGCAAACCCAAAAGTGTTGCCACAGGCATCCACCAGGGGCTATCCTATTGTTCCCGGTCATTCAGGATGGCAGGGTGTAGCTTTATGCACGTATCAAAACGCGGATTGGAAACCCCACCACCGCTTATCTTTCCTCGCCACACACCTCCAATGAGAAATCTCACTAAAATACGCAACCGAACACCCATGCACACCGTGCGCTTAGCAAACCCAAACACCCTGCGCTCCCCCTACACTCCTCTGCCCTCCGCTTCGTACTCCACCTCCTCATGCCGCCCGCTGCATGCCAGGATGCCCCTCCACCACCGCTGCCATCACCCGCAGCCCCCGCAGCCACACCGCCATCCTGCGCAGAGGTTGCCTTGCGTCACAGCCTCCCTCCCTCCCTCAGCTTCCCACCATCATCATGCAAGCAGTACAACATATGCTATTACGGCATCATGCAGGAGGGGCGGCAGCGGAGGCTGTCCACTGCTAGCTGCGGCATGTCGCCCTCGCCGCGCTCATCAGCCACGCCCGCGGCCGCCGCAGCAGCGACACCAGCGTCCAGCGCCAGAAAGGGCGGGGGCCGGGGTTGCGGCATGCAGCGTGGGGCAGGTGGGTGAGTGGATGGACAGGTGGACTGGTAGGCCTGCCGACCGGATGGGAGCGATAGGCAAGCAGGGTATCCGCGTGTGTATGGATTGGTCGGTCATTGGCCGGGCACCGCCCCTAGGACTGCTTGAAAGGCGCAAGCAATCAAACGGCACGCTCTGACACCACGGCCCCCGACTTCACAAAAGCATGGTTAGGACACGGCACCCTGACCGTCTGTACACGCCGCCGTACTTCACACCCCTACCAATATTATACCAATATAGGCGGTGTGAGGCATGGAGGCGCCCGGTCCCCGGTAGGGATCCATGTTCCGTGTTCCCATTAATGTACCGGCTGTCCAACGAGGGGCATGTTCCGTGTTCCCACCTCCCAAATGCCTCAAATGCCTATAACTACAACTCCACGCAGTAAATGTCACCCAGTTGATGTCGAATTTATTACTTGGCACTAGATTCCTGCAGGAAACACGCTTCCATATGATCCCGTGCTCCAACGTATTCTTTCCGTGTTCGCATCCTCTGTGCGTGGGAGTCTGGTCCGGCAAGCACGAAACCAATCGTGTGATGCCCGCCACTGCTTCAGCATCAGCTAGAGGCCCTTCCTGGCATGGTAGGTATGCGTGCACCCTCGGAACATGGCGGGATTTGCATGGAATGCATGGGCGGGAACACGATAGATGGGAACACGGTGCGAGCAAGGTAGTAACATGCGGCTTGTTCCGGGGGTACAGGGGCGTGTGCAGCATGGGGTATCACCTGGGTTGGTTTGAAACACTCAGTAGAAATGTGTGCCTTTGTGGGGTGCCTTATTTACGCCAGTTCGGATCATGCATGGACGGGAACACGATGGGAACACGGTGCGAGCAAGGTGGGCCCCGGGCCCTAATAACCATGGGGATCCAGCTCCGATCACGAGACCACCATGCATGCCCCCCCTCATTCGCTAGCGCGCACTTCACAGGCGACGCACAGCTGGAGGGCCACGTCCTCTAAGTTGCCCAGGCACAGTTGGGCACCCTTCACTCCTCCACCACTCCTCTCCTCAAACGAAGGCCGTGAAACGTACAGAAGCTAAGAGAACACCAAAAGCATGCTGTTCAATTGCTAGCACGAATGCCTAGTGCTGTAAGCTTTGGCTTATTATGTTGGCTATGGACGACTCGCCGCCATGCCATAGGAAACATTTCCTTCACTCGCATGCCGTGCCCTATAACAGTGCTATTTGAAGAACTTATACAAAATGCTAACTCTTTGCCCGAATAGCTTTGAGACGCTTAATGCATCCGGTCGAGCCGACCCGGCTACCGGTACACAAAAAACGGTTTTGCTTTTGCACTGGCAAATGACAGGTTTTATGTGAGTTATTGCCTTTAGCTATGCATGCATATACACACTGATCGGAAGGAAAATGTACTTTGAGTAGGCCTCTCATGGTATTTAGGGTTCAGGAAGGAAAAGGCACAGCCTTTGCCACTTAATTTTAATGTACCTTTACTTTGTCCTTGTCGCAAAAGTTTCATTTCTGTATGGGTCGGCACTCGGCACCACGTGTCAGTGTCTTCGCACGTGACATTACTCTTTAATGGTGAGTAACACAGGAGGATAGTGGTAAATGAACTTTGATATATTAAAGATACGTTACTGTAGGAACCCTAGAGGGTTACCCAGAGGGCCATGGCCCTTTCGCGTATGCTTTTTGTACGAAAGTCACATGGTCCCAACGGCCCTTCTGTAGGGTGCCCTGGTGCCGTGGAGAACTTGCAGCACATATAATGTCCTTTTACTTATAATTTTTGGATAACAACCACTGATCATAATCTTGTATAGTTTCAAGCCTCTACAACGTTTGTCGTTGCAATCAACAACTTCCTGTACTAGGAATAGCGCTCAGGGTTTCCTCTAAAACACTGTTCCCGGAGCGTACTCATCTGTGGCGCGAAGCTAAGCGCGCACTTGCACAGTATCTTGGTTTCACCTCCAAGTTCGTTAACATGATGGCACCTCAGCAGCAACTAAGCCGCCGCGCTCACGCCCGTATGGCTTGCTCTTCTCGTGTGCTGGCCACTCGGGTGCTGGCAGTAGCGGCCCCGCTTGCGCCCCCGGCTCCTTCGGCTTCCCCGGCGCCGGCGGTGCCAACGGTCGGCATCAGCGAGCGCAGCGGTCTTAAGCATTTGCCGGAGCCTGCCCGTGCCCGTGCTTTGGACAGGAAGGCTAATAAGTTTGAGAAGATCAAGGTTGAGAAGTGCGGCTCGACCGCTTGGACTGAGGTCTTTGAGCTGTCACGGCTACTTCAGGAGGGCAAGTCTACGTGGGAAGACCTCAACCTTGATGATGTTGATATCCGCATGAAGTGGGCAGGGCTATTCCATCGCGGCAAGCGCACGCCCGGCAAGTTCATGATGCGCCTAAAGGTATGCGCGAGCCACAATTACCTTTCCTCGATGCTGCTGCTGCCGTTACCGTTCATCCCAGTCATTTTGCCACATCGCCCTCCTTCATCCCAGCCATTTGCTGGTGCATGTCGAGCATGCCTTCTTGGCCAGTTCATCAAACCCTCTCCCTCTCCACTATGCCCCATTCCATCTGCTAGCCCTCATTTTTAGCTCCTTTGCCTCTTTCCCACATCCCCTTCCGCTCCGCTCTCCTTCATTTCCCTTCTCCAACCGCCCATCCAGCTTCCCAACGGTGAGCTCGACGCCCGCCAGCTCCGCTACCTGGCCTCCACCATTGCCCCGTACGGCGCTGACGGCTGCGCCGACATCACCACACGCGCCAATATTCAGCTTCGCGGCTTTGCCCTCGAGGACGCGGAGTCCGTGATCCAAGGGCTGTGGGACGTGGGCCTTACGTCCTTCCAGAGCGGCATGGACAGCGTGCGTAACCTCACGGGCAACCCCATTGCTGGCGTCGACCCACATGAGCTGATCGACACGCGACCGCTGCTGCGGGAGATGGAGGCGATGCTCTTCAACGATGGCAGGGTAAGCAGGGAAGGAGCTTGCTTGTTGCTAGCAGCTCTTCAGTCCGTCCTGTAATGCCGTCCTCCTTGATTGCCGTTTGCTGTGGTTGGCTTTGGATAGCCCCTTTGGTTGTTTCCCTTATACTCACCACACCTATCTGCCCATTCGCCCTTCCCTCTCACTCCTCAGGGCCGCCAGGAGTTTGCCAACCTGCCCCGCAAGCTCAACATTTGCATCTCCTCCACGCGAGACGACTTCCCGCACACCCACATCAACGACGTCGGTTACGAGGCCGTACGGCACCCTGAGAGCGGCGAGGTGGTGTTTAACGTGGTTGTGGGCGGCATGTTCTCCATCAAGCGCAACGTGGTTTCCATTCCGCTGGGCTGCTCCATTACGCAGCAGCAGCTGATGCCCTTCACGGAGGCCCTGCTGCGCGTGTTCAGGTGGGTGTTGAGAACTTTGACCGATTGCGAGGTGACCCATGGGTCTATGGGGCATGTTTGGATGGATGCATGGTTCTGCCATCTATCTACGTTCAAAGCTCATGCAATGTTCAATGTCGCGACCCTCTTCCTCCCTCAGGGACCACGGCCCCCGCGGCGACCGCCAGCAGACCCGGCTAATGTACGCAGTGGAGGCGATTGGGGTGGAGAAGTTCAAGCAGCTGATCGCCGAGTACATGGGCGGAGCGGAGTTCGCACCACCCGTGCATGTGAGTCGTAGACCTCTTGTCGCACAAATGTTTATTTGGTTTCTTGGTTGCCGTACCATTGCGACACCATGACGTCCATTTGTCCCCATGTTTACAATCCCATGTCCCTTAAGCCGATCCCTTCATATCCTTCCACGTCTTATCCCGCTCCTCATTTGCCCATTCCATGCCTCACCCACCCCCAGGTGCACCACGAGCAGCCCTGGGAGCGGCGGGACCTGATGGGGGTGCACCCGCAGCGGCAGCCGGGGCTCAACTGGGTGGGCGCGTGCGTGCCGGCGGGCCGCCTGCATGTGAGTTTCGAGCGCTCGTACGGCTGGGGAATAGCGTGCATGATGGTAGCGCGTCCGCGCATTATGCGTTGTGCATTTGTTTGCTGTAAGATACCGGTAGCCACGGAGGGAGTCTATTGCTGTCTTATACGTGCCGAAACCCGCTACCCAACCCTCCTTACCATCAGGCGGCTGACTTTGCTGAGATGGCGCGCGTGGCGGAGCAGTACGGTGACGGCACCGTACGCGTGACGTGCGAGGAGAACGTGATTTTCGTCAACGTGCCGGACGAGAAGATCCCGGCCATGCTGGCAGAGCCGCTCTTCCAGCGATTCAAGGTCAACCCCGGGCTGCTGCTGCGTGGGATGGTGTCGTGCACTGGTGAGTCCGGGGGACGTACATTACAATCTGACAACATGGGATCGTTACAAGATCTCTCCAGATATCCACCGATACACTTCCGACGTGTCACTTCCGATCCCCAGCCCCACCACCCCGCACTTGCCTCGTGCATCCCATGCATCATGGCGCCCATCAAGTTCATCGCCGAATCTGACCCACACCCCACCTCCTTCTGTTCTTCCCCAAACCCCTTATCCCTCAGGCAACCAGTTCTGCGGCTTCGCGATGGTGGAGACCAAGCAGCGCGCTGTGCGGGTGGTTCAGGCCCTGGAGGAGCAGCTGGAGCTCACCCGGCCGGTGCGCATCCACTTCACCGGCTGCCCCAACAGCTGCGGCCAGGCACAGGTAAGAACAGAGGATAGGTGCGGGTTTCGCGCCATGCATGCGATAAGTGTTGTGTTCCGGGTCGTGTTCTCGTGTACGTACCTGCCGTCTTACATGGTTCCCCTTCCCTGCTGCCCCCTGCTCCCTCCCGCCCTCGCCTCTCAAAGGTGGGCGACATCGGTCTGATGGGCGCTCCCGCCAAGCTGGACGGCAAGGCAGTGGAGGGCTTCAAGATCTTCCTGGGCGGGAAGATTGGGGAGAACCCCGAGCTGGCCAAGAAGTTTGAGCAGGTGGGTGGACTCGTGGGTGGGACAGCTGATCGGTTTGAGGTATGTGGCAGGTGGGCTGATATGTAGGCTGCTGATGCGTTGCTGAATGTGCGGCGGGAAGGTCGATTGGTATTGCGCAATGTACGGTACGGCGTACGTGTGATGGTATTTATTTTTTGTGGGTTCCTGCGTACGTTACCTAGTCTGCATGCTGACATGCCTTGCCACTTCTCCTCTTGCCATTACGCAGGGCGTTCCCGCCGTGGATTCCCACCTTATTCCGCGGCTAAAGGAGATCCTGATTCAGGAGTTTGGCGCCAAGGAGAAAGCGACCGCTGCCTAGACCCATGCCGTTGTACTTGCTTCCGTCACCCTGGAGAGCCGCGTAGGGACCAGCCGCTTCACCAAAGCGCGCGGAACAGGGATAAAGTATTAGGAAGTATGCACTTCTTGGTTTGCTGCATGGTTCTAGTCCGAGTTCTGTACTTCAGCATATAGAGCTCATGGTGCCGTACACTGGACGGTTTATTTCGTGGGAATTGTTTTGGAACCGTCTTGTTGCGTAAGAACAGTTGGTGTTATCCCGTTACTGGTGAGTTTAGGGTGCATGTCCATTTGCGTCATGCCACGTTGTTTTGTGTGCGCACGGCGTGCTGGTTACTGACACGCAGGGTAGGGTAGCTAGATCGTGGATGTTTACCACCTGTATACTGTTTAGGTATAGCACAATAGGAATGTGCAGGACCGTTTCCCGGGCCTGACTTGATGCATGCACTGTGTATTTTTAAGGACGTTTGGATCATGCAGTTCAGCACGCATGGAGAGTGTACATATAATTTTATTGTGTGTCTTGACTGAGAAAGAGAAGACAATGTGTTTCACACTACTTAGGTGCGCTTAGGTGTGCCATAGCAGGATTTGAACTAATTGGCTAGCTGGCTGACTAACCTTCCGCCACGCCGTTGTATGTCGTTGCCATATGTGCGCTTGCAACAACTGTATCCGTACAAACAGGCAATTCGACGCCCTTGTCAGCGGGGTTGGTGTGTACGAAGCCGTACACATTGACGTACACTTTGTAACTTTATTTCGGCATTTTGATTTGTTAGCACAGCTCTTAAGCAAGTAGCTGACGTTCTTACCCTTTGTGTCATCAACACGGCATGCATGTCAGCTCAATTGAACAGCAGAACTGAACCAGGGGACACGCGCCACAGTCACACCCCGGTTGGTGAAAAACACGCGCCACCGGTATCAAGACGCGACATGGATACGGGCGGTGCCGGGCAGAAGGTAGAGAAACCTGCATCGTGCGATGTGGATTATGTCTTAATGCACTGTTACCTGCTGTTACCAGGAGATTGATACAAGTTCAAGCTTGACGTAGGTACGGCTTCTACGTATTTTCAACGTCCTGTGGAGCCAGCAACCGCTTAGGTCCAACACTAGCCAGTGATAGTGGGCGTTTATTAGCAAACAGTACTAGCTCAGCAACCTTGCCAAATCTTACTGCATTTCATGGAGCAGGCAGCCGAGCCTGGCGAGTTGAACGTCTGTCTAACGGCAGCTGATGCGTGCAGTGGCAAACAAACCGCATTTGCTGGATCCCAATTAAGACCTTCCCACGTGAAGATGCCCGCACCACTTCCAGATTGGTAGACTCGCTACTGAAAGCTTGCAACGCAATCACACATGTCTGGGTCATTCGGGGGCGGTTACCGAAACCTTGGGTCGATGGGGGACGTTCAACGCAGAAGCCTTTAGATCATTCAAGTTTTGCTGTGGATGTAATGATTGGTAATTGATCCTCGCTTATGGACGACTCATCGCCATGGCGATCCTAGGAAAATGTTTCCCTCATCCACGTGCCGTGCGCAGCAAAATGAATTATAACAAAAACATATGCAACTGTAAAGGTTCAGCCGGGTAGTATTGCATACTCCAACTATAACATGCTGATCCAGTCGAGCCGAAATCATTGTGCAATGGGAAACCATACGCTTTATACCTGTTACAAAACGTTGCGACACGTTTTACAGTTTTGAATACTGTGAGTGCAACTATTATCCGTCGGAATTTTAAAATGTACCGCCGGTACAAACCGGTACCTGTACGCCGCTCTTAGTCTTTAGGGTTCAGGCTGTGAGGAGCCCAACCGATGACACCAGTTTCATTTTTACTCTTGTGGCATGCTGTCGCAAAGGGATTGGCCCTGTTATGAGGAAGTCAACCCACGTGATAGTTACACTTCAGTGGTGGGCAAGGAACATAGAAACATTTAACTATAACAGTGCTGCATTACAGCGCGTCGTATAAACCCCTAGAGAGTTACCCAGAGGGTCATGGCCCTTTCGCATACGCTTTTCGTACAAAAGTCAAATGGTCCCAACGACCCTTCCATAGGGTGCCCCAACGCCGTAAGGTACATACAGGGAAAAGTATATATCTGAATTCACTTCTCCTATTATGGCAGATAGTGATCGTAACCTTGCATAGGTTCAAGCCTTTTCAACGTTTGTCGTTGCAATCAACAACTTCCTGTACTAGGGATAGCGCTCAGGGCTCACTCTAAAACACTCTTCCTCGAGTGTATACACATCTGTGGCACTAAGCCAAGCGCGCGCTTGCGAACTATTCTCTTTTCACCTACAAGTTCGTTAACATGATGGCACCTCAGCAGCAACTAAGCCGCCGCGCTCACGCCCGTATGGCTTGCTCTTCTCGTGTGCTGGCCACTCGGGTGCTGGCAGTAGCGGCCCCGCTTGCGCCCCCGGCTCCTTCGGCTTCCCCGGCGCCGGCGGTGCCAACGGTCGGCATCAGCGAGCGCAGCGGTCTTAAGCATTTGCCGGAGCCTGCCCGTGCCCGTGCTTTGGACAGGAAGGCTAATAAGTTTGAGAAGATCAAGGTTGAGAAGTGCGGCTCGACCGCTTGGACTGAGGTCTTTGAGCTGTCACGGCTACTTCAGGAGGGCAAGTCTACGTGGGAAGACCTCAACCTTGATGATGTTGATATCCGCATGAAGTGGGCAGGGCTATTCCATCGCGGCAAGCGCACGCCCGGCAAGTTCATGATGCGCCTAAAGGTATGCGCGAGCCACAATTACCTTTCCTCGATGCTGCTGCTGCCGTTACCGTTCATCCCAGTCATTTTGCCACATCGCCCTCCTTCATCCCAGCCATTTGCTGGTGCATGTCGAGCATGCCTTCTTGGCCAGTTCATCAAACCCTCTCCCTCTCCACTATGCCCCATTCCATCTGCTAGCCCTCATTTTTAGCTCCTTTGCCTCTTTCCCACATCCCCTTCCGCTCCGCTCTCCTTCATTTCCCTTCTCCAACCGCCCATCCAGCTTCCCAACGGTGAGCTCGACGCCCGCCAGCTCCGCTACCTGGCCTCCACCATTGCCCCGTACGGCGCTGACGGCTGCGCCGACATCACCACACGCGCCAATATTCAGCTTCGCGGCTTTGCCCTCGAGGACGCGGAGTCCGTGATCCAAGGGCTGTGGGACGTGGGCCTTACGTCCTTCCAGAGCGGCATGGACAGCGTGCGTAACCTCACGGGCAACCCCATTGCTGGCGTCGACCCACATGAGCTGATCGACACGCGACCGCTGCTGCGGGAGATGGAGGCGATGCTCTTCAACGATGGCAGGGTAAGCAGGGAAGGAGCTTGCTTGTTGCTAGCAGCTCTTCAGTCCGTCCTGTAATGCCGTCCTCCTTGATTGCCGTTTGCTGTGGTTGGCTTTGGTTGTTTCCCTTATACTCACCACACCTATCTGCCCATTCGCCCTTCCCTCTCACTCCTCAGGGCCGCCAGGAGTTTGCCAACCTGCCCCGCAAGCTCAACATTTGCATCTCCTCCACGCGAGACGACTTCCCGCACACCCACATCAACGACGTCGGTTACGAGGCCGTACGGCACCCTGAGAGCGGCGAGGTGGTGTTTAACGTGGTTGTGGGCGGCATGTTCTCCATCAAGCGCAACGTGGTTTCCATTCCGCTGGGCTGCTCCATTACGCAGCAGCAGCTGATGCCCTTCACGGAGGCCCTGCTGCGCGTGTTCAGGTGGGTGTTGAGAACTTTGACCGATTGCGAGGTGACCCATGGGTCTATGGGGCATGTTTGGATGGATGCATGGTTCTGCCATCTATCTACGTTCAAAGCTCATGCAATGTTCAATGTCGCGACCCTCTTCCTCCCTCAGGGACCACGGCCCCCGCGGCGACCGCCAGCAGACCCGGCTAATGTACGCAGTGGAGGCGATTGGGGTGGAGAAGTTCAAGCAGCTGATCGCCGAGTACATGGGCGGAGCGGAGTTCGCACCACCCGTGCATGTGAGTCGTAGACCTCTTGTCGCACAAATGTTTATTTGGTTTCTTGGTTGCCGTACCATTGCGACACCATGACGTCCATTTGTCCCCATGTTTACAATCCCATGTCCCTTAAGCCGATCCCTTCATGTCCTTCCACGTCTTATCCCGCTCCTCATTTGCCCATTCCATGCCTCACCCACCCCCAGGTGCACCACGAGCAGCCCTGGGAGCGGCGGGACCTGATGGGGGTGCACCCGCAGCGGCAGCCGGGGCTCAACTGGATGGGCGCGTGCGTGCCGGCGGGCCGCCTGCATGTGAGTTTCGAGCGCTCGTACGGCTGGGGAATAGCGTGCATGATGGTAGCGCGTCCGCGCATTATGCGTTGTGCATTTGTTTGCTGTAAGATACCGGTAGCCACGGAGGGAGTCTATTGCTGTCTTATACGTGCCGAAACCCGCTACCCAACCCTCCTTACCATCAGGCGGCTGACTTTGCTGAGATGGCGCGCATGGCGGAGCAGTACGGTGACGGCACCGTACGCGTGACGTGCGAGGAGAACGTGATTTTCGTCAACGTGCCGGACGAGAAGATTCCGGCCATGCTGGCAGAGCCGCTCTTCCAGCGATTCAAGGTCAACCCCGGGCTGCTGCTGCGTGGGATGGTGTCGTGCACTGGTGAGTCCGGGGGACGTACATTACAATCTGACAACATGGGATCGTTACAAGATCTCTCCAGATATCCACCGATACACTTCCGACGTGTCACTTCCGATCCCCAGCCCCACCACCCCGCACTTGCCTCGTGCATCCCATGCATCATGGCGCCCATCAAGTTCATCGCCGAATCTGACCCACACCCCACCTCCTTCTGTTCTTCCCCAAACCCCTTATCCCTCAGGCAACCAGTTCTGCGGCTTCGCGATGGTGGAGACCAAGCAGCGCGCTGTGCGGGTGGTTCAGGCCCTGGAGGAGCAGCTGGAGCTCACCCGGCCGGTGCGCATCCACTTCACCGGCTGCCCCAACAGCTGCGGCCAGGCACAGGTAAGAACAGAGGATAGGTGCGGGTTTCGCGCCATGCATGCGATAAGTGTTGTGTTCCGGGTCGTGTTCTCGTGTACGTACCTGCCGTCTTACATGGTTCCCCTTCCCTGCTGCCCCCTGCTCCCTCCCGCCCTCGCCTCTCAAAGGTGGGCGACATCGGTCTGATGGGCGCTCCCGCCAAGCTGGACGGCAAGGCAGTGGAGGGCTTCAAGATCTTCCTGGGCGGGAAGATTGGGGAGAACCCCGAGCTGGCCAAGAAGTTTGAGCAGGTGGGTGGGTTGCATGGAGGTGTGTTACGCAAAGGAGGCAGGTGGGCTGGCGTGCAGGGCGGACCCAAGGTTCATCCAGCATTACATGTGTTGCATGGGTATGCGGGAAGGTTGGCACTGCGCGGTGATGGGTTCCTGCCGTAGCCTGCATGCTGACATGCCTTGCCACTTCTTCTCTTGCCATTGCGCAGGGCGTTCCCGCCGTTTATTCCCACCTTATTCCGCGGCTGAAGGAAATCCTGATTCAGGAGTTTGGCGCCAAGGAGAAAGCGACCGCTGCCTAGACCTATGCCGCTGTACTTGCTTCCGTCGTCCTGGAGAGCAGCGCAAGGACCAGCCGCTTTAACGCTTCGAGGCCGTAGAGCGAGGGACAAGGAGAGAGTATTAGGAAGTATGTATTTCTTGGTTTGTTGCATGGTCTGAGTTCTGTACTTACGTAGAGCTCAGGGCGCCGTACACTAGACGGGGTTGTTTCGTGAGAGTTGTTCTGGAACTACCTTGCTTGTTGAGTAGGTTTAGTTTAATTGGTGGTAGACCGCTACTGGTTACGAGTTGAACAGGATTGGCCGCGAGTTGAGTGATACGCATAGGCTAGGGTTAGTGCTCCAGTGGATAGTACGGGCGGGGTCCTTGCAGGTTGCCTCCGTCAACAGAGCCGTTAACAGAGCTATGCAAGGGGTATTCGAGAAAAGTACCTGTATGGTTGTTTTATGGCCTGTACACGGTTTTAGGTATAGCACAGTAGGAATGTGCAGGTACGTTTCCCCGGCTCGCATTGAAGTCTGACTTATTGCATGTGCTGTGCATGTGCTGTGCATGTGCTGTGCATGTGCTGTGTACTACTAAAGACGGTCTGTGGATTATTTCGCATTCGGGCTGCTCGGCTGGCAATTTGCCTGATCTACAGCTCAAAAGTACTTCTGGATGTTTGTACTGGGTGTACGATGTTGCATTATTTGCAGAAAGAATTAGGACAACATGATGCAGTGGAGTGGTACGTTGGCGCCTTTCCGTGCGTAGGTGGGAGGGTGAATCAACTGAGAAGAGTGCGTGCACTGTCAACACAGGCGACCCATGGGTCCTTTAGTCACATACATGTCACTGTAATGACTACGTCAGAGGTGCCGTACCAGAGGCAAGCCCACCGGCAATAAGTGAAGGATAAATCCCTTCGACGTCATTACAATTCATCCTAGCTACCTTGGGCGCACAAGTTGTCTCCATGAAACACGGCCCCAAAACGAAAGACGAGTTTCGCACCATGCATGTTCTGCAGGTGAGATCTCAATAGCCCACCGTACATGCGCAACATGGGTTAGGCCAAACATGTCCACATACATGCATCAGGACCTGGTGCACGGTACATGCACCATAAAAACCTCCGCCCTCTCGGTGGGTTTGCTTTGTGCGGCCTAGCAGTCATGCCCCTCATGCATTGGTTTCATCCGTTTCAGCTCACCTGTTCTGACGAGCGATCGAAGTCGGGATACCTACCCGGCACTGAACACCCAAGAACGCAATTGGCACCCCCTGCGTGCTTTAGGTGAGCTTGACAACTGTCTACCTCCCCTAAATGACATGGTTTCACGACGGCATGAACATGTCACAGGCAACCACACCATGCCTTAGGGACTACCAGCGATGAGGTTTGCTGCAGCGTCCGCAATTTGTTCTGTAAGTGGCATCATACCTTGAGTGTTGGCGGCAGGCGACAAGTAATTCGTGCAATGCGGTAAGGAATTAGGATTTCTCAGCATGCCATGGCGAACGTGCTGAATACAGTGACACCTTGGCTCAGGAAATAGACAAGCAATATTGACGACATCTTAGCCCGAGTTCCTGTGCTATCTCACCTGGTCATGCCAACTGAACCTTTTTGTACAGTAGTTATACTTTGAACAAGCAAGGCTAGTAAGTAAGCGGCCTACCGCCTACGCCAATGTGGGTCGCAGCGCAAGCAACTAGCAGCAATGTCTTTGGAGGGCGCATACAATATAAATTGCAAGCAATGTTGAGCACTTGGAAACTTCCTATATGTGTCTGGCTTGGTATGTACACGGTCGTATCCTCTTCGGCAAGCCTGCCAAGAGCTGAAGAATAGGAAACAAGATTACGAACAACATACAGACAGGAATCATAGCAATATCTCAATAGACCACTATGGCTTGGCTGGCACTACAGCAGAGCTCACGTGTGGCGCGTAGGCGGTTGCACGAACGTACAGTCATAGAGATTGCCCACTTTTTGGGCAACGCACAAACATAGGGTCATACACCATGTTTCAAGCATAATGGCTCTCGCAGAAAATTCCATTTGCCCCACGGCACATGACCGCGAGCCGCTTTGCTACGACAGGCCGGCTGGCTGCTGACCCCAGCAAAGGACAAAGGGACACTTCCAGTAAGGGCCCCTATCCTACTAAGCCATTTTGTTATAAAATATCAATATGCCTTACTTACATGCAGCCTAGGAAGACCGTTTTCCATACGTTGGATGGCACTTCGAACCCTAACGGAAACGGTATTTTAACACTTAACAAAACCTAAATCCTGTCCGCACACAGCGTGCTAAGCATAATGGATACCCTTAAATGCCAAGGATCTATCTTTAGGACCCGATCGACAGCGGGCCAGCGCAGTTCCGCCTGCTGGATGGGGCAACGCGTCGGGCGTGCCATTTGCGGAGTAGCGAGCGTTTCGCAAATCACTATTCAGCCCAGCAACAACAACCACATGCATATTTCAAGTTCACCTCCAGTTCCGGAGGCTCATCCGGCCCCGCCTCCTGGCGTGCTGCCGCCCATCGGGGCCTACAACAACATCGTCAGCTTAGGTGCTGCGAAGGCCGCTATGCCGGCTTGGAAGACGTTCCTCATGGGAGTTATGGCGGGCTGTTACATCAGTTTTGGTGGCTTTCTTGCGATTATGCTCGCAACAATGTGTTCAGGTAGGCGCTACCGGTAGGCAACAAACCGTAAATTCCTGGCCTTCTGCAAGATCGTCTTTGCTGATAAACGCCCATTGTATACCCCCATTGACAGTCCTACTAAATTACCCTCGCTCCCACCCCGCAGGTCTTGGAGTCACGAGCCCCATCCTGACGCGTCTAGTCATGGGCGCGCTGTTTCCTTTTGGTCTCCTTGTCACACTGGTCTGTGGAGCTGAGCTGTACACGGGCAACACGGCGCTGGTTACGGCGGCAGTGCTGGAGAACAAGGCGACCGTACAGGTACGGCAATAACAAGCAGGAATGTTCTAATAGTACGAGGCGTGCGCCATCTGGGGTTAACACTAGACCTTTGTTAATCAAGGCCGTAGCCTCCAAGTCCTCCCCGTTCCTGACCTACATGGCTGGGTCCAGTGCTCTTAGGGGCTACTCTGCTGCAGAGATAAAAATAGGGAAAGGGAGCGGTACGATTAGGATTCCGTGCTGTACAGCTCCAAAGAGACCTAACTAGGGCCTCCGCCTCCCCTCAGGGCCTGTTGAAGAACTGGAGCTGCTCCTATCTAGGCAATCTGGTGGGCAGTCTCGCGATGGTGGCTGTGGTGAGCGCCACTGGCCTGCTGCCCGTCTCACCCACGGGAGTAGCGGCGAGCATGGCGGTTGCCAAGAGCAGCCTGCCGTTTGGACAGGTATGTACGGCATTGCCATGATTCTAAGATCATGCCTCTTGCCTCGTAGTGCGCCGCACATCACCTTTGAGTGCCCGTCATCGTTACATGAAATGAAGCCTACACGCGCAACCCCAGGTTCTAAACTCTGCATTCTGTGCTCCTCCGTATGCCGCGCCCTCACTCTGCCTCCCCGCCAACCTGAACCTTCAAACCCAATCCACCCCCTCACCAGGCCTTCGTACGCGGCGTGCTGTGCAACTGGCTAGTCTGCTCCGCCGTTTGGATGGCCTCCGCCGCCACCTCGCTACCCGGCAAGGCGGTGGCAGCCTACCTGCCCGTCATGGCGTTCATTACACTGGGTCTGGAGCACTCGGTGGCAAACATGTAAGTGCTGCTTACTTGCTGCGTGCTATTGTTTTCTTTGGTAGATCGCTAACATGTCCATGCATCTTGTATTGTACCGAGCAGTAATGGACCAAATGGCACCAAACTCGTACAACAACTTAGGTTTTAAGTATGCTGGGAAGGTCCCGCTTTGTTCTGCTGGCTACGTAGCTAGAGGCATGCTTCTCAGGACATTCCGTGACCGACCCGTGGGTCGCTCCTCCCCCTGCTTACCAAGTGACCAAACTCGTTGTCGATTTTCCACGTATGCTTCCCGTCAAATTCCTTGCGGGCTCCCATTTGATTACTAAATCCGATCCAATCTCTACCGGAACCTCCGCCGACGCAGGTTCATGTGTACTCTGGGCATTGTGCAGGTACGTCGGGTTTGTTAGCCGTAAACACAGCAGATAACACATACGGCACGCCATGGAACTAGGGTGGCCTCGTGGGAATTACGGCATCTTATGTTGTGCCCAACCCAGTTATGAAGTCCAAACACCTGCGGCCACGGTTTCCCCTCACCAGTCATGTGCACGACAGCCTCCCTCACCTCCCTTATAACTCCTCTAAGTCCAGATGCACTATTCTCAACCTCGCCACCTGCTTTCTCCCCCCCCTCCCCCTCCCCCCTCTCATCATCATATATATATTTTTTACCTCCCCCTCCCCCCCAGGGAGCCCCTGTCAGCTGGGCCACCTTCCTGACGGGCAACCTGTTGCCAGTGACACTTGGAAACACCTTTGCCGGCGCTGTTTGCATGGCGGGGGCCTACGCGTTGTGCTTCGGAGCAATTGGCAAGGCACTGTCCTCACGGCCGGCGGCGGCACCAACCGCACCACAGCAGCCCGCAGCGGCGTAACGGGAAAGATATCCTCCTCAAGGCGCTGTCGTCGTCATTAATATCGCCGGCGGTGACGACGCAGCCTCGGTAAACCGCGGAGGTTTGACGGGGATGTCGAGCTTCTTGTGGCCTTGCATTGCAGCGCATAGCTACGTGATTTGGGTGCAGCAGCAATGAGACGGTTTCTGGATGCGTTGTATACCTGTATTTGTTGACCAAGTGGAATGCTCCCGTGCGAAGTGAAAGCGTGGGTTTTAGTGGGATGGGCACGTTTGGCATAGAAGGCCGAAAACCTTTGCATGCGGTGTTACAGCACTGGAACGACTTGAGGAGAGGGAAGCAGGATTGCGTGCAAAAGGGAGCGTGCTCGTGTGTTTTATCATTACCGGTAGCTACGAAGGTCAGGTGGTTGCCGGTCGTTGGTTTCCAGTTGTATATCTATCAGTGTGTTACCCCCTCGTATGTTTGCTAACAGGACGCGCGCGTACCATATCTTGCCGTTGGTGCACATCGAGCCATGGAAACCCCTCTTTAGCTCGAAACTCCCATCCCATTCTAGTTAACTAGCTGCCATATCGATGCCATGGCCGCCACGACCTCTTCACAACCCCAGCACAGCACCCGCTCTTTCCCCCCGGGAGCTCCTCACGCCATCACCCAACCGCCATGCCCCCCTCCCCCTCCGCCGTCACCTCCGCCTCCTTTCCTACCCTTGCCCCGGCTCCCGCCCCTGCCCCGCTCCTGTTTCACAGCCTCCATTCCGATCTTCTTCGCAAGCTGTGTCTTCCACTTCCTGCCCGGTACCTTCAGCTTTCCCTGGCCCGTGTCGCCTATGCCCCCATCACCGCCTGCTCCCTCAGCCCCACCCCCGCTACCCTTCTTAGCGCTCTGACCACGTCGCTGCTTCTTGAACTTCATGACGTCGCCGTCCACTGACGCCGGGGCCCCATGCAACAGCGGCTCCTGTTGTTCAGGATGACCCTGCAGTGCTTGTCCTTGTTGCTGCTGCCGTTCTCGACGATGCAGCTGCCGCTCGTTCTCCGAAAGCCGCCGCCGCTCCTTCGCCGCTGCTATCCGCTGCTGTCGTACATTCAACCGCTCGCCTCCGTTGCTGCTACGCCGCCGTTTGTTGCCGCCTTGACTGTCTTCTCGCTCCCCCCAATCACCGCCGCCGCCACCACCGCCGCCGCCGCGTCCGCCATCAATGGGAGCTGCACACCCCAGCTGGGTTTGCGCTTGAGCCGTTAAGCGAGCGGCGTGACCGGCCCTGTACGGCCAGCAGTTGGTGGTGGTTGATGGCGAGTTGCCGTTGTTCTGTTGGTACAGAAGTGCGTTAAGACATAGCACACGGCGCGGTGCAGGACTGGCATGGGCACAGAGCGCGGATGTGCACGCAGCTCCATGTGCCAGACATGCCGCGATCAATACCGTCACAGCTACCGGGTACTACTACCGGTATTACCGGTACTACTACCGGTATTACCGGTACAGCAAACATTGGCTGCCATGAGTACCACGAATACTGACGGCTGATACCCCGGCTGATAACACCCGTGCCACTCCCACATGAAGTACAATGCGCAGTCAACCCGTCCTACGGCATGCCCACGCAAACCCCATCGCGTCCCCTCCTCGCGCGCATGATCACACCTGTTCCTCGCCATTGCCGCCGAGCGGCACAGTGCCAAATCAGGATCCAGTACGGCACGCAGCAACGTGTACCGATGCCGTACAGTGCTGGCACCAGCCCGAATGCCAACGCCGGCATCTTGTTGTACGGCACCTTGGTCAAAGGAGCGGTGTGAGCCGTCCGATTGTACGGCAGCCCACATGGCCCTCTCGCAGGCCTCCCCGGACTGCAAACTTCCCCTCTGCGGCCCTCCGAAACCCTGGAAAGCAAATGCGATGGCGCACATACACCAATGCACGTACAGTGTTGAAGATACCGGTAGCATACGGTACGTAGTTAACGTGGACCCATTCATACGAGGTACACGGCGGGGGCTACGACGATTGAACTGCGAAGCATGTGATGCCATGTCCGGTCCCCTGCACAGCGCACCCTGCATGCTCGCCTCCGTCCCATGTCGCTTTCCACACCCATTTCACACGGACCCTTCAACCTCACCTGCGTCCCCGCTCCTGCTCCCCCCAGGGCCCGGGCAGCCTGCGCGAAGCGTTCCAGCACCCCCGAAATGTTGAACGAGCCGCCGGCAATGTCTGCCCAACGCTGCTGTGGATCCTCAACCGCCAACAGCGACCCCGGCCGCCTGCCGTCCGCCAGCCGTCCGCGGCCGTGGTACGACTTGCGCCATGCAGGGAGCTTCCGAGTGATGCCACCTCGTACGACACTAACCGCTTCGGTTGCTAGATCCAGCCGTACGCCGTAACGGTTGAAGAAACCCACAAGCAGCTCCCCCAAGTCCGCGCCAGACACGTCTTGACGACTGAGCGCGCGAAGGTATGACAGCTGTGCCTCCGGCAAGCCCTCCACGGCGACGGTAGCGGCGCCTCCTCCGCTGACGCTACTGCGGCGGCGGCGGCCGCCGCCGTCGACACTCATGACGGCTGCCGCCTCCGACACTGCCGCGGCCGCCTCCGCTATCGCCGCCATGTCTTGGGCTTCATCGGCAGCGGCGGCGACTGAGGGCTGCGACCAAGCCGCCCGGCTGTCCACTCGGGCTAGACCCGCCGCCGCCGTTGCCGCTGCTGCACCATCCACATCACCCAGGGCTGCAAGCTCATCCACCTCCTCTTCCTCCTCAAAGTGCACGTCAAGATCCACATCGAGATCCGCATCGTCATCATCGACCCACTCCGGTACGTCACCTTGATCCCCGTCATCCTCGCTGCTTCCGTAGCCACCGTCATCGCCCTCCTCTTCCGCCTCGACGCCATTAACGTCACCTTGCGACGACTGCCGCCGTCGGCGCTTGGCGGGCGGGCCCATGCCCACGTCGCCGCCCGCCGCCGCCGCCGCCGCGGCGGCGGCGGCAGAGGCGGCAGCTGCCGCCGCCTGGAGTACGTGCCGTACATCGTAGCCTTCGCATTGCAGGTGCGCAATGACCATGTTGATTAGGACGTAGGAGGAGACGCCACCCGTGAAGACCTCGTTGAGTCCTGCCTCCTTCAGGAGTGCCTGAGGAGAAAGGGAAGGAATGGAACACAGCGCCACGGAAACGTGTGTTAAGAAAACTGGCCGCGAGTCGGAACGTAGTGTGATTGTCGGAAACGTGTGTAGTTGAGTAGGACAAGAGCAAGCAATTGGGAGAGGTTCGCATGTGAACCGCGAGTACAGGCAAAACAGAGGCAACCAGTTAGGTTTTGGACATGGCGAGAGGAACCAAGCAGGATTCGGAAGACCTTCAGCCAGTACATCTTACCTTCCACTCACGCCTATCCTCGTACTCCAAATCCCGTACTTCCAACCTTTTCACGTCACCTAATCCCTGCCACTATTCGCCACTTACCTTAACCACAAGGCACAGCGGCCGCAGGGGAGGCAGCCAGGCCACCGCTCGCTGCACCAGCGCCACCGCAGCAGCTCCGTTGGCGGCGCCAATAGAGATATCCGCAGCCATCTGTGCAGACCCACGACCCATGGGTCGGCCAGCAGAGTCCACCGACAGCAGAAACGTCTTGACGATGGGCACCTGGGCAGCGACGGAAGGCGAAGAAGGGCGATCCGGAAGACGTAACAGATATGTACGGAGTAACACATCGAGAGCGACTGACATGGGTTGACGCCTGATGCAGAATCAATCTCGGTTCCTAACCGTCAAAAGTGCCCGTAGCCCCACATGCCGCACCTTTGCGCGGACGAGCGTGTGCCTGCGGATGAGCCCCGCCGCCCTCAGTCGCCGAGCCAGGGTCTCAAGCAGGTTCGCGGCTGTGTTGCGCGCGGGGGCTCCGAAACCCTCCGCGGGAGTGGCGAGGTGCGGCATGACACCAAGAACCACCAGATCCAGATCTGATCCCGGCAGCGCAAGACCCGCAGCCTGATGGATGGACGGGTTTGGACATGGGAGGATCAGGAATAAGGAGGCATGATAAGAAGGGGGCACGACGTTCAGTATAACACAAGGACCGGCAGCCTCATAAAGGAAGGGGTAAACGGAGCTCGGTGGATAGGGCCTAGCAGAGGACTAGCTGCCACAACCCACCTGCGACCCGAACAGCACCACCCGTGCGGTCGGCCAGATCTCCGCCACCACGCGTTGCACCCCCGCCAGCACCCCACTCAACGCCGCCAGCTCCTCCTCTCGCGGAGCACTGTCAGCCGCAAAAGCAGCGACCTCGCCATGTAAGGCCGACAGAGGCCGCCGGCCACCGCCGCCGCCGCCGCCGGCGGTGCTGCCATGTGGAGTGCTGCTGCCTGCGGCGGCAAGGCTGTATTGTCGGGAGCTGCCGGCGGCGCCAGCAGCATGCGGCATTGCATGGGGCGCCATGGGAAGGGTCCAGGGACGGCCGTACAGGGGTGCGGCACCGGGCAATGAGGAGTCAGGTTGCGGATCTAACAGCTGTGCGGGGTCCTCCTCTGGGCGCGCTCTCTTGTGTCCTAGGACAGCGGCAGCCTCGCCGCCGTCAACCTCGAAGGCGGGAGTGCTAAGGTCCGCCCTGGGTACGGGACCACCACCGCCGCCACCGCCACCACCGCCGTTGTTGTTGCTGCTATCGACCGTCCAGAAAGCGGCCACGCCCTCCGCCGTGGCAGGACCAAACCGCGCCTCGTCATAGGGCTCCATGGCTGCCAGGGAGCGAAAGGCCTGCCCTGCCAGATCCAAACCAGGCAAGCGCGCCAGCTTGTACCTTGCAGCCGCTTGCGGGCACCTCCACACCTGCAGCACGCCGTCCTTTGCTAGCTGGACGCATGCAGAGTTGGGTGGCCGGCACAGCATGGCTGCTCGCAGGGGCGGGGGGCCCAGGTCCTTCAGCATGGCCAGGACCTCATCTGGGCTGGCGCCGGAATCGGGATGCTGTAGAGCTGCGACACATTGCTGGGCGAGGTGTAAGAGCCCCCTCGGCAGTTGCGGAGTCGCGGTACCACCATGCCGGTCGCTGCTGCTGCCGCTGCCGTAGTTGTCGGGGTGGCTGCGGCCTGACAGCAGCGCTTCCACTTGCGCCGTTAGGGCTCTAGGGAAGGATTCCTGCAAGGGCAATATGCACGACATGCCATGACAGGACACCACATGACACGACACGAAGGATACGGGATACGGGGTAAGCGTCAGGGCATAGGAACGTTCGTGTAACCAAAGGGTGTGCATGAGTGTGTAGACGTTGGATAGCACTCAATCGCCCGCTGCGTCATGCCCCACTAAAACGCATGTCGCAACCCATCTGCAGGGCATGCCATGCTCCATCCCACGCCATGCTCCACACCATGGAATGCTCCACCCCTCACCTGCGGGCTCCTGGTCGCAGCAGCCGCGGCTGGGTCTACGGAGTACCTGGGCGCGAAGTGCGGCCCGGGTCGGGGGGCGAGCTGGATCATGCCGGCCCGCAGGCAGGCGTCGATCGCCTGAGCCGCCATGTCTCGAGTGAGCTGAGGTGGGGGACGCGGCAGCAGGTGAGGAACGAGGGCAGGTGAGGGGCGTCTAGGTGTCCAGGCAAGTAGCGGACGGTGTGGTAAGGCGGCCAGAATTTCGGACGCCCGCGGAGAAGCACACGGAGGAACGGAAAACGGAGCGGCGGGGTATGGCTAAGGAAATGCGTGAATGCAGCCAGCTGTCCAGCCTTGTTGCAGTAATTGCTCACAGGTAGGGTTGCACCGTGGTACCGTAGTTGGCACAACTCGATCAATTCCGAGTTAGCCGAGGACCCTAGATGGCCCCAGATGAGATTAGCCGGCAAGGAGCCTCTCCTTAGCCACATAACTAGTGCGCCGTATGACCGTACCCAGTAAGACCATACCATGGTGTACCTACCGTTAATACGCCACAGCCGCCGTGCTTCATCCAGCGACCCGTCATCAATGCGATCACCTCATGCTGCCCCGCCGACCCACGGGTCACCACGCCCGTTGCCAGCGTGCAGCATGCCAACACCAGCGACATCCGCGGATCCTCCGGACGCTGAAGCCACTGGCGCTGTAAATCCTTGAACGCCTTGCGGCCTAAAGGGCGGTCCCTGCCTTTGCCTTTGCCTTTGTCAGCGACCCGTGGGTCACCACGGCCATCCGGACGGGCAGAGTAGTCCGCGCAGAGCCGCAGGATAGCAGCTTCCAGCTCTGTGGGTCGCAGTGGCGGGGCCTCAGGCTGTGGCAGCTGCGACTGCGACTCACGTCGGGCCCTCTTAGCGGCCGGGGCATCGCCGCCACCGTCATCGCCAACAGCAGCACCGGCACTGCCGCTGATACCACCACTGACCGGCACCGCAAGCGCCGCGTTCGCATACACTTCCACAGGTTGTGCTCCTAGTGCACTGACAATTGCAGCCCACCGGGGGAAACCATCCGGTCCGAGGCCCCTGTCGTCCTGCACGGCATCTGCTGCCTCCTTTTTCTCCTCCTCCTCCTTCTCCTCCTCCACTTCCACTTCCTCCTCGTGGTTCGCATGCGGCGCCCCCTGCTGTTGCACCGCCTTTGCCTCCTCCTCCGCCTCTTTGCGCCCACCGCCGCCTCCGTTGTTAACAATTTCGACGTCTATCCACAACGGGGGTGCAGCGGCAGCCGCAGCAGCGGCGGTGGAGGCGCTGTTCAAGGCGGGTCCGAATCGCGCCTCGTCGTAAGGCTCTAGGGCCGCCAAAGAACGGAAGGCCTCCCTGGCTAGATCCAAATTAGGCAACCGATTGAGGCAGTACCTGCAGTGGGCCATGACGCGGTGGAGTCCTCAGGGCTCCTCATCAGACACCTCCGGCTCCTCATGAGGCCACAACTCCGGTAACGCTACATGCTGCATAGACCTCCCGGGCAATTGGAGTGCCGGTACGCTACAGCCTCCCTTGCGCTGTGATTCAGGTGCTTTCTGAGAGGCACGCATGCACTTCCGTTGCGTCCTCATCCTCTTCCTCATCCACCCGCCATCCCCCCCTCTCCCACGCACCTTGCACCCGCCTGTGGACACCTCCACTCCCGCAGCACCCCCTGATTCGCCAGCTCCTTGCATGCAGCCCTGGGCGGGTGCCGGCACGTCATGCAGGCCAGCAGGGGTGCTGGCGCCAGGTCCCGGAGGACCGCAGCCACCTCATCCGGGTGCACACCCGAGTCGGGCTGCTGCAGATCCGCCACGCATTGCTGAATCAGATGTAGAATCCCAGCCTGCTGCACCAGCCGCTGCAGTAGCGCTTCGCTTTCGGAGGGCGAGAGGGGAGGTGCAGGACCAGCCAATGCGGCGGCTGTGGAGGCCGCCGCAGCAGCCGGATCGGCGTCCAGAAGCAGCTTGAGGGCTCGCGGGAAGGAGTCCTGGGGGGGGCAGCGTACGAATGCGTGTACGGCAAGGATGTAGAGGGCAGAGGCGGTTGTGCATTATGTAGACGGCGGCGAGTTCTCTTTACGAGAGCCAGGCAAAGCCTGGCGCTTGGACATGACCGCACCCCGCTGCCCTGTCCTACCACGAAGCATGCTCCATCCCACGCCATGCTCCACACCATGGAATGCTCCACCCCTCACCTGCGGGCTCCTGGTCGCAGCAGCCGCGGCTGGGTCTACGGAGTACCTGGGCGCGAAGTGCGGCCCGGGTCGGGGGGCGGGCTGGATCATGCCGGCCCGCAGGCAGGCGTCGATCGCCTGAGCCGCCAGGGCTCCGTTGAGCTGCGGTGGGAAGGGGCAATGGAAAAGCGGCATGGGGCATGTAGGTAATGAAGGATCGGCTTAGGATGTGAGGCAAAGCACGGATGCAGCGGTGGTGGATGGAAAATAGGCTGATCGCGTGTGGGCCCGTTACTACACACCTCCAACGCCTACCTTGCACACGCCCAAGCCGCCGTGCTTGTTCCAGCGACCGACTATCAATGAGGCCAGCTCCTCGCGCCCCGCCGACCCACGGGTCACCACGTCCGCTGCCAGGGCGCAACATGCCAACACCAGCGACATCCGCGGGTCCTCTGGCTTCTGCAGCCACGACTGCTGCAGGGCCTTCAGCTCCTTGCGGCTTTTGGCGAATTCAGCACCCCCTCTGCCTTTGCCGCTGCCTATGGCCGGACTGGCAGCATACTCCGCGCAAAGCTGCATGATGGCAGCTTCTAGCTCGGATCGCTGTAGCGAGGCCTGGAGCCGTGGTTGCTGCGACTGCGACTCACGTCGGGCCCTCTTAGCTGCCGGCACATCGCCGCCACCGTCATCGCCAACAGCAGCAGCGGCAGCACCACCGGCGTTCCCCACGGCTGCATTAGCAGCCACTATGGATGCAGCTTTAGCGCTGATTGTTGTGACCCACAGTGGCCGGCCGTCCGCTCCAAGACCCGGGGCCCCAGGACTGGCAGCAGCAGCGGCAGCTGCTGCTGCTGCAGAGCCCGATGTGATGCCAGCACCAGACGTCTCAGTCTCAGCAGCAGCGGCCGTTGCTGCTGCATTTTTCTGCTTCCTTGACAAGTGCTGTTGCTGCTGCTGCTCGAATGCCAAGTGCTGCTGCGGTGGCTGCTGCAGTGCCTGCGGCTGTACGGCCGCCTCCAGCCCCCGCTCTTGCGTGCAAGGCTGCTGGGGCGACTGCGGTTGCTGTAGCAACCCCTGTTGTTGAGGAGGCGGCTCCTGCACCGCCGGCGGTAGGATGGCCCTGGGGACGTGCATCGCATGCAGCCGCGCCGAAATGGCGGCGCTGTGCTGCCGCAGGTCCAGGTCAGGGCCCTGTACGAGGTGTACGGAAAGGGAGTAAGCAGGCATAACCGAGGTCGCAGTGCAGTACAGCAGCAGCCCTAGAGGAATGCAGCCGTACACCCCAAAGATGGCAGCGATTTTTTTGCCAGCGACTTTGGGTCTTCCCATGGTCATATGGTCAGTGTTTCCTGACGCAGCTCATCTTACCTACCCATACACCCCTGCGCCCTGCTGTACACCCCTGCGGTACTCCCTGCCGTACACCCCTTCGGTACACACCCACCCCCACCCCACCTGCGGCAGCGCTAGCAGCTCCGCCACCAGGCTCAGCCACACGCCCACCCCCTGGTCCGCAGCGGCCTCCCAGGTGGGCAGCGACAGCAGGCTGGACTCCTCGCCTGGCAGGGAGGAGAGGAGGAGAGGCGAGGAGTGAGTAGGGAAGGAGGAGGCGAGGAGTGGGCAGGGAGGAGGAGGGGAGGCGTGGGCAGGGAGGAGGAGGCGAGGAGTGGGCAGGGATGAGGAGGCGAGGAGTGGGCAGGGATGAGGAGGCGAGGAGTGGGCAGGGATGAGGAGGCGAGGAGTGGGCAGGGAGGAGGAGGGGAGGCGTGGGCAGGGATGAGGAGGCGAGGAGTGGGCAGGGAAGGAGAGCGCGCGTCTCAGGACAGCTTGTGGTCGCATTGCGGATGATGGTTGGGCAGGCGGCGGGGCCCCGGGTTGGCTGCACTGGACCGGCAAGGAGATGTGGGTCAGGACTCCTCGTGCCCATGCAGCCCGCTGACCCCCCCCCTCTCCTACCCACCTCCCCCCTACCTACCTGGAGCGCTCTTCCTCGCCTCGTTATCCACCAGCAGGCACCGCCCCAGCGGCAGGCCATGCGCCGCCAGGGGCTTCACCGTGTCCCACTCGCGCCCGTCGGGCCGCTGCCGCCAGCCAGGGTCCGGAGCGCAGTGCTCGCGACACAGGATGCGGCTGAACAGCACGCGAGCATCCACACGCGCAGGGCCGTATCCACCCCCGTGCTGGTAGCCGCCACGACCGCCGCCCCTGCCGCCGCCTCGGCCACGGCCGCCACCGTAACCATAGCCGCCATAATAACCGCCTCCGTAGCCTCCGAAGTTGTTGTTGTTGTAGGTGTTATAGCTGCCGCTGCTGCTACCATAGCCGTAGTAACCCGCAGCACCTCCGGCAGCTGCTTCCGGTCCCGCTCCCAGTGGTCCTGCGGCATCAGGAGCGACCCCCTGGCAGTATCCTAACGTTCCCAGCGGTGCACCTGCTGCTGTTATTGCCGCGCCTGCACCCGCCAAGGCTGCAGCAGCGTCCGCAGCCATCACAGCTCCACCTGCCATACTGGTCCCTCCAGCAGCAGCTGCTGCTGCTGCCGCTGCTGCTGCGGCCGTGGAGGCCCTAGCGGCTGCTGCTGCAGCCTCCGCCGCCTCAGCTGCGACCGCCGCCGCGGTGCTTTCCTCTCGCAGGCTTCGCAACCGTTCTGGTTGGTCCTGGAGCTCTTGCGCGAGTCGAGTGCCTAGGGAATCGAGCGCTTTACATACCGTGGGATGCGTTGCGGAGGTGTACAGCCCCAGGCGGAAGCGCTGCCGAAGCAGCAGGAGGGAGGCAATGCCGGGGCGGGCGCGGAAATGGCGGCGCTTTGGGAAGCGCCCGTAACGGCTGCGCTTGCTGTAATAGCCGCTGTCACCACCGCCTCCGCCCCCGTCGCCGGCATCAACTCCTCCGGCCTGCAGCTCATGCTGCTGCGGGCGCTGCTCCTCGTATTTGGACTCCTCAACCAACACGCCTAGCAGCAACAGCAGCAGTATTGGGAAGGGATAAGAAACGGGAGAGCGGGGGGCAGAACGACAGATTGAGGGTTCCAAAGTTAGGTGGTGCGAAGGTTTGCGGTGTGCCTTGCCTTGTGGTGACGACGACTTAGCACACTACCCACATCACTGTCAACAGCGCCCCACAGCATACCAGCCCGCAATGCTTAGCCCAATCCGCGGTGCAACGCGGATCCTTTGAACCCACAGCTGAGCTTTCAAAACGATCTGGGTCGGACAGCACACGACAAAACATAGCCTCATTTGGGCTGCAGCGGCTGAGGCCCGCCCCTGGCCTTACCGTTCAAGTCAAACAGAAGCCAGGGACGTGTGTCCTCCGCGGCGGTGGCATTCCCCTCGTGTAGCAGCTGCTGCAGCTCAGCACCAGGGGCCGCAGCTCCAGTGCCCTCCTCCGTCAAAGCCATAATTTTAAGTGTTTAAACTTGTAGACAGCCAAAGCCACCGGAAGTCGGCTGCGGAGGTGCGGGCATCCGTTGAGGGGTTGACGCAGGTAGCTACGAAGCCAAGGAAGGGCTCGGATACCAGCGCAGTCATTTCCATAAAACCACAGAAGGAGAGAGCGCGGCTGCTATGTGGCAAAGACATCATGCCCAAAGGGGCATCAGACGTCTTTTAATCGCCGCGCGCCAAAGGGTACAGTAAGCATGCGCACCGCCGCCGCTATACATCCGTCTAACCCAGCGGTATGCACCCAAGGAAAGAAACCTTTGTGTTCACTAGCAGAAGCTTACACGCGCACCTGCTAAGCAGGTGTTGCGGCTTGGAGCGGCCAAGCCCAAGCCCTGACACGCAGCTTTAAGGACGCAGCTCCTGCTAAGTGCTATTGTTTAATCCTTGTTTACTATTTCCAATGTTTAAAACGAACTATGGCACGTTTCGGTCTCACCCGCCGGCCGACGACGGCCGGGCCGGGCCAGCCTAAAGGCTATCAACAAGAAGCGATGAAGCGAAGACATGCCAAGACGTATATAAAAGTAATCTTCGTTTGTTACGTCGAGGCATTAACGGAATTGTGGAACATTAGGAGGTATACTGCACGACGAGCGCTGCGATCAATCCTTTCAAAATAATAGCTATATCAACAGCGTTTGCATAAAATAATATTTCGTGAGCTTTTCTTTAGTCCTTCACTTGCAAGTGCGCTGCTTGTAGTCAACCGTAGGACACCGACTCTCACCATGCAGACCACTCTAGGCCGTCAGCTGGGAAAGGTTGCACCACCTCGTAGCCGGGTGCAGTCGGCGGCGCCGACCGTTGCTAGGGGCAATGCCGTTCGTCCCCGCCAGCTGGTCGTCTTTGGCAGCCTGACCCGGAGGCCTGAGGATGGTGGATTCGGCGGCAAGCCGCTTTTGAACAGCATGGAGGATGAGGTCGCTAACGCACCGGCGGGTAAGTTTCGTAGGGTCGCATTTCCGCGGGGAAAGGCGACCAGTCGGCGGCTTACCGTAGTCAACGGGGACGGCTAGATGTACACACATGACATTACTTCCGTCTCGCGGCGTGGTTAGTGCGCGCATGCGGGCCGGTGCTGCCGAGTAAGCTTAGCTTGCAGAAGTTGCCGAGTCAATCACGAGTTGAGAAACGAATAGTTTTGCAAAGATGGCGCGTGGATTTGCAAGGGGCATTGAAAGTGGTTTCAAAGGCAATAGACGTCGCTAGATTCGTATGCTATGGGCGGTTTGGAACTCGTCGAGGGGCTTCGCCATCATAATCTGGGTCCACCATATAAACGGTTGTCGCGTCTTCGTGTTGACGCAACCCCTACCACCGTACGCCAAAACCTACCTGGCTAGGGTCACCCGTTGTTGGCGAGGATGTTTTACTGCTTAGCCGCTTGTATGCATTGGGAGTTGTGGGCCATCCCTACATCAGCTCCACCCAGCTTGGCGAATTGGCTGGCTCAAGTCGCGCGGCTGAGCCATCCGGCTAGTCACTTACAAATGGTGCGGGAGCTGCTGCTATGCGTAACTGGGTGATGTGGGTTGTACTGGCCGCTAGCTGTGACCCACATCAGGGTGTGATCTTCCGGCCCTGACGGAAAACCACTGGATCCAGGGACTGCTGCATGCCGTACGGCTTCGAGGAACGCGCCTGGCTGCAGCTAGGTTGCTTCAGTACCTGCATGTTGTCATGGTCCCGTGGGCCAACAGAGGGCTCCTCCGGCGCCTTTGCGACGGCGTTGTTGCCACGCTGACGGTGACTGGTCCTCTCACGTGACTCGATCTGGAAGGTGCTCTGGAGCCGTCCGGATTAGAGTTAGGAAGGGGCTGTCGCCCGCTCCACTCGTGGGGTTGCCTGGATCTGGATTGCCTTGGATCTTGCCGGGGCAGGGTCATTCGGATTCAGGGAAAGAGCGCTAGCAGCCTAATAATGGGGTGACGTTTGGTGGAATGTTGGGTGGGGCGAGGCAACGCAAAGCCTGGATTTGGGTCGGTCGGCATTAGGGTTAAGAGGCACAGCACACAGGTGGATGGCGTTGGGTGCTCTAGTGGTGTGAGCGGGCGATTGGTTGCGGCAGGCAGGCGGCGAGGTTTGTGGGTTGCGAGGTGGCGAACATGCCGGTTGAAGGAGGGCCGGACACGCTCCCTACCTATGCGACGATGGGGGTCGCCGTCAACACGCAAACCCCAGTGGCACGGCGTACGGCGATGTATGGGGCTGTGGGGTCGGACCCGGCGTAGTCGTCTGCATGGAAGCGTCGCTTGGCACCTCTCTCTCTTGGGCGCAGCAGCAGCCTCTTGTGGGGGTTGGGCGAGCAGTCCATTGCCGGCGCGCACCTCACGTCAGGGCGTACGACCTGTCAGGGCCCCTCCTCGCACCTCCCCTGCCCTCCTCTTGCATGGCATGCTTGCGAATGCGATGCGGGCGCGTGCATGTGGGTGCAACCCACACACGCTCCCATCCTTACCCCACCTGCCCACTCCCCGCCACCCGGGACTGTCCTCTCCGGCAGTCCATCGCTTTGCCCCCCCTCCTTTGCTTCTCTACTCTAACCCATCTCCTCTCCACTCCTGCACCCCCGGCAGGCACGCCCAAGGCCTACAAGCCGCCTCCCCGGGACACGCTGCGCATGGGTCTGCCCAGCAAGGGGCGCATGGCGGAGGACACCATGCAGCTGCTCAAGGTAGGGGGCGGAAGGAAACGAGTAACAAACCGACAGGGGGGACGCAGAGGGGATGCATACTCCGCACAGCTGCCCAGGGTGGGTTAACAAGGGGTAGAAGTAATCATACGGCAAGGTGGGGGGGTTTGGAGGTGCTGAGCAAGGCGCCGGGCCCTGAGTCGTTAGCGTGGGGGCATGGGACACGTGGGCGGCAGGGCGGCTTTGGGGGGAGGCTGGGGAGGCAGGGGGGCCAGTAGAAGGGCCATGCGTGGCATGGACGGAGCCTGGGGGCCTGCTCCCTAGCACTCCACCAGGCGGCGCGTGGGGCTGACACGGCGGTTCGGTGGTGGCTGCTGCTAGGGGGGGGGTACGACAGGGGTAGAGCCGCCGAAGAGCTCTGTCCAGGCGTTCAGCTGAGCTCCTCGTAGCTTAGCCCACAGCACACCAGGGTGGCTTGACCGCTCCTGTTTGGATACGGGGTTTCAGGGGCTGGGGGCATGGGGGGGCTGCATGCAGGAGCGGGCGTTAAGCCGGCGCCGGGACCCGTGTGGTTGTTGTTACTTCCCTTACTTGGCTTGTACCTGGGTCAGTAGCCTCCGTGCCTCACGCCCTCACCCTCCCTTGCCTCACCTTCCCTTTCCCCTACCCCGCCTTCCCAACCCCCCTCCCTCAGGACTGCGCCCTGTCGGTGTACAAGCCCAACCCGCGGCAGTACGTGGCCAAGATCCCGCAGGTGAGAGGACCGCATGTTGGGGGGGAGCGGGGGGCCGGGGGGCGGCCTGGGGGAGGGAAGGCGAGGCAGGGGAGGGAAGGGAGGGTTCGGACCCAGATGCGTGCTGTGTTTGTGTGAGAGGGCAGGGGGGTGCCATGAGGAGGTGCGTGGCGAGGACGCTGCCCGGCGGACAGCTCACTAGGGGGCTAGCATGGGAGGGATGGTGGGGACGGAGGACGACAGGAAACTGTGTGAGGCGCACGAGGGGCACGGATGTACGGATGAAACCGGCAGGGGGGTGCACATGCTGCACGGGGGCCCAAACTGTGCGGTTCAACGACGACCCCTCTCCCCCCCCTTACCGCCTCCTTCCTTCCCTCACCCCGCCCCCGCTCCCAACCCAGATCCCCGGCCTGGAGGTGTGGTTCCAGCGCGCCTCCGACGTGGTCCGCAAGCTGCGCACCGGCGATGTGGACCTGGGCATTGTGGGCACCGACATGTTCACCGAGCTGACGGACGGCGACCCCGACCTGGTGGTGTGCCACGAGGCGCTGGGATTCGGGCAGTGCCACCTGGCGCTGGGGGTGCCCATGACGGGTGAGGAGGGGGGAGAGGGGAGAGGAGAGGAGGGGGAAAGACAAGGCAACTGACGAGCTGTGTGACAAGGCATCGGGTGCAAACATGGTAGCCGGCCCATCCCGCCCTGCCCTGGCCTGGGAGAGGGGAAAAATGAGAAGGGGGACAGAGGGAGAGGAAAGGAGTACCGCGTCGTACTTACCCGTCCTTCACCCCCTCCCTACACAACCTGCCGTACTACCCCCCCCCCCCAGGCAAGTTCGCCAACGTGACCAGCCTGGCCCAGCTGCGCGACATGCCCGACTGGACCCCCGACACGCCCCTCCGCGTGGTCACGGGATACCACAACATCGCGCGCCGCTTCTTCGCCAAGCACGGCTTCCAACACGTGGTGCTGCTGTCGGCAGACGGAGCGCTGGAGGCGGCGCCCGCCATGGGGTCCGCGGACATCATCCTTGACCTGGTTGGTGATGCGGGGTGGGGGGGGGGGCTGGGGGATGGGAAGGGGAAAGGGGGGGACTGGAAAGGAAGAGATGGGGCTGTGGCTGGGCGAGGGGGAGTGGGGCAAAGATTAGAGGGGCACTCCCTTTCCCACAGAGAGTGAGGGGGGGGGATAAATGATAAGTGCGGCAACGAGTCCCAATCCCACATGTGCCGCGCCGCCGGTCACTAATTCTAAGGCAACATGGATATTGGGCATACACGCATAAAAGTTATCGAGACGTGTTACAGGAAACTTGCCTGGGGAGAAGACCCAGTGGGGGGGAGGGAGTGGGGTTTAGGAGCGGATGGCGGAGGATACAGGGGTAAGCAGGAAAGAGAGTAATGAAAGGAACCGCAGCGGCAGCAGTTGGAAAGGAAGCTGTAGAGGAAAGGAAAGGCTGAGAAGTGAGGAGGCACCGTACTCGTGTTGGCGGCCCCCACGTCGGCATGCGGATTCTTGCGCGTCATGCAGCCTATGTGCTGCTGCTGCAAGTCGGCCCAACATAGTGAGCAAAACTACCCGCATCGTAGCCCTTGTTCCTAAGCATGCGAAACCCTGCGCATGCAATCTTGCATGTTTGCAGTCGTGATAAGCAACCGGCGTACATTGCCAAGGTGTGATATGAGGTCTAGCGGCTAGGTGCGAACCATGAAGAAAGTTGGGCAAGCGTAAGAGAGTTGAAAAGCTTGGGTAAGAGTGGGGAGAGTCTTGACACTCGAAGCCCCTACTTCATCGACATCTTAGATAGCCCGCGTATGAAAACCCAAATATGTCTAATCAGTTTACCAGATTACCACCCATGCCGCTGCACCTCTGTGCCCACTTTCTCATTGCCCCTCACCTGCCTCACGTCAGTGGTTGCTGTTAGGACAGGGGAGATGACGTCATTTCCCTGTCGTGTGCTGCTGTACGGACGGGGAGATGACGTCATTTCCCCTGTCCGCGTGCTGTTGCTCTGCCTTGCTGTGCTACGTGATGTCTCGTGTGTCCGCTGCTTTTCACTCATGCATGTGTTCATGCCCTCTCTCGGTCCACATGCGTGTGCTATTGCCTGGGAAAGCTGTGTTTAGGAAACCTGCTAAATGAGGACAGCAGTCACATGTTTAGGCCGTCATTCGTAGCGTCCTTGTTACTTGTAAGGGCGCAAGCGGCACGGGGATTGTGGTCAAAACCGATTGCAAGGCGCGTCTTGCGCAACGCCTTTCCCACCACCTGTCGGAAGAGACGATACCCGCACGGGGCGCAGTTGAAACCTGGAGCCAAAATCCTCAAAATCCGCTCGCATAACGTTTACACGCAAATCATGCCAAAAGCCGTGTGGGTACACCTGCCCCACTTGACCAAATGCACCAGTGGCGAGAAAGCAGAGCAAACCCATTGCCGTACAGTCTTTACACAAACTACACAATCCGCAGCAGGGCATTCATAATAGTTCTTCTGTTAGCGTTTCCCCACCCCCCCTAAGCCCCCTGTAGAAACCACCCACTACAAGTTGTAATGACTCTAGAAACCCAGCAAGCGCAACTATAGAATGCCGAAGGAGAAATGAAAAGCGTTCAGGCATAACCTTTACACGACCTGGGATGCGTCCCCGGCTGTTTCGCTGCATTACCCCCACGCGAACACACCGGGTCACAATCAAATGTGAACGGGCGCTGGCTGCACTGGCGCCTACATTGCGGGGTCCAAACACCCGTGCAACACACTTGCCCCCTAGTATCCTTTTGCGCGCCCCTAAGAGCACGCGCTGTATCTTCTCTAAGTGATCTGCTGCCCCTTAACCCCCATGGATATGCGTGTAACACACAACGACAATCCGCTCACCCCAAGCCATCAATCGTTACACCTCTAACCGAAAGTCACAACCGGCTTGCCGCCAACGCTTAGCTGCTGCCGCTGGTCGGCTGCAGTTGCACCACGACAACCGTCATGTTGTCGCATCCTACACCGCGAGCCTCCTTCGGGTCGCTCGCGAGACATGCGTCAAGCAGGGCACATGCCGCCTGGCTAGGCGTCATGCCCTGGTCGAGCTTGGAGCCCACAAAATCAATAGCCTCCTGGTTTGACATCACGTCCCAAACACCATCGCAAGCCAGAAGGAAGAAGCGGTCCTCTGGAGACAGGGTAACCTTGCGGATGTCGGGTTGCGCAGTGATAATCTGGTCCTTTGCCGGAAGCTCCACGTTGGTTTTGTATTTCAGGTCGCCAATAGCGCGGCTGAGGTTGAGGTTGCCGTTTACGCGGCAAACACCTCCAATTTCCGACAGAAAGCCGCCGGCCGCGATAATGCGCGAGCGCTCACCCTCTTGAGCTGGCTTATGGTCCTCGCTGAGAGCGACAGCCCGACCTCCACGGCTGAGGACACCACGGCTATCGCCCGCATTCGCGACGTAGAGGTCGGAGCCGAACTTCACTGCAACAACTGCAGTGCAGCCAGCTTGCACTAGCTCCTCCTCAGGGCTCTCGCTGCTCTCCTCTGCTTGGCCGCTTCCACCTTCACCCGCGTTGCTGTTTCCACCTACAAAACGCTTCAGCTGGAAGACCCTGCGCAGCAGGTCGAGCGGGTCCACACTGCCCCCCTCGCCGTCGCCATCGTCCTCCGTGGACTCTTTCGTTTTTAGCTTCTCCAGCTCCTCAGCATACCGCTGATCACGGAGCATCTCATCCTACGCGGTTGGAAAGGAGGAAATGGCTGTAAAGCCTAAATGCAATCCCTTTCGGAGGACAGGGGAGCCCTCGTCATCCATAGCCCGCTAAGTACGCCAATATTGCATTTAAAGGTTGATAAAGTTGAAAGTAGGGTGGGAATGCGTACCATTCGGTGGAAGACCTTGGTGAGGCTGTCCTCCACACTGCCCTTCCCGAACTCCTCCAGTCGCTGCAGCTCCGTGGTCATATACTTCTGGCAAAACTTTGCTACCTCAGCGCCACCGTGCCCATCAAAGACACCGAAGACAGCTACATTAGGGTCGTTTGCGACGTTGACCTCGGCCAGATGCGCGTCCTCCATGGTGCGGCGCCAGCCCTGCATAGCGCCTCCCCCGAAGCGCAAGCCATGGCCATCCCCTTCAAATGTTTCCTTATCAGTGATAGGAGAGGACAAGTATGCTCCCATGGTGGCGTGCTAACGTATCAGAACTAGGGCGGTGAAGTCTTTCGTGTTTACCCCAAGGCCCTAATTTGCTTGTTGCAAACAATCTCCATGTTTTTACAAAAGGGAAAAGCAAATGGTAAGACCTCTGTAGCAGTTGTGAAGATTTTCGGTGTTCTGAGTGGGCAGCACCGTACAATGCCGTGCAGCCGCCTTTCTACTTATTGCCTCTAGTTCTTTCGTGTTACCTTTGCGTTTATGAAGCTGACAGTACCGCTGCCCTGTTCGCTGTGTATGGTGTAGCGCCCTGGCTTACAAACTTTGGTACCTGGGCAGTTCCTTCCCGAATCCTGTGCTGTTGAGTCATTCTTGCTTCGCTCTTAACTCCATAATAGTGACACTCTTGACACGGGCTCTCTCTTAATCAGTCTTGAATCCACGTGGGCAACGATCGTGCGCTTACAAGCTGCTTGCCTGGTTTAGTTGAACTGGAAGCAAAACACAACACCCCTTACATATCACTGCCCACGTGTTTTCGGCCCCTAAACCTGCGTTTGACGATCTCCGTACTGGTATTGGTTGCCTTGTACCGGTCGCCGGCTTGCTATCCAGCATGGTGTGAAGCTCGGGGTACCGTAACCGCGTGTTTTAGGGTATTCCTCCCTAGGCGGAAAGGAACGAAAAGGCGCCATGAGAAGGATAACCCACGCACCCATAGTTTTTAGCACTAGTACCCCTTATCTCTTGTTTTTTACTGCTTGGTATCGAGGAGGCTTGCGAAACTCGAATGCAGGCACGGGGTCTTGACTCCGCGGGGTTGCCTTGCATTGCTCATGGGAGTCCTAAAAGTTGTGAGAACGCCATCTCTTTACAACCGACCCAGGGTTTCCTTGGCAAGCCGCCATGCCCGGCTTCCAAGGACAATCCCCCCGTTTCCATGCTTGCAATGGGTACCGTACTGTGCCCGCGCTCTCCCATCCCACAGGCTGACATCCCCCAATTCCCTTGCCGCTACTTCCATTTTTACCAAACCCTTGTCCACTCGCCCCTCACCAACCCATCCAACCCCACCCACCACCGCCACCGCCACCACTACCACCAAGCACAAAGTACCGTAGCTCAGCCCCAACGCCAACCCCCGACTCCAACCCATCCCCTCTCACCCCGTCGGGCCACGGGATTGCGATTCCAGTGCTTCACCGCTTCCCTTATCTTGGCTATGTTTGCCCTCGCCCCGGCATTACCGGTGTGTAAATGCAGCAATCCAGCTGGATATCCGGCAACAGCCAAAGACAGTCCGTAGTCCCAGTGGTTGCAACACTACCGGTACTCTCATCGCACACCCCTAAAGTCCAAACTCCATACAAACCCGTAAGCATGAGGCGCCTCTTGTCGCCTACCCTGTGTACGTCCTTCCTTCCACCCCCCACCATCTGCAGTAGCCATTACCACCGTAGTTGGTCCCACTCGCATCACTCGCTACGGTATTCATTCCCCGCTTCCTCACACCTGTAATCAATACGGTACAGTTCGTCCCTGGTTCGTCCCAGCAACACCATCACCCCCTCTTCAGTAGTCATGTTAACCATGCTGTCCTCCCCCCCTCTTCTTCACCGCCCGCCTTCTTCACAGGTCAGCACCGGCGTCACGCTGCGCGAGAACAACCTGCGTGAGATCGAGGGCGGCAACATCCTGGAGTCGCAGGGCATCCTGGTGGCTAACAGGCGCTCGCTCATGGAGCGACCGGGCCTGCTGCAGGTGGGGAGGCGGGTGGGAATCAGGAACCACACGAACCGTATGACGAACCCCCATGCCCGCCTCCTATCCCCAATGCTTTGCCCTAGCATCCGGTACACTATACACGGTTTGGTTTCCCTCCGCTAATCCCTAAACTATTCTCCCGACTCCCCTTCCCCCGCCCTTCCCTTTCAGATCGTGCACGAGCTGATCGAGCGCTTCGACGGCCACCTGAAGGCGGAGTCCTTCTACTCCGTGATCGCCAACATGCGCGGCGAGAGCCCCGAGGCAGTGGCCGACCTGCTGCTGCAGGCGCCCGGACTGCAGGGTCTGCAGGTGCGCATGGAGGGAGGGTTGAGGGGGTGTTGGTGTTGGCAGCGGAGTGCAGGTAAGCTGTCCTGCTACGGTACACCGGTACCTGTTGCTTTTAACTGGGTTGCGCCATGCGTCAGGCCGCAGTGCCCGCTTGGGCTCCAAACACCCACCAGGTGGCTATCCGCTCGCGCTCATCGCCATCTTTTCCACATCCCGTCTTCCCTGCCCCTTAAGCCAAACACGCACAAGTGCGCACTGCCTCCTCCTCCTCCTACCTGCCTCCTCGCACTCATCTTCTAAACACAGTGCCTCTCAATCCTCCCAGCTGCTATCCCTAACCCAAGGATTTCCCTTTCTACCGTACTTCTTTTATAGGGCCCAACTGTCTGCAACGTCTACAACCGCGGCCCCAACGACAGCGCCGCCGCCCACCACTTCTACGCGGCCACCATCTGTGTACGGAAGAAGCAGTTGTACGGCGCCGTGAAGGCTCTTCAGAAGCTGGGCGGCAGCGGAGTGCTCGTACAGCCCATGACGTACATCTTTGATGAGGAGCCCGAGCGCTGGGTGAAGTTGTGTGAGACGCTGGGAGTGGATCCCGCGCAGTTTAGCAACGGTAACGGATCTTCCAAGTAACGGGGTTTCCAAGTAAACTTCGTTGGTCGTTGGACTGCAGGGTTTCAACAAATGTTTGGCATGGTATAATGCCCGTAATGGGAGTGTTGGGTCCAATTCAGCAAAACGCTAAGGGGCCGGCGAAGCAACGGTAATGGACTGGCGGCAGTCGTTCATGTTAACTGTTGGCGCGGCGCGTAATCGGGCAACGAAGACATGTCTGGAGCTGTCTTGGTGGCTTTGGGATGTGTTCTTGAGGGGTAGGATGATTAGTGCAGCTTGAATGGCGGTTGGTTATAATGATGGTATAGGGGTGGGGGCGTCATGCCGACCTCTCGGGAGCCTGTTGTTGTGCGGTTGGGGTACCTCGGGGCACGCAAGGGGCAAGGCTCCTTACTCATAGGGAACTAGGCAGTATTCTTGAGAAATAAGAAGGTAAAGGGGTTAAGACGGGAAGAAGGACGGTATGAAAGGGAAGACAAAGTGGCCGAGGAGGACATGGTGCATGGTCCTGTGCGAATGGTATCCTCGTGTAAAGGTCTGGCTGCGTATTTTGACGGGTTGGCGTGGCTCAGACTTTGCTGCAGGGCAAGCGGAGGACGAAGGATGGAGAGGCATGAGGCGTAGGGTGTGGGTTCAGGTGCCCTGTTCTCCCCTGTGGGACCTGGGACGGACCCAGAAGCTTGGCCTATCTTGACTGATTTCCCTTGCCTGCCCACTACCGTTAGCACCTCACTGTGAGGCCGTGCCGCGGGCGGGATTAGCCCAGCAGCAGTCGGCAGCATCAGCAAAACAGCCAGCGTTAGTTTAGTCGCTAGAATACATGTGAGCTACACCCCCCCACGCTTGATGCTTCCTGGGTAATGTACCGGCGGCGGAGGGCTGCTTGGTGGTATGTGAGGTCCAAGAAGAGTGGGTACTATTGGTCTGGCACTCTTTCCTAGCTCTTGATTTGGGCTCATAATGAAATCATCGTGCGTTGTATACACTCTGCCCATACGTGCGGGCCGCATGGCAGCCCCTGGGCAGACGTGGGCAGCATTGGCACGGGTGGTGCCTAGCAGGTTGCGCTGATGGCACCTGGGGGTACCTAGCGTGCAGCAGCGTTCGCCAAGCTAGGGGGTATTGTACGGCGTTTTCAGTTGAGGCTTCCCGCTAGCAGTATTGCACAGCAGCGGGTGGGCTCTCGAGGTATTGCTTCTAGGTGAACCCATCGGCCCCAACGCCTACCGTGGCAGTGCGCTGAACACCCGCCGGTACCTACTTGTTACCTATTCCGACGTGGCAAACGAAAGCACCTCCCACGTTAGAGAAAGACTCGATTAAACGTGCAGGCCGCCTATAACGATAACTTCGGCACCACAACGGGCAGTGTGGGGGCGTTCAAGGCCCCAAGGCAGACCGGTACATCCCCTCCAGTGCTGACCCGTGGGTCTAGAGGTACTAACCCCGCGAGAGCATCAGCACGCTTTGCCGCATTGCAGTACCAAAACCGTTACTGGTCTTGTTGCAACTCGACATACAACCTACCTATTTAAGCTCAATAACCGCGCGTCCAGATGAGAAACGACGATCGCCAATTCGTACGGAACGGAACACATCTATATGCAGCTGTGACTCTATTGCATGAAATGTGTTCCGGAACCTCCACAGTAGCCATCCGTACAGCCAATCAACAAACCCTGCTTCGACATCTCCCATACATCGCTGTCCGTATGAGCCCCATGTCCTTCTTTAGGCCTCTCTACCTCCTTGTCAAGATAACGCCTTATCACACGGGTCAGGTTGTTTCCTCCTTACCTCCCAGTCGCCTAATCCCAAGCCAAGCATTGCATGTCCTCCCAACCGCCATTCCATGCAGTCAATGGACCATCCCCCAGCCGTGCAAGTAACAACCACCACGCAATAGATCAAGCATCCCACAAATACTTCGAGCGGCAGTCTCTGCCTTTGCCTAAATAATTTCACCAGGTCGCAAATTCCCTCGGGCAACAACCAAATCCAACAGTGCGCAAAGCCCCGTACGCAAATACGCAGTACATAAAGTACGTGACTATGGAAACATCCTCGTTAACCTCCAGTCTAACAGGACCCATTGGCGTTCCAAACCAACGTGGTCACTGTTGACTTACCGGACTGGACCCCCAGAAGGGACTGAAAAATACCCCAACAACGAAACCCAAGTTGACCACCAGCCAACCCTCCCCCCGTTCCGAATGTGCTCACTGCATGAGTCGGGATACGGGATTGGGACTCCAGTTGCTGCACTTTATCATTTATTTCCCCCCCGTTCCACAACAGTTATCTAGCCCCTGTTCAGCCACCAAGGAGCACGGCGCAGTTGCCTGTTAGCAAGCAGCGAAATACACCACAGGAGAGGTCGACCCCATGGCCCATTCTCATGGCCCGTTCCCTCCATTCCATGGAGGCAAGACTCGAATTTGCGACGGGACGAGGTGGTGGCCTTGCACCCCTGGTGCCCACAACGCATAACAGCATGTATCAGCATCCGTGTTATCAGCAATTCCCAATGATAACTCAAAGAGACAGCAGCTGCGAAACAGTTCCGCTTAGTCAAGAACAAGTACCATACTGCTGTTGCATCCCAACAGGTTTTGCAAGTGAGCAATACTGTACCGCAATCCGAAGCCGTTGCAAGCAAAGCTAACGCCGCAAAGCAAAATACCACACGCCCATCGAAGTAGCTATACCGGTAAGCCCGGTTGTGCCGGCATTTGCAACACTCGTGAGAAACCACCCCGCCCACCTTGTCTACAACGCAATGCACGGCATGTCAGTGCACGAAGATGACAGTATACAGTACTACAATACGGCACCCATCTTGCACACCCGCAAACGAAAACGTCATCTTCCCACTGCTGCACAGCTTCAGAACATCTCTGTCTAATGATTTAATGAACGGATTGCCGTACCCCGCCGCCGTGCAACCAATTAGAAGGTTTATGCAGGTCCCAATGCCGCCTCAGCTCTCGCCACCGCCACCCCAGCATCCTGCCCTCCCTTGCACTCCCCTTCCATACTCCCTATCCGGCGCGCATCCTTTCTCGACTGCCGAAGTTGATCCGCTGCGGCCGCCGCAAAGCAGAACCGCGACCGATTCCGCGACGCCCCGCTGCCAGAATCCTTAACGACCCCGTTAGCATTACCGTTAGCGGCGCCGCCGCCGCCGTTCGGCTGACGGTTGCCCTTCGACGCCGACTTCATGAGTAATTCCAAGTCAATGAGCTCGCCCAAGATCGCCGCAAAGCACGGGCGGTCCGCCGCCACTGGGTTCGTACAGCGGCGACCCAAGTCGACTAGACTCGCCTCCACTGAGTTCAGCTCGTCGTCATTTCCGTTGGAGCCGTTGTTGCCGTTGCCGACGGCGGCGCCGCCGCCGCCAATGCAGGCGTTATTACTGGTGTTGTGCCCATGCACCGCGGCCGCAGCTGTCGCCTTGGCGGCGACGGCGGCGCCGCCGCCGTCAACGTCCCAACCCTCAACGGCGGCGCCGTGACCGTAGTGCAGTCGGCGCGCCGCCGCGGCGGCGGCAACGGAATTGTGCATGGTATCATTAGTCATTGCCGTTACCGTTGCATTCGTCGGCATGCTAGCCATAGTCGCGCCGGCGCCGCCGCCATTGGTGGTTAGCAGCGTAAAGTTGGTTGCGTTCGTTGGCGACGTGCAAGCACCAACGGCATTCGTTGCTGCCGTTTGACCGCCGCCACCGAAGCCGTTGTCCGGGGAAAAGGGCTGTGGCTGGGCCGCGGAGGCGATGGTTGCAGCCGTAACAGTGTCGCTGGCCGTAGAAAGCATGCCGACAGCGACGGGGCTTCCGCCGATATCGCCGACGCCGCTGACACCACTGGCGACGCCGCCAGCGGCGCCGCCGACAATGTCATTGGCGACAGCAGCAACACCACTAGCAGAGGCAGTTGTGTCGCCGCATGCGTTACGTAACGAGTTGGCGAGGCGTATCTTGGCCTTCATGGCCGCTGGTGGCGCTCCGTCGGCAAAGTTGGTTGGGGCGTTGTTGGTTACCGTGCACCCGCCATCTCCGCCGGCTCCGTCACCGTCGCTGCCGTCGCCGTCACTTCTCGTGGTGGCCCGAATGGGAATCGTCTTCAATCTCGGCCAGGCCAGTTGGAGGGAACCGTCTAGGATACCGAGCACGAGCCGATCTGCAGTAATCATGATAAACGGGCAACATACCATGGTTCAGGGATTTATGTAAATAACAAGTTTACAAATTTGCATGTAACAGACAGGCGCACGTGCCCATGCATGCACCTTATGCCGTACATGCGTACCCGGTAACACACGTCTTTCCGCAATGCCCCATCGCTGCCTTGCTTCCATCTGTTATCTTCATGTGTCGCAATCAAGCCCTCCTCAAGCCACGCCCCGTCCTACATCCCATAGACCTGTCACATGACCCTGTGTCGCACACACAACATCACACCAAGCCTTTGTCGTACCTAGCTCAATGTCTTCGCCGTACGGATGCGTCCGAGTGAGCGCCTCGCTCAGGATCACACCAAAGCTCCAGACTTTGTTAAAACAGGGAAGGAACAAAACAGGAGGGAAATAAGCAAGTGTTGCGCCATAACCGCATGGTAGCAACTCCCCACAAAGACCGCAGCGGCCCCTTCTCACCATCCGACGCCTTGCCCACCCGCCCCGACAGCGCTTCCGGCGCCATGTAGGCCGGGGTACCCCAGGTGCTCGTGTCCAGGGACTTGGCGCCCGCAGGTAGCACATGGGAGTGACCAAAGTCACCCAGCTGGGGTCCGAGGAGGGGGGTCAAAGACCATACCAAACCATAGGAGACCAAAGGAGGGGGGGGGTAAAGGAGAAGGAAACGGGGGATAGATAAGGAAGGGGCATGGCAAGGGTGTTGCGAGGTGACGCCGGCGGGAAGAGGGGGTGGGAGGGTCCATGGCTACCAAACCTTGGAAAGGTGGGGAGGACTGGGCTGCAAAAACAAAACAGGTACTTTGTGTCGTACACACGCCCATGTTGTACAAAACACACACGCGGCGGCCAGTTGAATTGGCGCACATGTTCACCTTGATCGTGAAGCCGCGGCGGTCCTCCCTTGACACCTTCAACAGCACATTGCTTGGCTGGAAGGGGGGAGAGTGGGAGGTTTGGGTAATGAGAGGTTCACGAAGAGTAACCAAAGTACAAACCGTTCCGAGGAAACCGCGATTAAGGGCAGCAAGGAGAGGATACGGCGGGATGGCAATGATGTAAGGAGAGGCATCGAAAAAGGAGGGAGAGAAACATGTCAGTAAGGACACCCCGCAGGACCTCCCTTCTCCCTTCCTCCGCACAACGCCCACTCTACCGCGGCCTTCCTTCGCTTCTGCCCACCCAGGCTCCCCTCTCCTCTCCACCTCCTCACCTTCAAGTCCCCATGCACCAGCCCGCCCCGATGCAGATGCAGTAGCGCACGTGCCAGCTCAGCGGCCGTACGGATCAATGCCCTAACCGCCGTACGGCGACTCCACATTCCCGGAAAAGCCGCGAAGCAGCCCCCGTGAATGGCCTGCGTCAGGGTTCCTCGGCAGCAGTGCTCCATGATGACGAGCGTTACGACCTGGTTGTCGTACGCTCCGAGTCGGGAGAGCATTTCGAAAAGTACGGCACGCGGCGATGCGGCGTAGGCGGCGGTTAGTGGTTGCATGGGGTTGCTGAGGTGGTTGGTGATTGCTGCTCCTGCTCCTCTTCCGCCTTTTCCAGCGCCCTGGCCTTCACCTCCCTTGCGGCCAGGCTGCGGTGGCTGCTGCTGCTGCCGTCGCTGCAGCTGTTGTTCCAGCTGCTGCTGCCGCTGCTGCGATGGCGATGTGGGCTGAGGCTGCTGTTGCTGCGGCGGCATGCGGAGCATCTGCTTTTGGCGGGCCTCGCGGGTCCTGATCTCCGCCACGTGGTTTCGGAGCTCGCGGATTAGCCGATGCGTGAGTACGGCAGAACGGGTGGAGTAGGTCTGTTTTGGGGGGGAGAGGGCGGGAGGAGGAGTGTACGGCAAGGTACAAGGATGAGGTTACGGGTTGAGGGTTTTGGAGCCCCAGCTGCCTCACTGTGTCTCCAACGGGTAACGTACCTTGCAAATGTGTGGATGTACGAGGGCTTGGGAGGGCCCAACGGTTATCTCTCGTACGGCAGCGCGATCGGCGGGTTTGTGTGTCACGACGAACTTAACTGCCACGTCCTTACCGTCCAGGAAACCTGTACGACAAAAACAGGGGAGTGAGAGCTGGTAAGGGAAGTGGAGAGCGCTTAGGAAGGGATTCCTGCAATTATACGCGAAAGATGGCTAGTGTTCAAGGCTGCTCGGGCCTGCAACAGTGCAAAGGCCTAAATCTAATGATGGTATTGGCCCATTAAGGCCTGGTTAGGCATAGGAAGTTAAGCGCAAACATTCCAGACTTGCTGTCAGCTCATCAGGTAGGCCTTTGAGTATGGCGACATGCTTCATTCGATTCGCGCGGACTGGTCGCTTAGTCACTTTACAATGCTAGCCCGGACATACCTTTGACAACGATGCCAAATGAGCCATATCCGAGAACCACATCCGTAAAGAAAAGCCCCTGGAGAAGGTCAGCTGTTAAGGAGGTCTCTCCACGTTCAGCATCCTGCACTTGCTGCGACTTGGTTGTAGCTGCGCCGGGCACCTCCCGTAACTCTCTTATTTGAATGTCGGTGTGTTGCACGGCCGGCGTTCCCGAAGGTGTTCTTGGCGCAGGCGCCATGAGCTCAGCATGACTACGAGGTGGCCCGAATCTGGCTTCCACCTCCACCGGCTGTTCCCCTTGACGAAATGACGCAACAGGGCAGGCATTTGGGGCCTCGCGCTGAAGGCCTCCGCCAAACAAGCAGGAAAGGAACTTCATTTGTCAGCACATAGAAAGGGATGGAATCATGAATTAAACGGATTGTTAAGCTGTTTGTAATGGCAAGTTGGAGTCCTTTACTGCGTCCGGCAACTCTAAAAGCAAGGGTGAGGTAGTCAAGCACTGCGTAGCTAATAGTCACGAACAAGAGGACTGTTTGTACCCTTATGGCCCCAACTGTAGCCGCAGAAGCTTTGTTTACATTCTAAAGCTCTCTACCATGTGGGATATAATTTGTGGGTTTTGTCCCCTCTACGGCGTCTTAGTCATAATATGCTGCCTCCAAAATTTGGGGCGTGTATCTCCTTAAAGTAATCCTTGTCGCCTTCATAAATCACAGAGCCCTTAGAGCGATAGTATCAATCCAGATACAGATACTGGCACGCGCACCCGTACAATTAGCCCCGATGATACCAGGCCGCAATGCCTCGTATTCCAACGCCGATAAGCCGTACAATGCTTTTAAACACCTTCACCTGACCAGCGTCACCGGACCAGCTCCCGGTATGTGGTCTCTTGCGTCTCAGCGGTGACATCGTGCCACAGCCACTACCGAGCTTAGGAAGGCGCATCGGTTGCCCCTGGGTGCCCATAAAGCCCGCCATGCGATGAAGGCGGCGGCTTGCAAGGTTACCCACCTGACACGGGGTATGCATGTCGCGCTTTACGGTCCGTGTTACATTGTAGGTCAACGCCCTTTCTTTAGGAGTCTTTAGGCATGAAACCAGGACGTCTTCGCCCAGCATTGCGAAGGGCTGCCTAGCTGCACCCGACTTTTTGTTGTCCCGCCAAACCAATACACGCTGACCCGGCACATGCGCCGTCCTTATGTGCGTGCCACCACCACCGCACCGTCGTCGTGTGGCCTCTGCCGCCGTCCTTATACCCGCATGCAGCCCCTGCATATTCCCTGCCTCGGCTGCCTGCATGCCTGTGCCCCCTGTGTGCCTCCCTATCCCCCTTGATGTCGTCCTTGTTTCTCCAAACTACATTCATCTACCCCCACAAGTCTTGCACGGACTATTAACAGCCTAACCTGTTTAGTATTGGCAGAATGCAGCGGCCGTGGGGCTCCTGCCGCATGCACAAGTTACATGCGCGCTTGGGGCGGCAAATGAGCCGTGGAGCATGAACCTAAGCACACCAAGCGCGCAGCAGCAACGCAATAATATACGAAGTCATGCGTTTACTACAGGAGCATCCTGTTGATGTATGTATGTATGTATGTATGTATGTGTTACAAGCTTCGTACCGAGCTCGTAAGATCCGTCCGAGCCAGAAGGCTCATGGATCGCGAGCACAAAACGCGAAAACAACCAAAAGAAGAAAAGTAAAACAAAAGAGACAACAAACAGAACGCTAATCATATGATAAACCCTGTCTGCGCAATCCTGCGACTTCGCATGCTAGTGATTACGCTAGCAAGCAATGCCTGATTCTCCATGCCCATGACAGCAATCATATCAGCATCCCGTGAGACACCACTTTCCCATATCTTATCACGCAAATCATCGTAAGCGGGACATTCAATGAGGATGTGTTTCTCATCTTCCACTCTCCCCGGCGACCCCTGCACGGCACACATAGGACAGACACGCGCTACTCGTTGCCTACCCCTAGGGCGATTGGCTTCAATGCCCCACACACACAGCCGAAAACGCATCAGGTTCACATGCTGCCGCTGAGTAATGTACCCCCTGTCAACCGGGTCACCCATCCAATTTTTGTACCTGCACATCTTAACTCCAACCCCTGGTACGGGGTCTACTGGGTTGAAAAGCCGCGGGTCATCTTCCAAACTCCTATCCTCCCAATCCGCATCCATTCTATCAGCAAACTTTTTAGTGAGAGCAGACACATTTAGCTCCGTGCCAGCAATACGTTCCACACGCGCATTCAAGTCCAACTCACCCCCCAAGGCCGTCAAATCCGTCCCTAACATTTTCAGAATCTTCAACACCTTAGAACCCCAGCCATCATAATGCTCAGTACTGAGAGCCGAACGAATTTCACCTCGCAACGCCTGGTGGTAGACCGTGTCCTTCTGCTTGACCAGGTCATTCCAAAACCTCAGAAACAGTTCCAGCCAGAAGACATGCAAGGGGCGCTGGTTAAACTCCTTAAACAGCAACTTATCAGGCGAGACTTTCACACCCGCAATCTCCCGAAGAAATTCCCTTTGTAACTGCACCATTGGGTCCCGCAAGGATCTGTCAAAGTACCTCGCGGAATTCTCGCAGTCCGTCATTAGCTTCAGCACCACATCAGGCCCCCACACCTGGACACCGTACGACAAGATGGAGCGGACTTGCACGTCGAAGCACTTAACTGCAACAGCAGGGACCAAAAGACCTAGGCGTTTTAATTTACGCTGAAGAGAAAACATAGCACGTCGGCCAGAGGTCAACAGTTCCTCTGTGCAGGAAACAAACGGTGTGCCAGGACCAAAGTGCAAACCAAGGTAACGGGCTCGTTGTACCCAGGGAATAACCATAGGTACTCGCGCATTTCCCTCAATAGAAGTCCACACCACGGGGCAAAGGGCAGCAAAAGCCTCGCGGATATTGGCACGAGGGTGGAAAACCATCAATTCACATTTACGGACATTCACCCGCATCCCAAAGGCCTCACACCACTCTCTCAAATCAGCAAGCAACACAATCAGCCGTCTGTGCGTCGTAGCGAAAAGGCTGAGGTCGTCGGCATACAGTTCCAACGGGATACGCCGGCCATCCGCATGGGGAGTCTGCTGCTTAGCGCGCATAGCATCAGGGAGCCACTTATCCTTAGCGTCAACATAGTCAGCAAACCCCTCGCCAAAAATCCCGTAAAGCGTAGGGCTGAGAGGGCATCCTTGCTTGACTCCCTGCGAAGATTCAAAAGGATCCCCCGTCACTCCGTCTACCCTGACACGCATCATGACCTTGTTGTAACAAGTCTTGAGAGCCTCCAGCATAGCGCCATGCACACCCCGTTCCTCCAACCTTAACCACAAGAGATCACGTGGCACCTTGTCAAACGCTTTCTCAAAGTCAATCTGACAAACGAACAGGGGGTCAACTGCATCTCGCCCCCCCTTATGTTTGTCCGTCAGATGTCGCAACAAAAACAGGTTGTGGCAGGTACCCCGCTTGCGTCGGAAACCTCCCTGATACGGCGACCTAGCTCCCACCAGCTCGCCCCAACGAGACAGCCTGTGCTCCAACATAAACGCATAAAGCTTAGACAAAACACCACCCACTGCTAAACCCCTATAGTTACCCTTCTCCATCACATCGCCTTTTTTGTGGATGGGCGTGAGCGCAGAGACCTCAAACTGCACAGGATAATCCCCCGTGCTGCGGATATGCTCTAGTAGCTTGAGCAGGTAAGGGGCTAAAACAAACATCCTTCTACCCTCAACCTCTCTCGTCGCACACTTGAAACATTCAGCCGGTACTCTGTCCAAACCCCCAGACTTGTTATTACGCAAAGACTTCAGCGCAGCAATGACTTCCGCCTGTTGATGGTGAGGTTGGCGCATCCCGTACGGCGATGACAAACGCGGATTTCTTCTGGAAGGATTCACATCAATGTGCATTCTAGCCGGAAAGGTAGCTATAAATGAAGACGAAAAACACTTACGCCTGATCAATTGCTTTTCCTTGCGTAGCAACACAACATGGAGATACCAGCCACACAGACGGCCGTTCAGGTACTTTCGCATTGCGTTTGGTCATGCTCTGTAGTCTTGAACGGTGGCTACCCGCAATATTACGGTAGCACCGGGATGTCTGGCTGTCTGGTTCCGATAATCTCAAACCTTGGGCACCCTTAACCCTATACGTGCCCTATATGCAGGTCACGGCCTTCGGGTTTGACAATTTTAAGGTTGCGCAAACCCCGGTGCCCTCACCTGGCAATGGCGAGGTGCTGGTCCGCATCAGTGTCCGGCCCCTCAACCCATCCGACGTCTTCTGCGTGCTAGGGGTAGGGCAGCGCGCTACTTTGTGTAAATATTTGGTCGGTTGCAATGTTGTCTTCAAGCTGAATCCAAGGTTCCTGTCCAAAAGCGACCGATGCTTGCAAGTATGGTAGTGACGACTTACCTTACAGTATCGTCTTAGCCACCATTTGTTCATATTTGTACCAAACGCTTGCCTTTATTTTCGCGTTTTTATATCCTTAATCGCAGGTCTACCCCGGTTACAAGCCCAAGGGCTTCCCCGCGGTCCTTGGTCTCGAGGGTGAGTGCGGCAAATCCCCGCCCCCAAAGCAAACCCGAACGTTTCCGTCTCCCGCCCGGTGTGGAGCTATTTACGCCATCCATTAACCTTCTTTCCTTAACCCCCGCTCCTCTCTCCCCACCTTCCCATGTAGGCACGGGCCAGGTCGCCAAGCTGGGCCCCGGCTGCAGCGGGCGGCTGGCTGAGGGTCAGCGTGTAGTGGCGGTCAACTGGCGCCAGGCGGCGGAGGGCAACGGCACCTGGCAGCAGTTCCTGGTTGCACGGGAGGAGGACCTGGTGCGCGGGAGATGTGTGTTGGTAGCGGTTTGCCCGTGCGGAATGAAAGGAGGAAGCAGGGAGTGTAAGCCCCCGTCCCGCTCTCGGCATGGGTTAAGCCCGCGCATGCACCCCTCGCACCCACCTAACCCCCATGTCCCCGCCCACCCACCCACCCCCCGCCAGGTTCCTGTCCCTGACGACCTATCCGATGAGGCCGCCTGCCAGGCGCTCATCAACCCCGTGCCAGTCATCGGCATGTTCCAGGACCTGGCTGCGCCCCAGGGTGGGCGAGGGGCCCTCTCCCTCAGCAGCGCCCCCTCTGTGCTCTTTTAAGTGTCTTACCCCACTACACTGCCAATTCCTCCTCGCCCTTTCTTCATGTGCGGGCCATGGGATTGGCCTTCCAGTGCTGCACTCCCTCCTAGCCTCATGTTGACCCCACCCATCCCCGCCCCGCGCCCCCCCATGCAGGCGAGTATGTGATCATCACCGCTGCCGGCTCCGCGCTGGGTCGCATGGCGCTGCGCTACGCGCGCCACATCGGCGTCAAGACCATTGCCACCTGCCGACGGGCGGAGCAGGTTTCGGAGCTGAAGGAAGCAGGGTGAGGTGCGGGGCGAGGGTGCGGGGTGAGGTGCGTGGGTAGCGCGGAAACGCGGAAAGAAACTAGAGTGAGGTGCGGGGGAGGCCCTTGTAAATCTCTACTACAAATGATACTTCTCGCTCGTTTCTTCCCACTCCCGTCCATACACCAACGCAACGCAACGCAGTGCCGACGAGGTCTTCGTCCTCACCTCGGATGCTGACTCGGAGGCCATGGCCGCCCGGGTTTCGGAGCTCACAGGCGGCAAGGGCGCCTGGGGGGCGATGGACAGCGTTGCCGGCCGCAGCCCGCTGCTGGTGGCGCCCAGTGTGCGGCAGGTGGGTTTGTACGGAAGTGGGAGGAAGAAGAGAGGCAGGGCCGGTCTTGGGAGCCATAGGGCCCGATGCCGCCGCCCTATGCATGCCCTACAGTCTAAAAAACGAACATGGGGGCTTGTAGGATAGGCAAGATGTGCGCTTTTGACGCTCTACATTCCACTAGCCCCACCACGGTTCGGCATTGCTTGACACCTTCCCCTGTCCATCGTACGGGGCCTCCGCCCCTCCCTCCGTCCGTTGTACGGCACACAGGGGGGCTCCATCATCGTGTACGGCGCCATGAGTGAGCCGGGCGTGGAGTGGCACGTGGGGCAGGCGCTGTTCCGCATGGTGGCGTTGAAGGTGAGGAGAGACCCAGGGGTCGGCAGCGGGCGTGGCAATGAGGGGTTTGAGAGGGGTTGGGAAGAAGGTTGGAATGGAGCATGGGTCAGGCAGTGGGTTACGGTGGGCCGGTAAATTGACCAACCTAACTAGGCATGGCAGATTCAGCTAACCGTCGTTCGCCCGGTTTGCATGCGTGAATCCTACTAAAACCCCTTTCCACCTTCCCCTCTTCCCTCTTCCACCTTCTATAACTAGGGTTTCTGGCTGGTACCCTGGCTTGATGCCCAGCCCATTGAGGCCCAACGGGAGATGATCTCCAAGGTTTTGCAGCTCATGAAGGAGGGGGTGCTGCCGCCTGCAAAGGGTGAGTGGGCGGGACGAGGGACCCATGGGTCGACCTTGCAGGGGGAGACAGGTCAAGGGAGTAAGCGAAAGGTTGCAATTGAGAGGGTTTGGGGTTGTGTGGGGCTATGTGGTTACTGTCCCACCAATCCGCTGGATCTTCACCATCCGCTTCCTCTCTCCTCCCGTGTCCTTTGTCGCATCCATAATTTCTGACTGTCGTACACGCGTCCTTCGCTCGTGTTTCCGTACTGTCCTAACCTACATACCGTCTTCGCCCATTCCTTACACCTAAACGGCTTAACGGCATCTCGCACACACACCCCACACCACTCCCCGTAAACCCCACACATGCGCAGTGGACGTACGGCCTCTGGAGGAGGTGGCTGCGGCGCTCCGAGACCAGGGCCAGGTGGGCCGTACGGACAAGATCGTACTGCGGGGCTAGATGAGGATGTACGGCATTGCGATGATACAGATCTTGGAAGAGGGCATGGCAATGGAAGAAGCAGAGAGAGAAGTTATGAGCGACAATGTGAGGCGGGGCTGGATGAGGCGTGGAAGCAGGAGAGGCCAGTTCACGTAACATGGAGGGAAAGACAGATGAAAAGGAGATTGCGGGCTTTTGGCTATATGTGATGCTGTGGCATTCAAGAAGCATGTAGTCGAGTGTTTCTGTTGTGTTTGCCCATGAAATCATCTGTGCAGTTTGAGTGGTCGGACGAATAGTGTCGGGTAGTACAGTTGATGTAAATATGCCCTGCCCGCTGTAAGCCGCGGGAAATTACGCCGTTAAAGCTTACAAAGGGCTGCATGAGATGGACATTTCAGTAAATGTGCCATGTGGACAATTGCGCCCGCTTTACGTCCATCGGTCCCCGTAGCTCGATTCGAAGAAAACGTATACGAAGTATGCGGTTTCGGAGGAGCGAAGCGAAGGGATGCATACCCCGTTCCCGTCACGCTCAACGGGATCCTTTCAGCGCCCTTGTTCACGGCTCGGCCTTTATTTTGAACCGTCCAGCGTAGCGTTCTTTTGATGTCACGCTGGGATGCGAATCGGATAGCGGAGTATTCTGTACTAACAAACAGACTTCCAACCGCCTTTTCGCTTGGGATCCTTGCCTTCGCCGCTTGGCGCGCTTTCCGTCCTCGTCCTGCCGTGCGAATTTAGAAAAGACAAAAAGTCGACAAAGGAAGAACAGGACCAGTTTCCTGAACCTTGCTCGCACGGCAACTTTTGCCGAAGCTGCGGTACTCGCGACACCGCACGTGCACGTATCTTTAGTTGTGCGTAGATACATTTGTAAATAGTTAATTGGAGTAAAAGCATAGTATCGCACTTCCGTGCTGTATTGAAGGCGAAGCGACACGACCGGCGTCCAGTCGGTGTGCTGCTACGTTACACCGGCTTCTTGTTGAGCCGTACTCTCCAGATGTCGAGTTATCAGCTCTCCTGGGTTAGACAGGGCCGGTTTGGACGGTGGGCCGGGTCGGTGACGTGCCTCGCGATTTCTGGCCCGCAGCAGCAGCTGCTGCGCAGTTGGTCGTCCTTCGCGGGCACGCCGGTCTTCCCGGCATGCTACTTACTAGCAAATGTGCTGCTGATAATTGGGTGGTTGAGGCAGTGCGCCGTTGCTTTGGCCCCCTTGTTGCGGATTCGGCGGACGACCTACGCCTCATCAGGACAGCGTTGTGTACGACCCGAGATGGGCTCCTTCGGGCCGCCGGCTCGCCGGGTCTATTGAAGGGTCTACTGGTGCAGTTGCGTGCCGTTGGCCAGCCGGGGCGCGTCTGGGCGTGCGCCCTACTGCTGCGGCTGCAGAAGAGCGCTCCTCGTCACGTTCTGGCAGACTTGCAGGAGGTGTGCTGCTCGCGGTTTGACGAGCATGTTTACCAAGCTCTGTCTTTCAAGAAGCGAAAGGGCATACCGTACCCGGAGGTAGCGTGTTACCAGTTTGACGCGGCTGCTGTGCTGCCAGTAATGCCGGGAGTATTGACAGGCGACCCACGGCTAGGTCAGCCGGCCACGGGCCAGGCGCCGGTAACATCCCCGCTGACTGGCGTGCCTGGGGTGTCTCGCACGCCGCTCGTAACACCTGGCGCGCCGCTGGGCTCCTCGGGTGATGCAGCGGCCGCGGCGGCGGTGCCGCCTGCGGCGGCGGCGGCGAGGAGCGGGGGCTCGGGGCTAGGGGCCCTGCTTTGTGTGCCTGGCGCGTTCCCGGTGCCACTCTTCGCGCCTGGTGCAGCGGTGACGGCAGTGACGCCAGCGGCGGTGGCGGGGGGGAGGGGCTTGGGGCCGCATGGGCGGCCCCAGTGAGAAGTATGCGGTTTCGGAGGAGCGAAGCGAAGGGATGCATACCCCGTTCCCGTCACGCTCAACGGGATCCTTTCAGCGCCCTTGTTCACGGCTCGGCCTTTATTTTGAACCGTCCAGCGTGGCGCGCTTTTGCTGTCACGCTCTTTGATTCGTGATTTTACCAGATTTTCAACGGTCGGCCGCGCTTCGGGCGTCGCTCGTGCCGTTGAAAGGAGTCGTTTGCTTCCGGGTTTGTCTGAGTTTGTAAAAGGCTAAGGCTATAATGCGTAGCCAGTGTGGCTTCACGTTGGCTTCATCGCGCTTCGGTCTCGCAAGGAACACCACGCCGCTTCATAGAACATAAAACGCATAAAAAGAAAAGATGTCCTAAAAGTATAAACGTATATATGAACGTACGTAAAACTAATTCATAACGGCGCCCAAGCCACGCCACGTGGGCGAGGATACCAAAAACACTCAATTGCCTGGAGAGTAGTCCTAGCCGAACCTCTGGACTGGATTGCTGCTGCCGTCTTTCGTTTCGTTGTTAAGTGTAGAGTTACCGCTCCTCGAGCCGGGCACCATGGAAAAGGATGACCAAGGTGTGTGTGGCGGGCGCAATACTTCCGGTGATTCTGGCGCTGTACCAGCCTTCCCTTGGGTGTGTCGCAGGAAAAGGTCCCCGCAGTGGCGCCAGCAGCGCCAGCAGCAGCGCCGGCGGCAGCAGCGGGAGGGCTGGGATTGGGGCATGGGCGTTCCACAGCGCTGCATGTACAGCAGAACGACCTTTTGGGTGCACCAGCGGCGGCATCGGCTGCAGCCAGGCAGGCGCGCAGACGTGACAATGCAGCGTGCAGGCTTCAGCGGAGGCAACTGATGGCAGCAGCTAGGCAAGCTCGCCAGCGTAAGCGTTCTCGACCTGTGGGTGGCTTGTCTCACGATGACTACCTCGAGTCCCTTTCAGGCTGCCTCTGCTTGCCGCTTTTCCGTCACGACAATCCAGCTGTACCTGAGCTGCCGACGTTCTTAGAGACACAAACGTCTGCAGGACTTGCCAGCAGGTGAACAGCCTCCCCAGATACCGTTTTCGGAGCAGGCCTGTGGCCTCGCCGAGTTCGTTCGCGACAACATGCCATCACGGGTGTGTGCAGTCTGCAGCGAGTGCAAGTCCGCTTCAGAGGTCCGGGCGCTGCAGTTCAGCGAGATAGCTGGCGTTGATCAGCAACGTGCTGACATGCGGCGGACTGCGGCTGTGCCTCGTTGCGCGCACGTTCTGTATTGGCGACGTGTCAATCGGCGTGACTGCAAAAACCCGCCGGATCCCGTACTGCCACGCGGCTACAAGGCCGGTGGTGGTCAGTCGGGCAACGTCGGCGTAGTTGACACATCCGCTGGCGAGGACAGCGGCGAGACCAGCAGCGGCCTTGACGACTCTACCGATGATCGGCCGTCACGCCGACAACGCTGCGACATAGACCGTCCTCCGACGTATGCGCCGCGGGTAGGGGTACGGCTGTGTGACGATGATCCCGTGGCGGTGGAGGTGCCGTACTGCATGCGCGCGGAGACGGTACTGCCTAACCGAACGATGAACGTTTCAGCGGACGGCGTGGAGCGCTTTACGGTCTGCTCGGAATGCATACAGGCCTTACAGGGTACGTTGGGTAGTGAACGCTATGGTAACATGGGGGCCGTCTGTTTGCGAAGGTTGTGATCACTATTAGCACCGGCATGGTGCTATTTGTTTTCATTACAGATGATGGGCTGCCTCGACCGGGCCCTGGCACTGTACCTCCGTCTATTCCCATGCCTCTACTGACATTGAACACCCCTGTCACTGCCCTTCACCAGGTGGGCGGATTCCAGATGGGGCGCTGGCTCGGTTGGATCCCGGCGACGTACCCCTGTAAATCAGCATGGTCATTCGCTCGTACCGCTGACGCATCTGGAGAGCTTGGTGGTGGGCCTCGCTCGCCCTCACATGCGGCTGCTCGTTGTGCGGCAGCCGGGTACGCCCAGCTGGCGCGCGGTGGATACCTTGCCAGCGGCGTTGCGTGGGCATACGCTCGCCTTTCCAAACGACGTGCCCAGCGAGCTCCAGCGTGTTGTGCTGTACGCTCCAGAGGATCTGCCGTCCTTCATTCAGGTCGTGCTAATTGATGCTGTCAAAGATCGTGCCGACCTTGAGGCCAAAGTGCGGCAGGCACCATGCTTGGAGATGCGGGGCCTGGCTATCGCTGCATGGGCGGAGTGGGCCGTTCACGTGAATCCAATGGCTCAGGTGGACCACGCTGCACTTCAGCAGTATCGCGCTCTGGGTGCGAAGCCGACGGTGCCAGAGCCGTTAGTGGCGCACGCGGTGGCTACAGATGACCCAGACACGGCAGCGGTCATGCGCGCTGCATTTGAAGGGGATTGTGCCGGCAACGCTCAGGTGCGGCAGCAGCAGGATGATGTGGAAGCGGCGACGGAGGGCGCGAATGCAGCAGGCGAGGGGCCTACCTTTTCCATCTGCAACGCAATGGTCCGAACGTGCGCATGAGCAGGGAAGCTTGTTTTGACTCATCCTTGTTACCAGTTGTACGTCCGACGTCGCCTGGGACCGTACATTTGTAGGTGGTCGATCGCCTGGTCCGGATGCTGGTCAGGAGCCAGCGCCGTCTGGTCGTACGCCAAATATCCCGGTGACAGGTAAGGACCTGATGTGCATTGCTGCGCGTGGAGGGGGGGTGGGAGACAGCGTCTTTACCCATACCGTGCTGTGCCGCCATGCAATCACACACCCAAGGTAACCCTTCCGATGACGCCGGGCAACATCCAGCGGGTGGCTGTTGTGCCTCTCTAACTCCAGCTCCAGATTAACTGGAACTTTGCAACTTTAATCCTAAATTGTTGCCAACCGCGCGCATGCAGGCGTCTTCGCTTGGCCGTCGCCCAAGACTGGAGACAATTGAACCCGGTTGCACGCTTGGCAGAGAATACCTGCCGGCCGATTGTACGGAGATTGACTCCTTATAACAGCAACATACCGCCCATACATTTGTCGTCTCCTCCCGTTCCACACCACATACCCAACCTAACTTTCAGCTTACATAACTCACTTCCCTTACCGAGCTACGGGTCGCTCCCGCCGAAGGCGGGCCTTACTTGTAAAATGCAGTCTGTCGCATTCGGGCTCTCTTTGGCAACCTGAATCTTAACGGCAAAACACAACTTGGCAAGTAGGCGGCTAGAAGGAAAGGTATCCCAGGTATACAACCTGGGAACGCTTCTAGGATATTCATAAAACCAATCTAGGGAGGTCGGGCGTTTACGGGAAGAACGTACGTCAGTTCTTCGTACTCTTGTTTTGCAGCTCCTTCTCATTGATTTTTTAGAGTTGAACAACGCAAAAAACGCATGCGGCTTTACCTAAGGTGCCTTGAAGGCCATTTGCTAAACGATTTCCTAAAGGCCTCAGGTCAAGGCGTTCCGTCTACCAAAGCATATGCTATTATCTGGAGTCCATATGGTGTTCACTACTTGTTGGTAGGTGTAAAACACATCGATGTCCAAGACGCTGATGGCAACGGAACCAGTGGGAATTGTGAGCAGCAGGCTAGACCGGGGCCATGAGGTGCCAAGGCCCAAGCATGCGCACTCGGTTGAAAGGTCTTGTGACCTTAGGTTTAGGTTTGACCAGGAACCTGACCAGCGAAAGGGTCAACCGAGTCCAGAACAACACGCTGCTTTGGGGAGCTCCTATGAACGCTGCAAGCCGAGCGACCACAGTTATCCTGCATATACAAGGCGGACCCTCTCCGCACCTGCAAACAATGGATGCAGCGGCTACGCAGGCGCTAGTAAAGTTCGCAGTGGGGCCGCAACGCCCAACGGCGGAAGCTCAGCGCTGCTTACAGGGCCTCGGATGCACGATATTTATCTGAAGATTGAAGGGCCGCACCTGGGGGATCTTCCAGAGGTAAATACCAAGCTGGAGTTCATAGCGAACTTCTTGTATGGCGCGCCTTAGGCCTGAGCAGCCACCGCAGGCTATCTTGGATTGTGAGTTTCCAACCCTCCTTGCCCCATACTGCCTTAGCATCTGCGGTCCCTTCCATCTAACTACAGCGCGCAATGAGTCACTTCCATTTTGCAAATGAGTCATCACTCTCACCAATCAGCGGTGAAAACGCGAGCTAAATTCCCAATCCTGCCCTACATACCTTGTCCCTTCTGCTACAGGACTTCTCCTCACGGCTTCAGCACTTTCTCACGGACACCCTTCACATGCCAGCTTTACATGTCGCCGTTGAGCAAGGATGCGTCCAATTGCTAGTTACCCTCCTAGAAGTGAGTCGAGGCACAGGGCTAGTAGGCCCCTCCGCAACACGGCTCCGCCGTCGCTTCTTCACAGGGGGCAATGCGCCAGACGCCTCGCAGCTACCTGCCCGACTGCTCGCCTTCGTCCGGGGAGTGTTGCCGGAAGGCGCCGCTCCAGGTCACGTGACCGTATTGCACAACGAACAGTCGTATGAACTGGGCGCCGCTGCCGTACACCCTAACGACGAAGGATTGATGATGGAGGAAGAGGCACCAGCAGGGACAGGAGAGGAAACCGAAGCATGTGGCTCGGGTACCGGCGGAGACTTGGGAGTACGAACATTCATTCGCGGGCCGGCAGGAGCAAGCGGCAGCGGCTGCGCAACATCAGCTGCAGCGGTAGCAGGTGCTGCAGGGCCGTCCACGCCATCACTGCGCTTCCACCACCAGCATCTCGTACAGCCCCTTGATCCTCTCAACGAGACGTGGGGCTCCTCGGCCGTTAGCCCCAAGGTTGCTGGCGGGAGCGCAGTGACCCAGACCAGCCCCCGGACCAACCGATTCACGCACCCCATCGCTTCGGAGTCCGGTCGCAGGTCACCTCTACCCGCAGCAGCAGCCACAGCAACGGCGGCCAGTGCTAAGGGTCGGGTGGATGCCCTCTGCAGTGAGGCCCCAGCCGCCGCTGCTGGCCACACCAGCCCCAGCACTCTCCACCATGGGACCGGCAGCACCCTCAGCCAGGGCCACCTACAGCACCACAGCCAGGCGAACCATTTAGTCCCTGGGGCAGCCCTTGTTCGCGATGGCTTCATGGGCAATGCCAGAGGTGCCAGTGCAAGCGCAGGCGGCAGGATGGCAGTTGTCGACCCCAGGTTGCTCCAGTGCGGCACGCACGTTAACGAAGGCTTGTTGTACGAGCAACGGCAGCAGCAACAGCTGCAACCCTCGGCCTCGGCGGAGCCCCCCGTGCGACCCTGCCTCACCATTCCAGGCCGGGACGCGACTCCTTCCAGCCTGAATCTGCGAGGCGACGCGAGCATGTGGCTTAGTGATGCGCGCGAGCTGGGAGCTTCATCGTGCGGTGCTGGCGTCACCTCGTTGCGCCCCATCGCTGCCGTTACGCCCATCGACCCACGGGTCTTGGGTGAGGAGCGGCAGGTGTCGAACCGTCAGATGCAGCAGCATGAGCAGCAGCACCTTGCCTGCGCGGCTAACGCGGCGACTGCTACAAACATTTGGGGCGCCGCTGCCCTCACTGCTAACCTCCGCGTCGTTGGCGGCGCTGCTGCCGCCGCCGCCAGCGGCCCGACAGAGGACAGCGGCATGGCAGCAGCCATGGTCACTTTCACACAGCACCAAGACAATCCTGCATTGGCTGCCGCCACCTCTGCTGGAGCACGGCCAGTACCTCCTGCCGCCGCCCAGGTCAACGGTGGCGGGATTGACGGCACCGGTGGTGGTGTTGGGGCATGGGCGCCCGTGCTCCCCCTGTCGCAGCAGCCGGTAACTGCACCTGGGGGCGCCACGGTTGGGCGGCTCCAGCAACGCGAGCCAGCCAATGACCCAGCCACTCTTCAGCCCCATCCGCAGCCCGGCTTCAGCCCTACCTCGCGCGCTGCCAGCAGCATTAGGGCTCGGATGGGTCGCCTGCACCTGACCGGCGGCAGCAACCACAGCAGTAACCTGTCCTGGGGCGTTGATGCTCTTGAGGCGTTGACGCGGCCGCCCATGCCGCCGCCGCAGTTCACCGCAGCGGGGTCCAGGCCGGCGGCATCGCTGGCGTCGCCGCTGGCTGCTAGGGAACCCTGGTGGCCAAAGGCTGTGGAACTGCTCAGCCCGGCGGTGGTCATTTGGCCCGCGCCAACAGCCGCTAACAGTGGCGGTGGCTTGGCTCCGGAGTCAACAGCAGCCGCGGGAGCCGGCAGCGTCACGGTTGGCGGCGATATCGGCGGCGGTAACGACGGTGTTTCATTGCTAATGCGCTGTCCGGATCTTATCGTACGCACGAACGTGCAGAGGAGCCTCGGCTTTGAGGTCGGCAGCGGGCGTTCGTACGGCGCTGAAGGCGGCGGAGGCGGCGACATTGACAAGGCTTTGGGACCCGGTGCTGAAAGGGGGAGTTCAGCGGCAATGTACAGCGGCCATATCTCCCAGTTGGTTGCATGGTGCCGTACAGGCACCATCCCTGTCGTACAGTTGGACGATAGCCTGGAAAAGTGCACCCGCGCAAGGCTGTTGATGCCGCCGCCGTCAGGCGCAGCTGGCAGCCCTACCAGTGGCGGTGACGGCGCATGTGCGGCTAACGCCTCACCATCCACCGCCGTCAACTCATCAACTGGGTCGTTTACCATCCCCGCAACCCATTTGGTCTACGTTGCATGGCGCCGAGGCCGGGCGCTGGGGCCCGCACGTCCGGTGCTGCTGCTGCCGCCTGGAATGGAAGACATTGCGTCGGAGCTCGTTGTCTTGTCGCAGCTGCCGTCGCTGGCGACCTCATACCAGGCGTTCCTGGCGGACGTCGGGCTGTGGCTGGAGGCCGTGCATGCCGTGACGGCGGCGACGGGGTTTGGGTCTCGCAGTCCTGCCTTGTTTCAACGCCCCTCCCTCCACAACTCGACATCCACGCAGTCTGCCCGCAATGCCTCGGTGATGTCGTTCAGCAGTGCTGGCGCTACTGCCGCCACAAGCGGCTCGTTCGCTGCCGCCGCCGGCGCTGCCGCTGCCGTTGCTGACCTGCCAATGGGACGGTCTCGCGGCGATGGTCCCGCATTCGGAGCAAGACGTGCAGTGTCAGCGCCGCCGCTGCCAGCGCAAACCGCCGCTCCGGCTGGTGCTTGTGGCGATGCTACTGCAGTCGCACAAGCACCCGTCGAGGCCTTTGCCAGCCCCTTTCTCACCAACGCTAGCCCGGCAACGCAGGCGCAGCACACTGGCGGTCCCTCTAGCGCCATACAGTCGCCTTCGCCCAGCCCAAGTGCGGTTTGCCCAACGGCTGTGTCGTGTCGAAACATCTTGAACACGAGCGCTGGTGCTAGCACCTGTAGCTCGGACAGTGGCGAGCGACTCGTACGCGTGGCGGAGGACGTACTGAATCTGGGCTGTGACCTTCTAGCTTACAGCGTCGCATGTGGCGCCGTGGCGACTGCGCGGCTGCTGCTGAATATGCTTATCATCCATGGGCCATGCATTCAGAGTCTGCCCATGCTTGCAGCAAGCTCCGGCGCATCTGTTGCCTCGGGTTCCACCGCTTCCGCTTTCATTGCCGTTACCAACAGCACCACACACGCGGTTGGGGCTGCTGCTGCTGGCATGTTCGCGTCACCGGAGCGCACAGCAACGCCCAGGCTGCCTGACGTCGACAGCGGCAGTCCGCTGCCGATGCTGCAGCAACACCAACGGCAGCGTCGTACAATGCGTGCCATACTAGAATCCTGCCGTACAGGTAACGACGCAGGCCATACCCTGCTACACCTGGCGATCATGTCTCGGTCGCTGCCCATGCTGCAGCTCCTCGTCGTGGAGTGGCCGCAGCAGCTGGGTCTGCCCTTGTCAGATCTGAACCGCCTGGATTGTTCAGGTCGTGCGCCCGCGGACTACCTGCCTGCCGAAGGTGCTGGTGAGGACGGCAACAGCGGCAGCTTTGCCGCGATTGCGGCGGTGCTCCTGCGCGGCTTGGGGCCGCCCTCCACGGCGCCGGCGGAGCCACTGTCACCGTCATTACGGAGTCTTTGGGGGCTGCAGGTCTCCCGCGACGCTGGCAGCGGATGCGTTGACGTGCCCTGGCGGGCGGCGGCGACGGCGGGACTCGGGACCTCCACTTCTGCCGCTGGGACGTCGCCGCCCGGGCGGCCGTCGCCAGGGGCTGCGGCGGCGTCTTCTGTGAGCTCCGAAGGCGTTGCCGGACCTGGTGGGTACGGAGGCTTACACAACCCGGACGGTGGTGGCGGCGGCAGCAGGGGCGCTGTCCCTGTTGACTTGGCGGCGGAGACGACATCACCCTCGCTGCGGCTGCTGCAAGCGCTATCGCACGGCCGCGCTGGCAATCCGTCACACGCCGGCGGCTATAGCGGTGGCGGCGGAGGGGCCTTGGTGTTTGAAGCTGCCGCAAACGCTCCGGGCGTGATCCTTCCCGGGAATGGGAGTACGGTTTCGGTGGGCGCTGTTACGGTGGCTGGGGAGATAGGGTTGGAGAGGCCGGGGTTCCCGGCCATCCTGGCATCGGGCGATGCCGAGGGCCAGGGATTGTCAGCGGAGACGGCCGACAACACTGCCGTCGTACTTCCGTCTCCGTTGACCACCGCTCGCTTGTCTGGGCCCCTGACGGCGGCGCCGTCTACGACGACGGCGTTATCTTCCCCTTGTACGGAAATGCCGGCGGCGGTGGCTGCCCCGCAAGTAGACGACCGTGAGCGGTGGCTGCAGCGGCGGCCATTGTGGGCTGCTCTCATGCTGCTGCTGGGATCAATGCAGGTGCGTTTCTAGCTTGTTAGCTGGTGAAGCTGACCCCGCAAGCGAGATTCGGGCATGCATGTTGGGTATGTACCGAGCCAAGGTTTTTCCACGCTGGCATAGAAGCTACGTCTGCGTGTCTGCATGTCTTCTTCCCATCCTGTAGACTCAACGCTTGCCGCCCCCTTTCTACCCACCCATTACAATTCAAGGCGCTGGTCGTCATGCTGTCTGCCATGCCTCGCGCACGCGCCCTGCCACCCACCGCGTCCCTCCTGGCCCTGCCCGGAGCCCTTCTCTGGCTGCCCTCCATTGCGCTGCTGCTGGCGGCGGCGACGGCGGCGGCAGTGGGGCTGCTGCTGCCCTCACGATGCCGGGGTGCGGCGCCATGGTTGCCCGCCGCCATCACTTCCGCCGGGCGCGCCGTCGCATGTATATTGACGCTGGCGGCGGAGACGCAGCTGCCGTACAGGCTTGCGGCGAGCGCCGCCGTTGGGGCGACGCGGTCGGAGCTGGAGCCGGTAGGCTTGACGGCGGCCGCTCTGATGCGACGTACTGGCGGGCGTTACGCATTTGGGGTTCAGGCTGCGTTGTGGATGCTGCTGATGACGCTGGCTCCGATAGCGGTGGAGATGGTGGGTTCTTGGCTTTCCTTTTTAGGATCGGTATGTGTTTCGTCGTCCCAAGCAGATCATTTAGATTGGGGAAAAGCATCGCAACGTGTTTAGGCCGCAGCCACTGAACCAATGCTTTCTCGTGTCCCTTACCCGTCGCCATGGGGCTCTGTACCCTCGTTGCCCCTCCACACAGGTTCAACCCACCGTTCGTACGGCTCTTCTTCTTTCCGAGTACGGCATGCCGCTTCTGTACGTCTTGGCATACACCGAAAGTACGGCAACTGTCCTGACATGGCTTCCGTACGCCGCCTTTAACGTCGTGAGCGGTGGCGCTTTCGTGCTGCTTCTTCAGACCCACGGGTCACGTCTCGCATCCGACATCTATAACGCTAGCACCTCCGCTACCACGGATTCTGCTACCACTGCCACTGCTACTGTTACCGGTGCTACTGCCATTTCCCCATTCGCCGACTGGGAGCATAGTGGTACTTCTAGGGCAAGCGGTACACGGTTGGGAGGAGCGATGGCAATGGCAATGGCAGCAGCTGCAGCGCCCTCGGTTGGAAGCAGCCATGCAACCGCGACTGAGTCGCTGTCTGGAGGTGTAGCAGCAACGACCGCCCCGATGCACACCACCCATCCAGTGGATACCAGGGTCGCTTCATCAACTTTAACCCATTCCCAGCCGGCGCAGCAGCGACTGCAGCAGCAGCAGCAACAACAACAAGAAGGACAATGCAACCAACCGGGTCAAGTGGCTTCATTGCCGGGGTCCGTGCGTCAAGGCATGTTCCGCATGTTTGGTGTTCCACTGAGCGAGGGAGCGGCGACACAGACCACAAGGGCTGCGGCGGAGTAGGCAAAAGCAGAGCAGGGGCGGCGCTGCGTCAGAGGACTGGAGAGGGGTACTGCTGTAGGGATGGGGGATGGGAGGAGCTTAGTGGACTTCCTATACGCACTTTGGCTGCATTTGTGTGGTGCGGTTGGGGAGGGATGCGTGAGCTTGGCTGGTTTCGGTTGAACATTCTACTGCTTTTGCTCTGCTGTTCTGAGAGGTGAAGAGCCAAAGGAACGTTAGGAGAGATGGTGCTTGCTCGGGACACTGCACGGCTTTAGTGCAGCATTGGCTAGCGTGCATGTGCTGTTGGGTCGTGACATTGGACATGCACTGGATGGAATTGTTGTAGTGAAATAGGCGTGTGCCGGCCGGGTTTTCCCTTTGTTGCTGCCCTCAGGTAGAGCTCGACGTCACCGTGTTTTGCCATTGCCGTAATTCGTTGGTGCAGAATGCCGAGAGGGGCATTGTTCGAAGGGCACGACGCATGGATCTACTCGCTGGCATGAGTACGAGTGCAAGCTGTCTTCCGTTTGTTGAGGCTCAATGACACGACATGTGCTGTCCTTGCGCTTGACACTGTGTGAGAGGGTGCGGTGGGGTGAGAGAGGCATGTGAGGGTTGCTTGGCTATTGTTGAATTCACGTTTAATGACTTGATTCCTGGCTTGGGGTATGTAGTGCTAGGAAAGCGTTTGGCGTCAAATGTTTCTCTAATGGACAGGACTCCGTCAGGGTGCAAATTAATTTGGCCAATTGGTTAATTGTTTGGCGTGGCGAGTGTTATTTACTAGATCAAGTTCCGCGCCTGCAAGGGGGAATTCCTGCTTGGTTGGCTGTGAAGGCTAGCGTAGTTTTTTGGGGAGGGACAATGGAGCGCTAAGAGCAGTAGCCGTAGACGGGCCGACGGATCTTACTTCATACGGCAATAATTGCCGCTTGAAGGGGGGGAAGGGATATAATTGCATGCTTGGAAGGTCGGTGCTGATAAAGAAACAGAAACATGTCTGAAACCGAACACTTGGCTTTGGTCAGTGGGGATGGAGGAAGGAGGGATGCCGGGCGCAAGTTTGAAACCCTCATCGACGCGATCTGGAACTAGCTTGCGAAACTCAGATTGAGATTTGTTCGAGTACCGTGTGGAGTCAGCGGCCGATAAAGGTGTTGTTGCCCCTTTTCGTTAGCTCAACCTGTTCTGGGTCGCCCTCGTTTGTCTTTGGTGCTCGGTGCTTGAGAGGCATCTAGATCCCGAAGGGAGATTCGTGCTTTGGTTAGTTGCGATGTGAACCTATTTTTAGGTCCTGTGGATGAGCGCAGCGACAGACAGCGGTCGCGTGTATGGTGATGTGGACCGCTGTTGCTGCACAACTGTAGCGGTGTGTTAAAGCAGTTGTTTGCCGCGTAGCTGTTTGCCTTTTGCAGCCCTCGTCTGTTAGACGCTTTTTACTTTTGGCCATTTCACTGTTGGAAGTGAAACATTTCTTGTGTTGAAGCAGGGGGCAGGACGCACAACAGTTAGGGCCCCGCACGGGTCAGGTGTCTCGGTAGCGTACATGAGAGCAATGTCGGAGGCGGTAACGTGCGGTGGTTCCCCAATGCGCGTGTGTGTGTTTCGACGGTGTTGTTGTGTGGTGTGGTGCGGAAAGCGTATGGAAAATATCTGGCGTTGCGTTCCTGTGAACACGAGTGAGCTTAGTAATTCGCTACTTGCATGCATGCATGTATGCAAGGAGGTGCACGTGTGGATGTTGGAACGGTCCCTCGCGTCGGCTTCTCGGTGCAATGGGTCCATCCCTTGGCGGTTCAACGTCTCTCTGCATGCAGCTGGACATGCACTTCCCCTTTGAGTCTCATGCTGCAGGAGGGAGAGGTTAGAGGTTGTGGCTGTGTGGAAGGGCTGGGATTCATGACACCGTTGTTGTGGAAGAGGGGCTAGAGAGCGAGCAAGAACTCGTTGACCGTTAGCGGCCAGGATTATTACTGGTACCTCCACCGGGATTTATTTATGCATGTGTTCACTGCTGGGGCATGTGGCTTGGAGGGGTGTGCAATGGAAGCGGTATGGCGGGTTCCAGGCAGGTTCCAACCATGTAGGAGGTGCTGGTGGTGGTGTAAGCACGGTATAGGGAGGGCAAAGTGAGTGGGTGTGCATGGGGTTAAGACTGATGGGGGGTGCAAGGAAGGCTGTACGACTATTAGGCCAATTATTTGGCAAGCACAGCCGTTGTTTATCTGAGCTGCAGCTACATGCTGCACAGTGCTCACAACATGAAAGCCATGCCGCGACCCCTGGTTCCTGAGAATTCCCTCAAGGGGCTGATACGGTAGCCAGTTAGGTCCTGCTGGGTAAGGGAAGGGAGGTTAAGGAGGGGCTCGGAAGGGGGAGTTGAGGGTCGAACACGGTGAGCAGCTTGCGGCATGAAGACAGCATAGCGAGAAGGCAGTTTAAGGCTTAAACCCAGCAGTACGACTTGCGGGTAGCTAGAAGAAGAGCGCGCTCATTTGTGTGTAACGGCGAAGGTGGTAAATTACGCAACGTGGAACTGTATCGAATATTTTTTTAAAGCAGGAAGCCGTGCTGCGTCATTGCAAGATCGCTCCTGTAGGCTGATCGTGCAAGCGTCCACGGTCTGCTACTGGGAAAGCAGGAAAGGATTATTCAGACTCAACTGTAATTAAACCTCATTAGAACACGTGTAAAATAAGCATTGCGCTTGCCGTCATACTGAGGTTCAGGGCATCGGTGCTTACCGCTCTTGGATGGAATTTGCTTACATTAATTACCTACACGGTTGAGTAATCACCGCCTGGAAATATAAGCACAGCAAAGTTGCGCGGTACCCTGGCCGCAAGCACCAGGCGATGGGCCACGGCAGGAATGCTCTAGGCAGTTCCGCCAACAGCGCTTCTTCAAGCCATCGCAAAGGGCTAGGACCCGTGTTCACTCGCAGATTGCGCGTTCCCGTCTTCGCGGCGTCGGCATGGGGCGCGCATTCCCTGCGTCCTCACGGTTCGCTGGGCACAGCAAGGGTGTTGGGTGCTAGCAACAGCGGCCGGCCATGGGGAGCAGCATTTGCACCCATATCGCTCAAAAACACTTTCGGCGGGCTTCTGACTCGTGGCAGTTTCGGAGCCACGGCTTACAACCCTCGCCGCGGCAGGCCAGCTTCGCAGCCGCCTGGCGCCACCAGCAGCACAGCTTCAGAAGGCCGCATCGCCTCAGAGGTTCGCACTCCCAACGGCACCATCCAATGGGGCTCCTACCTCTCCACACTCTCCAAGCTTGAGGTGCGTACGGCTTGCGGGGATGGCGCGAGATGGCAGGACTTGCTGGCAGTCCGCATAGCAGAAACAATGGGATCGGGGGTCAGCGGGACAGTACGGGATCGCATCCCATCGCCTGGATGCATGGGCCTCTTGCAAAGATCGCGGGGCCTGTGAGGGGTTTGATGAGTGGAGAATGCGGGTTTGGCTGTCGTGACACGAGCGATTCCCCCGACGCGCCGTAGGATGCCTTGTTAACGTACGCCTAGCCTGCAGCGCCGCATTTGCAGGAGAGCCCGCCTTTGCGATGCGCCCTTGCACCCTATCTCCATATGCGCTGTCCTTGTGGATCTACTGCCCGGACATGCCACCATACCTTCTCTTACCCCGCCTTATACCGCCTTACCCCGCCTTACCGCGCCCCTCTCCCCCGCCCCTTTCCCCCGCCTCCCGAAACACTACTCTCACCGCAACTCCACCACCTTAACACCTGGTGTGGTGGAAAACAGAGTGCCGTGGACGAATGCATCTCGCAAATCCGTCGCGGCATGCAAAACAACAACAACGGATACAACCACGCCAACAGCAGCGCCAAAAATGAGGACGATGTCGGTGCGACATCATCTGCGTTGGGGGAAACAAGGGGGGAGCAGGAGGAGGCAGCCAACACGGGGGGCGGACGCGAGTCGCGAGGAGGAGGAGGACAAGGAGTGCCGGATGCTGTTGCCTTTGCCCCAGAGATCGCGATCGTGTTTGTGTCCTCGGCATTTGGCAGCAACTTTGAGCGGCTGGTGCCGCTGCTAAGGCAGCGGCTGCCTTCGTTGAAGCACGTGTTTGGGTGCTCGGTGAGTGCTGGCTGGCCCGTGGGTCGGTGGTTCGGTTTGCTGTCGCTAATGAAAGGGGAGAATAATGGTGAAAACGGAGGGTCCGAAGTACAGGACACACGCAAGGCTTGTAGATTGCTGTTACTGCGGCTTGTTGCCCCATGCTGGCAGTTTGGCTTACGCAGCTGCCGCTACCGCTGCTGTTGCTTGCAGGCGTACGGCGTCATGGGCGGCGGCGAGGGGGGCACCTGTGAGGCGGATGGGCAGACGGCGCTTAGTCTGACCCTTGGGTCGCTTCCGGGGGTGAGTTGCTGCTGAGTTCCCTCAGCGGGGGAGCGCTACGGGGGTTTGGCTAGGGTGCTAGGGAAAGCAAACACACACGCAGGGGGCATGTGGGGCTCAGGAGGCCTCCAGCGCCTATCCCAGGTCCCGGAACTCTTGTCCATCCGGGTCCCGCACCTCTTGTCCATCCGGGTCCCGGAACTCTTGTCCATCCGGGTCCCGCACCTCTTGTCCATCCGGGTCCCGCACCTCGTGTCCATCCGGGTCCCGCACCTCTTGTCCATCCGGGTCCCGCACCTCGTGTCCATCCGGGTCCCGCACCTCTTGTCCATCCGGGTCCCGCACCTCGTGTCCATCCGGGTCCCGCACCTCTTGTCCACACATCCTTCATCGTCTCGCGCCTTGCTTTTGTCCACCCCGCCATCGCAGTCCGCGGCCTCTTGGACTGTGCGCTCCCGCTCTTTCTTCCCTCATAGCCTTCTCACGCCTTCCTGCCCTCCTGCCCTCCTGCCGCCCCCCGGTATGCGGCTCAGGTGGATGTGCGTGTGTTTCACACGCTAAGAAGCAGCGTCCCAAAAGAGGGTAGGTGGTTGGGTGGGTGGGTAAGGAGGTGCCAGGCGCGGAGCTAGAGGGATGGTCCAGTCGAACTATAACTTACACCTTACCTTGTAACTTCCCTTGTGCGGTAAACCTGAAGCTAGCAAGTTAACGACTTTGTTAACCCATGTGCGCACCCGCTTGCACCCCAAATGAACGCAGACGCGGCCGTTGAGAGTTGGGCGCAGTTCGTTGGTGTGCCAGCGGACACCAACCGCCACGTCTCCTTCCTCATGTTCAGCGACCCACGGTTCAGTCAACTGTACGACATTCTCGATGGCTTGGATTACTCTTTTCCACGCGCTGCAAAGCTGGGGGGGCTGCTTAGTGTGGGAGTGCGGTCTCGGCAGCGGGCCATGTTTGCATGGAGCTCTCCGGAAGTGCGGAGGGAGCAGAAGAGGCAGCAGCGGCAGCAGCTGATGCAGCAGCGGCAAGAACAGAAAGCGAAGGAGAAGGAGAGGAGGAAGGCTGAGGTGGGGCAGAAAGGGCAGAAGGGGAGGGCGAGGAAGGAGGTGACGGGGCTCGGTGGTCGGGTCTTCGGTAATCCAGACGGCAGCCGAAAGAGCAGCAGCATCAGCAGCAACGGCGGCAGCGGGGACCGGAAGATGGAGGAGGAAGAGGAGGAGGAGGAGGGCAGGGCAGCGGCGGCGGCTGAAGGCGACTGGCTGTCCAAGTCCTGGGATTTCTTCCGCAAGCTGACCAACGGGGGAGTGCAGCAGCTACAGCAGCAGCAGCAGCAGGCGGACGGAGAGGCTGAACAGGGCAGTAGCGGCAGCAGCAGCAGCGGGAGGAGGAGGAGGAGGAGCGCTGTGGCGAGTGCCTTTGCTGCTGCTGCGGCAGCGGCGGTCGGCCGGTTAGCCATCGCGGATGATGATAATGAGGAGGAGGACGAGGAAGAGGAAGAAGAAGATGACGAGGATGGCGAGGACAGCGGAATGCACCTGTACGGTGCCGTGATCCTGGTGCTGCATGGGGACGTGAAGCTGGACACCATCGTGTCGCAGGTAGGGGGCAAAACGAAATTCCAATGTGTGGTGTGATAGTGGGGGGGGTGCGGGGGTATGGCCCGTGCGGGGGTGTAGCCTGTTCGGGTTAGGTTGTGGGTGAGGGAGAGAGAGTGGTATCATGGGGAAAAGAAGAATGCCCAATGTGTTAACATGGAAATGGGATTGTAGTGGAGCAAACCATGTGTAATAGAACCTCCTACTATCCGTCTCCATTCCTTCCGAACCCTTTCCCCTTCACCCCCCACCAGGGCTATCGCGCGCCCAGCTCGGCCATCTGGCGAGTGGAGGCCACCTCCGCGGGCCTGGGTTCCGGTATGCCCGCCCCCGCCGGACACATCCTCGCCCTCAGCGACGCGCGAACAACCCCACCCACCGCGCTGCCGCCCCCGCCACCGCCCTCATCGCCCGCCTCCTCCTCTTCCTCCTCTTCTTCACCACCATCGGGACCCAACGGAAGGCCCGGGTCTGCGACCTCATCATCTTCCCCTCCCTCCGCACCAACCTCCTCATCCCCTAACGCCAAACCTGACGCCACCTCGTCACCTGCAAACACATCATCGTCGTCCTCAACACCACCACCATCAACGTCGCAGCCTTCCTCCTCCGCCGCCTCAAGCGCCGCAGATGCCGGGGCGGAGGCGGCGTCCGAGGATGCCAGCAGCAGCAGCAAACAGCCTAGTAGCAGCACCAACAGCAGCCGCAACAGCAGCAACATCAGCAGTAGCGGTAAGTCCATAAACAGCAGCTTAAATGAGGCATTGGGCGGCGGCAGTAGCAGCATCAACCCTGGAAGGAGTTTCAGAAACAGCTTCCGGCGTCGTAGGGGGGCGAGTGGTGGTGCTAGCAAAAACAACAGCAGCGGCCGACCCATGGGTCGCTCGGCGAAAGACAACGACGACGACGATGGCGACGATGACGAGGAGAAGAAAGCTGGCTCGTCGAATGGCTTTAAGAGCAGGGATGATTCGAATGGCTTTAAAAGCAGAGAGGAGATGGAGGAGTTCTTGCGGGCTGATCTCGCGGACATGGCAGAGGAGGAGATGATGATGGGAAGCGGCGGCTACGACGATGATGATGACGACGACGATGACCCTTTTGACAGTGACGATGATGGGGAGGAGGATGAGGAGGGCGGTCTGGGCGGCCGGCTGGCGGCTATGGGCGTGTCGGGGACGCCTTCCATGGCCGCCATCATTGACGTGGTGGGTAGAGCCGTAGCCGTGGGGAGGGGGAAGAGTCATGGGGGGTCGGCAATATACCAAAACCACAGGTTAGGCCAAAGCAACTAACCGTGGAAGGGGGGTAGCCGAGTGGTGTGTTAGAGACATCGCAAGTTGGCAGCACCCAACAACCAGCTACACCCGCCCTGCCTGCTCTGCCTCACTTGCGGCACTGCAACCCCTCACCCTTCCCCTAGACATGCATGCATGCATACAGATGCTGACATGCTGTGGTATACCGTATGTCGTACTGCTGCTGCCACTATCATCCCTCCGCAGCCCCAACAGTTGCATACAAGGGCCCTCTACCCTGGGCTGTCAAGCCAACCCAGGCTGTGAAGGCTACCCGGGGCTGTCACACATCCGAGATGTGTTGGGACCCGCCCGGACCGCCTGACCCCCTTTTCCCCACCTTCCTAACCCCCCCCCCCATTTAACACATTGGGTAATACTCTTTTCCTCCCAGGTGGAGGCGTTGGGCAGCGAGAGCGACCTGTGGGAGGAGGTGCTGGACTCGCTGGCGGTGGCGGTGGCGGCGGACACCACCAAGAGCCTGGAGGAGCTCGGGCCCGCGGACTGGGAGATCATGGAGGTACGACGAGGGGGGGGGAGGGGGAGAAGGGTGGGGTAACGTGGCCGGGGGGAGTGCCGTGTGTGTTTTGTGTGCGTGCGTGTCGCTCTCCACTTCAGTCCCAGCCCCTTCCTGCCACCCGCCACCTGCCATCCCCTCACCGCAACCCCCAACCCCCCACCGCAACCCCCCACCACCACAGCTCAAGGGGGTAGACCACCAGTTCGGTACGATGATGGTGGAGGGGGAGGTGCGGCGAGGGTACCGCATTAAGATCATGGTGAGGGGCCTGGGGGAGGGGAGGGGTGCGGCGCAGGCAGGGAGGGAGGGAAAGCGGTGCGGATGGAGATTGGAAGGGTGGCGGTGGTCGTGGTGTAAGGGGGTCTTGTATGGCAGGTGGGACAATGGGACATGCAGCAGGGGTATTTCGCCCCGTGTACAAACCTTTCCTCTCCCCTCACTACCGGTACCTCCCGTCTTCCCTTCCCCTCTTCCCTCACCCTCTCCCCTCCCCCCCTCAAAAGGTCCGTGACTCCCCCGGCATGTCGGAGGACCTGCGCACGCAGCTGCTGTCGTACAAGCGGGACGAACTCCGGCGCATGCTGGTGGGCGGCTCGCCGCCGGCACCCAGCTTCGGAGCACTGGTGTTCACGTGAGGCTGGGGCGGGAGCGGGAGCAGGGGGGCGTGGTGGGGACGGAAGGGACTGCTGGCTAGGCTAGCTGACTCTAGCTGGCTGGATGGGCTGTAGCTGAGGGCGTTGTACCGGTATAGGTGGTTCCCCCGCGTGGTTGCTTCTGCCTTGGTCTGCCTTGGTTGCCCTTATTTTGCCTCCTTGATGATCCCGCCCTTCCTTCCTGTTGGCAACCCGCAACCTCCCACCATGCTCCCACCATGCAGCCCCTGCATGCCGTACCCCCTCACGCACAGTCACCGCATGCGCAATAGCCTGTATATAAGTGCGGAGATTACGTATACCCTAAACTACCGCCCGCAGGGACGTGGAGCGCACCTCGCGCAACAGCGACCGTGAGCCGGGTGAGACGGAGGCGGACGTGATCAACACCTACCTGCCGCTGCCCACTGGGGGCATGTTTGGAGGAGGTGAGGGGGGGAGGCGGAGCGGGGGAGGGGTGCCGGTGTGATGGGTGCCGGTGGGTGCTAGTGTATGAGCTGGGTGCGAGAGAGGCATGTGCTCCGGAGCGCGAGTGTGCTTTCTTGATGAATGTGGGAGGAAAGGGAGAGCGCCTAGAGGCTTCTGTTCATCACCTTGACCACCACCTTTATTTCGAACCGCCCCTCCCACCCGCGCCGGCCCCCCTCCCCTCCCACAGCCCAAGTGTTGCCCCTCCCGGGCTCCACGGAGCTCGCCGAGTTCAACACCGTCATCGGGGTGCTGCGAGCTGCCAACGCGGCACCACCCGCCCCGCCACCTGCGGCTGCTGAGGGCGCTGAGGGTGCTGCTAAGGGTGCTGAGGCTGGCGGTGCTGCTGGCAGTGGGGGTGCTGAGGGTGCTGGTGAGATTGCTGCTGTGTCGGAAGGGGGGACCCAGGCAGCAACAACTACATCTTCGTCGCCTTCACCACCATCACCACCTGCATGCGAGAACGGTCCCAAGGCAGAGGGGGATAATGGTGATGGTGGTGAGGAGGAGGATGGAGGTGGGAGTGCGGATGGGGGGTCGGTTCGGAGGCGACCACAGACTCCTCCGATAGGTGGCGGTGGTGGTGGCAATAGTGGAGGGGAGGAAGACGCAGGAGGGAAGGGCGAGGGAAGTGGCAGCAGCGGGCGGGGTGGGGGAGGAGGGCGGAAGCCGGGTGGGGGAAGCACGCGGCTGCATCGGGGTAGGAGGATTTGAGGAGGGGCGGGGCGGGACGGGGGCCTGCTGTGGCCGGGTTAGGGGTCCGGGTGTTGGGGTGTTTGCTTGCGGATGCGAAGGAGGCGGACGGGTGGATGGAGAGGGGAGCAGAGAGGAGGTAGAGTAGAGCAGCCGGGAAATGGAGTGCGGGAAGGGTGTCCTGTGCGTTCCTTCCCTGTTATTAATGATGAGTAGAAAGCGGAAGCGTAGTGGCTAAGGAGTACGTAAAACCGGTACCTACCGGCCGGGGTGGGAGGGAGCCCCACAGCCCGGGATGAGGTCTGGGATAATGCGACGGCTGCGTTTTGCCGTACGGACTTCTTGGATTCGAACTCCCCTGGGTTCGGTGGTCAGCGGTGGCGGCTGCAATGCGTAAAGCGTAGCAGAGGGGCGATAGGATGAGAGGCTTCGTGAGTTCCTGTATGTGAGCTGTTGACGTGTGGTGAGTGTCTCGCATCATCGGGATATATCCAACGACACAAGCGGAAGTTGTCGTACCATTCTTTCTTGGGTTAGGTACCCCGATACAGAGGGGTGTAGCTTGGAGTGCTTGGTATGTGTAGGTAAACATTGCAGATTGGCTTTCCGTGTCCGTCGAGGCTTTCAGTGTCCCAAGGGAAATGATGAAAGTGAACCCCTGCATGACTACCCTTGCTAACAAGGATACGGGCGCATGCCGCAAGGTTCGGCAATACATGCTGCTGGCTAACCAAGCCGGCCCATTAGGGTGCTTCAAACAGTCATGCGGCCTTCATGGGCACTCATGTTTCAGCGGAGTAAGGCCTTCGTTGAGCTCCTGAGGCACCTCTGACAACATCATCTTGGTCGGCGAAACCAGGTAGGCGAAACCGCTAATGAATCATCTGTCACGCGTGCCTATGGTTGATACTTTCCAGCGACTCTCAGTCCCCAAACACTTAACCTTAATCGGCAACCTGCATTGAGAGCCCCTCTTGCGTGCACAACGCACAAACTTCAACATCCTGACTAGCAAGACAATGCCAAGTGCGCCAACCACATGAAGATATGATGCACTCAACCCACCTACACTGACTGTAGGTGCCAGCAGACCTACAGGCTTGCAGCGTCATCCCATCACTCTTGCGCACTCCTGCTGCATCCACACCATCTTCGGTAGGGATGCTACCACATTCCGCAACCCCAGCAACCATTCCAGTCGGCCCCGGCTGATGACCGCACCTTGCTCCTGCTCCTGTCCCGCCTCCCCTGCTGCGGCAGCAGCGGGGGCCCCGTCCCATGCTTCCTGTACTGCCTGTACGGGAGAGGATGATTGCAGACAGTACGGCAGCGCATCAACACCAAGGGGCATTCGTCGATGCAAAGAGTCAAGCTTTGAACTTGTGAAGGAGGCATGTTCCGTTCCAGCCTTCCAGGGCGTCGGGGAAAGGCCTAGAGGACGGCGCGTGCTTTTCCTCTCCACCTGGCGACGTACGTGACGCCCCGTCCACACACCCAATGAACCCCTCAGTCCTTCGCCCGCAGTCCCACTGACCTGCTCAAAGCCCCGGAGGACGAAGCTACGCAAGGGGAGGTACGACCCGTCCAGCCACATCCCGTCCACATTGTCCTCCCTGCGCTGCACACGGCACCGCGACGCCACCTTCACCGCCACCACCTGCACCGGCGGGCGGAGGCCTCCACCGCCCAGCGCAGCCTCCATAAGCGCTCTCGCAGCCGCCGCCACCGCAGCGGCCTTCGCCCTGCTGCCGCATTGCACCAACACCGAGGTTTGCACGACTTGGTACCATTCGACACAGCGGCCACTGATGCCGCCGCCGCTGCCGTTTCCAGCACTGCTGGTTGCAGCTGCTGTTGCTGCTACCGCGTGCTTCTCCAGCAGCTGCATCCAGTTGTTAAGGAAGACCGACCCTTGGGTCAGTACCGCCACAAAGGGACCCTTGAGCAGCAACACCTCTGAGGACGCAGGCTCAAAGCTCACGGCTGCTGCTGCCGTTGCAGCCTTGGCGGCGCTTGCGGCTGACGCTTCTGCCCTTGCGGCTTGCACACCCCCAAATGCTGGAGCCCCTGCCGCTGCGGTTGACGCCCCAAGCACCTCCCCTGTCGCCTCCCAACGTGCAACCATGTTCCGTAACAGCTGCTCAGCGGATGGTAGCTCAGCTGCTGCTGCTCCTGCCAACGACGGCTGGTCTGCCGAGCCCGCAGCCTGAGCCGCATGTCCCGCCACCCCCGCTTGAGCTGCATGAGCTGCATGGGCCGCTGCGGACCCAGCCGCAGCCACCGCAGCACGACAGCTACCTGCCGCACAGCTCCCACCACCGCCGCCAGCCCCACTCAGCAGTACTTTTATCCCCAGCAGCTCCTTCCCGCATGCGTACTTGCCGGGTCTGCCAGCAACAACCTGCAGACCCAGCTCCCCAGGCGACCCCAGGACCTCCACCACCTGCAGTACAGCCTCTAGGGTGGCATGCAGGCCTAGGGTCAGCGTCTTGACGCCCCGAAGCAATAGCTGCTGGCACTGCTGCTGCTGCAGGGCACGCAAGCGCTGCAGCAACTCGTCCGTGAGAAAGCCCGACTGGTCGATAATGAGCTCGTCGATGCTCATTACTGGCCTTGTTGACGCTTGCGGTTGAGGCAGAGAACTGTATTCCGCAAGGGCGCATTGCAGCAGCCCATGTTCGGGTGCAACCATGGCCGCAAGATCCGGCAGCTCCGCACTGCCAACCTCAACGCATGGCACCATGCTGCCGGCGTCGAAGCGTAGGTGTAGGTTAAGCGCACCCGCTAAGCCAGCGCACTTGCAATCTTGCAGCCGTAGAGACCGCTTGGTATGTACTGGCAGGGCGCACAGCAGATGCCGGAGTAAGCGGTAGCCCGCCTGGGGCCCCTCGGAATCCCGTGCTAGGCAGCATCCTTGTATCGTCAGGTTTTGGAGCTTTCCCAAATGGGCCAGGTTAAGTGCTAGTTCGTCGGTGAGTACGGCACCCTCGCCTCGCATGGACGGATGGGAGCTGTACAGCATCCGGGTGAGTTGAGGCGAGTTTGAGGCGTCGATGGTGAGGCTGCTGAGGTTGCTCTCGGACAGGATTCCCAGGCACTCCAGAGCACGACAACTGGGCAACGTGAGGCGTTCGAGGTGCGGCAGGGAAGACAGGCTGTCGTACAGAAGTTGCTGTTGCGTAGGCATGTAGGACATGCCTAGAAAGGTATGCAGCTCTAGCTCCCGTAGGGATGGAAGCCGGCGGAGAAGTAGTGACAGGATGGACTCGGGCTCTGGCAAAGCGCATTCTTTGTTCTCTACTGCTAGATGCGTTATACGCTTCCTGACCGCAAGGGGGAGGCCAATAGTGGACATCGTGAACGCTTGCGCATCCCCGGCTTTGCCATAGAGAAGTCGGACTGAGCTGCAGCGAGGCCAGCGCGCCAAAGAGGGCAAAGACGGCAACTGCTTAGGCTCTGAGAGCTCAAGCGGAGGTCCATGCGTCACCCTGGATGATGTCCACGGCGGCGCAATTTTCACTTGCCGCACGCTGCCATCCATGACATCGCGAAGTCCCCGGCAGACCAAGCGAACAGCTGCCAGGCTGCCCTGCTCTCTAAAGGTGCCATAGAGTGCATCTATTGCGTCGATACTTAAAGTATGAAGCACCTCGCTTAGACTAAGAGGGTCCCGGCGAGGACGCTGAGTGCGGGTATCCATGCGGTCCTTGTAACGAGAAGCAACGGTGCTAAAAGTCAACAAAAGCTATGAAATTGTGTCTGTAGTTAGCTACCTTCGTTGTTGCCTCTAGTGCTTCCACAAACTCGCGCGCCAACTTGAAATGGATTTAACGCTGGTTAGGGGGCTGCGGCTTTATTCTCTATAACAGAGGCTTTCCTAGCTTCAACCGTTTATATGCCTCGTCTGATATGACTCTGACCTTGAATCCATACGCAAGAACGCAGCTGTCTTTAATGCCGTACACGCCTTCCTTAAGCCATGCTGGGCATGCTCTCAAACAAACCCTGCTCAAGATAGCGCTTTCGAAACTCTTACTTGTACTGAGACCCTCAGGCAGCCCTGACTTGGGACCGCAAAGCAGTAGCATGTCGTTACTTTACCAAGTGCCCAGTCCACTGTGGCACATCCCTCTACTTTTCTCACAAAGTCGCCATCTGCGCGACATACTGGAATTTTTTCAGTCTTCTTAAGGACAAGTTGCAATGAATAGGTGCCGGTAACCGGCAGCGACATTGCCAACACAATCAGAAACATTCCACAATCGCGTCAAGTGCGATAAACCGTTGCCCAACCCATCATCGTTTCCTTCCCTTATACTCCCCGTCCTCGCACTCCTTCTGTAGCCTTCATTGCTACCAGCCTTGAACTCCAGGCGCATTCCGTGTACCTATGCTGCAACAGACCCGCACAGTCGACACAAGCTCTCCTCTTCTCTCAATCCTGTCCTCACACCCTCAGACGCCCATAGACGCTTCACACTATCAGTGGTATACCACCGGAACTTCTATAAACTCCTCCTGCAGCTGCAGCAGCCACTCCAGCCGCTGCTGCCCAATGCCAGCATGCCCTGGAGCTGCTGCACTGTCCCAGGCCTCTTGGATGACCTGCATGGAGATGGAACGGCTCGGCTTCTCCAGCTGTGCAAAAGACGCTCGAGATGTATAAGGAACCATGCACGCGATGTCACCTGTCTGATTTGGTATATAAACCAGCGTACTGGACCAGCTACGGACAAGTGCATGCATGAAACAAGGGCCAACCACACACTGACTAATGTATGGATGCACGCACCTGCTGAAGTGCGTGGACATACAACCGCGCGAGCGGATAATCCCTGCTGGCCGCCTCCCCGTCATCTCTAGCACCGCCCGTCAGAAGGCAGCAGCAGTCCACAGCCACCACTTGAGGGGGCTCAGCCAGCCCGGACGCCCCCGTCAGGGTCTCTCGCTGCGCGGTCTTCCCCACCTGCACCCATGCTGACGGATTTCGTTGTTCTAGTCCCTCTAGTCCTGCCACCAGGGACGCATCACACATCTCCAGCATCATGCTCGCCGCCGCCTGCGCCACCGCTGCAGCCTTGGCCCTGTTGCCGCACTCCATGAGAATGATGCCTGCTCGCGGCATGGCTAGGTATGACACGATGCAGTTGCCGCTGCCTGCCATGGCTGCCGCGTGTGCCCCCAGCTCCTGGACCCAGGCCTTGACGGCCATGTCTTCCCCACCCGATTGCGCCGTCGTGTAAAACCCCTTAAACAGCAACACGTCTGAGGACAGAGGTTCCAAGTTGGTCGCCGCCTGCACTGCCGCCGCATCCTCGGCCGTCGCTGCTGCCCCTGCCCCTGCTGCTGTCGCCCCCAGTGTCACTTCACGCGCCACCAATCGTGACACCGCAGCCCGCATGACCTCATCCGCGGCTGGCAGCTTGCCTCCTGCAACTGCTGCTGGCTGGTCTGAGGAGGCTGCTGCTGCTGTTGCGGGGACGCCCTCAATTGCATGGGCCGCAGATGACGGCTGCACCTCAGCCGTTGCTGCCGCTGCCACCAGCAGGTCCGGGCTGACTACATGCGGTGTATGCGCCACAGCCGTCACCCCCGCATGTAAGGCAGCCTCAGCCGCAGCCCCAGCCGTAGGACGCCTCTCTGTGACCATTGAAGCCGCTGTGCTGCCGCCCATGCCCTCCTCTGCATTCTCTTGCCCCTTCCCTTGCTGCTTTTCCGCCTTAGCTAATGTCGCTGCTGCTTTCCCGTCATGGCCACCATGCAACCGAACGTCGACCTTAACGTTATGGACTTGGCCTACTCCGTTAATCACGAGCTCCTGCGGGCGCCCGAGCATCTGAATCACTTGCAGCGTAGGAGCGGTGTCGGCGCCTTCTTGGGTTAGATCCATGGTCTTGACGAAGCCGCATCCGCCATGCTGGCTGGCCTGCAAGCCTCGCAAGCTCGCTATCTCCTGCTCTCCAAGCAGATGTGTGGCATATATGACAAGTTTGCCAATGCTCAGCCCATGCTGTGGCCAGGAATGCTGCTGGTGTCGTTGTTTGTGCAGCTGCTGCTCCTCCAAGGCGCATGACAACATACCTTGATGGCGCTTCGCCAGCAGGGGCAAGTCACACAGCGCTACTCTCGGCAAGTCCACTGCCACAATGCAGCCAGCGCGCAAGTGGACATGGAGGTCAAAGCAATCATCGCAGCCCCTGCTGGTGCAGTGTCTTAAGCGGAGGAGCTGCAGGGAGGGCGGCAGGCTGCGCAGGAGCAGGCGCATGGTCTGGTAGGCCGTGCGATCAACATCCGTGCCATCGCCATGAGCAGCGGGCTGGCTGTCAACGTCCCAAAAGTGGGCGGCGAAGAGTTCTAGTTCCTGCAGCTTACACAGACGTGAGAGGCTGGAGAAAGCCCTGACACCGGCCCTGCCATTGCTCAGGTCGTATGCTCCGATGCTGTCGCGGCATTCACAGTCACTTGAGATTGTTAGGTACTTCTGGTTACACTCTGAGAGGAGTCCCAGGCACTCCAGAGTACGGCAATGGAAAAGTCGCAGACGTTCGAGGTAAGGCAGGGAAACAAGGGAAGAGATGCGGTGCCTCAAGCTCCCGTAATGCGGGTAAGTGGTGCAGCAGCGACGCCAAGACAGCCCCTGGGTCCTGCATGTCGGTTGTGTCCCCGTCGAGCTCCAGCTTGTGGATGCGGTTCCTTGCCTCAAGCGGAAGGCCCGCAAAAGCCGACGAGAGCAAGCTCGCGGCGTCTAAGACGCCTACTGGCTCATGAAGGTCCCAATGGCTATAGATGAGGCATACCGAGCTGCATCGGGGCCAGCGTGCCAGTGACGGCAGCTGTCCTTCCTCATGCGGCTGCCAGTCCTCGCGACGGAAGGTAAGCCGGGCATGCCGCACGCTAGCATCAGCAATGTCTCGCAGTCCACGGCTTGCTAAACGAAAAGCGCTCAGGCTACCCTGCTTCTCCAACTCATCCACCAAGGCATCTATTGCTAGAATGCTTAGCTTATGAAGTATGTCGCTGAGCCCGCGTTCTTCTTGGCCGGAGCTCGCCAGGGACACCATCATGATTACGGTCGAGCAAATACCGAGGCAACCGTAGGTACCTCCGAGCTCTGTCGGTCACAGTTCAAACGTGTGCCGCTCCTAAAAGGTTACTGGAGCTGGTAACTGGAGCCAAATTACAATTGTATTTGGCTAAACAATACTTCAATGGATGACCATAACGACGTCCAACGTCTTGGTTGTAAGGATATCCGTTACCACCCCTCTGCTTTTGACAGTGAGGGCCACACATACCGTACGGGCATGAACCGGAAACGAAAAATCGTTCACGAACCGTGCCCGCTGTACAACACCCGAAGTGAACTTTTGTCGTACCGATAGCTAAGAACCTAGTTTGGGGGCCCGTAGGGAAGACGGGCGAGAGCATTGTGTGTCGTACACATGATTCGGTGGACAGCACGACAGCTGGCGCTCAGAGCGTCGACTCCCTTGTTGCCGCGCTGTCCTTGCCTTTCGCCTTGGCAGCTTCATTGTTGTTTGTCCAGTTACTGCCCGCTTAACAGTAGTCAACGTTAGTCAATTGCGATAGCCCTCGCGGTCTAGAGCTTGGTACCGGTACGCACTGCATCAAAGTAACAAATCTGTCATCCTCCGGCAGCATCAGTAGCTGGGTATTGTAACCATACATCTCTAGCCCTTCTGCCTCCCTCTTACTTTCTTACATGCCGAAATCTCCGCTCGCTCTGTGCGTCATCCAATATGCATCCAACTCCTACTAGTCTGCACCCAACCCATCCCCAGGGCCCCTCGCCCTTCCTATACACACCATCATCACCGCCCGTCCTCCTCCCCTCCCTCCCCCTCCGCCTCTTCCTCCTCCTCGCTCCCCTCCTCCTCTCTCCCTTGCCGGCCCCACCGCGCCGCCTGCTGCTGCCTCCTCTGCTGCTGCTGTCCCCCTCCCTGCCTCCTGCCCCGCCCCCCTGCCCTCCCAGCCCCCCTCCCCGCCCCTTCCCCACGCCCCCCCTCCTCCTCCACGCATACCCCGCCCCCCATCTGCTGCTCCTCACACGCCCTCCGAGCCGCCTCCGCGCTTCCCTCCCCCACCTCAAACCTCCACAAGTCCACCTCGATGTCCACACTGCGCTGCCTGCAGGGGCGTTACATACACACAGGTGTCCTACTCAACTACACACAGGGGTGTTACATACAACGGAGGGCGACAGGTAAGGGCATGCCGTGCAAACCGCCAAGCCTGTAGGTCATGTCTGGTCCCCCTCCTTCACATGGCCGCGACAGTTCTCTTCCTCTTCATCCCTGCTGCTCCCAACCAACCCCCCAATACCCCTCCCAACACCATTCGGAATTGGGACTCCGTTGATGCATTAATCTATATTTCTCCCCCCCCCCCAATGCCCCCCCTCCCTCCCTCCCCTCCTGCCCCACTTGTGGAACTTCATGGTGGCGGGCAGGTCGTACCGCAGCTGAGCCAGCACCTCAGCACTCACTGCACCCAGGTCGCTGGCGGGGGGGCGGGGCGGGGGCAGGGGTGGAGGGGGGTCAAAACTCACACCGAACCATAGGAAACCACAGGTTGGATGGAAGGGGGGATTAACATGAGGAGCAGCAGCGCGGTGGGGAGCAGGGGAGAAAGCTTTTGAGGGCCTGTGGGGAGCCTGCGGAACTGAGCTAGTCCGACGGCCTGCAACTCGCCTCCTCCAAGCCCTCCCCCTCCCCCTCCCCCGACCCTCCCTCCCTCCTTCAGATCAGACTCCCTACCAGACCACACCACCCACCGCTTCGCCATCTTTGCGATGTACTCGCGTGTGGAGCTCTTGTGCAGCGAGTACACCGAGTGCCGTGACACGGAGAAGGCGGCGCGCAGGAAGGCCATGTCCACTCCCTGGGCAGGGCAGGGCAGGAGGGCAGGCAGGAGGGCAGGCAGGTGGGTTTCACTTGTTCTCAATGCTTTGGGCAGGGGAATGGAATGTACGAAGCCGTACGTAGGAGTTGAAGGAAAGAAGCCGCGACTCTGGTCGGTGCGCTGTACCACAAGCGCCCAGAGATCCGCCTCCGTACACATACCGCTAGTTTTCTTGCTTAACATACCGCTAGTACGTTCCTACTCGCGGCCAGTTTTCCTAACATACCGCTCCCGAGTCCTCCTACTTCGACCCCCCTGCCGTGCACCTTTTGTTTGGTTCCAAAGGGCGGGTTCATGAGCACGGTGTCGGCTCGCAGCAGCGGCAGCCGCAGCGGCAGCTCCCGCACGTCCGCGAGCAGTAAGTCTATCTGGGGGGGGGAGGTTGTGAAAGGAGGTGAGGTGAGGGGTTGGGAGGTGGGGGGAGGAGGGGTCGGTAGGGGCTACGGAGAAAGCCCCACATCGGTCAAGCAAGCCAGATCGCAACCGTACACATCGCAACCCCCCCTGCCCCCAAGCCGCTGTTTCCCTCACCGGCAGCCGCTGCTCCTCCTCATCCTCCTCCTCATCATCATCGTCACCCCCTCCAAACTGCGCCACATTCTCCGCCGCCGTCTGCAGCGCCTCGACGTCCACGTCCAGCCCCACCACGTGGCGAGCACCCAGCAGCGCGGCACCGATGGACAGCATGGCCTGTGCGGGGACAGGGGTGTGTGTCAAAGACCATACCAATTACCAAACCATCAAAGACCATACCAAACCATAGGAAACCACAGGTTAGGGCAAAGCAATGGGGAGGGGGGGCGGGGGGCGGCTCCGGGCGGGTAACATGGGGCGGGTGTATCTGGGTAAGGAGGGGCACGCCCCGGGCGTGTGCGTGCGTTGGTATCGGTCCCTGTGGGTAGGTGCATACGGTGCCATGGCCCGGGGCGTGTGGCCAGGAGTTTGATGTTCCTCAGTTGGGCTGGTGTGTTGTGTCACAACAGATGCCTGCCCCCCGCCTGTCCCCGAGGGAGCAGCATCAGGCTTGTGCACCAGGCTTGTGCACCATGCGCGGTACAGCCGGTACGGCACCCTCCCTCCCTCACCGTGCCACACCCCAGGTCCACCACGGTCCGCCCCGCCAGCTCATCGTAGGAGGAGTCCACTGCGAAGAGCAGGCGGGAGGCCAGGTGCGGCCCGGTGGGGTACTGCTCCAGCTCGGGCTTGGGGCGGGAGAAGGGCGCAATGTCCTGAAGGGGGGGTCAAAGACCATACCAAACCATACCACGGAGGGGGCGTGGGGCGAGTGCAAGGGGAAGTGGGACTATAGATAGCATGAGTGGGCTGGGCACATAGGTATAAAGGGGGAGGAGGGAGCGTTTGGGCACCATGCAACCTAACCAGCGCAACGACTTCACCAGTGTCGCCCTGTTGCCGGATGTGTTTGTTTACCTGCATCAACGCGTGAAGCTCCTTCAGCTTCATTTTTAAGCGAGGTATTAGTTCCTGGGCGTCCCTAGGGTAGAATTGCTAGCGCCGACGAATGGGAGGTTGCTCACATCTATACCCAAAGTCAAGGTAGACAACTAGACATCTGCATTATGTATTCAAGAAACGGCAGAAACGGTTATAGAAACAAGCAGCGAGAAGGCATGTAGCTACAAATTCCTTATGAATGGTCAAAGCTCTTAGCTTCCTATATAGCACTGTAATACCAGCTTCGCCTTGGAGCAATAGCAAGTCTTCCTTGATAGACGCACTTCGCGACCAATGGACTTTTAATCGTTCCGGATTTCAATTGGCAGGCCAACTGCCGCCATCAGTGTCTCTAAGCCCTAGTGCGTCTGACGAATTGTGCACCGTGTGTATACCACTCAAACGCTTAGCGCATGCGCTAGGATGTGCTTGCTGACTGGCGTCTGTCCTACGCGACGGAGTGCCGAGCTGTCGAAGACGTGCGAAACTCTCATACATTGAATACAGATCTGAGTAAAGGAAGCAAGTCCATGCTTTTCGCACTTATCGCTGATTGCGGCGCTCACAAGGCTCGCCCATCCATTCAATCCGCGATGGCGCGTCGTCGCCCGGTCTTGACAACGAGAATCCCCTTTTGCACTTAGCCAACGGGATAAACATTCTAGGAAGAAACCCCATTGAATGCATTTATCGGTCTCTAAAGTCGTTTGGACCGTCCATTGAAAGATGGGCGCGGCCGGCGCTGTGTCCCCCAGACCGCAGCCAGTCGCACACGGAAGAAGCCTTGCATCTTCGCTGGAGGCATAAACCTTCCGCGGTCCCCTATCCTACGCACACAGCCCGTTGTAACAGTTCCTGGTGGTGTTGCGGCCGCTTCGCTGTACCTCAACGAACGCATGCGGCTAGTAGCTGCGCAACGGCTCTTCCTGGGACCAGCCAAGAACACTGCTCAGCGAAACGCCAACAGCCCCACCTGGGCGCCGTACAAACCAACGGTCAACCAACCAACGAGCCTCTCGATCCGTCCTAGAAGCAAGACCCATAGCTACACTTTCCCCAGCAGCCGCCCTATGCCTCTTGCAAGGTAACCAGACGCACAGGTCACACATCCCTTTCCGCGCACACTGATAGTAGCACTCACGCGCTGGCGTCCTGATAAGACCAGAGATTAGTAGCAGAGGCAACGCAAACCGGGAACGCTGGCAGCCTGTGTGCAGACTCTGCGACCGCTCCTTGTCTGGGACCGTCCGACTCCCACCGCGACTCCCAACATCCCCACTACCGTAGCCTGTAGCCAGCTTCCAATCAATCCGGCTGCAAGGTTAGGATAGAGGATAGCACTGGAATCCCCGTCCGCACAGCTTTGAGTTTTTCCACTGGCGAGGCGCCTACGTCTGCATCAGCGTGCGCCCCGTGATCCTCTGTTGAGGATCCGTTAAGGACACAAATCGGGTATCAGAAGCTGTGAGGTCTTGCGCAGGCGCCATGAAGGTCATCGTGCAGCCTCGACTCCAGGTCAGATGCGCAGGGAGCCACCAGGCCCCCGACTTTGCCGCCGACTGACAGGTGTCCCATTGTGTTTCTGCTCATGCGCGCAGGTTGAGTCCTGGTCCCTCTACTGGAAGGAAAGCCTGCGCACGCAAACGCAGGTGAGGAGGTCTGCATGGCAGCTACCACACGCTGCCGTTGGGTGGTCCACCAACGTGAAACGCTTTCCGCCTGCCTGCAAGCATGACCCCGCCCTCCCACACGAACTGCTTCCCTCTATCCCACACTGCGTTGCCCTAACCTGCGGTGTTGGTATATCTCTGACACCTCCCCGCACACAAACACACATACACATGCGTGTTTTTCGTCAACTCCCACAGTGTCTGGAGCCTCGCGAGCTCGAGCTGCCCGACTCCTGCAGCCTAGCGGACCTACTGGCCGCCCATGCGGCGGCTCAGGGCTGGCAGCCCGCCGCATCCCTGGTCCGCCTGCCCGGCTTCGAGGCCGACTGGGAGCGAGTGCTGGTGCGGGGCAGGGAGCTGCAGCCCTCGGCGAGCCTGAAGGAGGCGCTCGCGGTGGCTTCGGGGCCGGCGGCGGCGGCGGCGGAGGCTCCGAGGGTTACGGTGGTGCGCGTGGTGCTGAAGGCGGATGGTGGGTGCGGTGTGGGGATGATGAGATTGGGGATCCAGCGGTTTGCCGGGTATTACCGGTAGCATGCTTGGTCTGGGTTTGCTTGCTTGGTTGACCGCTACATGGCTGACCATGTAATGGATGGGTTGTGGCACGAGCGCTGGGGGCGTACCTGTGTCGGCAAGCCCACGATTGATGAGGCTGTGCTGCATGAGCGTCCTATTTCCCATCATGCCTAGCACGTTGTGAAATCCACCCCCCTCCCTTCCGCCTGCCTTTTCCCGACGCCGCTGCGGTATCGTGACGGTCACGCCAGGGTGGAAGGTAAGGCAAGCGGGACCTACCGGTAGCGTAGGGCGCTGCCCACGGGTGTTGTCGGCCAACGTAACGTCGGCAGGCTTGCTGCTTACCCTGCTACTGCGGCACCCACAAACGCTCCGGCATTGAAGCCTTCTCCCCCCCTCTTGCTTTCCCAGTATGAATCCAAAATTAAAGCGCATGTCCTGTCGTGCACACTACCGTACATACCCTCCCGCTGCCGTTCTCGCAGATCCGACAGCAAGGCGATTTCCTGTCGGACACCGACTCCGACAGCGACGACTGAGTGTACGACGAGGGTACGGCAGCTGCTGCTGCTGCTGCTAGCGCCAGATGCAAGCGGGAAGTGTCCGGGGCAGTCGCTGCTGTTATGCTCCATTTAGCTAAGTGACTATGTGGGTGGCCTGCATGGTCCTGACCAGGAGACTAGAGTGATGCTGCCTGTTTTCGGGGCTTGACAACAACCTTGGGGCCCAACGCTGCTCTTGACGCTGTAGAGCCTGCAGTGGCAAGGATTCGGACAAGGTCTCGGTGAATGGAGGCGCCATGGGGACGGAGGGAGCGCGGACCACACTGAAGGAAGGCGTAATTCATTCTGTTGGGTTGGGTACGGTGCTTGGATGCGGCGCAGCCTCCGTTTGCACGTCAAATATCGAGCAGTCACAGCTAAAGACCTTTGCACATTTGAGTACGAAATTTCAACAGTCATCGTACCCACGCATGTCTCCTAGGCCCTACCACATACGGCACAACGCCACAGAAACTCAGCGCTGCAACCCTAGTAGTGGCATCCCTCCGGTTGTCCTGGCACATAAGTGCGTTCAGTTCAGCCACATGAGCAAGTCTCTCCCATCGTACGACATTTCCCAACTCCCAGCGGGCATACCAGTAGCTGCTTCACCACGTCTTTCCCTAAGGCCAAGCCCTTAGATGCGAGCAAAGCATAGTGCAACGCAAACCGTCCATAGCTGCATCGTTACGTTACTTCCTAGCTGATGTGCGTTATTTTGCTTTGTTAACACGCTATTACTCAGCTTAAGGGAAGGCCGACTTTAGACACTACCAAACGTCCCAAAGAGCGACCATTTTGACAAAAGAATGACAGCCTCAACTGCAGACTGCTGCAAACTCCAAAAAATCAGCGAAAGAAGACGGAGCAGACTTTTGTAAGGACGCAGAGGTTGAGTAATTAAGGAGATCTGCACTTCCATGCAGATCCAAAAAGGAAAAACACGGACGGGGACACAACTAGCCCACCGGCGCATGCAGGCGTGCTGCCCAACGGTCCGATACAGACTATACAGTGCTCGGGTTGCGGCCTTCTCCCCCGCTCCTTTAGTTCCTCCCTGCCTCGCCTCATCCTCCCCTCCTCAACGCTCGACCGAATTCGGCCTCCCTTTCAGTTTCCTGCACCGGTCAACCAACCGCAGCAAGCCTCCATGCCACATGCATACCGCTGCTAGCAGGAGTGCGGGACAGTGCGCTTCAGCGTCAGAGCTCTATCAGTTGGTGCCTTGTCCAACCGTCGCGGAGTCAAAGACTCGACAGAACTCCATACGTCAAACGCCTTCCTTACCCCTCCTGAAACCCTCAAAATGACGACCCAACCATGTAGGGACCCACGGGTCGCTTTAAGCCGCCCACTGTATCATATGTCGATTTCCATCGTCAACAGGTTTCTCACATGACCACATGTGAGAACACGTGCAGGCAGGAGAGGCGCCCTGTCTACAGCAAACACACCGACAGCACCTCACGCCTCCAGCCGGCAGTCATGCATGCGACCCCCGGTGTTACTGATGCCGCCTCCGCCCGAAGAACAAGAAGCGCCGGCGCGGCTTGTGCGGCTCTGTTGCAGGCCCGACCGTCCCCGCCAGTCCTGCTGCTGTTGATGCCGCAGGACCTTCCGGGCTGTTCCATTCGCCGCCGCCACCGTCGTCGTTGTCGTAACCGCCATCATCGCCGTCGCCCGCCTCGGCATAACCACCCCCAGCGCCACCCCTAACAACGGCGGCTGCAGACCCTCCGCCAACGCCTAAACCTTGGGAACCCTGTCCGGCGGTGCTGCCACTGCTGCCGCTTCTGTTGCTACAGCTCGGGCCTCCGCCTCCGAGAGCAGCTGCCTCGTCTGACGTCCGCATTACCCTCGGCGCCGACCCCGTTGCCGCCGCCGCTGCTGCCCCCTCCCGTCTGTCACCTGCCTGACAGCAGCGTTCCTCCTCCTCCTCCTTCTCCTCATCCACACCATGCAACAGACATGCCGGGGGCTGCTGCACACTCGACTGCTCCGGTGGCTGAGCCGCGTCCCCTCCTGCCGTTTCCCTTCGAGACACACCCTGCTGCTCCGGCCGCTGCAGTTGCTGCTGCTCTTGCTGTTGTGCCGGCGGCTCTGCATGCTGCTGCTGCGGCTGCAAGGGCGGATGCTGCTGCTGCGGTGGCGGCTGCACCCGCCCAACACCCTGGCCTTGCCCCTGCCTGCGCCCTTGCGCCTCCTGCAACTCCCGCATCCGCTGCACCAGCCCATCAAGCTCCCGATTCAACTCCTCAAACCCCAGGCCCCGACCCGCACCCAACGCGTGAATTGCTTCACGCAGCTCCGCCTCGTTGTCGCCGCCCACTTCTAGCGCCGCCCGCAGCCGATCAGCAGCATCACGCACAGCAGCGGCGTCGACGGCTATGTTATCCGCGACGCGCTCGGCTGCGACGAAGATGTCGCCGATACCTCCGCCGTCGCCGCCGCCAGGAGCCGGCGGGCGGAAGCGGCCTGCGCCGCCGCCGCCACGGCGGCGCGCGGCGAGGTTTAGCACCGCGGTCGCTCCGTTGTCGTCCCCGCCGGCGCCACGCCAGCGCGGCAGGCGCCAGCGCACCTGCAGCTGGATGTTCCGCTGGCACATGGGGCAGGTGGGAGTGGCCCCGGTGGACCCGCATTGCGCGACCCACTGCATGAGGCACGCGTGGTGGTAGGCATGGCCGCAGGGAAGCGCCCAGCCGGCGGCGGCAGCAGCGGATGTGCTGCCGGTGTGGGCTTCCGACGAATCCGGCGGCGGTGGCGGCGGCTCCGCCGCCGCTGCTGCTGCCGCCTGCGGCGGTGCAACACCATCCGCGCCATCCGTACCTTCCTTCTTGGCTTCTTCTACCGCCGTGGCTGCAGGTTGCGCTGACATTGATGGAGCTCTGCCACTGCTCCCGCTCCCGCTGTCACCGCGCCCATTCATCCTGCCACCGTCTTTTCCACTCCGACCTTCATCAGCGCTACCCCGCCGCAATCCGGCCGCGGCAGCTTCCGTGTTCCCGCTGCTCCCCGCAGCAGCGGGGCTCCTCACCACACCATGCCTGCCATGCCCACAGCAACCCGCTGCTGCTGCTGTCGCCGATGCTGTCGCCCCATGCTGGCTTCCAGGAGCACGTGCTGAGGGAGACCCAGCAGCGCCCACGTCGCCTGCTGCCACCGGCTGCTGCTGCTGCGGTGCGATTCCGCACCCCGCCTCGGCAGCATGGCCCTCCACCGCCGCTGCTGCTGCTGCCGCTGCCTCAGGTGCTCTTCCTGCTGCCGCTGCCTCCGCCGCTGCTCCGGCAACTGCATGAGCAGCAGCAGCAGCGGAGGCTTCTTCTGGAGGGCCCCGCTGGGCTGGTACTTCAGTCGAGCTCCGTCGCCCCATGGCTGTGGCTGCAACGGCGGGGCTAGGTGACCCCCTACTGCCGCTGCCGCTGGCACCTGCAGCCGCAGCCGCATGCGTGCCATCATCGATGTTGACGCCTCGTTCCTCCCGCTGTTGTTGCTGTTGCCTGTGTTGCTTCTGCTGCCGTTGTGACCGCGGAGGGGCCAGCTCATTCCAACAGATGGCGCAGTTCCCGCCCATGCGCTCTATCTGCTCAGCGGTGGCTGGAGTCAGGGACTTGATGCTCACCTGGGGGGAGGGAGGGCAGGAGGGAGGGCAAGATGAACAGGGTTCAAGTGTGATTCCGAAGACCAGGTGCGTGTTTCAGGTATTAGATTCCAATTTGGTCTCCTTTAACCACCACCAACAGCAACAATTGCAAGCATGCAGAGTCCCAGTCTGCTACAGCTGCAACCCCTTTGTCGCTGCATCAACAGCCCAGTACCCCACCCACCTCCCGCAGCGCCGACCGCAACTTGTCATACAGCGACAGCAGCGGGCCGCCCCAGAACACCACCGACACGAACAGCGAGAACAGCAGGCCCGCATTGTAAAGCCAGCAGACAGCGGGGAAGGCCAGCAGGATCACCTGCGCGCGGTGTTGTGGGGTAGCGCGGTGGGGATGAGTGGTAAGGACAGGACCGGTTATGAGGTGTTGCGTGTTTGGTTTCGTGATGAGTATGCCAAGAGCGCCAGGACGCATGCTTCCTGCCCCAGGACCCACCCCAGGACCCAAGTACCCCCGCCCTAGCCCACTGCAACGCGGCACCCACCCTTTGGAAGGTGGTGCACACGTGGGAAACAACCTTGAGCAAAACGCGTGCGGGGCGGGGTGCGTCCCTGAGGGAGGAGAATGGGGAAAAAAGAACAACCCATGGGTCAATATAAAGATGCAGACAAAATACCCACGCGTGGTATATGCTACTGTTGCTCGCCATGATGATTTTCATGCGCTGCGCAGCGTGGGAGGCTCCTGGGACCCTCCCGCCTAAATCCAGGATCCGGTGCAGTCATCCAGCTTTCTTAACCTTCTTCCCGACTGGGCGTCAACTACACCCCAGCCACCGTTTCCCCACCTGAAGATGAGGAAGGTCAGGTAGATGGCGATCAGCACAAAGTACTTTTCGCAGGAGAGGCGCATGATGGCCAGCGCGGACTCCACCAGCGGTATCAGCGAGCGGTGCTCGGGGTCCTTGTCGGTGGGGGGGGCGGGCGAAGGTAAACAATTGATAAGTGCAGCAACGGAGTCCCCATCCCAATTCCCGACTCATGCAGAGAGCGCAGGTAATAGTGTGTTGCGGGGGTACGAGGTGGGTGCGTGGCAGGGGGTAGGGGGGCCGTAGGGGGGTAGGGGATGGCGTATGCACAGCCCCAACCCACCGCCCCCACCTGCATCCTCCGCAGCTCCGTCGCGTGCTTCTCCACGTTGTGCCAGTACGCCGCAAAATCCAGCTCAACACTCGAACCCACCTCCACACCCCCACCACCCTCAGCACCACTGCCAACAACAACGGGGTCAGCGGCAGCGGCAGCGACGGCAGCGGCAGCCTCCCCTGCCCCCCGCTCCTCTCGCTGCAGCTGCTCCCGTTGCTTCTGCCGCTGTTCGGCCACCTGCCTCTGCTCCTGCTGCTGCTGCTTTTGGCGCCCCCAGCCGCAGCCCTTGCGCACAGTCCACGCCTCCAGCCGCTGCGCCACCACTGCCACCAGCTGCGGCGGCTCCTGGGGCAGTTGCTGGGAGAGCAGGTCCAGGATGACCCGCCGCAGAAGGTGCTCCTGCTGCTGCTCCTGTTGGTGCTGGTGACCCTCCTGCCGCTGCTCTTGCTGCTGTTGCAACAGCCCTGCTATTTGGTCCGTGTTACTAGTTGAGTTGGTGGTGGTATTGGCGGTGGTGGTGGTGGTAAGGGCGGGCAGCGGAGCTAGGGTGAACGCTACCGGGTCATGGCTGCTGTTTTGGCTTGGAGCTGTGGTGGTGGCGGCATGCCGTAGCTGCTTTAGCGCTAGTTCTAGGGCAGCAAAGCTGCTACTACTAAGCGGCAAAGAGGAGCGCGAGGCTGCCGTTTCTACAGTACGGGTAACGTTGGCGTTACTGCTATTGCTGCTGTTCATGCCAGTCGTGCCCGCCAACGTGCCGTTAGCAGCAGCCTCCCGCCAGGTCCGCCACTGCCCCGCATGCCGCGCCGCCACCGCCAGAGCGGGGGTGTTGGGTGCCCCCGCCGCCTGCCCCTCCAGGTAGAGCGGCACCCAGGAGGCGTTGAGGGCGGCCAGGGCCGTGAGGCCGGTCAGGAAGGCCAGCACACGGAGGTTGCTCCTGCGGGAGGTGATATGTTGAGGTAGGGGCAGGTGAGGCAGATGGGTGAATTGCGAGGGTCGTGTCAGGTCGCGTTCGGGTAGCATTGGGGGTATTTTAGGTACCGGCATGTTAGCTGCGGACTTGCATATGGGTATCTATCGATGAATGTAAACACAACCACAACCACGAGCTGGTCGGGACGGGTGGCCGGGTTGGTAGGTGAGGCGAGGCGCACCGGGCTGCATGGCTGGCACTCACCTGGCTCGTGCCAGGAAGCGGCGGTGCTCGGGTCGGCGCTCCCAGGTGCCCCGCAGCACGTTGGGGCTGAAGTCCTGGTCGCGCATCACTAGGCGGATTCCCGCAGCTGCCGCCTCGTCGCCCTCCAGCCCCGGTACGCCCTCCTCCTCCTCGTCCTCGCCATCGTCCTCCTCATCCCAATCCTCATCCTCGTCCGACTCTTCATCATCGTCAAGCCCCACGCCGTCCTCGTTCCGGATACCCACCGCGCCACCAACGCCCTGGCCACCATTCCCACCGGCGCCGCCACCGCCGGCAGCAGCAGCAGCAGCGGCGGCGGCGGCAGCTGCGCCCTCTGCATCCGCTAGCAGCCGTCGCCAACCCTCCCCTGGCTGCTGCTGCTGCCCCTGTCCCTCCTGCCGCCCATCCCGCCCCCCGCCATGCTGCTGATCTCGCCGCTCTCGCTGCTGCCCCTCTCCTTGCTCCCGCTCCTCCACCCCCTGGCCCTCCCCCCGCTCCCTCTCCTGCTGCTGCTGCTGTAGCCGCTCCTGCAGCGGCCCCAGCAGCCCCATGCGCTCAGCTGGCGTGATGAGCAGCTTCAGACGCGAGCAGATGATCTGACAGCAGGGCAGGATGATCAGCAACTCAACCTGAGGGGGAGGGGAAGGAAGGGAAAGGAGGTGAGGTTGGCGTGGGTGAGGTGTGGCGGCCATGGAAGGACAGGAGGCTGACCCAGTTACGATAACCGGTAACGCATGGCGCCACACCAAGCACTAGGCGTAAACCAGCAGGACGGCAACCGTCGTTGTGGTCAATGCTGTTGACCGCCCTCTAGCTGCGGAGACAAGGTCCCTACACCCACAGCACCCCACCCCATCCCATCCTTACCGCGAAATGCGGCAGCTCGAAGGTCATGGAAGACACCTCGGCGCCCCAGTGCTGCTCCCAGTTGTTGAGCCAGTAGGGGATGAGTCGCCAGCAGATGGAGATGAAGGACTCACGCGTCACCGACTCCTCGCCTGGGGGCAGGTGAAGGATGGGGGCAGGAGACAGGGCGGGACAGGATAGTGTAAGCTAGCGTTGACCCAGATCGCTTAGTTCATCCGCTTTCCTAGCGAATCCGCCGTACCGTACCGGCAATCCATCCCGCACCTCCTTAACCGTAAAAGGTCCATCTTACGCCCAGCCCCATCCCTCACGACCCAAATCGAATCCACGTCCGCTCCATCTCTTGACCCACATGGCACACAACCCGTGTCCCTCCTGGCATGCCAGTCATCCCATCTTGACCCATGCAACCGTCGATCCTACGCCCTTCAGCCTTAAGCCACATCCAACCTTCGTCGACGCCTGCACGTCAACTTCCTCGTCGATCCACGCCCTAACCTGACCAAAATCATCTATGGGCATCCATCCTACACATCTACCCCACAGGCCACAACCTCACCGGGCAGCAAGCCGCCCAGTCCCGCCTGGATGATCAACTGCTGGGCTCCCAGCGTGGCTGACAACGTGAAAACCCACAGCACAGCCGCCTTCATCCAGCCGTACAAGTTCCACCTAAATCCACAGGTACAGTACTGCAGCCGGCTTCCGCAGAAGTAGTAGACGGAACTCCATCCCTAGGAGGACGAACGTTACAGCAGGCAAGAAAGGGTAAAGGTGGGCTTCGGAAGGTAGGGGACGCGCGGGTGCAATGTTGCGTGGTGCATGGGGCAATCAGTCAGCAACAAAGGGCTCCTTAGCTTGTACGCTCTGCCCTCTATATTCGAAACGGTTTACGAATTATGCACTGTGATTACAACCCTAATCATACTCAACATCAGGGCTTCAACCCTACCAACTGCCGTCACGCACCTCGAATTCCTGGTCATATTGGAGGAACTGCAGGAATAGCACCGCCGCGCTTATACCGAGGTAAAAGCGTCTGGCGTCAGTTGTACTAAGCTGCGCCCAGCCCCCTTTGCTCAGCACGAAAAGTAGCCAGATGCAGCAGGATATTACTGCCCAAGACGCTGGTGCCAAAGTTGTACCCTCTTGTAGGAACAAAGCAGATTGAAGACCTGCCAGGACAACGGCAACTGCACCCAAAGGGTTCAACATCCTTGTGCTCTACCGGTATCCAGCGAGGAGAAGATACCGCTCCTGTTACGCTAAGGTAGATGCTATCATTTTACAATAATCCTTAACGCCAATATAACCACAAAGATTAATGCCTGGCGCTAAAAGCGCTATTTCATATTTTCGTCCGCGGCCTCAGCGTCGTTAAAAGCCATGCTTATCAGCATGAAGCGGACTCCTCTAGCATAGACGATTTGCATGCAATGTTTCTTGCCAAGGCGAGCGGTGTCTGCGGTGACGACCTTTCGTGTACGGAACACATTTACACAGGACAAGACATTCAACCATCGATCAGCGTCGTTGTCGCCCATGATGTTGACGGTGTAAGGGGCCATTCACATATGAGTGATTTTGGGAATGAGTGCGTAGGAGCGCGTAGGGGAAAATTGTTCAGATTGTAATTTTTAATTACGTTTGGCCTGGAATTATTTTTAACAACGCCTGAGTTCAAAAAATAATTCCATAGGTGAAACATGAGTGAATCATGAGTGAAGTTGAGTGAAGTGAGTGAAGAAACTCGTGAGTAGAGGCCCCCTGCCAACTAGCATCCCTATGCCAAGCGCACACTTTGGTTGCTTTCCTAGACTTCGCGACTGCATATTTTTGTTCTCGATATACTACTTTCTCATAGAAAGCTTTGCGCGGCCTCGCGCGGTGCGAGTTTGACGAATTTGCTAACGTTGTCGCGACAAGCAACTACCGCGTGCGCATGGCTGCGGAGACCTGCGAAGAGATCATCTTGGCAGGTCTACGCAGCCGCTAGCTTCCTGCCTTGCTGCCCGTGTTCGGTCGCGGTCGCGGCATTTCGACTCTCACTGTACGCCCGACCAATGTGAACGCATATTGAGTTTTTTCGACTCATTCACGCACCCTCACTCAAAAGCACCTCCTTCATATATGAATGGCCCCTAATGGTCATCTTAATTATAGCGCTATTGACTGCGGGTTCGGCTGCTTGTCCCACTAGCTCGCGACTCGTTCGGCCCAGGGGTCTCGGGCACGCGCCATACAGGCGTTGGTGGCTAACCTGGGATTGGGCCTGTCTGTTGCGGCAGTCTCTCCTTATAAAAGCAAAAAAAGCTGGAAATGGACGCCCGTTGAGTGCAGACAGCTTCCGCTCCCACTTGCGGGCTCTCAACACCTACGGGTATCCCTCCACCAATCAGTTTGCTGCTTACCCAAGCCTTCGTTTCAGTTTTTAGGCTGCCATGCTGGAGCATACATATATTCTCTTTGCCATAGATACTGTCGCCTGTCCAGTATCCACATCCCAGTCATGCTGTAACAGGAAACCTCCAGACTACCCAATCTGGATGACCCCACAGCGGAGAGGTTATCTCATCAGGCATGTCTCATGGCTGCCCAACCCCTCCTACAACAGCTTTCGCCCATGCTTTCCCAGCAACATGCCGCTGCCTGCAGAGACGGCTTTACCAAACTAAAGTTCCGGACGATTGCTCGGAAGTCAGGCATGTGGGTTGGCACCGGTAAACGGTCGGCATGCGCGGATTTGGCACCAAACAACAATACCTCACACATGGCTCAACGACATGTTGAAATGTTTTGCGGGCCTTGGCGACCCAAATCACGACCAGCGCACGACTATTCAGAGCTTTTACAGGACCGGCCAACTTACACGAGGAAGCGCACAATCGTAACGCCCCAGATCAGCACCACATATGTACTGCACTGCTTGTCCTCGCAGATGCACACCTCACACTACCAATCAAATAAGACCCCCGCTTCTTCTTTGCAGGTTTCAAGACTGCCTCTAACCCTCTCCGTCCGTTTAGAATGCCCTCACAACTCCGCTGCTTTGAAGGTCCATGCAGCGGCTGCATACCGGAACACATGGCTACTACCGCCTAAGGCCTTACACTCACATCCTGCTAACACACAAGAAAGCCTGCCGACATGCAAAAGCCCCGTAACGTCAACATAGCAAGTAACGGTACATGCCATTGCACAGTGCGTTATCTCTCTCCCTTGCTCCATGCTTCCAACACGGCCATGTGAGGGCGGAGGTAATGCTGCCACAAACTGCCTGCCTACGTCCACAGAGGAAACAGCAATGGAGGTTCTACCGTCCTCTCTTCAAGTACCTCAGTAGGTAAGGGACTCGCAGGTACCACAGTGTTGAGTGGACTGCCACCTTGTTTGTGCCCCAGACGTGCCCCAATCCAGGTAATATACCGCATAGTGTTGCGCTCATGTACCACACGCACACACCCTCCCAACTCATCACCCGCAAACACAGCCCCCCACTCTCCCTCCACCCTCCTCTCTCCCTCCCCTCCCCACCAACTACAGCTACATGCTATACCAACTCACCCCAGCCCCCACAACATAACCCAACACACCCCGACATACCCCCAACCGACACCCTCCGCCAACTACCCATCTCACAGCGCCGCTATCAGCGTCTCCAGCTCCTTCCGCATGTCCATCAGCCGCCCTGCATGCCCCGAGTCGTGCTGCCGCCCCTCATCCGCCCAGCTCTTGATCTGCGCCAACAGCGCCTCCCTCCGCAGCCGGAAGTGCCCCCGCACCACCTCCGCAAGGCAGGCGGGCGGGTGGCGCAACACGTCCAGCATGGCGTAGCGCACGCAGTTCTCACGGACGGCCTGGAGGGTGCATGGAAGCGGGGCGCGGCGGGTACATGGCGGCGTGGCGGCATGGAGGCGCGAGCAATTTGTTTCTTGCGAGTTGGGGAAGAAAGCGCGCATAACCCTTCCAGTTGCGCCTTTTCATGAGCGCATGTGGCATGGCAGAGGAGGCATAGAGGATGGGTATCGCGCGAAAACAAGAAACCGCAAACCCACATCACCCCTGACCCACATCGCCCCCAACCCAAATCACCCTAAGCCCCCACCGCCCACCCTCCCCCCTACCTTGTTATACTCTCGGGACGCTGTCTTGCCCCGCTCGTCCGTCTGCCCCTCGTAGGAGGGCTCGTTGAAGTAGGGCTCCGGAACCATGATGAGCGACTGGATGGAGATGAGCACCTGCGGGGCAGGAGGGTGGGGCGAGGAAGGTGTGTTAAGAAAACTGGCCGCGAGTAGGAACGTACTGATAGGTGTGTGTGGGGGAGGGGGGGGGAGGAGCAGGAACACGGGGAGGAGGAGGGTTAGTCGGTGCGTCTGTTGCATGGTGGGTTTGGTAAATTCGACCCAAATGAGAAACGAGACCATGATGACCGACTTTTGGACTTCCCCCCAAAACCCTAAACCCTAGAACCCCCACCACACCCTCACCTGTACGGCAGTCGACACGTCCGCGTTCCACTGCTCCCCTCGGTCCCCCGACCAGGTGCCCAACAGCGACAGGCACACCTTGCCCTCGGCGTAGAGGTTGGGGTTGAAGCGCACCCGCCCGCCGCCCGTCGTGACCAGGTGAACCTGACAGGTGGGGAAGGAAGGAAGGTTCGGGATTCTTGCAGGGTATTGGAGTTTGGGGGGGGAGGGGGGAGGGAGAAAAGGTGTCCGGACGCACCCCACCTGCGGCGGCGAGTTGGGATACTGCGGCGGGAAGTAAAAGTCAAACACAAAGCACCCTCCGCTGTACGGCGTGTCCTCGGGCCCTATGACAATCGCCTTCCAGAGCTGTACGGCGCCCTCGTCCACTCGCACGAACACGGAGGAGGAGGGCGACAGCGGCAGCAGCGACTCCAGGGAGGCGACCTGGTGCGGGTGAAGCGGGTAGCGGGTGGGGCGGGGCGGGTAATGTGTATAGGGTTACTTGGAACGGAATGATATACCGGTATGTTTTGCGGGATGGCGCGGATTGGAAAGGGGAGGAGGAGAAAGCAGCAGCAGAGCGGGGCACCGGGTCCCTCAATAGCAGACCGGCTAACACAGCTGCTAGTTGCTAGACCCAGAGGCGGAACAGCCATGAACGGCGTCACCATTGCTACCCCGAAGCGCAGCTCAAACGGCCGTACCGTCATCACCCACCTCCTTTGCTAGTCGCATCGCCCGCGTCTTGGGAACATGCGACTCATTTCGCACGGAGTTGGCGTAGTGGTGCGCCCCCGCCTTGTCCAACCCCGACACCGCATCCACCTGCAGCGGCTTCAGTACGGCAACGTAGGCCGCAGCGCTGCAGCCGGGAGAGCTACTGCCGCCGCCGCCAGAAGCAATAGCAGCACCGCTGCCACTGCCGGAGGAGCTAGCATGGGCGCCGCTGGCGGTGCGATCCGCAGCCGGAGCGGCGTCGGCACCTGCCGCCGCCGAAGGCGGCGGCGGCGCCGAAGGCGCCGCCGCTGCTGCGGATGCTGCTGCTGCCGCAGCCGCCGCTTCCTGCGGTTGGTGTTGCTGCAGGTATGCTGCGATGTGTGTGATGATCTGGGCCAGGCCCTGAGTGGCCTCCCCCTCCTGCGCGACCTTGTGGGCGGCTGCGGCGGCTGTGTGCGTGCAGGCGGGGGAAAGGGAACAGGGAAGGTGGGGAAAAGCAGGAAGTGGGTTGGGGGGAACTGGGAAGAGCTGTGCGGGCTTTCCGGGCCTGAAACTCTACGGCCGCTGCCTCACCCGCACCTGCCAACGACAGGAGGTAGGGGAAGCCCCTAGTCCCTTCCAAGCGCCCATTCCGTTATGCGAAGTCGGCAATGTGTTTCGCAGCCTCTGTGTACCTTAGCGTCGCAGTCCCCCCATCCCATGCATGTTTCCTCACCCTTCTCCGACTGTCGATATCCTATGGAGGTCGAGGGCGCTGCAGCGGTGGCGGCGCCGGTACCAGTGCCCTTGGCAGCGGCGGCTGCCGTGGCATGGCACATCACCTGGAGGGCAGAGAAGGCACCAAGCGGGTTAGGTCTCCCAACGCTACAGCACACGCCAATAGCGGTCCCGATCAAGTTGATGCGTTACGTTGATGCTAATCTCGTCGCCATACAACAACAACCCACTCACACTGAGATAAAGCCTCGCCGCCGATCTGAGACCGCCCGTGATGACCGCCGCCACACTGGCACCCTGCTGCTCCCCTGGTGACGCAGATGCAGATGCATCCCCACCTCCGACACCACCGCTACCACTATTACCCCCAACCGGCGCTGCTGCTGCTGCGGCTGCCGCTGCTGCCTCTCCTGCGTTAGTTGCGCTGTTAGCAGCAGCAGCCGCAGCGGGCGCAGCCGCAGCAGCAGCCGCCTTGGCCGCCGCCGCTGCCGCCTGCTGCTGCTGCAGCACCCGCTGTCCGGCTCCCACCTCCCGCCACAGCAGGTGTTGCAGCGCGGGGCGACACAGCTCGCGGACCAGCGCAAGCAGGGAGGTGTAGTACTTGTTCCTGGTAGGGTGGCAGGGCGGGGTGGGAGGTGGGGCATGGCAGGGGGGGCCAGAGGTGGTGGAAGGATGGCCCGGATTTGCAAGTAGGGTCCATGGAATGCGGTTTCGCACCTCCTCCACCTGCGGCTGCTTAGCCCTATTTCCCCCTGTACATCTTTCCCCTTTCCTCGGAATACTGGTATCTCGTTTCCTGGCGTCCCTTCCTCAGTACCCACTATGCCTCCTCTCGATAGGATTCCCTCCCAATCCTCCTCCCTCCCCTCCCCCCCCCCTCCCTCCCACCTTGCGCCCATGTCCGCAAACGACGCCAGCCGCAGCTCCCGCACCAGGAAGGGCAGCAAACACGAATCCGCTATCACCGCCGCACACCCTTCCGCACCCAACCGCAACTCCTGCTCCTCCTGCTGCGTCTGCTCCTGCTGCTTATCCGTCTGCTCCTGGGGGGGCTCGCTGGCACTGCCGCTATCCGCAGCAGCACCTGCTGCCTGCTGCCCGCCTTCCTGTCCGCTCCCTGCGGCTGCAGCAGCGGAGGCGGCAGCATTTCCGGCCGCCGTCTCCACTCCCTCCATAGCAGTCGGCCCGCCCTCAGTCCCGGCGCCCCCGGAGGCGACAGCCACCGCCTGCCCCTCCGCTTCTGCCATCCCCCGCCCCTGCCCCTCCACCGCCGTCGCTGCCGCCTGCTGCTCTGACAACGGCCCGAGTGCTCCTACTGCTGGCCCTCCCTCCAGCGGCCCCATCTCCGCCCGCAGTGCCCCGCTCATGAGGTCCAGCACGCCCTGGATCTCCGCATCGCGAGCCTGCTGGGCGGCCTCCGTGGCCTTGGCGTCCCACACCTCGCCTGGCGGAAAAGAAGGAAAACAATGAATGGAATAATCGGGAAGGGAGGGAGAGGGTCGGGAAGGGGGGAACGATAGTAGTGAGCCCAGGTGGGGTGGGTAGGCAAGGACAAGCGAATAGGGCGGAAGGAGGACGACACACACAACACACAGCAACCCTCTCACGCGCATTTCACCCTCTCTCCCTCCCTCACCCCTACCCACCCGCCCACCCTCCCACACCTACCCCGCTCGCTGCCGCTGCCGTACCCCGTCCCCTGCGCCCACACCACCGCCTTGCTCCGCTTGCCCGCCCCCGCCGCGTCAGGCCGGGCGCGCTTCTTGTTGCCGCTGTCCACCAGCGCCTGCAGCCGTGCAGCGTCCTTATCGTACGAATCACGTGCGCTGTGGGTGGGGCGTGTCGTACGTGGAGGTTGGGGAGTTGGGTTGGTTTGGGTTTGATTATCGGGCTGGCAGGGGAGGGTGGGATGTCGCGGAGTCTACCCAGAGAGCATTGGCCCCACACCTCCTTCCCTCCACAACCCACCCATGCCTTGCTAGCCCCCCCACCCCACCCCGCCCCTCACTCACGCGTACAGCTCTGCCGCCTCGCTCCTGCTCAGGCCCTCCGGCGCCACCCCGCTGAGCGCCTCCAGCCGGGCCAGTCCGCACTCCAGGGGAGAGTAGGTGGAGTGCGGGTGGCGGCGGATGTCGTTGCCGGGGTGGTCCAGGTCCACTCGGGCGTGGGCCTGGGATGCAAGGGGGGGGTCAAAGACCATACCGAACCATAGGAAACCACAGGTGGGGGGGAAGGGGAAGAGGAAAAGGGGAGGACGGGAAGGACGCAGGGAGTGGGAACAGGGGATGGGTGTTGGACATGTACTTGTAGGGTGCCAGAAGGGGAGGTGCGGTTATGGGGATGGCATGGTCATGGGGCCAAGCGGCGGCTAAAAGGGTTCTTGGAAGTCCTTCTGGGTGATCTGGGTCGACCTCGACCTCCCGTCTAAACCCCTCCGCCTCCTCCAACACCTCCCATGTCTTCTACCGGTGCTCCCTTTTCATCCGTACCTCACCGAACGTTCCACCCCCTCCCTCCGCACCTCCAGATACTTCTTAATCTGCGCCACGGTGGCCATGACGGGCCGGAAGGGGTCCCACTTGTCGGTGGCCAGCATGGGGTGCGAGGCGACCGCACCCAGCAGCGGGCCCGCCAGCCGCGGCCACACCACCTCAACTGCAGGGGGTGAGGTGTGTTAAGAAAACTGGCCGCGAGTCGGAACGTACAGGGCTACTCGGAATGAGTAGGGTGACCTCTGGAGCAGCGCTGAGCAGCTTTTATAAACCTACAAGAGGCTCTAACGCCGGCGCCCCTCCCAAATCCAATCCATTACCTGCGAAGGGGTAGAAGGGGTACAGTCCGCGCATGAAGCGCAGTCGCAGCCGCACCGTGGAGTAGAAGTAGCGGCGGGACACCTCGCGCATGTCCTGTGAGGGGGTGAAAAACACCATACCATGGGGGGGACGGTGAGGAGGTGAGGAGGAAGAGGGGCTTGGAACGGTTGACTGCAGAGTTGCATGGGGGTCCAGGAAACAAACAGCACACCCCTCCACCCGTCAGCTTCTTCCTCGGTACCCACCCACCCTGCCGTCTCCTATCCCCATTGCTTTGCCCTAGCCTGTGGGTTCCTATGGTATGTTATGGTCGTTGACCCCCCACCTTTGCCATGCCGCTTCCCTCCGCGAAGGAGCCCAGGTCCAGCACCCAGTGGAACAGGTCGTCCCCCTCCGTCTCCACGCTGCAGTCCAGGTGCCGGCCGCGCAGGAAGTCCAGCAGCTCGCGCGACAGCATGGCGAAGGCCTCACGGGAGCTGAAGATCTGGCGCTTGGCGGCCAGGCCTGGGGGAGGGGGAAGGGAGGGAGAGGAAGAGAGAAGGGGGAGGGGAGGAGCAAGGGGCTTTGCATGGTTATAGCAGCCAGGACAAAGAGAGGGAGGGAGAGGGTGGAGCAGGTGGATGGAAAGGGAAGAGGGGTTGCCTAAATGCGCAAGCGCTCACGGCCAAAAGCATACAGCAACATGCAGCATTTTCTACATACCGACCCATGGGTCGGTGGCTGCCTAGATTAACCTTCCACAATACCCATGTTGCGGAACCCATACATTCAGCAAGGACGCCACCTAGTCAGGAGCACGTGTATCGCTTGCAGGAAGGGCGTGAATGCGCGTCTGAAGGTTGCATGCAAAACAGTGATGTGGGTCGGCTAAAATTGCTACGGCTGCACTCCCCAAGTCGGCCCCCCGGGTGATCTGGGTCAAGGCCGCTTTCTCGCCGATCTCGGTCGGGCTGCTTGGCTACCCAAGCCCTGGCACCCACCTTGCATGGAGGAGAGTTGCTGCTTGGCCGCATCGCCCTCCGCAGCGGCTGCTGCTGCTGCCTCTAGCCGCGCCTCGTGCCGCTCCCATCTGGGTCGGGTCGGGGTGTGTGGGGAGGGGGGCGTGGGGGTATTTAGGAAGAGAATCTAAGAGGCAGGTCATGTGGGTTGAGGGGGGCGAAGGGCGGATACTGGGGATCCGGAGGTACGGGGCCATGGCCCATGAGAGAGCGACCAGCGCGTTGCTAGGCGCTGCGTGTGGCGTTCGAATCGCCGGGAAAGCAGACAGCGATGTCTTGGATTGAGACAAGGTAGTGCAGCCTCATAGCAACGTCTATCCCGTGGATCCCCTCCCAGACCACGCCTGTAGCAGTCCTCAGTTCTTGTATAGCAAGCCAACCAGGCAACTACTGAGGGGATTCGTCCCGCTGAGTTTAGTGCCATGCAAACAAGGCACGACCAACCGCTTTTCGCCTCCCCACGATTTCGGTACCTTCCCATGTTTGAGCTGCAAAGAATGATAAGATCACGGTCGTCATCGTCCTCATCCTGTTCCTCATCCTGCTCCTCCTCCTCGTCCTCAAACTGGCCGCTGCTGCCATCGCTGCCATGGTCATCATTGTCCTCGCTGCCGGATTGCACGTTGTCCCAGTCGTCGTCGGATCCCTCGTCCATACCAGAGTCGCTGCCGCTTCTGCGTTTACCAGCTGGACTATCCTCTTCCATCGCGGCTGGAGTAGCCTGCTGCGCCCCTGGGATGTCCATCTGGATGCCAAATACTCGCAACACCTGCGTGCGGCAAACCCTGGGATGTCGTCGACAAGGCATGCCACACTACTTCATATGCACTTCGGTGTCTGGCCTGCGCTCGAGCACAAGGCACGATGCCCATATAGCTCTAGGAGCTAGGAAGTGTGCTGACCCAAGATGGCCTTACCCCAACCGCACATAGACCGCGAGGACACCTCTGACGTCAACGATTACATTAAACCAACCAACGAGACTTTGCCGCATATTGGTCGAGCCGAAAAGCGTCGAGCCGAAAAGCATCTTGAAGCAACCCACCTCTCGCACGACGTCTCGCAGCTCCCCGCGGTCCTGGAACCGCTCGCTTAGTTCAGACACCGGTTCAGGGCCAAACAAGATGCATCCAGAGTTTGGGTAGTTATCCGCCTCTGTCCAGCAAACAGTGATACGATGCTGCTCTGAAGGGGTGCAAACTATGAAAGCTATACCACCTTCATCCAGGGATAGGCTCCGGATAGGGCTTTTATCCCCTAGACTAGAAAAATACTCCCTTAGCTGCTCAAGCGCAGCCTTACATGCTGCGTTAACAGTCATACTGAAGGAGCAGTCAAAAGCAATGTGTTCTAACGTTAGTAAAAGATAATTGAGTATGTGTTCTAGCTAGAACATTGTCCTTTGTAACAAGGTTGGGAGGTTGGATTTTGGCGCGACACTAATCAAGCCGATCAGTGAATCGTCAACCATACTGTTTACTGTGCAGACCCTACATACCCGTTTGCACTTAACAGTTACTTGCCACGCCATAACTACAATTCTATACATTCTGGACTGTCCCTACTTTTGCATTTTGCGGCTACTTCCTCTACGCGCCGATCAGCGGCATAGATGTCTTTATGATACTCGTTAGATAACACCTGCACTACAATAGCTGGAAATGAGCAGCGATGGGCCGGCGTTCACAGCTCCCATTTCGCGGGGGTCACGCTTACATTTTTCATGGGGCCTGGGCACTGAGCTACGACTTTTGGACATCCAGAACCCCGCAACACAACAAGGCGGCGATGGAGGCCAGTTGATGCAGGTGTCATGGTGAGAGCATTATGCGCCTTCGTCCAGGCGGCTTGGCGCGAAAGGCCCGTACCCCTACGTCTGTTGGCCTCCCCAACGTGCTGTTCATGATTGCATCTTACGTTGTGTGGGGTTATTCCTGTTCACACCACAACCTTGCTCTTCCACCACGGTTTCCAACTTGGCAGGGGCCAGGTTTCTAGCAGCCACCGCATCATTTCGTTTGCAACTGCGGAGCAATATGCCGAAGTGCAGCGCTCTCGCCTGTCAGGTACGCTCAACCGTGGTCTTGACAAATGGGATGGACACGCGGATGGGTGGATACACGGACGATGGGCGATGATGTGGGTCGAGCCGTATGCAACGCTCAAGTGAAACAGGCCCACCTAAATGGCTGCATGTCTATCCATCCGTCACCTGCAGGCGCCAGGGATGATGCGCACCTGGCCCGAGTAGCGTCGTACGCACGGGCTGTACGAGAGCAGCTCATGAGCCTGCGGTAAGCACCGCCCTCCCGAACATTGGATAGTCAGGCTGAGTTTGGCACACACCTATCGGTACTACTACTACTACTAGACCGGTCCTAATCCCATGCAGTGGCCACCCCTACAAGACCCCTGCATTGCTGCTGCTCTTTCTCCCTCCCGTGACGAGCTGCGCCTCCACGCTGCCACACCAGTGACACATCGCGCTTGCCCTCAACCCTCCAGTGCTTCACTTCTTTCCCTTTCCCTCCCCATGTCCCTCTCCCTTCCCCTCCCATCCATGTCGTCTTGTTTGCCATTCTCATTGAACGCACTGGGTATCCTCCTCCTCCCCACAGTCCTCTTCCTTCTTTTCCCCTCCCTCCCCTGGATTGACTATACACAATACTAAAACCCACCCTAATGCGTAATGGGTATCCTCCTTCCCCCCCTGCAGTGACGACCCCGACGACGGCGGCTACAGCCAGCTGGAGGCGGCTCTGTGGCAGCTGCTGGAGGTGTTCCTGGTGGACCTGCCCCGCCACGAGGGCAACCTGGGGGAGGACCTGGTGGCCTGGCTGGGCGCGCATGCGGACGCGCTGGCGGGGATCACGGAGCAGCAGGGCATCAGCAGCAGGCTGGAGGTGGGGGGAGGGAAGGGGCGGGAGGTGGAAGAAGAACAAGATAGGGAGGGGTGAGGGAAGGGCCCATGGCTGGCTGGCGAGATGGCAGGAATCCGATGCGCCGCGTTTCCGCTTTTACCCGCAGCCATCCATTCTTTTTCCTCCCCTTTCCTCATCGACGACCCATGCCTCCATTCTTTCTCCACCATCCTCTTTCTCCACTATCCTCCTGCCTCCTCTGCAGGAGCTCTGCGGCTCCCCCTCCGCCGCCGCCCAGCCCGACTACTGGCCGCTGCTGACGCGGCTGGTGGCGCTGGGGCGCACCCGGGAGGCGCTGCAGCTGCTGGACTGCCACGAGGCCAAGCAGGCGGCGGGAGGGGCGCTGCAGCAGCCGGGGATCAGGGCGCAGGTGCGGAGGAGGGAGGAAAGGAGAGGGAATTTGAGCTGTGGGTGCATCAGGGGAAGGGGCGCAGATGGGGGTGCCCTTGATGCCCTTTTCACCCGCTGTCCTCCTTCACCCTCGCCCCTACCCAGCTCGAGTTGCTGGACTGCCTCCACGTCCTGCTCAAACGGCTGCCCCGACTGGCTCCCTCGGCGGGCCGCGACCCCACCTCCCGCGCCTACGGCTCCCTGGCCGAGTACTCCACGGCTCGGGAGGTGTGGCTGCGGGAGGCGGGCGACATTGCGGCGGCGGAGGAGCTGTTCACGGTGGCGGGGGCGGCGAGCAGGCGTACGGCAGAGGGTAAGAAGGTGGTGTGGGGGCATGAATAAGAGGTGGTGGGGGAGGCTGGGGGGCTGGGGGTAAAGAGGAAACAACTAACTGACTGAGGGATAAGGCGTCAACATGGGTTGCAACATGTGAGCCAGCGGGGGGAGCGATTCTCCTCCGCCGCCGCATCCTGTCTTTCCCTCCTTCCCGCCGCCAATAATAAACTAACTGACGACAACCAACAACCACCAACGAACCCAACAGGTGTCCGAGCGGTGCTGCGGGTGCTCCTAGGCGACCCAGCCGCCCTCCGTGCCGCCACCTCGGACTGGCTGGAGGGCGCAGCTGCGGAGATCGTACACCGGCAGTACGGCAGTGCAGCCGCAGGTGGAGGCGGAGGAGGGGGGTGCGGTATCGTGGGGGGTAACCAGCTGCGGGCGCTGCTGTGTGATGTGCGGGCGAGCCGGGAGCCGGAGGAGGCGAGTGGGCTGCTGGACCTGCTGTGGAGCCTGCTGGAGGTGAGGTGGGGGGGATGAAGGAGGAGGGAGCGGGGAGTGGTGAGTGGGGAGAAGGGGGGTGGAGAAGGGAGAAGGAAGACCATGTTTTAGAGGGAGAAGGGGTTGAGGAAGGGGATGGAGGAACCAACAGCCACCTAGCCCTCGTCCTCGATAGATAGCCCCCACCCGTCCATCTATACCGACGCATCCCACGCCTCATTCCCGTTCCCTCCCCCTTCCCCCTCTTCCCCCCTCCTTCGCAGGCCCTATGCGAGGCCGATGTGGCGGGAGTGGTCTCGGTGCTCTCCACCAGCGGGGTGGCCTCGCCCTGGCTCATGGCTCACTGCATGGAGCTGGCGGCAGCATACCCGGGGGCAGCAGCAGGAGGGGGAGTGGGGGGAGGAGCGGGAGTGGGGAGAGTGGCGGCAGCATGGGGGGAGGAGGGAGGAGCGATTGTGGTGGCGGGAGGAGCAGGAGGCGGCATGGGAGGAGGAGGAGCGGCAGGGGGGCTGCTGACGGGGCGACTGGCGGTGTCGGGGTGTGACCAGGTGAGCGAGGGAGGGAGGGAGGGTGCAGGAAGGGAGGGAGCCCTGTCCAGCCCGACCCAGATGGGTTGTCGACGCCTGGTCCGAGTGACCCACATCACACCGGCTCCCACCCCTGCATCTCTCCCCGGCTCAATATCTCCCCTCCTCTATATCTTCCCCTGCCCTTTTACCTCCCGTCTTTCCCCCCAGATGGAGTACTGGCGGCTGGGCTGGGCTGAGACTCTGCTGCCCGGCTGCCTGGGCGGCGGCTGGCAGCTGGCACTGCACTACCTGGCCTTCTGCCCGCAGCACGGGGCGGCGGCGGCGGAGGCGCTGCTGGAGGCCATGCCGGTGAGGAGAGAGAGAGGAGGGAAGAGGGAGGGGGGAAAGAAGAATACCCAATGTGTTGAATGAGGCTGACAATGGGGCAACGGGGCATTCCTCTATCGTATCACCGCACACCTTTCCATCCTCCATGGCACCCGTGGGTCCCTCTCCGCAGGTTGACAGTCGTGATGTCCGAACGCTGGAGAAGGCCCTCACGGCATGCAGGCGGCTGGGGCTGGGAGCCACAGCAGCCGTGATGTGCCGGGTGGCAGGTGGGAGGGGGGAGGGGGGAGGACTTGGGGGAGCTAGAGAGGGAAGACGTGTTTCGGCGTCACCGTGCCGGGCCCTAGTCATAGCCCCGGCCCCATCCCATCCACAACGCCCTCCCTTCAACACCGGTATCCCCACCCCCACCATGCAGGTGTGGACGCGCTGTCCCGGGGCCACCTGGGAGCCGGGGTGCAGTGGATGGCGCGTGCTGCGGACCCCCGCCGCTCCGCCGCTGCCGTACAGTTGGTTGGGGAGGCGGTTGAGGAGGCGTTGTTGGGACGGTTGGGCAACTACCGGGCCGGGTCGTTGGCGCTCCCGGGCGGGGACGAGCTGGAGGCCCTGCTTGAGTGGTTGTTGCCGGAGGGAGGGGGATTAGGGGGATGGCAGGAGGTGGAGGAGGAGCAGGGGTTGTTTGGAGGAGTGGGAGGAGGAGGAGGCATGGCGCGTGGCATAGGAGGAGGAGGAGCGGGTGGGAGGGGTCTGACGGCGTTTCTGGTGGACGTGGTGCGGCTAAGTCGAGCGATGGGCGCGCTAGCGGAGGCGAGAGACGCGAATGTGAGTGTGAGCGGTTGGGTGGGTGGTTGGGTGGTTGGGAGGGAGGGGGTTTCGGAGCCTGTAGAATGGGTTCGGGGCGAGCGGTTGGGGTTGGGCGGTGGGTAGCGAAACGTGGTTGGGATGGCGTGATTAGAGCTTTTGGGGTATGCATGCTATTGATGGCGACCGGTCAGGGTGTCAAGCCTCTGCCTTCATATGCGTCAAGGGATTGACCTTGGATGTGCATCGCATTCCTAGCCTCTTGCCCTTCATCATTCTCACGCCTCCTAACCACGACCCCTCTCCTTTCCCCCTGCCACCCCGCCAGGCTCCCCCAACCGACCCCGACACCCTCTCCGCCCTCTCCTCCGGCCGCTCCGCCCTCCTCTCCATGGTCCGGCGCCGCACCCCCCCGCGCCGCCTCTGCCTGCCCCTCCTCTTCTACTGCATCCCCCTGTTGGAAGCAACCGCAGCCGGCGGCCGGCTCTTCTCCGCGGCCGACATGCAGGCGCTCCTGCAGTGGGCGACTGAATGCGCGCGAGCGACGGCGACGATGGCGATTACGAGTGGCGCCGCCGCCGCATTCGGTCTGTACGGCAGCGGCGTAGCGAGTGGTGTTGGTGCTGCTGGCGGCGGCGGCGGCGGTGGTTTGGGTGCATTGGCGGCGGCGTTGGGAGTGCCGGAGCGTTACGCCCGGGATGTTCAATTGACGCTGGTGAGGGGTATGGCTCGAGCGCATGTGTTGGATCATAGCAGCAGCAGTGGCGGCGGTGGCGGCGGGAGCGGTGGTGTGGGGGCAGGAGGAGTGGGAGGGTTTGGAGGAGGCGGAGAGGGCGGTATGGCGCTGTTGCAGCTGCAGGCGTAGCAGCCTAAGCAGTAGCAACTAATGAGCTGTAGCAAGCGTAGAGTCGATAGTTGTGAGTGGAAGCAGCAATTTGGCAGAAAACGTCTTGGTGTAGCACTGGGTGTTCGTCTGTGTGCAGTAGCTGCTGGGTGAGTTGAGCTGGGCCGACGGGCACAAACAGGGTTTTAGAGTTGGTGTACGCGTTATGTGTCCGTACTTTGTGTATAGGCCGCACGGGGCATGGGCGCATGGCGTATTCGCAAAAGGAATATGTTCGTACGGTTTGCAAGTACATGCGTTTTATGCATGGAGCGCTTTGTCTCCTGTATCCGTGTGTGGACAGATCACAGACGTACGGCAGCGGCCATGACGACGGTACGGCGTTGGATAAAGGAGTATGGGAGCGACATCCTGCCGTACACATCGAGGCTTTACACGTGCAACAGCCGCTATCTTCCCTTGCATGTATCAAGACATGCAGTTAATCCGTGTTGCTCATGGTGCCTCGTGCACGTGACGACCTTATGATATATTACAGCCGACAACTTAATTAGTAAAACGACAATAGTACCTTCGAGCAGAAAGAATATATACGACCAAATATAGTACGCGGAACCCAAGCAGGTGCTTGCACCTCCTTGAAGCCTTCTCTTCACCAGACGCGGCTAATATTGTACAACAGCAGGACAAGTTCGTACAATACATGCTTCCAGACACCAACCAACTTCCACGGCAGCTACAACCTCTTTTGACAGGCAGCAACACCAACGCGCCGTGTCGACTTTGCATAGGGGCCAGCAGGCAGCACACAGCACCCCCACAACCTGTCAGCAGCTCCTATTATCGTCCCTCCGCCGTAATAATCACGAAACAAATGAATGCCGTAGAACCCAATTCCGTGCAGTACACCCTAGCAAACCGCCGTCACGCCTCCTCTTGCCAAACCGCCGGAGGAAGCGCAAATACACCCAAACACGTTATATGTACAGTCAGAAGCGCGACAGGGACTGAGGCGGGGCTTTCCACACAACTGGTTCCAACTGGTGATTTAAAAACCACAGGGCCAAATGTAAATTTCGACAGTAAAAGGTATACTGTTTCTTATCTTAACCGGCGTCAAACCGAACGCACCGTTTCGGCGTTTGCCGCAGACGCGCCCTTCCTTATCACCCCTTGGCCCCCTTTAAAATTCAATCACCCTGACCACGATTCGATATGAATGACTTCCTTACTTTCCTACGAGGTTGCAACAAATCTAGCGACAAAAACGACACGGTTACCAGCCTTCCGTACCGGTAGAAATACCACGTTTCCATTGCCCTAAACCAAACCACCATTCCAACCACCACAGCCGAAAGCGTGCAGTGAGGAAGGGCCGCGGGATTCAGCCCCTACCCCTCTGCCCACGTGAAACAGGGCGGACGACCCTTAATACGTCTAACTTCGACACATTCCTTCCGAACATAGCTCCAGCTTCCCTTCAGTATTATGTTCAGTGCTGACGTGAAAATTCTTCAGGCGTGCGCGAAACGCAAAGCGCCCCAAAATCCTGCTATCCGACAGACAGAAACATCGAAGGGCATCGACAGAAAACGACACCAAAACACAAATACACGCGGCCGGTTAATTGGGTGGATAACTATCTCACACGGCAGCTTTAACACCCGCTGCTGTGTAGAAACCTGCAGCCGTTCAATCCCCTTAACATCCCTTTACCCCTCACCACTATCACCACCCCTCCTCCTCCAAAGCGATGGCAAAACTACGCCCTCCATCACCTCACCGGCGAGCAGTACCGGTACTTCTGTGCACACAGCCCCTCAAACCTCACTCCTCACCTTCTCACTCCTCACCACCACCCCACCTCACCGCCTCTGCGTCCGCCACATCTTCAGGTCGCTGCCACCCCCGAACGAGGGCGCCAGTATGTCGTACAGTCCCAGCGGGTTGTCCGCGTGCACCCAGTGGCCCGAGGCGGGCAGCAGGTGCACGCCGTGACCTGCGGTGGTGATGGCCGCCTCGTCGGGACCACCCCAGCGGAAGGTGCTGCGCTCGGCCTGTTGGGAGAGGGGAAACAGGAGGGCGGGCGACGGTGCGGTTGACCGAGTGCTATTTTGAAAGGTTGGGAGAGGTAGGAGCAGAAGACAAAGCAAGGCTACTGCATGGCGCTCCCACGTACCTTTACAAAGTTGAGCTTGAGGCCCTGCGGCGGCTGCTTGATGAGGTCCCAGAGCTGGGTCTCCTCGTAGGACCTGCTCGGGTGACCCATGGGTCATATGTCACAGGGAGGGAGAAACCAATGATTAGTGGGGGCAGCGAAGTAAGCGTTAACCTCAGGTGTTTACATGCGACATGACGAGCACGGCACCCATCCTCTCGCCAATACAGCCACAGCCGCAACCACCGACACCCACATTCCTCTGCACCCGGCCCGCGACTTCTGGCTTCAACTGTTGACATCAACACGCTCCCATCCGTACTGCCAGCAGCCACCCCCACCTGTACAGCTGCGCGATACCGTCCAGGTCGAAGGTCCAAGACAGCCCGCTGCTGTTGCTGCTCCCTGCGCCGGACCGCCCCTGTGCCGCCCCGCTCAGCTCCTCAACCGGTCGGAGGTTGGTGACCACCCACTGGGCTATACCCGGCGTGAAACCTGGAGATCATGGCGGCAGGCGCAGGCGCATGGGAGAGAGGTACCGGGCTTGACTGGCTCGGCTAAAGGAGTAACAGCACCACCATCTCCCAACCACCACTCGCAGCATACCTCCCTGCCCATCCCATCCCCACCCTCGCCGCACCTGCCCGCACCACTCGGTCAATCACCTCGGACCGACTGGCCACCGGCATGGGTATGCCCCGCAGCAGCTCAATCAGGTCACCCGGGTGGTCCCGACCGTCGGGGCCGCCGCCGCCCGAACGCACCCGGCCAGGCAGCGAGTCCAGCACCCACACCTGCAGGCAGGCATGGATGCAACCAATGCATGTATGCAATGGGATGGCAGGGGCATACAGGGGTAAAGGAAGCGCTGGTGTGGCGGCTCCATGCATGCATGGCAGTGCTCTCTTTCGGGGCAATCGCATACCGAACGAGCTCCCCACGCTTCATAAAAATCCACCACTTGTCGCCACAGCAAACCCATATCGCACTGCACCCTTCATCCCCCCTTCCTCACAGCATGTTCCGACTCGCCGCCAGTTTTCTGAACCCGCCCACCTGCACGGGCCTGGGCAGGCGCTGCGGGAACTGCTGCACCATGCTCATCACCACCTTGCCGCCGAACGAGTGCCCGATCAGCACATGCGGGAACAGCCGCAGCCGCCGCAGCAACGCCAACACGTCGCCCGCCGCCGCCGCCACGCCGTGGGGGCCGTGCGGGCGGGTGGGCAGCGCGGCGGACTCGCCGTGGCAGCGCAGGTCCACCAGCAGGACCTGCCAGCCGGGGAATCCCTGAAGGGGGAGAGTGGGAGGGGTGGGGAGGGAAAGGAGGAGAGGGGTTAAAAATATAATGAGACACTGACGATGCAACTGACGAGCTAAGGGGGGGTTGTTATGCACATGGGCGGTGGATGAGCGGCAGAGGGTTCTTGAAGGCAGAAGGCGGAAGGGGGGGTCCAATGTGACGACCATAAAGATGGTGTAAAAGGCGGTATCAACACACTCTTGAATGGTTGCGTTTGTGATGTGGGTCATGATGACATGTTGCGCAAGACGTGGTGCGCAGCCCCCCGCTTAGCTAAATGAGGCCGTGCAGCTACCCCCAGCCTCCCCCCCCAAGCCACCCACCTCCACCAGCATCTTTGCGAAGCTGCTCATGTTGCGCCGGTTGCCCAGGATGCCGTGAACCATGACGGCGGTGGGAGGCACTGCGGCGCCGTCGGAGTGACTCCAGCGGGCCTGGGAGGAGAAGCGGGGGGGGGGGAGGAGCAAGGAGCGGGGGGGGGGGACGGTGTTTGCCGTGGGAACGCAAGGGGCTGGAGTGAAGAGTGGCGTTACAGAGTTTTGCGACGTTGTGGGTGGGGGTAGGTTTAGGGGGTCAAGTCTGCAGGGCCGGGTTGTGTAGTGTGCCGGCGCTTGATGCGTTATAGCGCGAAAACGCACGGCGGAGACTTGTGTCAGGAAACCCCTTTCACCACCCCTATGCGCGCTTGGTTAACAGTCAAGGTGTTCTATCCTAAACTATGGCATCTCAAAACAGTGAAGGATTGCATGGGCGTGCTCTCTGCGTCCCGCTTGCATAGCTCGTCGCTACTATAAGAAGGCCACAGGCCACAGGACCCTACGCGCGTCCTGTATGCTCCATCTTGCTGTGTATAACGATATCAAGATTGTGATACAGCTATAATGCCCATATTCACAACGCCTAAGCGGGAAGGGGCCAGACTACCATCGCCATTCAACCGCAGCTATCGGATGGCACGTGCCCTGACCCTGCGTTACCCACCAGTGCTCCTTGATAGAGCTCATATGCCTGTGAAACAGAAATTGGGGATCCAGCAAATTGAGTGGCCGGAACAATAGTAGCGCAGACGCGGAGCGGCACGTTGATGAGTCCAGAGCAAGCTACTAACGCCGCCCAACGCTACGGTAGCGTTTTGGATACTTACAATAGGTGTTTCCACGTTCAATTCGTCATAGCTTAGCGAGCGAAGCGGGAAGTTTCGCGATGTTGGGTGGTCGCTAGGCCTTGCGGACGCTGCAGTGAGGAGCCCAGCTGTGCAGTTTACGCGAACCTACAAAATCGCGCGTGGAGCTGGACCTTGGCATCCCAACGCAGTGACAGCCAATCGTCTCGCTAGAATTAAGCGTTGCGCACCTTGCGGCCTGAAATTCCGGCCCGTCTAATTAACGTGATACGCGGGTGTGATACGAGGCCAGTCCTAGCTTGTGGCGCATGCAAAGTCCGCAGCGCCATGTAGCCAGCAGGCCCGAGTCTTCAAGGATGCGGGTCTACAGGCAAGGGCGTAGCAGTAACTTCACAAAGCTCACAAGAAGATAAGCGATTGTGCCAATAGTTAGTGCGGGCCTCCGCTTACTTGAACGGTTAGGGCTTTTTGTAGTGCTGGCGTTGGTTGACCGGATGCCCGCATGGACCGACTTCTCGCCATTTTCCCTCGCAACGCATACGAAGCCACTCGCATGCAAGCATTACAAGTAACAGTTAGTTCTTATAGCACACTTTGTTCAATCAGAAGAGCTTGTTCACGGTTATAAGGTCGAATAAAACGCTGCAGTCGGAACCGGCCCAACCGGGCTAGGCCTTAGTTACGGAGGTAGCCCGTAGAAAATGGCACCTCAATTACCGAAAGAACTGCTTACCGTTAGGTGCCACAGAAGCAGCCTTGGGTGCCGATATGTTGCTTGTAGGCAAGCGCGTCATTTGTCGATATCGACACCTACGCCATCGGGAACACTGAAACAATTTGCTCCTAAGGGGAGCACCCGGGGAGCTTTGGTGCGCTCGGTGGATGTGCCTACAGAGGCTATTACAGCGAGTGTTAGGAAAGTCAGGATTTCAAGGAACGCAGCCGCTCTGGAAGTCCTCCGAAAGATAACACACCAGGCGACGCTCCCGGTCCCGACGCCTGCTGTGGAGCTTGGCGCGCTTGACGAGCCATTGTTGCTGAGGTGCGCTTGCTGAGTTCTTTTGACGCCCCACACCGCAACGGTCGCGATGCATTTCTACGCACCATTTAAAAAGCACAACTAGGAGAATAGGCTATCCTGTTGAAGGCGGGAACAATGCCCCTGTATATTGTGACGGTGCAATCTCTTTCCAGCGTCTGTCGGGATTGATAATTTGTATTGAATGCACGTATGCTGGTCACTGTTGGTATGCTATGCGCCTAATAAGGCGTGGCCCACATTTATGCGCAGAGGGCGAGAGTCATCCTGCCTAGTAACGGTTGGAGTTATTACGCAGGGGTTTGACGCAGATCACCCTTCTGCAAACCGCATATCTGTGTATTTTTCATAGGCTTCATGGGCGATCTCGATGAGACGTTGCTTGTACTGCGTCAAGTACAACCATTACTTCATCAGGCGACCGCTGTACGGTATTATTAAGCAGATCCATCAAGTCGCGATTGCTTCCTTCTTAACCCCGACCACGGCCACTCCCACATGCTCCCTCCCGCCTGCATGCAGGTTTCCCACGCTGGAGTTCCGGAGCCTGCTGCTCAACGCCATCGGACGTGACTCCTTCCCCGATCGAGCCCTCTGGAAGCGCTATAAGGTGAGACTTGCTGTGACACTACTCCTGCTGCTGCTGCGACTGGCTGCAACTATTGCAGGGGTTGCCACCCAATACTGTGTCCTTTCCCGTCTCATCCTACTTCCCGTTGCGGATGTTGCTGCTACGGCCGCTGCCTGCAATCCGCTGTTGCTGCTCCTGCTCCTGCCATGTGACCACTGCTGGCAACTCATCTCCTTAACTCCGCTCCCTTCTCACCCTCCGGCCCCCGCCACCGCCCCTTTTCCCCTCCCCTCCCCTCACCGCTCCCCTCCCCAAGGTGGACCTAGCGGCGCTGCTGCTGCTGCTGGCTGCAGGCGATGTGGCCGGCTACACGGCTGCGTTGGAGGTGCTGGTGAGCCGCATGCTGGAGAAGGGAGGGGGTGCGGCGGGCGCGGCGCAGGGGCGGAGGAGGAGGACACGCACGCGGCCCACTCGGCTGGCCGGTGCTGGTAGCGACAAGAGCAGCAGCAGCAGCAGTGGTGGTGGTGGTGGTGGTGGTGGCGGCGGGGATGTGCAGCTGGGTGGTGCGGTCGCGACAGCAGCAGCAGCAGCGGCAGTACCAGTAGCTGAAGAGGAGGAGACAGGGATTGAGGCGGCTGGGAGTGGTGGCGGCTGCAGTGGCAGTAGCCGTGCGGCTGCAAGTGCAGCAGCGGCGGCGAGTGCGGCTGCGGACGGGGATGAGAGGCCGTCGTTACGTGGGTGCTCGTCAGCGTCCTCATCAGCGCCATCTCCACAGCAGCAGCTTCAGCCTGTTCCAGGTGATGCCGACCCAGGGGTTGCTCAGAACCTCGCCTCCGGACGTCCATCCTCCTCCTCCTCAGCCTCCTCCTCCTCAACCTCCGCATCCTCCTCAGCCTCCGTTTCCAACCCCCATTCGGACCGCCGCCGCCGAGCGCTGCGGGCGCAGGTGGACGGCTGGTGCCGGACCACCGTGGGTCCCCTGCCTGCAGACCTGCCCGCAGACCTGCCGGCACAGATCCAGGATCCGACGACAACAACAACAACAGCCATGGGCTCGGCAACAACGACAGCAACCGGCCCCCCTAGCACACCAAGCAAAGGATCCACAGCCACCGCAGCTGCAGCCGCTGCCTCCTTCTCCCAGCTGCGGCCCCTGTTGGAGCGGGTGATGGCGCTGGGGGAGCCCGCACCGCTGGTGGACATCCGCAGGAACGGCAGTCGCACGGAGCTGCAGGTGGGGTGAGGGGAGGGGTAAAAGACCAATACCATACCGTAGAAGCGACATGGGGATAGGAGGCGGCAGGGTGCCACAATACAAAGTGTTGGTTAGTATTCCCAACCGATAACTCTTCATTTATTTCCCCCCTCCCCTCGCCCTCCCCTCGCCCACCCACCCACCCCCCCAGGTTGCCTCCCTGCTGTCCGGGCAGCTGCCCGAGGGCTGGCGGCTGATCTCGGGCGCCACGCTGGTGCGGGTGGAGGGCGCCGCCTTCCCCAACCGCAAGGCGCTCAAGGGGGAGGCGGATGTGTTGCTGGTGGACCCGGAGGGGGTGGTGCAGGTGGGGTTGTGCATGTGGTGCATCCTCCTCTTCACCCTCCTCCCCTTCACCGCCTCCTCGCGCTCCCTCCTCTCTCGTCCCTCCCCCTCCACCCTGCCCCCAGGCGGTGGTGGAGGTGAAGACGGCCAAGGGCAATCCGTACGTGGCCCTGTATGAGGACGTGGATAAGGTGAGCGTGGGAGGAACGTGAAGAAAGCCCGGAAAGCCATGGGCAGGAGCAGTGGGGGTGGGAGGCAGAGGCGGTGATGAGCAGGAAGGGCTGCGCTTCCCCCAGAGCTCATGTTACCGGTAATAGTTACTTGCCACTCCAACCGCTTCCCATCCGCTTCCCCTCTCCCCCACCCACGCGGCCCTTTTCCCCTTCTTCCCTTCACCCCCTGCTACGGTACCTTGTAGTTGCTGGGCCTGCTGCGTTTTGTGCGCAACCGCTCCGTCACCGTGCGCCACGGGGGCGGCGGCGAGCTCACCACGCTTCACTTCTCCAAGCGCCTGCGACCCATCTACGTCCTGGGGTGCGGTGAGCTGCTGACGGCGGATTGCGGTTGCGCTGGCAGCAGCAGCGGCAGCAGAGGCGATGATGGCGGTGATGTTGGCAGGATACAAGGCCTGGGAACGGCCGCCTTCACGACCTCAAGTAGTTACTCCTGCTACAACCAGCAGCAGCAGCAGCCATCACACCCTGAGGTACCGGTACCCTCCGCACACCCCTCCCCCGTGCCCCAGGCGCTACAGCAGAAGCATGCAGCCCTGTCCCAACTCACCGCCCCCCACAGCTCCTACCCCACCTCCGCTGCCTCCGCCTCCCCCCTCCTGCGCTCCGCCTGGTCCAAGCTTCTCACCATGGAGCTAGGTCGGCAGCTCTCATCCTCCTCCTCATCATCATCATCCTCATCCTCCTCAGCTGCTGCTGCGGCTGCGGCTGCTGCTAATACGCCCACAGCGGCCCCAGCTGCAGCCGCTGCTGCTGTTGCTGCTGCTAGCAACCCAGCCGCCGCCCCAGCCGCTGCAGCTGCTGCCGCACTGCAGTTGTCACCAACATCCCCGTCATCAAGGGCTGGAGGGGCAGCCTCCACCGCCACATCCACCTCCTCCGCCGCTGCAACCCCCTCCACCGCTGCTGCCCTAACCAGCGCCTGGGCGGATGTACGGCTGGCCGCATGCAGCCCCCAGGTACGACAACATGCATGTGCTGTACATATGCATGATGTCGTACAAACACATGCTGCCGTACAAATGCATAATGCCGTACACATCTCTGTACCTCTTAACATGAGAGACCCGAACCAGCCAAACACCCTCATGTGGGTCATCATTGTCTTGCGCCGCTCTGACAGCCTCGCCTCGTCAGGCGTAGTGTTGCTTAGGTTCCGGCTGCAGCTGCAGCATGCTCTTGGGTCTCCTACCTGTGCTTCCCACCTCACACAAACGTGTGGCTGCGGCATGTCCTTCCTACATGCTTTCCCACCTCACACAAACGTCGCCCATGACGCCCACGTGCTGCTATCTTTGTTTTACGCGCTGCTCCCAACCCCCATCCCAACCCCTCGCCCCCCACCCCACAGGCAGTGCTGCTGCAGCTGCCGCCCAAGCTCTACCCCCCGCTGGCTCGCCGAGTGGCCGCCTACTTCACCCGCCTCTCGCACTGCGTCGTCTACCTGATCAACACCGCACCCGATGACGCGTAGGGCTCCCGGAGATGAAGGGGGGAGGGGTGTTGAGAGGGGTGAAGGGGCAGATGTTCCAACCTGCTCTGCTGTGTTCTGGCAGTACTAACTAATGTGCGCTTGCATCCTGCTGTACATCATTATTGGCGTACGGCTGTACGAATGTACGCTTGCTGTACAATAAAGGTACTCCTCCCTGCGGTGCTCCTCTGGGGCCCTCTCCATCCAGGCTAGGCTTTCCTTCCTTCGGAGCGTCGCATTCCATGGACTGAAACCAGGGCCTGTGTTTTGTGTTTCTTCCTTTCGTAGTTGACGGATGTCCATGCACCATCCTTCCACGGCCTCTGCGGCATTGGGTTTCATGTTTCTTTACGGCTAGTAACACATTGGGGTTGCTTTCATGTTGTAAACTGTGAGGTGTGCCAATACTTTGATGTGTGCCGATATGGATAGTACGCATAGTAAGTTCACGTATTGGTTTTGTTTGTAATCTGTTGATGAAGAGTAAGCGCGCGCTAACAGCACGACCCAACACGACATTCGAGAACCCCTTCTGCGGGCTGGAAAGGTGTGCGTGGTGCATAGTATGGCAGTCATGCTCTAGGTTTTGGGTGGCATCCATGCATTGGGTGACCCATGGGTCATTCCGTTGTTTTGTAATCTTCATAAGGTCACGTTATGTGGGTTCCCAGTCACCCCAAATGTTGTATGATTAGGTGGCTGTTCTCCTGAGGCCTTGGGCACTTATAGTTTAGAAAGATTGAAGGGCATAGAGGGCCATGTGCTGTGTCTAAACCTGGTCGTTGGTATGTTGGCAATTTGGATGCGTGTGCGTGCGTGCAACCCTGTCTTTTGGATGGAACTGTAGAAGATAACTGTTTAGCAGTGTTAGCAATGGTGTTACACTCTTGTAGTTATGTTGGGAACGGTTAGTGTTCTGGTGTTTTTCTGATTTCCTTTCAGCATTTCATGGGTGCTTGCTGCCTCCTTCTTTGGGTTGTCGTTTGTTTCTTCGTCTTTGTCGCCTTGTCTTGTGCACCGAGCCTGCTCTCTCCCGCGGGTGTCTTTATGGTGGTCAAGTAGTGGTCTGCGACCATATTAGGCGGCGTGGCAGTTGGGTTTGGTTGCCGTGAAGGAAACGTTGTATTGTGTGTCAGTTTTGGATGGCGCTCTAGCTGCCTCCTTGCTTGCGCTGGGAGGATGTTCGGATGGGAGGTGAGCGGTGTGTTACCGGTATGTATGTTGAAATGCTATTGGAGTTGATGGTGCTGCGTACTATGCGCGCTGGTTTTGGGATTTGAAAAACACAAGCCTGAGGGGTGAGGGGTTTGCCCATTCATGTGCCGGACATTGCTCATGTCGATTTGCTTACTCATGTTACCAGGCTGTAACACTGCGAATTCGTCTCGAGCACTGCTTGTAACGCAGTACATGCCTCTACTTCATGTCCTTGTACCCTCCGTTGCCCTCCCAAGCAAGCTAAGGCAGTAGCGAGCACATTCACATACGTTTTATGCGCGCTCTCCCCTTCATCCCTTGCAACGCTCTCTCCCAACTCTCTCTCACCAGCTGCCGAAGTACTTTCTGTAGTACTTCCTTACGCACTTACAGTGCACACTTCATGGTGAACATCAGCACCATGCATCAAACACAGTGCTCCTGAGGACAAGCCTCACCCTGTAGAGTTGCTTACTACAGCCATGTCATAGGTAGGGGGCCCTATGCGCCCGCCAGTATACATTTTCCAACCCATGGGTCACGCCCCAACCCTGGCCAACCAAGTCGCAACTTTCACAGGTTGACCCACAGCTGCTGCACCTCCAGTCGCAGCGCTTCCAGCTCCTGGGTGATACTGTCAAGCACCAGCTGCAGTTGTAAGCAGCGCTCGGACTCCTGGGGCACTAACCCAACCATGCTTGTCGTTCAAATGCTCAACATGCTTCATCAAGCTTAACACGATGCCTTAACTCATTACGCTTGCATGTACATGTGCACAGTACACAACCTCATCCTCCCTTCCTCGCCCACCTGGTCCAGCTCCTCTTTCAGATCCATGCGCTTGAGCTCAGAAGCAGCCAAGCGGGCGCCCAGCTCCGTGCACTTGCGCTCCCCAGCAGCCAAGCGACGCTCCGTGTCTGCCTGCTGGGCGGTCATGCGGGCGCCCAGCTCCGTGCGCTACTTCTCCAAGGCGGCCTGGGGAGCAAGATGATAGGGGCGTTTGGCAGATGGGTTGCATTGGGGTGGAAAAAAGAGAGACGCAGCGTGGGCAGACGTGCATTGTGCTATAATGCCGGTGTGGGTGGCTGGTCGGCCGTGTAAGTCAGTGCACCAGTTATACTGAACCTACCTTGGTCTCCTCCTTTAAGTGCTGCTCCAGCCAAAACTCGGGCCGCAGCTCGCCTTGTGCAAGATGGTCAAGCTTGGGCAGCAGTGCAATCGTCATTGACCGGGCGTACCAGCGTGACACAGTCATGCTGCGTGAAGAGCCGAGTGATGGAGGCACGGGTGGCGTTCTTCGTGTCTGCATCGGTGCTTCTCCCGGGTACTGGAGCCATCACAGCCTCCGCGTGGTCACGCAGAGTTATCTGCAGCAGGGTTGGGATCGGCATGGTTGGGATCAGCAAGCAAACACAGGGTAGGAGTGTGGAAAAGAAGCGGGAATGCTTGCATTAGGTTGAGACGAGGAGCTGAGACATCAGATCAGCAAGCATGTACATGGGAATGGTTGTGAACATCTGCTGTAACACAAGACTTCTTAACCCAGCCCACCTTGCAGCCACCCTTGTCCGTAATAAGCTCATTGGGGAAGTTTCTGAGCACCCAGAGCCATGCCGGGGAGTGCTCCCCCAGCAGACCCTCCTCGCCTGCAGCAGGATGAGAACAGGGTTTGCTACAGTGGGTCCAGGTGCGCACAGGAATGGGTGTGCTTGCTGAGAAGGGAAGTAGCTGGAAAGGCTGCTCCAGAGCATTTAAGGCACAGCACCCCCCCACCCCCATGCCATGCCGCACTGACCTACTGTCAGCCCGCAAGCGCACATGCTTCACAACCTCAGCGAGTTGGTCCAGCACGCTCCTGTCGATTCCCCCACTGCTTCAACGCTCACACGCTCACGCCTTGCCACGTCAGCACCCTCGTTCCTTTCAGGTGGGCCCTTTTGTCCCTGTACGAAGGGACTTTGGTCACACATTGCACCACAATGCGTGACCACTCCAGACGGCAGGCCTTGCCGCCTGGTGGTGCTGGACACCCAGGGGTTTGACACGCTCAACCAGGTAGGCCTGGTGTGGTCGAATGAAAGAGAATTCAAGTGAGAAGACGTCTTCTCACTTGAATTCTCTTTCATTCGACCACACCAGGCCCACCTGGTCGAGTGTATCAAACCCCTGGGTATCCAGCACCACCAGGCGGCAAGGCCTGCCGTCTGGAGTGGCCATGCACTGCGGTGCAATGCATGACCACAGCCCCTTCGTACAGGGACAAAAGGGCCAAAGGGTCGATCCCACCTGAAAGGAACGAGGGTGCCGACGTGGCAAGGCGTGAGCATGTGAGCGCTGATGCAGATGTGCCGTGGGAGTTAGGGCTTCCAAGGGTCAGAGAACGAACAGACATACCTGGAAACCGCCGCCGCCGCTTTGGCGCAGCAGCTGGTTCAGGATGAAGCTGTTTCCTTGGCGGGAAAATCCGCACACTGCTATGACCGCGACGGGCTCTTTCACCTACATTCAACTCAAAAATTCCTTTAGGAACCAGCAAATCCGGTGGAAGGTTAGGCCTGCATCGTTTGGAAGTGTAAACGTCACCACGCTGCTACTCACCTTTCTTAGGGCATCAACGGCAGCTGTGTTGACCTCCCGCTGGCCGCTCCGCTCGTTGTACCTAACCAGCTGGAATGGCGGCGGCATCTGCGCTATATCGCAGCTTAGTGCTACTCACCTAAAATTTATCTCTGCACGTTGAACTATGAGGGCCGCGGGGCATCTAGTACAAAAGCAAAGGCGGCAGGTACGGGAAACGCCACGATCGCGAGGCAAAGGTTCCACGTCATCTTGCTTGGTCAGCACGAAAGCTGTCTTCACCATGTTGAGCCTAACGAGCCCCAGTAACTTACCTACGCTTTAGTCCATATTGGGAATAAGCTGATGGCTCGTGGTGGCACTGCTGCTGGGCCAAATGCTTCGCGCTCTACAACTACGCTAGCCGACATTTGGGCCTGCTGGCGCTGATGCTCCCAGCAATAGACGCGTAAGCATTGCGGAGCCGTCACTTGCGCAGTGACCGGCGGATCATCTCAAGTGCACATAACCATAGCGCCAGAAACCTGCCAGTGTGGAGGGCCTGCTGCTGGTAGGGCTGGCGCACCCTGGTTCCTCAGTTGTTGCGCCATTCCTCATTTGAGTCGATCTGGGTCGGAGGGGCCAACCTTGGTGGGGATGCTGGAAGGAAGGATCAAGGGCTGCCTCACCGCTATGTCTATTGACACTTACGTCATGTGATGCTCCCCCTCTCCGCTTAACATGCTTCATCCATGCTATTCCTGGTCTTAACCTTACCCCAACCGTAAAATGGATCTCAGGCACATCTCCCACACTTACCTTGATCCCTCATCCCCTGTATTCCCCCAGCTTCATCCTCCAGTTCATAGGGTGTGCTGGTGGGCTTCAGAGCGCGTTTTGCTAGTTAACGCGTGAAATGACCCACGGGTCACCTTGCAGTTCACTTTTGCGTTTCGGCATTTGGGTCGTTTTGGGTCGGCAGGAATTAGTACCAGGCGCCGCTTGACGACAAGGATAATTCAGTCACATGTGCATGCTGGGGCGTGTGGCGAGCAGCGATGTGGGTCAGCATGCATTGTGCATAGCATGCCGTACCTGACCCCATGCCGTACCTCCCACTCCATGCAGGCCGGGTGCGACGGTGCGGTGGATGGGGGCGACTACTCCTCGTCGGCACTCCGCCTGCAGCTGGCCCCAGCCCTGACCGCTGCCTCCGAGGCCGCATGGCAGGCGGGTGGCAGTGGTGCGGGCCTGGGGGCCCCCTGCGGCCCCACACCGGCGGGTTGTGCCATGGAAGGCAGCATGCGGAGGTTACAAGGAATCAGTTCCTTCGGCTTCTTAGGTGCATTCCTGCCCCATTCCTGTGCTTCCCCTTCCGCATTGAAGTACGCTGTACTGCCTCGTACCGACGTACCTTGTACTGTAGCTCCAGGCCCTCGTCCTTGCAGCCACTGTTGAGCGCCGCCGCCTTCTTGATGTACATCTCTGCATTCACCGAATCGTCATCCTGCGGCCGTTTTAGGTAGTTGGCGGTTAGTGCGGGGGGGGGGTAGGAAGCGGAAAAATAGACCCCAACCCTCAAATCGAAGGCGCTTTGCGTCGGGATTCAGAATCTGCTTTCAGATTTTTTTGTTTGGAGTTGTATGGAAAAAGTTATGGGCTTGCAAAGTTGGTTGTACGGCAGGGGTGGGTGGGTGGGCCCCAACGACTTTTTTACATGAACCTCCGGAAAAGTTTTTCCAGGCCTCATGTTAAGGTTTGGAAAGCTGTATTGCCATCATTTCTTCCTTTCTTATACGTAGAATTAGGTTTATCAACGAAATGGCCACTTCTCGGCTTCTGATGTTCCAATGACACTTCACCTCTGAACCACGGTAGCCGAACGGAACTGCCCAACTCCCAAATGTACAAGAAAGCATATACTGCGAACGCGGCTAGTCGGCCCTTAGTAAAGGCCTAGCACAGCAGCATGTCACATGTCCCCATGGATGTGGAACACGACTGAGGATGCGGGGTTGGGGTAGACAGACTGAGTTGCGAGAAAGCACTTACAGTGACCACGAACGAGGTGGGGATGCAGAGCACAGAAACAAGAAGGCGTAGGAATTGGTGCCAGGGGCTATGGTCGAGGGCCCAGCACCACAGGGGGAAGGAGAGGCAGGAGCAGGGACCTGGAACGTGGTGGCGCCGTTGTCTCGGTTGTGAAAACAGAACTGGCGGTGGTATGGCGCAAATGGAAGGGCCGTGGTGCTTCCTAGGCGCCAAATACATAACATCAGTCAAGCTGGGGCCAAGAACATGGTTACCTTCGCGGTCCATAGTGCAACGCTGTGACATCAACTTCGCAGGGGGTTTGGGGTTTTTCGACTGCACTTAATAGGGCTTGCGCAGAGGAACCTAGACGTTTCTTTCCCAGGCGTTTTGGCATAGTTTACAGGTCGTACGACACGCTTGGCGGTGGGTGGGTGGCTCCGAGGCCTTCTCTTTGGAAATTTCGGGTTGGGGTTTATAAGAAAATTTCTTACCCCCCCCCCTGGTTAGTGTACAACAAGGCATGACGGGTCATATACAGTACGGTACACTTCCTCGTCATCACAACGCACACATCTCCCTCCAGGCTTGTTGCTTTCCGCAACCATCTTCCCTTTGCTGTTGCGCAACCACTATCCGCAACCGCCAACGGTTCGTCGGTCGTTTCCTCTTCACCCAACCGCCAACTCAATCCAAGGTATAGCATGGCAATCTTGATGTTCTTAGACTTCTTACTCAGCTTGTACGACGGCTCAACCGCCCCGCTGCCCGACTCCAAGTCGATACCCGAGAGCACATGGCGGCACGTACGGCAAGGAGTATGACAAGAATATGCATTTCAATACCAAAAAGGTGGTTACCGTACGGCAACCCGTTGTCAGAATGTAGGAGGTTTGCTGCCATCCGCAGAGGTGCCGCTTTCGCTATGTGTTCCTCCCTCTCTACCCGCTATCAGCCCCCTGCCCCTGCCTTCTTCCGCATGCCTCTCTATCCCCCCTACCCTACCAGCGTCCCACTCCCTGCCTCCATCTGCCTGCTCCCCTGCGTCCCCCCTTCTGAGTCCCTGTACGCCTGCTCAGTGCCGCCATGCCCTGCTCATCCCTCCCTACCAGCCTCACCCAACCCCGGTCACAGCTCCTCCAGCTTTCCCTCTCTGCCCTCCTCCCCTCCTGGCCCCAACCCCCGATTTCCTCCGCCTGCAAGCCACCCTGTAAGAACACCCCATGTTTCACCGCGACTCAGTTGAACTACCCCCACCTGCCTCCCTCTCTTTACGGCCCCCCTCATCAGTGCGTCTATTTCTTTTATCCCCCCCCTTCCCACCTGCGCCGCCTTGCTCCACTGCTCCTGCCTTTCCAGCACCTCCGCCAGGTGCTCCCGCAGCAGCACCACACTGTCTTTGAACGACACCAGCCGGGGCTGCAGCCGATCCAGGGCGCTGGGGGGCATTGGAGGAAGGGGAGGGAGATGGGGAGAGGGAGAGGGGAAGAGAGGGAGGAGGTGTGTGGATGGTGGAGGGGGGTTGGCGCAGGCAAGCAGGGAGAGAAGGAGAGGGACAGAGGGATGTGTATGGGGCGGGAGAAGGCTGGTTGGGAGTGGAGAGGTGCAGCTGAGATGCGAGGAAAACAACAGGGGCAAGGGCTGCGGCGGTAACAACGTGGTACTAGCGTTCCGAGTTTACTGCTGTCACAGATGTACTATGTACTACTTACATACCAGGAAGGCTGCCTGGTTACCTAAGCCAATATGCGTTGTCCTCCTTGTTGGACAGATACCCTTCGTCCACACTGTTGGATTGCTGAGACATTTTTACGCCGCTTACAGGCAGATATGCCTCATAAAAACTGCGGATTCACAGGCTCCCGTAGTAGTCAGGATGGTGTGATCAGGGCATGCAGCTTTCCGCCTGTCATAATAACCTCCGTACCACTCTTGCCATGGCTACGCCTGCTCGGTCATGTGTGCGCCATGCATACGGTACCGCTCCTCATTCTCCGATTCGTCATTCGCCCTCGCGCCATCTTATTCCCTAAACATCACCCATTAAGCCATCATAATTCGCGGCACTGCTCCCCTCAATGCGCCCGCCCGCACCCGCAGCCGCTCCCCGCCTGCTCCTCCTTCCCCACCGCAACCGCCGCCTCCCTCCCCACACCTCCTTTGGCCTCCTGACAGTCTTCTACCACGTCGTCAATCGTCAGCAGCAACCGCAGCGCCTTTCCGGCACCCTCCATCGCCTCCTTGCCTCCTCTCCCCAGTCCTGTCGTACACAGATCCTGATCCCGATACCGGCAATCAAGATCTAGATCCGGGTCCTCCAAGCTGGCACCCAAATCCGGATCGGAGTCAACAGCCAGCATGCTTGCCATGTCCGGGCTGCGGTGCACTGCGCCCATTCCGTAGTTCCCAGGTGCCGCATTTCCCTTCAGGAACAGCAAGTCACCTGGAGCAGCCTGACGTGCCGCAGAACCAGCAGCACCACCACCCCTAGAAGCAGCAGCCGGGTCTACCGCCTCGACCGCCACTCCCCCAGCGCCGCCCCACAGCCATCGCCGCCGCACATGTCTGCAGGAAGGCAGCGATCAGCGGTAAGCATTAGAAAGAGGAGAGCACGCACGTAGCAAACGCCCGGCTGCAACGGGTCAACGGGAGAGGGACACATCATGGCAACAACAACGGGCCGTGGAGCTACCGGCGTGCTGCCGTGATGCAGTGTGCCGTATATTATTCGTACTGCAGTTCTGACCTGTTTTCGACAAACACCGTCCCAGGTCCGCAGTACGTCACCAGCAGCCGCACCCCCACATGGTCTGCATGGAAGCGGGGGCAGGGAGTGCCGCCTAGGACCTCCAGCTTGGCTCGCACGGCAGGGTAGCCTGTCACCAGGAGGGGGATCGGGGAGTGTTGGAGAAGGGCGGGGAGTGTTGGGAAAGGGGGTCAGCAGCAAGGGACGTGGTATATGAGGGGGTCAGCAACAAGGGGTCGGCAGCAAGGGACGTGGTACCGGTACTCGACAGTGCTGCTTAGCAACACAGGATCATCGAAAGGTGCTCTGCGCACCCTGCACCCTGCAGCCCGCACACTCCAACCTTCCACCACACTCTCCGTGGCTCGCTTCCACCTCCCCGCCTAGCGTTGCCCCAACAACGCCCCTCATCCTTCCATCCTGCCTCCCCCTCCATGAATCCCGCACGTACGTACCCAGCTGCTGCCCGAACAGCGCCACCAGCTGCTCAACATCCGCCTGCACGGCATGGACAACAGTTTGCACAAGACCCACAAAACCCGTGCAGGACGTCCACAAACATTCCGGTCAGGGCGCGCGTTGGGTCCTATCATGTAGCCACCCTGCATGCTCGGCTTGGTCCAGCGTTGCCTCCTTCAAGGTATGCAGTGCAAGTCGTACAACGCGTAACCCAACCCGCCAATGGCCCCCCCTTTCATCCCACGTGAATGCACTGCCGTATCCCAGCATGCCGTACCACAAACACATGCCGACATGCGTCAGGCCAGTTCCCACCTGCCGGCATGCATCGCGACCACCTTTCTACCCCCACGGCTGCCCCTCCCATGCGCGACCCAGCCCGCAGCTCCCGCTGCTTACCTGGATGACCTGCCGTACCTCCGGCACGTGCGTCAGCGCAGCCGTCAGACGGGAGGCGGCGAGGCGGGGTTCCGCAGTTGGGGTAACCGCCTGATGGGTGTTGAGAGAGCCGCACACGCATGTCGGTAAGTATATGGGTGTTGGATATACATTGGGAAGCATACATGGCCGAGTGAGAACAGGGCATGTGCATGTGGAGTGTCGAGTGTGGGGTCGGGGCTCTAGACGCCGGGCCATAGATACCCACACCCTAACCGGTAGCAAGGGGCTTTCGATACCATAAGTATGAGGGTGTATGAGGGCCAAGGGTTGCCTTGGTGGTGGCTCTTAACTAACACATTTAGAACGACTAAGTGGGTACCACAGGATTTCCCTGGCGGCGTACCCGGGCCTTGAACCCCAGGCCTAGCTCCGAAGCCTGCCGCTGGAACTGCCCGGGCTTGACTGGCAGTTGCCGCCGGAGGTGAACGATGTTAACGTCAGGTCGCAGCAGGTCGGTCGGTTGGGCCGTGCTGACGCGCACACGGTCATGTAGGACTTGCGCTGCAGCGCGAAAGAGGGTAGTATGTCTAGACCAGGATGGAGCAGATTACGTTTAGCTTACAGCAGTGTCGTTGGGGCATCATGACTCTAATCGAAGAGGTTGGAGACGAAGGTCGGGTTCGCTACGCACCTCGCGCCCAGTGTTGCAGCTGGGATAATCCCATGCTGCAGTGACCACACAGACGATTAGAAAGTAATAAATTTGGAATCGCGAAACTGTCCAGATATAGCCATTGCTTGCACCAGGTTACATAGTGCACTCCCTTCGAAACTCTTTTTATGCAGCTCGCTAGAATAGTAATAAGACTACGAAGCTGTACGTGGCGAATGCGAAGGCGAGTCGCGGTAGATAGCCCCGTGGGCCATGCAAGGAGCAGGATATGTGGATTAGACGCAATATGGGTTTACCAACATAAGCAAATAAAGTTAGTTTGCAGTTAATTTGCTTATGGGTAGGCACCTAGCAAAAGCGATCAATGAGTTCCACTGTTGCGAATTCGGTTTGCGACAGAAACGCCAGACAGAACCTGGTAACCGGATGTTGTGAGTTAAGAAAGTTGGTGGTGTTGATAAACACCGGATTGTTGATTACTTATATGCAATGGCGCAGGCAAGCGGTTAAGGATCCTTAAGCGGCCTCCTCCTCAGCGCCCTTGCCACCCTTGCTCTTCTTGGGCAGCAGCACGGCGTGGATGTTGGGCAGCACACCACCGGAAGCGATGGTCACGTCGCCCAGCAGCTTGCTCAGTTCCTCATCGTTCCGGATGGCCAGCTGGATGTGGCGAGGAACGATGCGGTTTTTCTTGTTGTCGCGAGCAGCGTTGCCAGCAAGCTCAAGCACCTCTACATGGCGGAGGAAGAGTCGAAGGTTAAAAAATCTATCGCAATTGTAATGTCCGATAGAAACGCGGCATTTTTGTGGGCATGTACCTGCAGAGATGTACTCGAGAACTGCTGCCAGGTAGACGGGGGCCCCAGCACCAATGCGATCGGCATAGCGACCCTTCTTGAGGTAGCGGGCCATACGGCCAACAGGGAACTGCAGGCCTGCTTTGGAGCTGCGGCTCACGGCCTTCTTGCCTGCGGTCTTTCCCTTGCCACGGCCGGACATTTTTGTTATAATTGCGTAGAAATTTGGGAAAGCTCGTTATCTGCGTAAAGAAGGTGCAAAGCAAAAGGATTATATCCTCTGGTATAGCGGTTGGCCGTGTCACCGGGGCAACCGTCCGTACAGCCGGTTGGTCCGAGCAGGTGGTCGGTGGGATTGTTAACATGAGTAACCCGAATGAATAATAGCCTACGCCCATGCCTCTCACCCTTATCAAAATTTTCCTCTCAGATCTCACTCTACATTCCTCTTTAGTTCGATTTCAATGGCTCCTAAGAAGGACGAGAAGGTTGTTTCCCAGCCCGAGGCTGCTGAGCCCAAGGCTGAGGCCAAGCCAAAGGCCGAGAAGGCTCCTAAGAAGGAGAAGAAGGCTCCTGCTAAGAAGGCTGAGAAGAAGGAGGCTGGCGCTGAGAAGGCTAAGAAGAAGGTGAAGGTTTCCAAGGCGGAGACCTACAAGCTCTACATCTACAAGGTGCTGAAGCAGGTCCACCCCGACACCGGCATCAGCAGCAAGGCCATGTCCATCATGACCTCGCTTGTGACCGACCTGTTCGACCGCATCGCCACTGAGGCCAGCAAGCTCTCTAAGTACAACAAGAAGCCTACCGTTACTTCGCGCGAAATCCAGACTGCCGTGCGCCTGGTGCTGCCTGGCGAGCTGGCTAAGCACGCGGTGTCGGAGGGCACCAAGGCGGTGACCAAGTTCACCTCCGCTTAAAGCTTCCAGCGCCTACCCTACCTCAAACCCGGTGTTTTTCAACACCACCTTTCTTATTGGCACAAACTGTCTATTTGTAATTTGATGTTACATGGTTCCGGCCATACTGGTATCAGGGTTCCAGCTCGTTAGTAAGACGACGTTTAGCGCCGCCCCTGGGTCAGTTTGGGCCGTCCAATAGGAGCGTTATAGCCTGGTCACATGACGTTACTTTCTACGTTACGTTACATGGAACCCACGTTGAACGTAGCGGCCCAAACGTAGGTCTCGGTCACATGCTACGTTCGTATGCCAAACTCAACGCCAAGTTAGTAGGGACTTTTCCAAGATTCATGTTGTTAACTGCCAAATGGCTACCAGTTTCGTTGCCCTGGCTCGTTCCCAACCACGACGGCCCTATGCCAGGTTGGCTCTGGTCTATTCGTGACTTAGGCGTTATGGGCGATTGGGTTGAGGTGGGCATGCGCTGCGCTCACCTTACTGACAAACGTTTATCAGCGGTTATTATGGGATCAGTTCAGGGGACGTTTGTCTGGTAGTCCTGTCCGAGAACGTCATGCCAGGGCACGATTAAAGCGCTAGGCGGCGCCTAGGCCGACGAACTAGGTTACCAACTTGACTCCATTGAGATCCCCGCATAGTCGCTAGGAAGGCAAGTGAGGATAGCCATCAGCAACTCCATGTCTGCCCAGTTACCTGGCACCCACCGACCTAGCACCCACCGACCTAGCACCCGCCGACCTAGCGCCCGCCGACCTAGCACCCGCCGACCTAGCACCCACCGACCTAGCACCCACCGACCTGGCACCCGCCGACCTAGCACCCGCCGACCTAGCACCCGCCGACCTAGCACCCACAGACCTAGCACCAGCCGACCTAGTACCCACCGACCTAGCACCCACCGACCTAGCACCCACCGACCTAGCATCCGCCGACCTAGCACCCGCCGACCTAGCACCCGCCGACCTAGTACCCACCGACCTAGCACCCACCGACCTAGCACCCGCCGACCTAGCACCCGCCGACCTAGCACCCACCGACCTAGCACCCGCCGACCCGCCGACCTAGCACCCCGCCGACCTAGCACCCGCCGACTTGCACCCACCGACCTAGCACCCGCCGACCTAGCACCCGCCGACCTAGCACCCACCGACCTAGCACCCACCGACCTAGCACCCACCGACCTAGCACCCACCGACCTAGCACCCACCGACCTAGCACCCACCGACCTAGCACCCGCCGACCTAGCACCCACCGACCCGCCGACCTAGCACCCGCCGACCTAGCACCCACCGACCTAGCACCCACCGACCTAGCACCCACCGACCTAGCACCCGCCGACCTAGCACCCACTGACCTAGCACCCACCGACCTAGCACCCGCCGACCCGCCGACCTAGCACCAGCCGACCTAGCACCCGCCGACCTAGCACCCGCCGACCTAGCACCCACCGACCTAGCACCCACCGACCTAGCACCCGCCGACCTAGCACCCCGCCGACCTAACACCCGCCGACCTAGCACCCACCGACCTAACATCCGCCGACCTAGCACCCGCCGACCTAGCACCCACTGACCTAGCACCCGCCGACCTAGCACCCGCCGACCTAGCACCAGCCGACCTAGCACCCACCGACCCGCCGACCTAGCACCCGCCGACCTAGCACCCGCCGACCTAGCACCCACCGACCTAGCACCCGCCGACCTAGCACCCACTGACCTAGCACCCACCGACCTAGCACCCGCCAACCCGCCGACCTAGCACCCACCGACCTAGCACCCACCGACCTAGCACCCACCGACCTAGCACCCACCGACCTAGCACCCGCCGACCTAGCACCCCGCCGACCTAGCACCCGCCGACCTAGCACCCACCGACCTAGCACCCACCGACCTAGCACCCACCGACCTAGCACCCGCCGACCTAGCACCCGCCGACCTAGCACCCGCCGACCTAGCACCCACCGACCTAGCACCCACCGACCTAGCACCCGCCGACCTAGCACCCACCGACCTAGCACCCACCGACCTAGCACCCACCGACCTAGCACCCGCCGACCTAGCACCCGCCGACCTAGCACCCACCGACCTAGCACCCGCCGACCTAGCACCCGCCGACCTAGCACCCACCGACCTAGCACCCACCGACCTAGCACCCACCGACCTAGCACCCGCCGACCTAGCACCCGCCGACCTAGCACCCACCGACCTAGCACCCACCGACCTAGCACCCGCCGACCCGCCGACCTAGCACCCCGCCGACCTAGCACCCGCCGACCTAGCACCCACCGACCTAGCACCCACCGACCTAGCACCCACCGACCTAGCACCCGCCGACCTAGCACCCGCCGACCTAGCACCCACCGACCCGCCGACCTAGCACCCGCCGACCTAGCACCCACCGACCTAGCACCCGCCGACCTAGCACCCGCCGACCTAGCACCCACCGACCCGCCGACCTAGCACCCGCCGACCTAGCACCCACCGACCTAGCACCCACCGACCTAGCACCCGCCGACCTAGCACCCACCGACCTAGCACCCACCGACCTAGCACCCACCGACCTAGCACCCACCGACCTAGCACCCGCCGACCTAGCACCCACCGACCTAGCACCCACCGACCTAGCACCCACCGACCTAGCACCCACCGACCTAGCACCCACCGACCTAGCACCCGCCGACCTAGCACCCACCGACCTAGCACCCACCGACCTAGCACCCGCCGACCCGCCGACCTAGCACCCCGCCGACCTAGCACCCGCCGACCTAGCACCCACCGACCTAGCACCCACCGACCTAGCACCCACCGACCTAGCACCCACCGACCTAGCACCCGCCGACCCGCCGACCTAGCACCCCGCCGACCTAGCACCCGCCGACCTAGCACCCACCGACCTAGCACCCACCGACCTAGCACCCACCGACCTAGCACCCGCCGACCTAGCACCCGCCGACCTAGCACCCACCGACCCGCCGACCTAGCACCCGCCGACCTAGCACCCACCGACCTAGCACCCACCGACCTAGCACCCACCGACCTAGCACCCACCGACCTAGCACCCGCCGACCTAGCACCCGCCGACCTAGCACCCACCGACCCGCCGACCTAGCACCCGCCGACCTAGCACCCGCCGACCTAGCACCCACCGACCTAGCACCCACCGACCTAGCACCCGCCGACCTAGCACCCACCGACCTAGCACCCACTGACCTAGCACCCACCGACCTAGCACCCATCGACCTAGCACCCGCCGACCTAGCACCCACTGACCTAGCACCCACCGACCTAGCACCCACCGACCTAGCACCCACCGACCTAGCACCCGCCGACCTAGCACCCACCGACCCGCCGACCTAGCACCCGCCGACCTAGCACCCACCGACCTAGCACCCACCGACCCAGCACCCACCGACCCAGCACCCACCGACCTAGCACCCACCGACCTAACAGCCGCCGACCTAGCACCCGCCGACCTAGCACCCACTGACCCGCCGACCTAGCACCCGCCGACCTAGCACCCACCGACCTAGCACCCGCCGACCTAGCACCCGCCGACCTAGCACCCGCCGTCCTA